AGTTCGAGCATCGCTGGGCAGATATTCCAGCAAAGTCGAATCAGAAGCGAGGATCGAAGTGATACATTCGTACTCTCTCCGTATGGCGGTAGATCTTGTGATGAAAAGGAATTGCTTACTGCCTAGCCAACCAGCTTTCATATTTGCTGGGGGGAAAAAGTTTCCTGAGGAGACGGGGCTGGTTTTGTGTGCTTAATGTGACAGGCGTTGTGCCTGGCCAGATGCGAAAGTACCCTACATTGGTAAGCCCTAAGCTAAGAAGACTCTTGTGGCGAAGCCCAATTTTGACCGCTTCTTGAGGATCACTGTATCCTATCAAGGAGCGCTGGGAGCAATGGAGTGGGTACGGGCAGCATCCATTACCCGTACCTAATATGGTCTTAGATTTTCGTTTTCCTCCCTTTTCCCTCCCTTTTTTTTCACGAAATTGCCATTTCATCTCTGGCCCCGCTCTTCGTGCCGAGGTCAGTAAGTTAGGGCAACAATGTAATGGTCTAGTAAGGTATACTGTGAATAACTGCTTTAGGGCAACTTTGGAAGCTTTCTTCCTTGCATGACCAGGTGTGCCATCCCTCCATACAGACTAAGGTAGGGATACGAAGGGCCACGTAGTGTTGTGGCGCCGAAGATCGGTGAACGGGCGCAAGAGCTGTGCGCGGGAGAAGCACGGGGGATAGTGGAGATATTTAGATGGAGAATGCTGGCACGGAGTATGTACGTTGTAGTACTCCATATGTTGTATTGACATAGACTAAGATTGCAGAGTTTGCAGTTATGTGTCTAGCATGCTGCGTGACTCGGTTATATCGAGTATGCTCCTAGTCTAATGTATAGAGGAGAATGGACGAGTAGAGGGAGGAGAAGGGTTGTGATAGGTCTTCCCATCTTCGCAGTCAGGGCCTAGATTGTAGGCCATTCACTCGATATCTAAGCCATGGTTGAGTTAAGAATACCTTCTTCTTGGAAGATGTCCAAGGTTTTGCTCGGTAACGATAGACAAATCATGTACGGCACGGAATTATTCTCCCGGGAATTAGCGGACATCAAGGTAATGGATATGTCTCAAATCTGGAGGAGGGATATCTACCTTTTTTTTGGTCCTTTCTTTGTTAAAAAAAAAAAAAAAATCCAATCCAATCCAATCCAATTAACTATAGTCAAAGATCATGATACGGTGAAGTAGTAAGTCAGGAACAAGATGCATCGGAACGGGCTCTTCCTTCGGGGAACACTTAAGCCAGTCAGAGAGCTGAATTATGGTCCACCTGTCATTGGAAGGCTGTATGGCTCGGGCCCACTTACATATCCACAGGTGTTCCTGACTATTTAAAATCAAAATGTATAATGAGGTAGTTCGTACGACAGTGTATAATGTAATTATATTGGAGAATAGTTATATATGTTTTGCTCTAACAATTTAAAGTGGCAGATGTCATAAATCTAGTGACCGGAGCGTACCGTGGTTGAAAAACAAGCCCAATGCCCTAGTGTCCCAGTGGTTTGGGTGTCCCCATATATATATAGTGTTCCTCGTACTCCGTATGTTTGGGCGTGAAAATTCTTGACTTGTTCACCCATGGACTTCTCTAGAGTTAAACGTAATCTGGAGTAGATATAGACAGAAATTATACAAAGTCTAATAACTTTAGTGACTCACATATATTTGGTGGCAAAAACGGCTATAGTGGGGGTTCGACAGGTGGGTTTGCAAATCCACTCCACTACAAAGTAGGAAAATGCTAAGAATTTCTACAATATAAAGGATTAAAATCAAATATGCACATTGGAAACTCGGGTTTATCTGCCGGGACCTTGCGCATGAAAGATACAAGGGGTCAAGAACTGTATAAACTCGATTAAACAGAAGAACCTTGGAAGGAAAAAAAAAGTAACCAATCGGATTAACCAATGATGGTGAAGTGATAATCATAGATTCACCTGTGGACATGGATCTGGTCTTGGTTGGGTACATATGTACCTAGGTACCTAGGTAATAAGTTCGGATGTTGGTTGAACCTATCATTTACCCCGGAAAATAACTCCGGAGTCAACAAATTAGGGTTATGGATAGGATTGGAGGAATGTCAAAGATGAAGAACGTAAAAAATACTGTCAAATTAACAAAATTAACAATCTATAAACCAAATACATATACAAATAGGTAAAATTACTAACTTTATAAATCTCTATCGTATTTTATACTATCCCTCATAGTCATTATTCCTCTCATATAGACCAATATATCCGGTTATTAATTTGATAGATATTTGACGTCTGATATCAAACAATATTTCCTATAGCATTGACATTTTTGACATCTTTTTGTTGCTTATTTTGGGGACATGCCTTAAGAGGCCCACATCCGCCACTCGATCACTTTTACTATTTTTTTTAATATTATTTTGATCATTTCTTTTCCTTGTTATTTTGCTTATTTTGCTTATTATTTTTCCTTTTTTTTTTTCTATTATATCTATTTGCCCCCCCCCACTTTGCCCTCATTTCCCTTCTAATCTAGGCGCACAGTGCAGAATTCAGGTATCGTGCGGCCCCGGCCCCTCCTCTCTTTCTCCATTCTATAATTCTATGATCTGTCCGTCTTCCATGTGATTTGCTTGATTATCATGCTTTCATATGGTAGTTGGGCAGACAGAGAGTTGGGTTTCTGATTTGCTATTTATCACTTTGTTTTGCACGACTTGATGAGTGAACAGGCACCCCGAGGCTATAGGCCTCTTGCACCTCGCACCAGGCTGCTCGGTGGAAGTGGAGGGGAAGGGGGAGAGGGAGCAGGGAGTCCTGCTGGCGGGAGTGCACCAGAAGAAAAACGCATGAGGCGAGCATCGACAGCTTGTACAGAGTGTCAAAAACGCCGCACCAGGGTACACATTCACTGCGCTTTTCCCATTCTCCCCCCCTTGTTTCACTTATGTACTTGAGATCCAATCAATCTGACATGCTCTTTTCTTTCTTCTTCTTTTGTCAGTGTACCGGCCCACCCCATTGCACCGAATGCTCAACCCACGCCCGCGAATGTGTCTTCGATGAAGCCGCCGACAGACGGCGCAAGGCCTCCGCCAAGCGAGTCCAGGACCAATTGGACCATTTCCGGTCATTTGTGGATGATCTCATCGGGCTCATTCGAGACGGTGATGGAACGACAGTGCAGTTAATCGTCAATACCATACGATCGGGAGCAACCCCTGGAGAGATTCGAGATACCCTCACCCGTATTCTGGAAGACGATCATCAACCCCGCTCTTACACTTCACATGATCGCGACTCAAACCTGAACCTAAACATTACTCCAAACAATAACATGGGCAATTACTTCAACCACCCTCGTTGAGTTAAGCCAATCTCTCGGCCAATATATGCGACAAATATGTGCCAGCGTTACCCCGTCCCTCGTACCTCCCCCCCCCGTACCTTCTCGCCGAATTTTCTCGATCCCAAATCCTCAACCAAACGAACCTGTTTGTTTCATAGCGTTGCCTTCATAGCTGTTATTTGTGTTGTGTTGTTTCTCTTAAGATGGAGCAGGCCATTCAGCCGTCACATCCTCATTCTATTGTGGCCAGCTCCATCTTTATATTTATTGCCATATCTCGAGACACATTGAGATCTCGCAAAGAAACCAGACTGTTCCTATTCTCTTACCCCGGACCCTAGATTTTGTTGCATACTTTTTGCCATCCCAGAAGGGGCTCTTAAAAGCTCGCAAAATTGCGGAGAGACCCGACATACTTTGACGGAAGTGGAATATACCCAGAGATACCCAGTTCTAACTTGTCACCTTCAGACTTTGTTTCTCGGATTGGAGTTACACGCCGGGGTGTTTGTGGATTCGGAGCAAACGGGGGGTTTTTTATATTGACTTTCGCATCACAATCGAGACCTGGTACCTACTCAACTTTGGAATATCGTTCTCATCTTGTAGATAATATATTTAATGTCGTCCTAGCCTTTTAAAACTTCAAAGGCTAAACATGTTATATGGTAGTCTATATATTCCTGATATGGAAGGCGGTATCTAGGTAGAGGACTGATATACCTTTCTATCAACATCCTCACTGTTATATAGTCCACCTCCATCCACATTCCAAGCTTTCTTCTTTATTGGACTCTATATCAACATCTTGATCACTAAGCCATACTAATATACTAATATGCTCCTTTTATCCGCACTAGGTGTCTCACAGCTCTGTTAGCCAACTGGATTCTATTATATAATTTCTATATCACACTTACATGGACAGCCAATCTGTCTCTTCTGCCGACTACTATCTCAATCTCGTGGACATGATACCAGTCTCATTCACTTTCCCAGCTAACATAGTATATGAATCTACGGTAAAATTTGCTTGCTGTGGCTCATACAAGGTTCCCTTTCGATTTGTAGTTACAGAAAGCAAGACGATATCTATGCGGTCATCAGAGTGAATAACCCTTGACTCGATGAAAACTCGATTATAGAGCGATCTCAATAAACGTAGCTTGTGTACGCAGAAGCCGATATATCAAGTCACGAGAATCCGGGGAGGTGGAGGCATCCCCGCGACCGGAGATTTGCCGAGATCTTGTGCTTTTCCAATTTCCCCTCTTCCTCCGGATACTTCTCCTTTCTAGATACTTTGTACCTCTATCTCCTTTCAATATTACTCGGCAATTAATTCCCTGGCTCGGCCTGTGTTGCCGATCTCGATATGATAACCGCTAGCGTTACCATGGGATCTCCTCGGCCCGCGATCAAGCTAAATGAAACAATTTCAACAGAATTGCCCCCGTCCAACAAGAGGAAAGCATCCGACATATTAAAGAATGGTGTTGCACACCGCCAGAAAATTACCAGAGCTTGTGACTCGTGTAAAATAAAGAAAACCAGGTGTACTGGTACTTTACCATGCACAAGATGTACACGACTGTCACTGCCATGCAAATACAACGCCGCATATTCTCGGGGACTACCACCAGACCCTCTTCCTGCATCGCCAAGTCCAATGACCCCAACTGCACCTCGTGCATTTGAGGATGTGGATGTGCGTACGTCCAGCAGCCCCAATCTACAGGGAAATGATCGGGGCTCGACTGTGACCGACAATCTACTTCCAAACTCAAACCAGCACCAGCATGTGGTGTCATCACGGAACTCGCCAGAGCCAGGATCAACGGATTTTGAGGGCAATTACCTCGGTCCTGCATCCGGTGTGTCGTTTATCAATCGCGTATGGAGCCGTCTGCATCAAGATGAAACGACGCACTATCCGGATGAACTCCAAAATGAATCCTCGCGGAATACAGCTGTCTTTATGTTTGGCGATAAACCTTACTCCAACCCCCAAGAGGCGGAGTTTACCCTCCCGTCTCTAGAAAAAGCGCTAGAGCTGGTGGGGATCTATTTCGATTACTCTATGGTGACTTATCGGTTTGTGCATAGGGGCAATGTGGAAGAATGGACCAGGCAGGTTTACCAAAACAACATCGGCCTATCCAATCTCCCCGTGGGAATAATGGTTGCTCGGACTGCTATCGTTCTCATGATCATTGCTGTGAGTACTTTGTACGTGGAAATGAGGCCCAGGGGGACTTCTAGTGGGCGGGGCGAAAGGCTAGAAAGGTCAGTGATTTCCTGATGCGGTCCGAAAACGGGCCTAACGGAGATATTACAGTGAGCGCTGGTATGCAGCGTCAAAATACATGTCTTCTCTCGAGTCCGGGCCGCCGCGACTGGAAACCATCCAGGCCCGGCTCGGCCAATGCTTATATCTGCTGTCATCGTCACGGGCCAACGAATGCTGGTACTCATTCGGCACAACAGTGCAGATTGTGACTGCACTCGGGTTACACAGGAAATGGCCAGCCAAATCCTCGAATAACGGGTGCTCGTATTTAGAGTTGGAGCTGCGCAAGCGAATTTTCTGGAGTGTATACACTCTTGACAAATATCTAAGCATTATGTTCGGACGACCTCGACTACTCCACGACGAGGACATTGACCAAGAACTACCAAATGAGACGAACGACGATGACTTACTAGAAGAAGACCCGACGCGAAGAACAGGATCCACGGACAGCATGATGATTGCCTCTGTTCTTCATTACCGGTGAGTCCCACATACCCATACTATATTTATGCTCATGTAGTACTTGGGTACCTAATACCAAATACAGACTCGGTCGTATACTAGGCGATATATCCCGTCAACTATACAGCATAAACACCCTCTCTCGAGACTCCCCCCTCGAGACCGCAATCCGCCTAACCTCAGAACTCGAAAAATGGAAAGAAACCGTCCCGCCATTGTTCAACAGTGTTCACCCAACCAGTTTAATCCCGCCACTCTGTCGCCAAAGCCAAGTCCTCCAACTTGGCTACTCACACGCTATGATCCACGTCACTCGATCTTTCCTTTTGAATGATTTCACAGACCTCAGTCGCAGACCGAAAGTCCCGCATCCGATGGTCAGCTCGCATGTCCAAAAATGCATCCAGGCTGCTGAGAACATCATGACAATAACCGATGGCCTCGCGCATCAAGGTGTGCTCATGCAGTCCTTCTGGTTCACGCACTACGTGTGCTTCTGCGCTGTTTTGGTCGTCTACATCCATACTATCCAACAGCACCGTAAGTCATTGGGCGGGTCTAACTCTGCGGCTGTCTCTTCGGTCGGTAGTCCTGATGACCCGAATAAATTGCGCCAGCTCTTTTCCCTCGCTGAATCCTGTCAGCAGCACCTTGCTGAAGCCACTCGCAAGAATTGTCCCAGTCGTCGCTATGGGATTATTCTGGAGGAGTTGAGACGGGAGGTCCATCGGCAGATTGGGTCGAATGGACTCTCCGTTGAAATTCGAGCTCATTATTCTGGTGAGAAGGATAGTTTCCATGTGTCAGGAGAGATTTCACAGAATACCGATGTAAAATCCGTCCTCTTTGATGCCCAAGCGGTTGATTTCATGATGCCACCAGCCGATTTAGGAGTGAATGCCGGAGATGATGCAGGTTTTCTTGAGAGTCTCGAGGGATCAATCTGGTGGGCTCAACTTGACTCATGGGTATGTATAGACCTTACTTGGCGAGTACGAAATATTGCTCGCCTATACGCACCTTTCGTTAACTTTTTCTAGGCCTTGTCCAATCTCCCTAATGACCCATCTACATTTAGCCTCTGATTACAGGATGGATGTCGGGTACGAGTCATGAAATCAGAATCGCATTCAATTGGAAATATCCTACTACGGCTCGTATCACATTCTTGCCATGTTTCCCTCAGCACGCTATCCCGTCACAAATTTTGATTCAACGGCGCTCAAAACTGCATGAGACCACCGCGGTGGATGTTCTCCAAGTGATCATCGAACTTCGCAGACACCTCGATCACGTCCTTGAGATGATCATACTTGAGGACCTCTTTTTTCCATTTCGCGTACTGACGAGCAGTCGTGATGGCATTCCGAATTTGCCGACCATTCAACTTCTCCCTTTGAAGCACATCCAAGCTCCCCATAAGATTCTTAACATCAATACCGTCTTCATCGAACCCATCCAGCCGCTTGATAAAAGTATTCCAAATGATTCGTCTTTGCTCCTCGCCGAGCGGGGGATAGTGCAGTGCTAGCTGGATACGCGACTTGAACGCCTCGTCGAAGGTGCCTACCCGGTTGGTGGTCAAGATCAGGATTCCCTCGAAATACTCCACCACGCGCAGGAATGCCGATACGAGCGCGTTCCTGTTCAGATCTTCTAGACCGCGCTGCTCGAGGAAAACGTCTGCTTCATCGAGCAGGACTACACAGTTCCAAATCTTACCCAGGTGGAGCACGGATTCCAGGTACTTCTCCACCTCCTCTGGCTTAGTTCCGACGTCGCCACATGTGACTCGGTAGAGAGGCCTCTCGGCTATTTCAGCCACACTCTCTGCAGTCAGTGTTTTGCCTGTCCCTGGCCCGCCGTGCAGAAGCAAGATAAGCCCATTGCCTTTGCCGGCGATCAGATCGGCAGAGTACTCGGGCTTGACGTAGTTGGTCACCAGTGCTTCAATAAGGTCTCTGGATTTGGAGTCGATAGCAAGACTCTTGAAGGCGTCTTTGTTCCATTCGACATGCGAGATGCGGTCGACTGACAGATGGAACCATTTCTTGCGCCGAAGGTTGAAGCCAGTCACCCTCGGAGGCATCAACATGTTGAATGGCTCTGGTGGGGGTTGTGCTCTAGCCATGGCTCGATCGTCGAGTGTCTTATTGCGTGGGCCGTCTCGCAAATATCCGGTCGGGACTGGATGCAGTCTCTTGTATGTCTTCATGTCTATGATGTATCGGTCGTCGGCCTAGTGGCAATGTTAGTTCCGTTTATCATGGAAGGTTGGAAATAAGCACATACCATGGTCTGGAAGTTCTCTTCCTCGGTCGCCTGATAGGACACATACTTCTGTGTGCGGAATGTCCAGAAAATCTCCCCGCGGCGCTGAAGCTTCCGGACGAGATACTCAGGGGCATACTTGATTGGGAATACTGCAAGATCGGTGATATCACACTCTTTGTCCGGGTCACTGTTGGGTAGAGAATAATCCGCTTCCGGCGACGATGGCATCTCCATAACACGCTGTGACTTTGGCATCTCAAAACTGAGCCTTGTCCGGTATTTATAGAAGTCGCCATCAAAGTCCCAGGTCTGGGCATCGATCCACCAACAAACATTGCTGGTTCCATAAACGTCTAAGGCTTGAGATGGCCAGTCCCTGGCTACATAACCTATATGCTCCTTGTTTTGTGTCGAAATCAGGACTTGGTTAGGCTTGAAGAGGTATTGAACGTATTCGGGGCGAATTTTGCCTTTTTCAAAAAGCAGGTCTGCTGCAGTGTACTCATTGCCGCAAGTCTCCTGGACGTAGTCCATGAAGAGATCAAATTGTCTTTGCGCTTCAGAGCTCAGTCCTCGTTTGATTTCGGATTCTCCGGCACCCCGATTATGGTAAACAAAGAGGTAAGGCGACTGGACCTCTCCCCTTTCCCGGTAGTCGTTCTGCATGGATTGGAACTCTTTACCCCCGAGAAAGTCTGCGACCACATATTTGAGATCTTCAGACACTGGGAAAATGTTCTCGCTGAATGGTTCTGGCTTGCCATACTTTGTGTCCGATGACTGCCGCTCAAACCTTCTTCTGTAGTTCCGAAAAACTACAAAGGATATGTCTTTATTGAGGGCGAGGTACAGCTCGAAGTTGATCAGCGGATCATTGCAGCGTAAATATGGCGCACCCATGCTTCGATGGATAAGCTCAGGGGGGTCGGTATAAACGCCCATCCATGGAGACCTGGTTTGGGACCTAGCCTGAGACCTGTGTCGTCTGGGCCTACTAGGGCCGAATTCATCGTCACTATCGTCCACGCCATAGGTGCTATCTTTCTCAATCCGATAAAGGACCTGATACTTTGAGGCTATGGGCAGGGCGGGTTTTCCTTCTAGCTCCCGGACCTTGTCTCGAAGGGCGGCAATTTGGGCCTTGAGGTCATTGGCCTCTGATAAAGAGACACTTCCTTGACTGGGAGGAGTGTACGTGTCTGAGCGAACGGTGTTTGGGTACTGTGGGTTCATATCGTATGACTCCACAGACGGTGTACTGGGAACCTGAGGCCCTCGAGGAGGGCCTGGAGGAGGGTAAGGGGCATTGGTAGGATGCACCAGGCTTTGGGCATATTGATAAGGCACAGGACCTGGTGGAAAAGGACCTGGTATGTTTTGGTTGTTGAGTACCGATGGCCCAAATGAAGGAACAGGGAGGCTAGGCTCTACTGGCCTTTGGTATGCGCTGCTGTTTCGTCGAGCGACATTCTCCCGTTCTTGCAGCATCAGTTGGAATGAGTAGTCCTGGTTATTGTGGTTTTCTTGCTTCGTTCTAGCATTTGGAATGTAATATGTATCATCAATAGGGGGAGGAAATCTCCCTCCAAACGAAGCAGGAATCAGTTGCTCTTGTGAGGCGTCTTTGCTCAGGTCTTGGGAGATAGTGTTGGCCATGTACAGCTCATCATGAGGGCGAGCTGGATTTGAATGAGGAAACATTCTCATAAGAATGCCTTTCAAGAGAAATCAAAGAACTGTTCCACTGTCCAGAGAGAGTGGGAAACACATAATAAATAAGGGGATACGAGGAGATTCCAATACCAACCACCCCCGCGTCTTGAGCCTCTTGATTGTCATGTGGTGTGGCTGTGTGCATGTTCATACGTGAATATTAGGCTGGTTATATTTTCATGCATGGATACCTATCTGATGCACCTTGTCTTCTCCAGGTCTTCATGTACATGTACATAAAGTCGGGTGGTGCTTACCTTATTTCGTGGTTGCCAGCCCTAACAACATGAGTAATTTACCGCGAACACCAGAGCTTTATGCTTCCTTGCTCCATACATCTACTCAATATATTGTTAAAGTCCACAGATGGTTCATTCATCATTCATTTATTCTGAGAGGCAAATATGACAGCCTCCAGTAGGAAAGATACCACTCGACGAAGTCTTTTCAATCTCTGGATCCCAACTAAAGTCGTCGTCTCTGGAAAGGCAAACACATCTCCAACTGACTCTGGGACAACAGAGAGCCCGGCATCAGAGCCAATTATCCCAGGGGCGGGAAAAGATCGGCTTAGGGTTCGTTTGACACGCAGTGGCTCTAAGATTTTACTGTTACTAGGCTTGCGTGGTTCATCCAAGAGTGAGTAGTGGTGTCTTTCTCTCTATAGACCGTTTGCTGATTCCATCTGACAGGCAACAAAGGGTTTAGCGTCGACACCGATTGCTGTGGTTCAGTACAGGCTGGCGACGAAACCCCAGATCCTTCGAGCCCATCCTCCCCAAGTGGGAATGGCGATGATAGCCCAAGATATCTAACTGCAATTGAGTCCCCACGAAGTGAACCACTACCTGCCACTCCTTCGCTCAGTACCCCCACTGAGGGGATTCAAACATTGTCTGAGCCCCTGCCCGACCTTGGATCATCACCCGAGAGTCAGGTTGAATTGGCTGTTGTCGGCGACGGGAAGCAACATGCCACAGGTCAAAACCCTCCACCAATTGCGACCACTCAACAGAGCTCAACAAACCCGAGATTTGTCGATCGCTTTTCCCATAAGATCTCACTGGCGTTTGGCCAGCCCACTGTCATACGCCGGGCGCATCTTCGGTCAAGACCGAGCATTCTGCACGTCAATTCTCCCGTATTAGATGATATGAGCAAACAGAGTGATGGCGCAAATGATAGCTCAGACCCGTCAACTAGCCCCAGCAGTGGTGCGTCTCCAGCTGGCGGGAAGTCAACTCCACTGACTCCGCTCACCTCTGGAGGGCCGTCTCCTGCCTCGGATAAAGACAAGCTGTATGATGAACAGGAAACTGCGGCAACGCGCTGGCCCTCTCTCTCTGAGATTAATGAAGCCGCTAGCCATTCAGACACCAACGCAATCACTATACTGCCGTCAATCAAAACGGTGGAGGCGACATCAGCGGCAAAGATTTACTTGGAACTATACTTCAACTCCATTTTCCGAAGCAGAGATCCCCGTCAGCAACGTCAGCTCGAGTTGGAGCAGCATATATATGCTTACGATCTCACCCCAGAGGAGCGGTTGATGACAAGACACAACTGGGTCTTGCGGGAGAATGATTATCTACGGCAGTGCCGTGTGCTCAAATCAAATCGATACTGCCCTCAAAGCGAAAGCGCCATCACTGTCGCGGGGTACAAAGCTATAAAAATACTGGGAAAAGGAAGCTTTGGTGTTGTGCGTCTTGTTCGAGAGATTGGCTATGATTTGAACGGTTCCCATGAAGATGATCCTCTGACCCTAAAAGACAATGTCCACTCCAGATCCAACCCTCTTGGCGCTCTGATGTCTGCTGTAGAAGGTGCCAGACAAAGCCGTCGAAGGTATATGACCGGCGAAAAAAAGGAGGTATATGCCATGAAAGTCATCAAAAAGGCAGAGATGATCCGCAACTCCCAGGAAGGCCATATTCGAGCGGAAAGAGATTTCCTTGTTGCCTCTGAGTCCTCTCGCTGGGTTGTCCCTTTGATTGCCAGTTTTCAAGATGCCAACAATCTATATCTTGTGATGGATTATATGGTTGGTGGTGACTTTTTGGGGCTACTGATCCGCAAAGATACACTACGCGAGGACTGGGCGCGTTTTTACGTTGCCGAAATGATATTGTGCATTGAGGAGGCACATAGACTTTTCTGGATTCATCGTGATGTCAAGCCTGATAACTTCCTCATTTCTGCGTCGGGCCATTTGAAGATTTCCGACTTTGGTCTGGCTTTTAATGGGCATTGGTCGCACGATCAAGCTTATTATAACAGCCAACGCTACTCCTTGCTAGAAAAACTTGGCATTAATGTCAAGGGCGATTCCGAAGACCAGAAGGAGGCTACCGAAGCGAAAGAGCTCGCGCCTGAAATAAGATTGCACAGTCCGGATGATTATGTTCTTCATAGACCATCCCCGACAAGTTTGCTGGATTGGCGAGACAGCAAGGGGCGACGCAGATTCGCAAAAAGTGTTGTTGGAACTAGTCAGTACATGGCACCTGAGGTCATTCGCGGTGAAATGTATGATGGACGATGCGACTGGTGGAGTTTGGGTATCATTCTATATGAGGTAGGTCAATATCCTCGTTTCCTGTGTATCAAATTCTCAACGGCATTTGCAGTGTCTATATGGCTTTACGCCCTTTGCCTGTGAAAACCGCCACGATACGAAGATCAAGATCCTCGTGAGTACTTTCTTTGTTCCCTTTGTTCTGGTGGACTTTTTATACTGAAACTTCTCAAGCAACACACGAGGACCTTGCGATTTCCACGGGAGAAATCCACGGACAAGCTAGTCTCCCCGGAGGCCATGGATCTGATTACCAGGATTCTCCAAGAGCGTGAATATCGCCTGTGCTCCCCCAAGTACCAAGCCAATGATATACTGAATGGACGACCTGTCTCAACTCAAATGCTGTACTCCATGGACCCGCGGTACAGAAACATCGCGAGCTATTACGTATACCCCAACGATGCAGCAGACATCAAGATTCATCCATTCTTCCGAGGTATCCGATGGCAAGAGCTCCACATGTGCCAACCACCAATGATTCCTAGAGTCAGGAACTGGGAGGACACTAGGTATTTTGACGACTGGAAGTTGCCCGGTGATGTTGCTGAGAATGATGCTGGTACCGACTCGGAGGATCCTGAGCAAGAGCCTGGCAAAATGGCCCCTGGGAATCAAGGAATAAGTCCAGTGAAGGACGCGGTTAAGCCGCCAGCTGCTGAGACGGTTCCACGCGCAGCACAAGAGCAGGCGAAGGATGCCGAAAAGAAAAAGGAGAAGAAGCGCCCCCGTGATAAAGTACTTCGAGACAAACAGGTCAGTAAGACAGTCTTGGACATTCGCAAAAAGGGCGCTTTTCTGGGGTATACATACCGGCGACCAAACGACGTTGCTTTGGCTTTCAGCACAGAGCGAGGGCGTCGACCGTACACCAGAGGTCAATTGGCCGGCCTGTATACATCGTGACTACACAAAGCAAAGCAGTGGGATGGGGAGTTGATGCCCTACTCGATTTGGAATAAACCTGTCGGCTATTGTTACATTTCCATTCACTCTACAAACCATCATCCTTTCGGCGGGTCAGACATACCCACACAACCCTCCTTTCATCTTGTATAGTACCTCATTCCCTCATATTTGACTGTTCATCGTTCTTGGAACCACAGTCCTCACTCCACTTTCCCTCTTGTGTATCATTAGGAATGAATATACCATTATGGGCACAAGATGTTAGCCTACTGGAATAAAAAGTACCGGTATCAGATTGAATACATTTTATTTCCTGTGATACTTCATCAAATTTGAATGGAATGAAACACCAAAAAGGAAAAGCAACAGCGGGGGCAATTCATGCAGACAGCAGGGAGCAGGTGCTTATGTATGGTCTCAAGTCACATCTGATGGGCAAGGAACTGGGGTATCGGAGAGCAAATTCAGGACAGAGAAGCTTTTGGTGGGTATCAAGTTCAGAGATGGATATAAGAGGGAAATGATTAAGCAGAAAGGTGCAGAAGTGGCAAAGAAAAAGTGAACCGAGTTCACAGAACCGGCGCGCTCATCGAGAAGGCCGAATCCGTGACACGATCCTCGGGCTTCATGGTGCCATTGAGCAGTGGACAGAGCTTCTTGTTTGTTTTGATGTGTCCGACCTGGCCGCAGTTGGCGCACTTGCGCTGAGTACCAGCAGGCTTGCCGTCCGGATCGCCGGAGCGAGGAATGCCCTTTTGCTTCTCGCGGGCGAAACGACGCTCCTTGTTGCGGTTGAGACGGCCAAGCTCGGCCTCGATCAACCTCCTGTTTCGGGCATCCACTTCTGGGTCGCCTGTAGGCTGGAGAGATTCCAGCTTTGTGTGCATGGCTTCGTTGTGGTGACGGTGTTGGATGTAGTGCCTGATTACTCGGGGATCGAAAACGTGTTGCTCCTGCTCCACGATTTCGCCGTTGTCCAGCTTGACCTGGCGGGTGATGCGCAACACTTTGCCGCGCTGGCTGTTGAAACTCATTTTGCTGAACTGACTTGTTGTCTCATCGTCACGACGATATGGCCCAGGTGTTGGTGCTTCGGATCGGGGTGTTGGTTTGTTGAATTGATCCCGGTAGTCCTCTTCTTGATCCACGTCGCTTTCCTGGTCGGAATGCTCAATGGTGGAGGACAGGCTGCTTTTTTGAGCATCCCAAATCCGACGAATGGATGTTTCGTATGATCTTTGCTGGCGGGCAACATTGTAGCTGTGGCCGCCAAGTTCCTTCAGTCGCTGCGCGTCTAGCTTATCCTCAACACTTTCACCGATAGCCTTAAAGCCACCCTTCATGCTTGTTTTGATGAAGTTATAGCCCTCGCCACGGCCAGTAGGATCTCCTTCGCCGTGAAGTTTCAGCATAGCCTTGCCTTGGGAGGCCAACAAAAAGTTACGAGTTGCCTTCCAGGGAGCCATCTGCTGCTCAAAGCTCTCGAATTCTTCATCTTCTTCATTTTCACCACCGGTCTCCGCGTCGTTGCCATAACCGGTGTCGTGGAGGTGCTGCTGTCCAATCTGCATTGATTCCAGAAGACAAACATCTTCGGGCTGGACCCACGAGCGGATGGTGTCTTGGTCAGGGAGAACTGGATCCAGTGGCTTCCAATATTTAGTGTCTTTGTCGTGTTGAAGGAAATCCTTGACCTTTTGTCGGTTCTGCATATCCGTAGTGTTTGGTATATGAGCTGTAACATCGCTGATCGCGAGTCGCTCATCCGGGCTCTTCTTCAATAAACGATACACTAGCATCTTCATGCGATTCTTGGCGACAGTTGTCACCTTGCGTGAATGTGGTCCGGGGATGTCAACCGATGGGAATTGCTGTCCGGCAACGTAGAAATTTTCTATATTACGTAGGTAGTATTCACTACCAGAACCCCCAGTGGTGTTGCGGATCACGAGGAAGTCCGTTGATTTGGGCTGGTGCGGGAATAGTGGTGCTCGGTACATGGAGTTTGAGATTGCGGGGGAAATTTCGCCAGGGTCAACATGGCCAAAGATTGAGTAGGGACTTTTGTCCTGGGGTAGAAGAACAACCGTTTCGCCAATCTCCGCCCTTGGGCGAGTGGGATCATCGATGTTCTTTCGTCGGTAATAATTGATGAAACGGTTGCACATTCCAAAGTTGGCAAGCGTCATAGGCTGCTCCTCGGAGTACTCCACCAGCAAGACATTGGAGTTGTCTCCCATGGACAATGACTTTGTGGAATCATAGACAGTTTTCGCATCTTTACCACGCAATTGTTTGCGTCTCTTCTGATCGGGGGTCTTAAACCAATGCGTTTGCCCAGGCCGGAAGGCCAGAGCAGGTCGGTGGAAAGACCTAGCTTCAGCCTTGGCCAACTCAGTCTTGTAGTAGGGCCACTGCAAACGCAAGGCTGGCAGAGCGTGCTCGAGTGTCACGTTCCCAAGAGTACTGCGAATCTTGTTCTGATGATTCTGTTTGAGCATATCGTATGCTTGATCATTCGAAATGTTGTAACGCTGGGTGAGACGGCGTGTCAGATTCAGGTCCACTTCATCCCTGGTGCGAGGAGCAGCGTGTTTCGGCTTGTTTGACACGGCATCCACTCTTAATTCGTCGACAAGAATGTTCGGATCATTGAGGTCAATTGTGACTCTTTTTGCGACTTTCATTGTAGCTTGTTCTGGGTCATCCAATAGTGGGATATCAATGTGTGATAGAGCAATGACATCCATCGGAGCCGGGCCCGTCTTTCTTTTCTTATTCGGAAGCTCAGTTTCCATGAGCCAGTCTGCTTCATCCTCATCCAAGTTGCCATCTTTTCTTTGTGCCAATGGCATCTCTTCCGGGTCAATGCTGGAGACATCATCTTTAATATCCCAGTCCGCGCAAATTGTTCGAAGATCCTGCATGGTGAAGCCACCAGGCAGCACTTCATCTCCATCCGCGTCATCCAGATCGATGTCTTCCTTTGTATCCTCCTCCGCGTCTTCCCCCTCATCTTCGCGGTCCGACTGTGTGATCATCACCAAGCCAAGACTCTCATGATCGAGGCCACGCTTCAGGGGTTGACCAGTTCTGAATGTACGCTCATGATCAGCCGCCAGCTCAATATTCACTTTCGTGGGCAAGACAGGCTTAGGCGGCTTGGCCGGCTGTTTTCCGATGAAGATGGCCTTCTTGTGAGGAATCAATTCAAGCCAACGTGGAAGAGTGTTGCGATCGAATGAGGGAAAGAGGGAATGTAAAAGTTCCTCGTGGTTCTCAGGCGGCGCAGGTGGGTTCTCAACGCCTGACATGGCGAACAACTGCTGCTGAAGTTTCCAAGCGCGGAGTTCGACAGGGTTCATGTCTTCCGACAAGATACTATCATCATCCGGGAACTCATCTTCCTCCATCATAGGTGGCCCTGGCTGCGGTGCCGGGGCTGACGGGATGGGCGGTAGTTCAACGGGGGCATCTGTTAAGGGCATTTCTTCGTCTTCGAAAAGGCCACGGGTAGCATCATCCTGTCCAGCAGGAGGCGGCGAAAAAGAACCTTCGCCAAAAAGGTCATCGAGATTGTCATCCTGGGTCTGGGTCCCCTCTCCCTGGTCACCAAATAGATCGTCGCCGTTTCCGAAAAGAGCGGCGTCGTCCGAGCCCAGGTTCGCGAAAGGATCTTGACTCTCGTCCACTGCAGGCAGAGCTTGGGCTGGGCGTGAGATCTCCTCTTCCTCCGGAAGTTCATCGTCGTCGAAATCCTCGTAGTCGATTGCATCGTCAGCTTTTTCACCAACTTCCAGCTCACGCGACAAGAAATCTAGAGAGGCGTTTTCTTCGTAGTTGTTCAGTTGTCGCATCACATCGTCGAAATCGGTATCTTCCCCGCCCTCCGGGGCCTTCGGTGTTGCGTGAGGCATGACAGGCAAGTACACTTATGTTTAAGGTGAGAGGAGCGTTGTAAATGAAGAAAGCGTTAGATTCGACAAGTTGGTGAGAGAAATCGTAGGTTAAGAATGTAGGCGCGAGCCAGACAAGGCGACGACGCGATTCAGAATATGCACATCTGGGTATTATGCGAGTCTTCGATTTGGAAGTCGTTTTCGCTGTGGCTCTGGTCGCGCAGGATGGAGGAGAAGAGGAGTGGCGTGTCGGACAGGTGGTCGTAGAGAGAAAATGGGTTTCCAGGATAATCGCAAGGGACGGGCCACGCTAACCCGATAAGGCAATCAGCTCGATGCCTGAATTCGAATTCAATGCTTCTCATTGGGATCTTTACAATAAACACAAAAAACACAATGAAAAATAAATGAAAAATACATAATTTAAAGTAAAAATACATTTCATGAAATTATTGTCAGATGAATAGCAACCATAAGTCATGACACATTGAAATCACCATAGAAAATACACAATGCCTTGCTTGCACCCTCCATGCAATAGTGCATTACTGTAGCCTTCTCACCGTCAGGGACCAACTTTGCAATCTGCTTCAAATCAGAGGTCCTTGGGATGTAAAGAACCATATGCTTGCTGAATGCTGAGTATTCATCATACAATCTTTGGAGGGAATATGGCTCCATGGTCTTCAGGTTGAATACCTGATCTGAACGGTATCCCGGACCTGTCACACTTAGTTCATGTCACGGAAGCAAATATGTGATGAGACTTACCTCCCCACGGTGGACTGGCAAAGACGACACTGTATGGCGCCAATTCTTTAAGTTGATTCTTCAGAATCTCGAAACAATCGCCTTCGAACCAAGTGATTTTGTCTTCCACCCCATAGATTTTCGCATTGTGCTTTGCGCACTTAAGAACAGCAGGATTTTTTTCAATCGCGTAGATTCGTTTCCATTTCCCAGTCAAGGCAAATGCAATGGTGTTTCCGCCTGCGCCAGCGAAGGCATCCACGAGAATCCTGCGCCCAGCAGGCGCTGACTTGGCAATCTGTGAAGCTATTTGGCTAAAGAAATGTTAGTAGGAAGTCCGGGATAACAGAAAAGAGTCACGAACTTGGCGACTGGTTCTGGTGTTACGCCAAACCAAGCATCATCCGTCAACCATACACCATCATCGTACTTGGAGAATATCCGGTAGCGTTGGGCCCAATAGCTGGTAATTGGGTTAGCATTGGGGTCTTGTGTTTTTCAATGAGACTGGTACTTACTTCTGGATGTCCCATGGCACCTCGTGCAAACTGCTGTAGTGATGCACCTCCGGAGGCGCGTCTTCGTCTGCCATGATGCAGTGCAGCGATAAAGCGAGATGATCGATCCATTCTCGATAACTGATAAAGATGGGTGGTGTTTGCATTGTTTGCATATGTGTATCTGGCCAGCTCGCCCCGAGGTAAACATACCTGACCACAGCTTCCTTGTTCAGCCTCATTCGATCTCTCTGCAATCTGAATTAGAGCAGAGAATTATGTTCGGCGCATTAAATCGCTTTATTGGCCGGTTAGACGGGGAGCCTGGTCAACAGCCTCGAAACGGCCCTAGTGACAACGCATTCGGTTTCCAGGTCCTCCGCAACAAAGACCCGGAACTGCCTCTAGAGCCATGGTTTGACTTTATCGTAGGCATCAACGGTCATACAATTGTGAGTGCAGAGGATCATCCTACTCCCCGGTTATAAGATTGCTCACACCGACGTACAGGAAGATCCAGACCCGAACCTCTTTGCGACAGAATGCCGAAATTGCGCTGGAGGAAGCTTGACACTTGAAGTATGGAGTGCGAAGGTAAGCATAGTAAAATGATGTATGTAGTTCTAGCTAATCCGTATCCTCTCAGGGTCAACGAACACACACAGTCACTCACCCTATACCACCAACGAACCCCTCCCTCGGTCTCGCACTGCAACTTGCTCCCCTCTCTTCTACACAACATATATGGCATGTTATTGCCATTCCATCGCCACTTAGCCCCGCATACCGAGCCGGGTTGCTTCCTTACTCAGACTATATCATTGGAACCCCTAGCGGGACGTTAAGAGGGGAGTCGGCACTCGGGGAGTTGGTTGAAGATCATCTAAATCGCACGCTGGTTCTGTGGGTTTACAATAGCGAATTCGATGTGGTTCGTGAGGTCGAGCTTGTCCCTACCAGGGGCTGGGGGGGCGAAGGCGCCCTTGGTGCAGAGTTGGGATACGGTGCTCTTCACCGACTACCTATTGGACTTGGAGAAGAGGTTGAGGGACCAGGGGAGGTTGTATTCGAGACACGCGAGGATGGCACTGCTGCCCCAGTGGGTGTCCCTGCAAGCGCTGTCCCTGGAATTGCAGCTTCATCGGGTAACTTCCTGGTTCCAGCAAACATTACAGCACCACCGCCCCTGGCCTCCGCTCAAGCAAGAGGTGCTTCGCCCTTGGAGAGCAGATCGCCCGCCGGCCGTCGTGCAGGGAAATCACGGCCAGCAGCATCCCCCAACAGAGCCTTTGACGATTACTTTGCCGAGGGTGAAGAGAAAAGCCGGGCGCAAGACTATGCGCCGTCACGGCATGGAACTCCTCTACCTCCGCCGCCGAAGGCAGGAGTCTCACCTTCTCACACGGAGAGCCCTGCACCGGAAGGATCACCAGGACCTGCGCAGGAAGAATGAGTGGCTTAGAAAGATCAGAAATCAATTTAATGTAGAGTATGACGAAACCAAATTATGTCGATCATCGCAAGCTACCTATTCCCATGTGCAAACGTACGCTCATAGGTGCTCTTGTCAGACTACCTACTTTTTGACTGAATGGTTTAAAACGAAACGAACAATCCGGTTATGTCTTCGGATTTACGAGTTCTAAGCGTACATGTGCAACAAATGAATCCGCGCTATAGCCCAAAATAGCTGGGCTATATTTAGTGGCCCTTGCTCACCAGCTGCTCCAACTTCTTCCGAGTGTCACCAATCTTCTCCTCCATCATCTGGCGCGCCATTGCACTGTGCGCAATGCCGGTGTACCAGATGTGCTCCGCACGCTCACGAGCAGCCGAGTGCTTCTCCGCAAGGGCGGGGACCTTCTTCTCGTACTCCCAAACCAAGTCTCCGACATTCCGCATCGTCACGGGGAGAAGGGTGTAGGCGGCAGCAGTACCGAAAGCAAGCGGCGATGCAGTACGGAGGAGGATGCCACGGTTACGCGAGACAATCGAGCCGGCCATGGCAGCCACGACCACGTAGACACCGCCAGGCAGAAGACGCTCGCCGGATTCGGCAGAAGGTGCGAGCGAGGCAATCGTGTTGGTGAAGCAGTTTTCGATGTTGAGGGCCCGAGACAGGAAGTTGTTGAAGCCCTGCTCTGCGGCAAGGGAGTGTGAGTAGAGGAAGAGGCGAGCTTGTCGGACCTGAGCGGTCAGGATGTCTGTCGGGGTGGGCGAAGAGGGAGCTAGTTGCGCAGCCGGCGCAGAGATCAACTTGGGAGTGGCAGGCGTAGCAACCTGGGAGGGCTTGGAGTGTTCGGGGATGTCGGCTGGGAAGTCATCGTAGATAGGTTTCCGCTATATTAGGGAAGCAGTCGTGTGTCAGACCAAGCCTTTCAGACATTCAACATAGCCAGGAATAGATATGGTCATACAATGTCTCGGGGCTCTTCTGCGAATGCTGTCTTCTTAGGGTAGAGAGCAATACCTCCCGCAAGGAGAGTGGCTGCGATCGGAGCCACAGCCCGCTGGGCACAAATCAGCATGGAAACGGGACATTGGGGAATCAATTGCATCCAAATTGCAAGGAAACAATTATAAAGGCATACCTGTTGCAACATCGGCCGGAATGACATCCTGAGGGTGTGGGGGGGGGGAGGAGAATGGGGGGAGCTGGTAGTGAGGATGAAGCAAAGTCGTGTTGGAGCAAGACGGGAATTCTTCGGCTCGGCGGAACCTCCAGAAAACTCCGTCATTGCCCGTTCTCCTTGACTCTCATATTTCTTTGCATAGGGGATTTGTGAATCTACGATTTCCGATGATTTTAATCTGCTTTTGATATAGTATCTACAATGCTTCGCCCTTTGCGACGAACATGGACATGTCGCAAATGCCTACATCTGCGGCCTCAGTATCGAGCGTTCGAGAGCGCCGCATCTTCTCCGTCAACGTCGTTTGACTACATTCCAACAGATATCAGTGCACCAAGAAAGAAGACTGATGACCAGACTCTACGCCGCGTTTTTGACTCCCAACCGTTCTGGAATGAGTTCTCCCAGCAGCGCACAAGCACAGTCTCGAGGCGAGCTGGATTGGTCCAAAACCAATACCTGACAAGCCCAGAGGGTTTTAGGACATTCGCAAATGTCTCGCTACAGAGATGCCAGGCTATCGTAGCCAAGGTACTTGCCGCCTCGACTGTCGAAGAATACAGGGCCCTAGCACGAGACCTTGACCAGCTAAGCGATCTCCTGTGTCGCGTCATCGATCTGTCCGACTTTATTCGAACCATCCATCCCGATCCGCGGATACAAGAAGCAGCCACGCAGGCGTGGGCTCTTATGTTTGAATATATGAACGTTTTGAACACAACCACAGGGCTTCATGAGCAGCTCAACAAGGCCTTGAACAACCCGGACGTGACATCATACTGGACCGAGGCAGAACAGATCGTGGCACAGATCCTCAACAAGGATTTCTCGAACTCTGCAATTCACATGCCGCCCAATGTTAGGCAGCGGTTTGTGGATCTGTCGAATGATGTGAGCCAGTTAGGTTCCGATTTCATGAATGGCGCGGAGCCTGCAAGGTCCCAAGTTGTCTTTGGTGCCAACAGCCTCCAAGGATTGGATCCTATGGTCATCTCCAAAATCAAGCGGTGGAATAAGAAAGCGCCAGTTCCAACGATGGGGATTGTCCCTCGACTTGCTCTGCGCTCGGTGCATGATGAAGAAGTCCGCAAAGAAATCTATCTCGCCACGCGAACATCCAGCAAGCGCCAAATTCAAAGATTGGAGGAACTTTTAATGAAGAGAGCAGAGTTAGCACAACTTACGGGCTACAATAGCTTTGCGCACATGACTCTCGGTGACAAAATGGCCAAGACGCCCGAAGCAGTATCCAACTTCTTGACTTCGCTTGTATCAAGCAACCGGGGTCCAGTCCAGGAAGAACTATCTAGGTTGCAGGACTTGAAGGGAGACTCCTCCTTGCGGCCCTGGGACCACGCATACTACGTTCACAAGCGCGTTCTAGCGTATTCCCAAGCTCGTCGCTCTCGTCACATGGGTGTTGTCAATGAGTTCTTTTCCTTGGGAACGGTGATGCAAGGTCTCTCTCGACTGTTTGACCGTTTGTATGGGGTGCGTCTCGTCCCTCATGAAGCAGCTCCCGGTGAGACTTGGCATCCCGACGTTCGTCGATTGGATGTAGTAGATGAATCGGAGAACCACATTGCAGTTGTCTACTGTGACTTGTTTACACGGCCGAGCAAACACCCGAATCCGGCTCACTTTACTCTGCGCTGCTCGCGCGAGATCTCCGCGGAGGAGGTCGCCGAGTGTGCCTCTATGAACGAATCTGCGCACCCGAACGACGGCATGGCCACTGGTGTAGATCCGCAAACTAAAACTCTGCGCCAACTCCCAACCATTGCCCTTGTGTGTGATTTCCAGGAACCTCAGGCCAATGGCTCCGGCCAGCCAACTCTCTTGAGCGAGCAGAGTGTTCGCACCTTGTTCCACGAGATGGGCCACGCTGTCCACTCCATCCTGGGCCAGACGCCTCTGCAATCCATCTCCGGTACTCGATGCGCCACTGACTTCGCCGAACTTCCCTCCGTATTGATGGAGAGCTTTGCGACTGCACCAGAGGTTCTGAGACTCTATGCGCGACACTGGAGGACCGATGAGCCTCTATCTGAGGGCATGATGCAGAGCATGGAGCTAGACCGCACGGCGCATGGTTCCATCTACGGTGCCGTTGAGAATGAAGCACAGATCCTCATGGCACTCGTTGATCAGGCATATCACTCGATCCCAGCTGAGATCAGCTCAGCTGGCATTGATTCTACGGATATCTATCATCGAGTCTTTTCGGAGTATTCCAGTCTACCCGACCCAAATAATGTTCAGCCGCGTACCTCTTGGCAGGGCTTCTTCGGTCACTTGTATGGCTACGGTGCCACGTACTACAGCTATATCTTTGACCGTGCGATCGCGAACAAACTCTGGCAGGACGTCTTCCTGTCTGGTCAGGCGGCAACTGATCGTGCCGCCGGTGAGCGATACAAGAATGAAGTCCTCCGCTGGGGTGGTGGTCGCAATGGCTGGCAATGTGTGGCTGGCGTTCTGGGGAACAGCAACCCCTCCAACACCAACGGCCGGCTGGCTGAAGGTGGTGATGAGGCTATGCGTGAAGTTGGTCGCTGGGGCCTCGGGCGCGAAGGCGTGTCTACATAATACGGTTGTACTTTTATTGCTTTCTAGTACATGTATACCTGCCTTAAACGGCATTGTAAATAATCCCAAAACATAGATTTGTGATCTGAGCTTTCTAAATTGAGGCTTGAACCAGGTTCATATGGAATAGAACAAAGGACAAAATCAGAGATCTGGTCAACTGTGCTCTCGGTGTAACAGTAGGAGTACCAGTAATGAGGCTAGCCTTGGGCATATGGCAAATAACTATGTTGTACGTACAAATCCCCTTTACCGCCTGCTGTAAATGGATTAGCCTAGATTGGTGGCTCAATCCAGTTAGTGTACTCCGCTCCCTGTACCGTGGTTGAAAAAGGTCAGATGACCACAAATGCCTATATATACCTGCCGGGGCCGACAGAACTTCCTTTTCTTTTCTTTCTTCTTCAGCTCTCTTTGCCTATTGGCTTAGATCAAGTGTAGTATCTGTTCTTTTCAGTTTAATCTCTGAAAGTTTCCGTCCAGGAAACACTTTGATTATTCCTATTTTTGGAACCCGTGACTTGGCCCCTGTGCTTGCGCATGCCTCGTCGCACAGTGTCATTGGGCTTACACTACCCCCAATAGACGCGACTCCTTTTTCATCAATTGTTCGGCTTGTCCGGGCGTTTGGAGAAGAAGCTTTCAATATCTGCGACTCGTACTCAATATTTACTGTGTTCCCGGAAAAGGAAAAATGAATGTTCCTGTCATGTGTCACGTGTCTCACTCTACCTTGCCTTGCTGTCTTCCCCTTGTAAGTAACCCTTTGCCTCTCCCATGGGGAATACGGCCGCACGGACATGGCCACATGCCACATGTGAACCCATAACCAATAGGAGCCTATCAATCCAGTGATCTCCGTTGGACGCAACGTCCGAGATTAGGCTACCAAACCCCGTTCTGGGGACTTCGAGTTATCTCACTCTTTGTCTTGCTGAACTGGAACCTTGTTTACTACCTAGTTATGCTTGAATGGTCTTCAGATAGGTTTTTCCAGTAGTATGGAACCTACATAGTACAAACATATGGACCACCTTATTACACATTGACACCCTCTAGTCTTGCCTCTGAGTCTCTGACATGCTTCCACATTCAGGCTGCATGGTGGCTTGCTGTAGCGTGAGACCCTGGTACCCGATGGTAGGCAAAGCGCGAACTGATATTGCGGCTATATTGCCTAGTCAGATGCTCTTTGTGTGTAAATTTGCGGAATACTCCAAGTTACCCAAATTCCCCTGAGTGCTCTGATGAAGATCTGTCCCTGGGTTGTATTAAATGTAAGTACCTATACGCCCTTGAGCATCTAGGCCTTCTTGTCTTCTTATTATACCTGCACTCAATCTGCAATACAAGCACCCCCACCCCAAATATACTCCATGAGCATTCACCGCTATCTCTTGTTCGTTATATGGGATATTGCGATTTCAACTTCGTTGCCTTCGACTCCTGCTCCATCAAACTAAATACCGTTTGTTGCGTTTGGGGGATATTATTTATTCCCAGCCTGACTTTCGATTTCTTCCCTCTGACATCATTTAAATCAGTATACTCATATCAAAATGCCTGATGTCCTCATTATCAATGACAATGCTTCCTTCGCTTCAAGTGATATCTTGTCTACTCGGGATCCGATAGAGCAACCACGACATTCACTTCGTCGAAGACACACGGTTTCCCAGCTCACAAGAAGGCTGTCTAAGAGAATCTCTCAAACAATTGTCAGACCTGGAGTTCAGGAACATCAGCTGAGTGAAAAGAATCTCAAGAACCTCAACGACACAACAAATATTGATTCCCACAACATATGCTCGCCAGTTAATCAGGCTCATGAGGTTAAAATATGCGACCCTATTCACGAAGACATTGAAGAATACCCTACTTTCGACGTGGAAGCAGCGAGAGAGATGCGTCTTCGACAGTCATACGCTACCTACTGTCAAAGCTTTACGCTATCGGGGACAACAACGAAGAGTAGGAGGTTCGACTTATCGATGGGAATGGACTGGGCAGAAGGACATACTCGACCCCCTCAGGCGGATCAGACTCGAAAAGACAACGACACATCTGAAATTCCGGGACCTTATGCCAATCCCGAGCACATACCGGACCATTTAAGGCCTAGACCTTGCACCGTCCCATTCACAATATCATGTCCGTCTACAGATATTGATGATACACCAATATCACACCCAGCAACAATCGGAACCCCCTCTTCAGAATGTCCAGTCACGGAAACATCAAAGGTCGATGAAGACTTCAAAATAACACCCAACCCCAATTACCCCAAACCACCGCCTTGCATCATCACCCCAACTGTCTGGATGGAGATACAGCGCGACAAGCGAGAACGCAAAGCAGCTCGACGGCAGAGACTCCTAAACCCCTTTCGGTCGTGGTTTATGTCAAGCCGGCCCTCCTGGGGGCGGAGATATGGAGTTGTTGAATAACGGGATCTACAGTCAAACTGAGAAAAGCAGGTTTGAGACCTCGGGATATTGGACGCGTTTCAAATTCACTGGTCGTATCTTAAATGGAAATATATCTTAATCACACAACCCATGCTTGCTTTTTGCTTTGAAACAATACAATATCACACGCCTAGAATGATGCATCGCCGATCTCATCTCACCTTCCAGGCACCCAGGATTCAAGGCTATATACGTCAATCTTGAAATGGTCAGATGTTTGGATCTTTTTCGTCTGTGCAGTTCTACTCCACGAGACTTATCATGTTATCGCACAAGATATGAATAAGAAAGATACCAGTCAGACAGTCATAATCACTCTGCTCGAGAAATCTGCACCCTGTACACCACCATCTGAGCAAAATTCAAAGAATTGAAGAGGACCACCATTCACCTCGGAATGTCGGACTCTGCAGCCAGTCCGAGATCACACGACGGCAGTTGCCGCTGCAGACGGTCGGTTTCACGATGCAGGTCTCATCACCCATAGTTTGTTCTGGGGCGGGGAAGAAAAACCGTCAAAAGAGTTAAAAGAGTTGAAAGAATTTTCCAAGGATGGTCACAACCAGTAGTATCAACGGTATCAACGGCTATCTCCTGGTCTACATCCCATATGCCACCGTGACCTACCGTAATACCTGACGTGGCTGCTAAGGTCTGAAACGTATTTCCCACATTCATTGTGTGTCTTTAATAACTTCTGCTCCAATTATTTAAAAAGAAATAACATTTTTGAGCCCATAAATTACCCCTTGGCTTTTGCCCTAAGTGTGGGACTCGCATGGTGTATGGCATGCACGTTAGACGGTGTAAATGCTCGGTGTAAGCCCCTACTGGGGGAAAATAGCGTTCTATTTGGTGTAATTGTAAATTCTAAAAATATCCAGACGAATTAATTGAAAGGTGGTGAATAGTTACAAAGATTATATTGCGAGCAATCCTGGTGGCCCAGAATATATAACCGGGAAATGAAAAACATAACATCGAAATATATACTACAAATTTATATAGCAGCCGAAGGAAAGATAGCAACGGCACGCAGAATCAATAAAATAACACCCAAAGGTGCAGACAGGAACTATTATTATATGCATCAGTATTACCTACCGGATTTTCTCCTGTTTCAGCTTTGCGTTTCCAGTTTAATGCTCACTGAGCGCGGCTTTTTGCTATTATGGTAGTTAACGGGTACAATGCAAGGCGTCAAGTTTTGGAATTTGGGAATTTGAAAGATCTGAATACACACACTTCGAGCAACAGCAATACTATATTCACTTTCGAATCTAAGTTCTACTTCGTTTCACGATAACCATGGCCACGACACTGTAGTAGATTCTCCCTCTCCCTCAAAACACAGCCATCAATGAACTTCTGGGGGAGGCTAGCTAGCCATGAATCCATATTGCTTTCGGGGAAAATAAGACCCGCTTTCTCAAGGTACTTTGCCCTAAATATCTCCCATAGCTCCTGGCCTAAACTGTGTTCCATAAGCGGCAGAGGGTAATACGGGTCATTTTCGAAAAAGGCCATGACAAGATGCGAGACAAGCCCCTCGGGATTGTTTCAGGCTGCTATTTCATCCCAGATATGACATAGATTAAAGTCTAGTATCCACAAACGCGTTGTTCGCCTCTTGGAATTGACTGTGATCAGGGACTCGATATCTATGTGTGGCTTCATAGCGGCTAACCGCTGTGGAGTCAACTCAGGTCTGATTGAGACGGAAACACCCTGTGAGTAGGTAGTGTCGCCTTCACTCCCGAGGACAAACTCAATATCGTAGCCATCCACATGTGCGGACCAATGAATAACTGCCAAAGCTTCACCCATTGCACTCGCAAAATATTTGACGGGCGGATTAAATTCGACCATTTGGTCTAGATGGAGGTTGAAGTTGCGTAGTGTGAAGTTTGCGGACAGGATATTGAGGTGGCGGCGCCGACCCAAGTAAACACGAGCTAGACAATCACGGTTCTTGTCATTCAAGGCCGCAAGGGCACGAGATGGGGCTGGACAGTATTTGTCGATCAGAGCTTACCGTGCAACTTTTGGTATTGGGAGAATTCGCTGGCTAATCAAGGCCATGGCTGGGAGCGGGACTGATTCATGAACAGTTGGGAAAAAACTAATATTCTCCTGCCACCACTGGTGGTTGTCCTTTGGAATGTAAGAGAAGAGTTGAGGAACACGACATTCGATGTTTTTGTTTTTTTCCAGGTCAAAAGCTTGTCGCACACTGAAATGCGCCTTAAAGTCATTCCATAGAGTGTCTTCATATGATGGTTTGGCAATTTTTAGCACGTAGTTTCGTCCAGATCGCTCAAAAACAAGGTCACACTGTCCGAATCCGATCACACGATAGCCAACTGAAGTGAGAACTTGTCGACTTTGCTGTAACTGAGCGAAGGATGAGGATGAGGTTGTACTTGTAACTGAGTCTGAAGTGAGAACTCTGAGCAGAATATTTTCTGTGTATACAGAGTCATCTAGACTCAGTTGTTGGATCACATCGTCATCATGTGCCCCATCCAGAAGTGCAGAAAGTTGGTTGGTTAGGTTGATATTAGCACGCAAAGAGGAGCTGAGCGAGATCAGCGAATCCTCACTAGAGGTTTGGGCAGAGCGTCGTAGGTGCTCCATGTTGGAGACCGAGAGGGGGTCTGGTAAAGCGAGAACAAGGGACTGGTAGGAAATGAGAAAGTAGATCTTGGATGAAATTGCTCCTCTTCTCAAAGAGTAGGAATCGAACGAGGAAGATGTCGACCGAGAGCAACCTAGGATTAACAGAAGACAATACTGATCACAGCAATATTGTGATAGGATGATGATCGAGAAGGGGAAGATGAAGAGAAGTTATGATAAGAGAAGGCGAGGTTTGAGAGGATGAGGAAAGAAATGAGATGGAGAGGGAGAGAAGGAAAGAGCTGCTTAAATGCTCTATAGTTGTCATAGTACAACCTTAGGTATCAGACCCGTAACCCGATTAGGTACATACATTATAGAAGTCTACTATAAATATATGTGACAACCTTACATTGTGCAGGACATAAGGACATCCATGGACTACACCCGAGCGGTAAAGATGAACATATTTCAAAGCCAAACCAAATTTCTAAGCATAATTTCACAAAATAGATCAAAAATATACCCGATGGATATCATAAAGCACCAAAAAAAATGGACTTGCAGGGAATCGAACCCTGGACCACTCCCATGCTAAGGGAGTATTATACCACTAAACCACAAGCCCAATTGGATGGAAGGGGCTTTCATTTAGTGCTCTATGAAAGAAAGACTGAAATATGGTCTATCGAAGGGTTACTGTTTCATACTCCCAATGACATGTCGCAATAGATGTGTGCGGTAGATACAATCTTTAAATATAATGACCAATTGACGACTTCTTGACACACAACGGCACTCATGAATTATAAACAAACCGGAACCTTGGAATAGTCCACGGGTATTGATCTCGCTTAGCTGTGATGCAAGGAGAGCCGATCCAAATGTTGTATCCTCTTCGAAGATGAAATAAATATTCCCAATTTGCTACCGAAGAGAAATACCTGTGGGATGTGCGCTGGTAAATACAAAGGCAGGACGACAATGCGTGGGCTGAGTATGTGCATGGCGAGGAAGGAAAAGCTTTAAAAAAACAGCCTCCCGCGAAAAAAACCAGACCTGTTTCAATTCTGCGTCAATACCCTGTCGCAAGGAATGAAAGCCACTCAGAAAATGGGTATGGAGGAATAGAAAAAATCGCATAAGGAAATAAGTTATCGAACACACGGAATCGCTAAAACTGACAATGAAGCATGGCGTGAAACACATCCTGAAATAGAGGGGGAAAACAGTCCGCTGCGTGCAAATCATAATTTATATTTCGATCCTCACGCACTGCTTCCAAATCGGTTCGTAAACCAATTGGTAAATCCCCCTCCACTGCTACCCTCACCTCGACTAGACCGTCGATTGCTGGTATGCCCCCCCTCGGGCGTAGGGGACCGACGCGGTGAAATTCGTGGGGAAAGTCGGCTCGGGAATGAAGATAGCGAGGATTGACCGCTGCGCACAGTGCGAGAAGAACTATGCCGTCGGTGGGAGCTAGGCTGCTCGGGACTATCCTGGATCACTACCGGATTCTCACAAGTGCCTTCTCCGCCTCTGTGGAATATGTCGTTAGCTGAAAGTTCTCGCTTTCTGCATACAGCTCACATATACTTACGCTACATTTGAATTGATGCTGCGCCGGCAATGCGGACAAGTGTCATGTTGGGTCAGCCATGCATGGATGCAGTTGAAATGAAACCAGTGCGTGCATGGTAACACAGTGACCTCTAAGCCGAGTTCGACATTATCCATACAAATGGAACACACTGCTTTCCCTTCAGCTCCCATCATCTCTTCATTGACCTTTTTTCTCGGTAAAGCTTGGACGGCAGCATCAGATGCTGGGGGTGCTGCAGTGCTGGTCCCTCCGGTATTCTCAATCAGTTGTGTGATGACTCGGTCAAGCTCCTCCTGGGAATATACTGCGTCATCGCTTCGACTCATGTTAAGAATGGCCGACAATATTGACAGGGCATGTGGGCTTGCTGGGCCACGAGCTCCACGTCCGCGTCGGGTAGTTTGAAGCCCAATGTCAGCACGAATGGCCTCCATGATTCTAGTCTGATTAGCCTGCTATTATTACAGCTGATGGAACTATTACATACTCAGCTAGGTCTGTCGGATTGCGGTTATTAGGCTGCGGCCCATCTGCATTGCGGGGAGATAGACCTGGGTGATGGCCCGTGAGGTGGTCGTCCTCGAGCCAGTCAGGAGAGGTAGACGATTGAGCATGGAATGGATCATCTCCATATCCCCTGTATCCACGAGGATTTGGCTCCATCAAGGTCTGGAACATTGTGTCAAAACTTTGCATCATCATTGGAACCATAGGGCTCGGGCCATTGTTGCGCTGACCAGAAGGCATTCCGGTATCAAGCGTCGCGCTGCTGAATGAGAATCTCCCGTCGGGCGATCTATATGTACGCAAGGAGGAGTATGGAGGAGTACGCCCCCCGAAAAGCCCAGGACCTTGCTGTTCTTGTCTGTCTCGTTCACATGGGTTGCGGTCTATCCACGGGTTGACGCGTGGAGGCGACGAGGAATCGGCACGATGTGAGGGGGAACCTTCCGAGGGCTGCTCTGGGGGAATTTCAATCTATAGAAAAGGATGGTGTTAGGACGGAATAAACCAATAGAGAAAGCATTCACTGTACTATTTCTGTGAATTCAGATTCACAATGCGGGCACGTCAAACCACCATCCTTAAGCCAAACTCCGCCACAGGCATGGCAGAACATGCGGTCGCTGCTGTCCATGTCGCGAGATAGACTATAACCCAGAGAATTCTGAAATGTTGTACAACGCAGATGTTAGGAATGAAGCTGATAGAATCGATAAGCGCCAGAAGAGTCACGAGTCATGACCTTATCTGCGGGGAGGTCACAGTTGGTTAGATGAACATAATTTCATTGGACAAAGAAGAACAGGAAGGGATGGTTAATGTGTCACAAAGAAAAATCAACGTGTTAGAAGAAAGTTGTTGAAGTGTGATAAATCGATTTAGAACCCTGCGGGCGCTTGGAGGCAATGACGTTTATCAGCAATCGCCTCCATAAGGCGAACCTCATTGACTTATACCCAAGATTACATGGAACAAAGAACACCCACGTTTCATGTGGACAAAAATAGATGATAATGCATTAGGCAGCCTTATTTTCTCTTATTTAACGTGGTTTTATGCTGGGGGATTTGCTGCGACGCAAGGGCAAAGAAGGAGGTGAGGTATATAGCCCTATACTATTATTGAAAAAAGCCTCTTTTTACACCGGAATAATAAATAAGACTCAATCATATGATCAATTCATGAAGAAACTCGTACAAAGTATATAATAAATAGCAATAAATGGTCACTTTTTCCATGCAGGGATACAAATTCCTCGCGATCTTCTCATCCCTGCCAGATGCAGTGGGGGAGTGAACTGAAAAAAGAGACAGCAATGGATATCACAGGAATGATGCAATTGAACCGGTACCCTCAAACACCCCGATGAAAAGACGGAAAATCTCGAGCAGTTTACTTGATCTCGAGGAGCTTGACGTCGAAGATAAGCTTGGAGTTGCCGGGGATGCCAGGCAGAGCCTTCTTGCCGTATGCGAGAGAGGGAGGGATGGAGATGCGACGCTCACCACCGACAGCCATGCCGGCAACACCGATGTCCCAGCCCTTGATGACCTCGCCCTTTCCGAGCTTGAAGGTGAAAGGCTTGCCCTTCTTGTTGGAGTCGAAAACCTTGCCGTCCTCGAGCTTGCCGATGTAGCGCATAGCGACAGTGTTGCCACTCTTGGCAGCAACACCCTTTCCGAGCTTCTTGTCATCAATCTTGACTCCGCGGATCTCCTTAACGCCAAGAGTGCCAGTGGGCTTGTCGCCGGAGGGGGTAGGGCCCTGCTCGAGGTTCTTGGCGAACTGGACCTTCTTGTCGGTCTTGGTCTCCTTCTTGTCTTCCTTCTTGGCCTCCTTAGGCTCAACAGCGGCGGCATCACCGTTGTTCTTCTTGAGCTTCTTCTGCTGGGCCTTAGTCAAGGCGGGTTCCTCAGCCTTGGTAGACTTGGCCTTGTTGGCCTTGGCCATCAGATCATCGAGGGTGACTTCGTCCTCAGCGGCGCGCTTGTTCTTGCCCTTCTTGGACTCAACAAGCTTAGGAGCCTCCTCCTCGCTCTCGACCTCGGTGATTCTGGGGTCCTCCATGTCATCAAGGTCATCACTCTCATCATCATCCTGCATGGCGATGAGGTCTTCCATGTCGAGCTCGTCCTCATCGGGAGACAGGTCGTAGTCATCCTCGTCCTCATCATCGTGGTCATGATCGTGGTCGTGGTCGTGACCCTCATCGAGACCAATGACGTAGTTACCAGTGAGGAAGACAGTGTGGTTACCGGTGACCTTGAAGAACACGGGCTCACCCTCGCAGACAGTGATGTCCAGAGGCTGTTGGTAGTTCTATAGGGGCATTAGAAATCAACAATCAACACAGTTTTAAACACGAGAGGGCATTGGTCTTACCTGGCTGGGGCTGAGGGTGCAGATAACGTTCTCGTCGAGCTCCAGGCCTTCCTCGGAGTCGGAATCCTCATCGTCAAGAGCAGGGCCCTTACCCTTGATGAGCTTGGAGATGGCAGCCTTCAGATCGAAATCCTCATCATCATCCTCCTCGTCATCATCTTCCTCCATAGCGTCCTCGAGGTCCTTGAGGGCAGCAGCGGCCTTAAGCTTGCGGGCCTTCTCCTTGTCGCTAGGGCCACCGTTGGACTCCTCCTCATCATCATCGGAGTCCTCCTCATCATCATCGGAGTCCTCCTCATCCTCATCACTGTAGTCCTCATCATCCTCATCATCCTCACCAAGGCCAAGACCGGGAGGAGCGCGAACAATCTTCAGAGTGGAGCGGGAAGGCTTGCTCGAGTCCTGGTCATCCTCGAACTCTGGGGCCTCATCAGGATCGATAGCAGCCATGCTGATGCGGAACTAAATTTAATGTCAGCACAAGCTATCAGTCAATTGACCACAGTTAGACTGACCGAAGCAGCAGCGTTGGGGACTGCTTGGACCATGGCACCGGGAGGAACCCGGAGCGCATAGACTGCGACAGGCTGAACGGCAGACATTGTGAATATTAGGATAAATTGAGCAAGATGGAAAAAGATCAAGTTCAAAGAGAGAATGAACCACGTGGAAAAGATGTGGATGAAGGAAAGAAAACGGAAGAAAAGAAAAGATGCTACTAAGCAACAGATGCGGCAAAAAATTGGGAGAAAAAAAAATCAATCAATGATATCAACGAGTCGTTCACCGCTGATCTATTGCCATGGGTGACCGCTTCCTGTCAGCTTGGATCCACGTGATGATTGCCGAGCTTCGCGCGAAAGGTCAACATCTTTGTGTCTTTCTGTCTTAATATTCTATCTATTGTCGGTCATGATGGTCGTCGTAGCCCAAAATGGGCTCCCGTCATGAGATCAACTCCAGTGCAGTGCGCAAACGCATTGAAAATCGTACGTTCAGTCTGAATATCAGTCCTCCGCTCTTATCTGACAATGCCTAGATGACTTCAAGGATGAAGGAGGAGAGGAGTATGAGGCCTCCAGCTTCGGTGGGTTTGGGGACTACATGCGCCGGAAGAAAATGAAATTACAGAATCTTGACGCGGAAATTCGATCTTCAGCTGGCGATTGCCCGCCAATATTCCGTGGTGTAGTTGCCCATGTCAATGGGTACACTCAACCCTCCCTGCAAGACCTGCACCACCTGATTGTCAGTCATGGGGGTGGCTTCCTTCAATATTTAGATGGAAAGACTGCGGCCACTCATATCATCGCCAGTGCTCTGACACCTAAGAAGCGTGAAGAGTTCCGCCGCTACCGCATAGTGAAACCTGCGTGGGTGACAGACAGTATCAAAGCAGGACGTCTGCTGCCATGGGATGAATTTAGAATAGTAGATGAAGGTCAGGCACAGAGGGTGCTCAAGTTTGACGATGGCCGGTTTACCAGCCAGACGAATAGCCCTCGCCCAGGTTACAAAGACCAATCAAGAACTAGTTGGTATGACTCTCAGCTCCGAGATATGACCACTGCGAAAGAGGATTTCGGCTTTTCACCAAAGCCGGTGATCCCGGCTGCGCCGCCCAAAGTCTCACAGATGGTGGCACCAACCTTGCCGAGCCAGCTATCCCAGTCAGATTATGGCGATTTCCCAAGCTTCACTATGGAGGAAGAGGATGAAGCTCACGACCTTCAGCATCAAGATGAGGCATCCGCCAGTGATGTAACACAAGCCATAATGCCACATCAAACTCCCAACCCCAACCAAGCGCCAGCTTCACCAGATTCACCGGTTGGCCTCGGATCAACCATGCTTGCCGACTCAGCAAGCCCAACAAAACCTACATTAACTTCTGAAGAGTACAACGCACAGCTCCTTTCTGACCCAAAGATGCAGAAGTCCTCTGTTGTTAATCCAGAATTCCTGCAGCAGTACTATAGAGAGTCTCGCCTCCATCATCTGTCAACTTGGAAGGCTGGTTTGAAAGCCCAGCTGCAGGCTGCAACGAAGGAGAATGCACAGTCTCAGATATCGAAAAAGAAACCCGTGCCTGGATCGAGGCGGTACATCCTACATGTGGATTTCGACTCGTTCTTTGCAGCTGTCTCACTTCTAAATCATCCCGAGCTTCAAGGTAAGCCGGTTGCTATCGCCCATGGCTCTGGATCAGGCTCCGAGATTGCTAGTTGTAATTATCCCGCACGTGCCCGAGGCGTTAAGAATGGGATGTGGATGAAAGGTGCTTTGCAATTATGCCCCGATCTCAAAGTCCTGCCTTATGATTTCCCTGCGTATGAAGATGCGAGTCGCAAGTTCTATACGTCGATACTTGCCATTAATGGTATTGTACAGAGCGTCAGTATCGACGAGGCTTTGATTGATATCACGAATTTGTGTGTGGAAGCTGGCGGCTCAGATGGTAAGGCTATATCGGAAGGATCGATTTATCGCGAGCAAGCCAAAGCGGACGAAATTGCCCAAGATCTACGCGATTCAATTAAAGAGAAGACCGGGTGCGCAGTCTCTGTCGGAATTGGAAACAACATTCTGCTCGCGAAAGTGTCTCTCCGAAAAGCCAAGCCTGCTGGCCAGTTTCAGTTAAAGCCAGATGCTGTTTTGGACTTTATTGGAGATCTCACTGTTCGTGATCTTCCTGGAGTGGGCAATAGTATGGCAATCAAACTCGAAGAGCTGGGTGTCAAGTTTGTCAAAGACATCAGAGATCTCCCGAAAGAGAGACTGATATCTGCCCTGGGACCCAAAACCGGAATTAAGTTGTGGGAATACACTCGCGGAATTGACCGAACAGAAGTCGGCGATCAAACCATGAGGAAATCTGTTTCGGCCGAGGTCAACTGGGGCATTCGATTTGTCAACCAGGACCAAGCAGATGACTTCGTGCGATCTCTGTGCGAGGAGCTGAATCGAAGATTGATGGAAAATCTGGTGAAGGGGAAACAGCTCACACTAAAGGTCATGCGTCGATCGATGGACGCTCCATTGGAACCAGTCAAGCATCTCGGCCATGGAAAGTGTGATACATTCAACAAGAGTGTCGCTCTTGGTGTTGCGACCAATGTACCAGAGATCATTGGGAAAGAAGCAGTGTCGATGTTAAGAAGTTTCAACTTTTCACCTGGGGACTTGAGAGGTCTGGGTGTGCAAATGACTAAACTTGAACCAATCAAGCCTGGCCCATCAGGCTCTTCAAGCCATGAGAGCAGCCAGCGAAAACTCAACTTCCGGATGTCTCCACCTCGCAAGAAGGTCATTCCAGATACAGATCCCGACGAATTGGAGAGTCCGCAGAAAGATGACTCTGTTCGTATCCAAGCGGATCCAGTACTCAGCGATAGTGCCCACAAACCACTCAACATCTCCGGGTCCCAGTTCATTATGCCCACTCAAGCCGACCCAAAAGTCCTTGCCGAGTTGCCCACGGATATCAGATCAAGGCTTGTTGCACAAGCAAAGCCGCGCCAGGGTTCTCGCTCTGGGTCTCCTTGTCCTCCCCCGCGTGAAGCTCGACAGCCTACTCAAGCAGATCTTCCCCCGCAGTCCCAGCTAGACCCAGATGCATTAGCTGCATTGCCTGAAGATGTCCGCAAAGAAGTCTTGGAATATTATAACCACCCAGTCACTATCGCTACGCCGCCGGCCGCACCGGCAGTACCAATGTCACACCCATCAACCTCTGGCTCCTCCAAGCCGAGAAGGCCGGTATCACCACCCAAAAAGAGGCGTGGCCGCCCACCCAAGTCGGCAACGATTGCGAACAAGCCGAAGCCCAAACCTCTGAATCAATCGAGCTTTGGGTTCGTTCTTCCACGCCCAGCCGCCGTACCTACTAGTCTTGATGAAGAGGCTTTGTCTAGACAAGCGTCACCAAATGTTGAAGAGCCAGCCGAAGCTTCAGCCGAATTTCTTGCTGCTCTACCTGAAGATATCAGACAAGAACTGCTTGAAGAACAAAAACGTTCCCGCGTGCAACAGCGCTCACAAGCCACTGAGCCTACACAAAGACCCCCATCCCGGGCACAGGAGGCTCCTCCTCCTGCACCAATTTCTGTAGAGAAACTTCTACCTTTACCGCCTCTCCCCAAACGTCCCGTCTTTACATCACAGCGCCTGTCCCAATTACCAGATCTGCGAGATGCAGTTGGATCATGGCATGAAGTTTTTGCGGCTGGCGGCCCATATAGCGAAGACGTGACCTCATTATGTAAATATCTGTCTAGTGTGACATTGCAAGAGAAGGATGTGGACAAAGCTGTTTCAGTGGTGCGTTGGTTGATGTGGTTGGTTGGTGATCACTCGCAGCAACAGGGGTCTAAAGAGCCACCAGCATCCCGGCCAGAGGGAACTATAAGCTGGGAAGAGGCTATAGAGACCATGCAGTACAGTGTCCAGGTGGCTCTGGAGCAGAGAGAGCTTCCCCCGGTGGACTTTTCGTGAATGATACGATATTAGATATAACGTACTGTACATCCATAAATACCTAAATGAGCCTACGAAAGCAAATATTAATCAGGATTTGTATACCTATGTTGTATGCTTCGTATATGCCTAGATTATACCTATGTAGGTATATGATAACTATACTAACGGAGTCACACCTAACAATGCGGAAGAAATAGAGTATCGAGTGAGGCGGCAACCTTGGAAGGTCAAAGTGGGGTGCGCTCCACATTTATTCTCCGATCCCCTATCTTCTACCCCATTACAAGATCTTCACCCCTTAGACCCATCATGCCGCCTGTCACCAACGGTCAGTTCTCCTTCAATGTCGACACATTCTATGTCGCCGCGTCCGGAGGACAAATTCACCGCCGTGCAGCGCCAGCTGAGATAAAAGCTCTTTACGATACCTCAATCACAGACAAGAGCACACCCGACCACCCAGGCCATTGGTATGAAGCACAGCTCCTTCACTATGGCCTCCCACCGTCAAAAGTCAAGGCGACTGCTAAGATGAGGCTCCTGAAAGCCGTGCAAGACGGCGGCTTGAGTGTCCCCAAGGAAAGTCTGCAAATTGAAAAGAACCTGAAGAAGGAATGGAAGAAATAGGATTCGGATGAACAAGCGCAGGCTACTACCAAGGTTACAACGACGAAGACTGTTACCACCAAGACAATTACAGTTTCCAAGACTGTTGCGTCCAAATCCACAGAAAGCAAGACTACTGTATCCAAAGCCGCGGCTAAACCCACGGCTGTTAAACCTGCGACTATCAAAGCTGCTACGTCAAAGCCTGCTCTTCCCAAGAAGGAGACCGCGCCCAGGACTGTTGCTCCCAAGACCACTGCCCCAAAGGCCACTGCAGCTAAATCTGCTGCGGTCAAAGCTGCCACAACCAAGGCTACCCCCAAAGCCGCAGCAAAACCTGCTGCGATTAAGGCTGCTGTTAAACCTGCCGATGTTAAAATTGCAGCTGCCAAGTCTGCTACGCCTAAGGCTGCCCCGAAGAAGGCTACAGCTGCCAAAGCTGCTGCCCCCAAAGCCACGACAGCCAAAAGTGCTACACCTCAAACTATTGCAGCTAAGAGGAAGAGGGCGTCGAATGACGACGAGACGCCCAATAAACCACAGGCTGCGAAACGCCGCGTGTATGCCAAAAAGACACAAGACAGCACGAATGTGCCCACGGACAGCCACCCCGAGACCAGCAGATTGTCTGAGCAGCCTGAGTACCAGGATGCACCTCCCTCGTACGAATTCGCCTGCAGGATGGTAAATATCTTCTCCTCTCTCCATAAACCTGTAGGATAGTTATCTAACTTGCTCTACCAGGATGGAGAACATCCTTACAATGCTTTAGGTGACCTGATGGATATTGACGACGTGAGCGAAGATCCTGGCCATTCTAGCGAGTCTGAGGCATACCCTTCATCTCCACCCCGAACTCTGAAAAACCCCCTGGGGCTACTCAACGGGACGTACAAGGTTCGTTCCTGACATTGAAGGCAACTGGCCGAACGCTACGTCTGATGGAATAACCTTGTCCCTCCGCCTTAATGGGAAGCAGATTTGGGGGAAATACGAGTTTGGGGCGTTTAAAGGCGTACTGTGGATGCCAGAACGACCTATGAAGCCCTCCTTTGACAGATTTGTATTCAAGTGGCGTGGACGGGAGACCGGTGAGGGTGAAATGAGCTTCGGAGATGACCAGGAAGGTTGGATTGAGTTTTTGGGTGATGGTGATATTGTTGGGATGATCAACTGCTGTGGAGACCTCCATTTCCGAGGCCAGCGGATCGATGGCTATGTCCAGACTGCTAGTGAGCTGCGTGACGAATGGGATGGCTACAACGAAGAAGAGTATGGACGAGAGAACAGGGCCAGGTGGGGTGGTTGGGGTTGGTAAATGGTGAATGCTAGCTAATGGATATTTCGGTTCAATGATGCCCAGATGGTCTACTTGACCCAAGTTAAATGTAATATGCGCAATCCTCCCTGGGTGGCCGAGTGGGTGAGAGACGCGAGGTCATCTGATTGCTGAGTGAAACAGTGAGCCCGGGTGATAGCGCATTGGGAAGCTCAGCAATGGTGAGACTGGTTAGGATTTCGATCCTCGTCACAAGTAATTGGGGGGATTGACCTTTTCTCTGCTCTTGGTCTATAGCACCCCTTCACTCTTAGAGTCTATTCGGCTTGTCTCAGGTAGCGGTGGAGTAACTTTTCCAACAGGATATTCTCATACTGCACATGTGCATTAGCTTATCTTATATAGAAACCGTCTTGGGGGGATAATATGCACATTCATGGCGTTCTCACGGAACTTGACACTGGAGGTTACAACGGACCCGCTCTGCCGGTCTATATTCTTTTGCTATATATACTGAAAAGCCAATTCTTATGATGCGCCAATCGACCTTCTATATACACGTTTATACTAGACAGTTAGACCAGCTGAGAGTCTACTGACGGAGGAATCTGACTATCCGGCCTGTAACGGACCAAATATATTTCAGAGCATCTAAACCCCAAAGTGTTTAAGCCCAGGCGCCGACGATGCTCATGCAGAAGGCACCCAAAAACACCAGGATACAGGCATAAACCCTTCTCTTTCCACGAAGAATGCGCCAGCTCTCGTCACTAAGAAAGTCTTCGGACATCAATTCCACGAGGGAGGCAAATATCAGAAGTCCAGCTGACATGGCATTCATGACGCCGACGACGAGTAGACCGACCTCAGAGTCGGGGCTATATAGTGTATGAGTTGCGAGGCCAATAGCCTGACCGATTGGCGTTCTAGACCTCTGTCAGTACTGTTGAGTGTGGAGTGAATGGGGAATTAACTTACGTGCATCCATATGCAAGCGACATGATCCAAGGCTGGATTTGCTTTTCTGACCAGGGAAGCGAGGCAATACGAGACCCAAGCGCCAGACCTTCAAATGTTTCTGTAGTTGGGTTAGCCAAATGAACTGCTCCGACCAAGCAGACGTATATGGATAACTCACGATGGAACACAATGGCAATTAGTAGAATCACAAATTCATTCCCAACAGATACACTGAGTGACATGCCAATAAACACACTGTGGAAAAGAATTCCCATCTCAAGAAGATAGACCTGCATAGTCTCTTTCTTCTGCTTCTGCTCAGGGGTCAAGGCGAATGTGTCTTCATGACGCTCCAAGTCTGTCTGTATAGTCCCGTTGTCCTTCTCGTGATGAGTTCTGACATCAGGCGCAGATGCAACACGAAATACATCTTCAGTGCCTTCGCCCATACGATTGATAGCTCGGCTTATACTCGAAGACCTTCCAATTAGCGGACCCATATCTCGCAAATGGGATCGGCCATCATTTCCAACGGACTGCGCGCTCGGCGCTCTAGAGTGTTCAGAATAGTCAGGAACATCAATTGTTGGCGTTGAGGCTACCCTCCCACCCTCAGGGCAGGAAGCTGGCCTTTCGGCTGGGACCCGGGGTCCTCCACGGCAGATTTTCTGGGCTGGACTGAATACCATTTCGATGACTGTAACCAGGAATATACCACCCAAGGCAATGGCGCCCGGCATGGCTGGGTAGTCTTTTGTCCAGAAATTAGATAGACATGGGTCTCCCAGCGAAGTAAAAGCCGTGGGAAGGAGATGCACAAACGCTGTGGCGATGAGGACACCTGTTCCAAAATGGGTGACGAAAAAAAGGAATGCAGGCGGGATATGCATCCGCGGGAATCGAGTTGCAAGAATGGGGAATGCGCACGCAATGCTTGAAGTGGCTAAGATGATGAAGAGGGCTGCAACGTGCAGTGGTAGGTCGTATGCACCGCGAGTACCTCCCTGGGCACAACTTGAGCGTTTGACTGGCTCTGTATACTGCTGCGCGGAAGGTGCTTCCAGTATGAGAGGTTGTTTAGATGTGAAATGCCCCTTCAGACTGTCGAAGGAAATGATTGCTGAGACAAGAACCACGGAGAGGAGCCACAGGGCCCAACTTTTGATACTTTCATATGACGGGAAAACATTGTTATTTTGTTTCAGTCCTTGGTGACCGATTTCGATATTAGTATTTTGGGGAGCGAGGCGTCCTGTTCAGTTGTTAGAAGGTTATTTTAGAATATATCAATGATTGTTGCTGTGTCATACCTGACATTGTCAGGGACGCCTCGCACCCCACGCCAAGGTGATTCCCCGCATCCTTTTCTTGTAGCGGATGGACGCCTCTCCAATTAGAACTCCCCCGCAAAATACCTGGGCCAGACTCATCGTCTTTGTTCTCGCGCGTGTTTGAGATGCCATTAAGATCTTGGCGAGTGGTTAGGTCGGGAGAAAGGAATCGTGGGCTCTGATTCCACCCATCGTGCAACAAGTCGTCTGTCCGAGATGGACAATTCATGATGCTAACAATATGGGACCCTTTTAATCTGACTATCTGGCAGTGTAGGTGAAAATTACAACCAATTCGCCCCAAATGGGCAATAAGGCAGCACCGATCCCGAGGTCTGGGCATTGGGTGGATTCCGGCCCGATTTTCCTTGGCAGTGGACCGGCAATTATCGCCGTGATTCGCCTACACAGCCTATTCGATCCGGTATTGGCCGAGCCACGAATCTTGGGGGGCGATATGCTTACGTTGCAACTGAACTGCTACATGGAAATATACTTCCAACCTTGGGAAGGTTGTAGAAGGGGTATCGTCGGGGTCAGATCCGATGATATGCTACTATGACCAGGATCCTACACGAGCAGTTAGAAGAGCGCAGCAGTGTATATTGGTATTCGTAATATATTTTTTTTTAATAATCATTTTGCCCAGGGAGCCTTGGTATGCACATCGGCATTTCGATCCTGTGAAGGCGAAGGCCGAGGCTGAGCAGACCAAGGTGCTCTGGTGGGCGCCATGGGGCCTGAAGGCATCCCTGAAGTATCTGGAAGAGCAGAGGGAGCTCTGCTTCCACCACTAGGCATCGAGGTTGGGACCCCTTCTCTTCTCACCCCAGCCCATGGGGCCGCTGTCGACGCCGTGGGGGGAACTGCCTGGGTGCCTGGTCCAGGCTTAGCCCAGGGAGCCTGCGTGCCAACCCCAGGCATAGGACGGGCACCGGCAACAGAAGGGGGTCCAGAATCTGGCGCAACAGGGCGTGCCTGAGGACCAGACGTGGCATGAACTGTGGAAGGGGGCAGAGGGGCATTTGGATCACGGTCCCAGCTGAACAAGGACCCGAAAGGGAAGTGCTGTACCACGGGGAATTTCGAGAGAACTTCCGCGTTGTACATCTTGATCATTCCCTGGTGTGACCCGTCAGCGCGAACAATTTGACCGATTATCAAGATTGCGAACCTTATTGATTTTGCCCCAGCCAGCTGGAATACCAGAAATATCAAACAACATGCGACTGTGCTCCCAGAATGGGCCTCTCTTCACGTCATAAATGAACCCGATAGCAGAGAAATACAGATTAGTTTGTCGTTCCCTTGCAACGACATTTGCATTAGCGACTCCGCCTGGGTCAGGTGCATTATCCAGTGAGCCTTCTTCGGGAGTTAGGTCATCATCTTTGATTGCAGGCGAGAGTTGTGCAGATCCAAAGATATAAGGGGCGAAGGAATGATCATCAAGACCCCAGACGCCATGAGAGCCAGCAGGCTCAAGGTTGTATGTTTTAATAAGCAATCTGATAAGTTCCAGATATCTAAGTGACGATAGTCAGTAAAAGACGAAGCATATCCGGCGTAGTAGATTCTTAGTGGACGCACGGATGGACCACCCCGACAACGATAGCTCGCTCTTCCACGCCTGGATCGGCCTCGGGAAATCCATTCAGCCTCCATATTCCACCTAGGAAAGCCAGGAAGCTCAGTTCATGACCAGTACCATAGTCCAGTCGTTGGCCACTTCCCCAACTGCCCAAGAAATATGACTTCAACTCCGTCTCCGCCGTTGGGCCCCCATTCGATGATCGCATATCCAAGAGGTCGGCCGGTAGGCATTCCCTCAGCAGGCTGGACGCACGACTCTCGACCACCTCGCACCATCTTCGAAAGCTGATATTTCCAAACCTCCGCGGGCCGGTATCTGGTGGCACCTCCTGTATGATATCTTCGAGTTTCGAGAGAAGTCGCTGCAATTGTCGGACCGGAGCGGAATATTGTATCGCATCGCTGTTAAGAGGCCAAGTTTGTATAGTGTCATCGGCCAGCTTCACTGGGAACATAGATCGGTTGAGTTGTAGTATCCACGTCATGATATTAGTATAGGCTTTGGAGGTCAGGAAAGTCGATACATCTTGCGATTCGTGGATCTTCTTGCTCGGTTCGATAAAGGTATGCGGTGCAGAAGGTTCCAATGTTGGCAACACACGAATAACTAAGCCACTAGCCATGTTTGCTGAATTGAAAAAAATTAGAATAAAAACTAAGGTTGAAGTGGGAGGAGGGAGAGAAGAAGGTCGAACGGGAAGCGGGATGTGATTTGCGGCTCCACTAGAGCTCCTTACCGCGTCTTGCCCTTATAACTTCCCCACGCGTTTTCGAACATGGCGCCAAAAAGATCCAACAATCGATCTACGGACTATAGTCTGGGACTTTTGAATAATATAAATGCGCCCGGGCGCGACGCCCAGAATACACAGGACCCCAAAAGGCGCCGTACCCATGCCGATGTTTTTGATATTCCCATCTCTCCCTCCCCGACCAAATCCCGAAAGACTCCTCAAACCGAACCAAAATATACAAGGGGCCTGAATTTGAGAAACCGTACAGTGCGTAGACTCGCGCGATTGGATTCATCCCCAAGCATTTCCGACAACAAAGAAGACAAGGAGCCTAGCAACGACGGATCTAGGTCAGGCGATGACGAGTCTGAATCAATTCAAGATCGAACTGGTAACAGAAGGGAGGAGGAATTGGCTGATAACCGCGACGAGTTTGAGCCCGAGCCTGAACACGATCCGTTCCCCGAACCAGTCGATCTGTTCCCAGCCGAAGATGAGGATCAAGCTGACCATCAGGCTGTACACGAAAACAGAGATGCACAAGACGACGCACCTGGAGACGTATACAAATACGGCGAACAGAATGAGGCAGATGATCAATTTGGAGAGGAAGCTAGAGAGGAAGCTAGAGATCCGTCTGAACACGAATCCGAATATGAAGACGACGAAGAGGCAGATAACCAAGCCGAGGAGAAAGCTAGAGATGCACAAGACGATGCGTCTGACCATGGGTCCGAATATGAAGCCGAAGAAGAGGCAGATGATCAAGCTGGGAAGAAAGCCAGAGACACACAAGACGATGCTTTTGAGGACGGAACCGAACACGAAGATGAAGAGGTAGATGATCACTCTTCAGCTGATACCCAGAATCATTCAACACCCACCCAGCAGATAGCAAATGCAAACACTTTCGAGGTCCAAATCCTTGAGAGTGCACCAAGAAACAAAAGGGATGGCACACACATAAGTCGCGATGCCCGGGAATCCCAGAATGTCTCATCTCAGCTTCAGGAAGTACCAGAGACTCCCACAATCCAGTCACCTCGCTCAAACCAGGATAATGAAAGCATCCGCCCCACCATCTTCACGTGGCTAACAGAGACCACCAAAGAATCTGTTTTCAAGGATACCTGGGAAGCCATCCGCAAAACGAGAAAATCACTCAAGGCCCACGCCGATCCCTCTACGAAAGAGCATTTCAGGGGGATCATAAAGCTTATTGGGCGGCTACGAGATCTGTTTGAAACAATGACAAACGATCCTGCTTCAGCTTCTTCCTTGAAAACTCAGTGCAGCCTCATCGCCAACAGCGTTTTTAAAGAGACCCAGTGGATCGTTTACACCGAAGCCCCAGAGGATGAAGAGAATGGTGCACACCTGGTAAATCAGCTGGAAGCCCATATTATTCCCCGTCTGATTGACCTGATCATACTTGGATTCAAGACCTACAAGACTATAAATGATCGGGGAGCGCGACATTTCCGCATTATTCTGGATTTGATTTGGGGGTCCTGTGATAGGATATCTTCTCTCGCCCAGATGAATTATGCTATTAGTGTGAGCGTGATGGCTCGCTCTAGAAGAGTGGTGCACCACGTGAAGACTCTCAAGGACGCACTAAAAGACGGCCGGCTACGCGAGACACCTCATTGCATTCCCCCACGCACTCTACCGTACAAGCACTTTGAGTTGGAAGAGGTCCACAGTCATATCTCTTGTGGACGATGGACATATGCAGAGAAGACCGCACTCCGCGAGGGTTTACTACTATATGGGGGTAAGACTTTTCATTCTTCATGCTACATATATGCTATTCTAATAGTATGAATAGGGGAAGATCGATATATTGATATCAAGTGCGACCACACAATCGGTAGTCAACTCTCCGAGCGCATCTTACAAGATATCCAGAGCCAAACCGTTAAACTCGGGTTGCATGATTTATCCAGAAGTTCTTAGAGACTCATGTATTTTATACTTCCATAAATGTACATAGTATGGGAGTATGGGGTCGGTCCGCGAACCACAAATAGCGAACGATAGGCAATTGTTTGGAATATCCATGGATGTCAACCTACGTATGTGGAATCTTGGAGGTATCTATTATTTTGCCTCGGCTGAAGCCTTCTCCTTTCCAAGAAGTAAAGAAGTAGAGCACATTTATTGGAGTCCACTAGGTTATTGGTGAGATAGTCAGACTTGGCTGAGAAACCTCGTCCTTGGGCCCCTGATTCTGTTTCTAAGACATCTTGGGTACCTACCTTGGTACGTACTAGTATTGTGGAACAGAGACCCGTGAATGTGGCTCCGATGGCTGTAGTACACAAAGCTGCAAAGCAAAGAACATGGACTGATCTTGAAGTCAGTCAAAGTCCTATAGAAAACACCTATAGTTAAGTAAAAGAGCTAAGATAATGTAAGGGGATACCCCGGACCCATTTAGGGGTTGCCTACTCCGTACTCCGTATAAAGCAAAAGTATAGAGCAGCGGCGATCCCCCCCCCCTCCTAAATCGACACCGCTTTCTCTTTTTCCCGCTTTCCCCTTTTCTTCCCCAAAGCATCTTGACACCGTTTGCTTTTGTCGGTTAATTTGCTTTTTCTTTTACAATTGTGGTCTCTTGATCTGGAGATCAGTCTCGAGTAATTGTGAAGGAATCTTATTGGAACGGTTGTGCGGCGCGTGAGTACATTCTTCACTTTTCTGCATGTTTGTTTATAGACGGGAGCTTCGGTTGAGCTGGACGCCTGGGCAATGGCGCTCAATTATGTCATGGATAAAATTGGATTATCTTGCTCAATTGGGATAGATTCTGAGCTTGTACTCAGCATGCTCCAAGCTTCTGACGGGGGCCATTGGAGTTGCATGAATTCGAGAGCTCGAAGCTGGGGTTCAGAGCATACCAGCTGGACGATCATGTGTTTAGGAGTTCGAATTTCGCCCAACCAAAGCTGACAATGCTTTTTGCAGACAGTTCACTCGTACACGCCAACTGGACCTTACCACGAAGCTTGCCCTCTTTAATACATTAATCCCGAACAATCTGCCGATATGTCATCGAACGACGAACCGGTTGTCGCCCCTGCTCCTGTGGAGGTAGATGAAAATGAGCCCCCGTCTACCCCGGTAGAGGTGAGTGTCGTCTCCGGTGGTGAAGATTTGGTTAAGCCCAGTCCCGAAGTGTCCAAGGAGAACCCCCCAGCCTCTCTGGGCAAGGCTAGCCCTAGTACACCTGGTACCGCGAAGCGTTCTGCATCTGGAACAGCTACCACTAAACGGCCCACCTCATCCTCTGCATCGAAAACCACGACGGGGACCGCCCGCCCGACCACCACCACCAGCACCCTGAACAAACCTCCCACTCGTCCCACGAACACGACAGCCACCCGTAAGCCACTGAGCACCTCGACAGTCTCATCTCACCGGTCTCGCATGTCAGTCAGCAGCTCCGCAGATGAGAAGCCTCGGTCTGTGGCGAGCTCGGGTGATGAGAGGCGGGGAATCTCTGGCACCGCGAAGCGCATGTCTATGGCCAGTACCACCTCCACCCGCGCTCCTCTCAAACCCACCTCGTCTTCTATCGATCGTAGATCGAGTGTTGCTGGTACCACCGCTGAGAGGAAGCCCACCACTACAACTGCGCGTACGGCAACCTCGACGAGCAAACCCGTGGGGAGGCTGACTTCATCAACGACACCTGCAAGCCGGACAGCCACTTCCACCTCCACCACTAGACCTGCTACTGCTCGGCCAACTTCGACTGCGAGCACCGTAAGATCTGCCACTGCAGCTGACCCCAAGAGGCGATTGAGTACGGTTCCTGGATCAGCTGCCCGAGCTGGTGATTCCGACAAGCTGCACGCCCTGCAGACTAAGCTCACGGAGAGCGAGGAGACCGTGGCTAGCCTGAAGACTGAGTTGGAGAGTGTCAATGAGAAGCTTAGCCAGCTTTCTGTCTCGGCCGAAGAGCCCCTGGGTGATGCTGGTGCCACCGAAGCCATTCGGGCGGAGCACACCGCAGAGATTGAGAAGTTGGCGTCAGCCCATGCAGAGGAGCTCCAGGCCCTGCAAGAGCGACTAATCGAAGCAGAGTCCGAACGGAAAGAGCTCGAGGAGAGCTCGCAAAAGGAACTAGAGGAAGCTAGACAATCCGCTGCCGCGCAAGGGGATGACAAGACAGTTGCCCTTCTTGACGAGCTCAAGTCATCACACCAAACGCAACTTGAGGCCATCCAAAATGAGTTGGCAGAGCACAAGTCTGCAGCCGCTCACTTTGAGGAGCAGATTGGGGCTCTGAAGAAGGAACTTGAGTTCCAGAAGCTTGCCCTGGAAGAAGAGAAAGCCCTGAACCTCGACCATTTCAACAGAGAGCTTAAGGGCCGTGAACAGGTCATGGAGACCCTTAACATGGAGATTGTCAAGCTGAATACACTCAAGGAGCAGGAGGTTCGTGCTGCCGAAGAGTCAGCCCAGGAGAGTGTCTCTAGTCTTCAAGAGCAAGTAACCTCCCTCGAGGCGAAGCTTGCTGCGGCCGAGTCTGCTACCCAGGAAAGCTCCGAGAAGAGCACTTCGATCGCCGAGAAGGATCAAGAAATCACAGAGCTTAAGCAGGCCCTTGAGAAAATTCAAAGCGAACTCCAGGAGGCACGCGATACCGCGGCCACTGAACTTTCATCAAAGGTCGAGGAGCTAGAAACAGCCCATGAGGCTGCTATCGCAAGCCTCAAGGCTGAACACGAAATTGCTATTAGTGATCTTTCGGCTTCCCACGCAGAGAAGCTCACTGTTGCCATGGCGGCGGCGGAATCGAGCGGGACAGAACACACCAGGCAACTCCAGGAACTCCGTGATGCTCTCGAGGCGTCTAAGGCCACTGCCCAGAAGGGACAAGAGGATGCTGTTGCTGAGCTTAAGACCATGCACGAAGCAGAACTCAAGTTGCTGCAAGAAAAGCTGGCGGCTTCTGAGGATGCCCTCGGCGAATCCCGTCGTGCATTGGATGAGGGTAATGCTTCTGCACAAGACCTCGCCATCCAGGAGATTGATGCTCTTCGACACAAGTGTGAGTCTCTGGAATCACAGCTGTCCACTGGCACTGGGAAAATCAACGCACTACTCGAAGAGATGCAGAGCAAGCAAGCCGAAGCCGAAGCTATCTCGCGCACATTACGGGATGTCGAAGATCACTCCAAGCAGGAGAGTGCTCAGAAGGACAACAAGATGAAGGCACTGGAGCAGAAGGCTGCAGAAGCTGTGTTCCTTCTCGAGAAACACACCATGGAGGCTGCCGGCGTGTCGGAAAAGCACGCACAGGCTCTGGAAGAGTTGAAGGCCGAACATGCTGCTCACCTAGCATCTGAATTGGAACGAGCGAAGGAGGCATCGGGCTCCCATGACAGTGCTCTGAGTGATCTCCAGACGAAGCACGATGAGCTGCTTGCCGCAAACAAGGAATTAGAGTCTATCCACGCCACCCGGGTTCAGTCGCTTGAGGCTGAATTGAAGACGGCACTCGAAAGCCACGCTCGTGAGATTGCTACCCATACTGAGGGTCGCGAAAAGGAGACCGCCGAACTTCAGACTCAATTCGAAGAGACCCAGGCGAAGTTGCGAGCCGAGCTTTCCACTTTGCAGAGTTCTAGCAAAGCTGATGCCCAGCTTCACGAGCAGCATATCGCCGAACTGCAGAAGGGCTTCGAAGAGACCAAAGCCCAGCTCCAGGCTGAGATCGAGGCTGCCCAATCCTCCAGAGCTGCTGAGCTCGATGCTGAGCACAGCAAGGCAATTGCCGAACTGCAGGAGGGATTTGAAGAGACTAAAGTAAAGCTACAGGCCGAGATTGAAGCTATTCAAGCCTCCAAGGCAGCTGAGATCGATGCCGAGCACGGAAAGGCAATCGAGCAGCTCTTAACCATGCATGAGGCCAAGCTGTCCGGCCTTAGAGAAGAGCTCGAAACTTCCAATAAGACCAAGATTGACGATCTCCAGAAGGCCCACGATGCAGCACTGGCCAGTGTTAACGAGCAGCTATCTCAGGCCAAGGCCGCTGCCCAAGACACCTCCGCTTCGGATGACTTGAAGGCCACCGTCGCTGATCTGCAGGCCAAGCTTGCTGACTCTGAAAAGGCCCACCTTGCGGTCCAGGAATCTGCCACCACTGCTTCCAGGGAAATCGAGGATCGTTACTCCGCCGAGCTCGCCAAGATCCAGGCTGAACATGCTGCACTTGGAAAGAAGTACGAAGCCGCCGTCGCCCAGGTGAGTGAACTCGAGAAGCTTGCCAAGGACTCGGACAGCCATAAGTCGCACCTCGAGTCGATCATGAAGCAGCTCTCTGAGTCTCGCGATCAGCTCCTCAAGGTCAAGGCCGATAACGCCGCCATCTCCGACTCGCTCGTTGATTGCAAGAACCAAAACAAGACCTTGTCCGAGAAGCTTGAAGCTGGCGAACGTGACCTGAATGACCAGATCGACAAGAACATGGGTCTTCTTAACCAGCTTGGCGATGTTGATTCTGCCATCTCCGCCAGCCGGCGACGGGTTCGCGAACTTGAAACTGAGCTCGCAGTTCTGAAGGCTGACAGTGGCGAGAAGAGCAGCTCTTCGGGCTTAGAGGCTAGCCGGTGGGCAACAGCTGATGAGGGGAGCGAGAATGCTGAAGATGGGGGTCCAGCCACAACGGAAGGTGAGGACCTAGGCCCATCCATTGAGGGAACGGTGGGAGATCCCCGATTGAAGAAGTCTTCCTACTCATCAGATCTTCCCGCATTCCACCCATTCACATGATTATGAAGACTATATTAGCGTATACAGAGACTAATGCATTCCATAGATGGCAAGCATACAGGAACAGCTTAAGCACATTCGAACAGCCAATGATGATTGGTACAGCGAGCACCACAGGTCAGTCAAATATATTGTCTTTTTAGTCGGAAATGATGCTGATCCCCCCAGACTTATTGGCGAACTTGCCAATCTCTCCCGGCAAGCATCCTCAGAGTCTCCCAGTCCCGCGACCACACCCAATTCTGAAGTCCCACCAGCCCCCGAGCCAGAACCTGCTCGCACCCGCGCAGCAACAGTCTCATTTTTCGGTAAACGCCAAATTTCGCGTTGATTTGGCATCTTTCTGAGCTCTAGTCGTGATGCAGCATGACTTTCTTTTGTTGAATCCTGTTTCACTCTGCTCTTGTGATTCTACTGTATGTAATAACTACGCAGGATACCCTGTCTTACTATGTCGGGGTTTCCCACTATTCTTGTTTCAATATCTTTATCTTACATATACAACTTGTCTGAGTTGAACTTCGTACCATTTGTTTCGTATTACAATGGGTAATTGGCTGGTTCTTAAGGGCGGGAGATGCACAGGTGGTTTGATGCTCAATCCATTGAAGCAAACTGGGACGGATAATTCATAATGCTATCATCGAAAGTAGAACAAAGGTGGGTATCTTAACACATAATACAACAAAATTGAAAAAAACGCCTCTCCATATGTCCCCAAATCACCACAGACATGGGTTCGACATCACTCCGAATCGGAAGTGTAGTTGACCAGCGCTGGTTTTGGTGCCACGGCAGAGGATTCAAGTTCTGTGCCACTCGGTTTTTCACGGAGGGATGGAGTCGAAGTGTCGATGGTTTTCCTCTTCTTGGTGGGTTTCCATGCACTCGGATGAAGTGCATCACCAGCCAAGAACGGATCAATAATAGCACGAGTATTCCCAACCAGCTCACGGCGGAGAGAAGCTTTCCGCGTAGCAATCAGATCATCCTTCCTAGTCCGGTACACAGAACGAGCCTTCTTCTCACCCGATCCCGTCTTTAGATTCTCCGCCGGCTGCTCAAACATGGGCCGAACACGAGTCACGCGGGCAGCATGCGCGCCAATATCGACCGGCTTCTCACCGAACTCCACCATACTTGCTTTCTGCCGATCCCCCTCGGTTTCATCCAACAGCTCAATCCCAAGACTCATCTTGTCCTTCAGGGCCTCGCGCTTCGCATCGGCTTTCTCAAGGCCCTTCCTCTCCTGCCGAAATATCTTCCGCAACCGCTTGGACTTCTCATACGGATCCTCCCAATCCCGCTTCTGTCGTTCCTGAATCTCAAGGATGCGAGTCGCCTCCGTATTAGCACGAATCTTATCCTCAATCTTCCCTTCAACTTTTGAAAATGGATCCTTCTCCGCGGGATCTATCTCGCGTGCGTATGGCTTGATTGCAATTTCTCCAGGCTGTAGTTCTTTGTCCTCGCTGGTATCTCTTTTGCGCGCGCCTTCGGTAACAACGTAGGCCGTGTTCCGGGGGTCGGTCTTGATCTCGATGGTACCGCCGCAGACGGTGTGCTTCATGCGGAAACTGTAAATTGGCGTCGAGTAGTAGTTTCCGACCCTTTTCTTCTCCGCGTTGAAGCGTACACCCTGGCCGATAATTGTGGGGTGCGGTTTGCAAGTCTCGCACCAGACTGCGAAGGGCATCTCAAAGCGTACGATCAATGCGCCTGTCGTTTGGAGGTGGCGCGCGCGTGCGCCGAGTGGGTGCTTCCCTGCGAGTTTGTTTCCAGTTGTCAAACCTTCTTGGTCCGGGGGGACATATCTGCTCAAGTTAGTCGGTATTACGTGAGGATTTGATTGCTTTTCTGACCGTCCCATGTCTATTGAAATGCCATGTTAGTGACTATTTCATATGTTTTTCGGGGGTGGGATCGGGACTTACTGAACCCCTGCATCTTGGGCTAGTTAGATGGATGTCTCCGTTTCTGCGTAATTTGTGGTGAGATCTCAGTGAGTATTCCGGAAGTTGGAGGAGCAGAGTCCGAGCTGAAAGGGTCGCAGAAGTTATCGAATAATCGGACATCGGGAACTGACTTTCTCCGGAGATAACGGAATTAAGATAGATGACTAATCATTTCCTTTTTTACCTAGGCAGGTAGCTCTGCAGGTCCTACGTCTACCTATACTTGAAGGGGGCATTCATTACTAAGTAAAATCAATCAATGGACTACTTAAAAGAGTATACCAGATGTACTTTGAGGGACAGCGATAGTATTTGACAGAATGACTACATCGATATATATCGACTTCATCCTTACAGCACGAAGTACCATACTTCGTCATACACTCACTAAAGACATGGTCTTTTCGAATAACTTTTTCGTTGACCAAATTTAAAGAGCCGGGGGCTTACTATGTGGAATTTTTGGTCTTCAGAAGTCCATCGACTGAGCACTGCGAGTGTCAACTTCCCATCTGATTTTCTACTTCCCCGCGTTTCGATTGTTCCAGAGCTCTCTTGATAAGATGGACCATGATACACACCAAGCTACAAAGTCCCTACTATTGGAGCTGCTTCTTGAAGATGTGAATGACGAAATCGACGGGTTCGAAGCACAGCTGCTGGCGAAGGATACGAACCAACCAGCCAGCAGGCTAGAAGAGCATGACAGGGGGGTGGCACTTCATATATGGGAATCCGAAATTGAAAGACAAAGAGTCATATTGAGTGACTTTCAGATTGCTACAGCTTTGTCGTTAGGGGATAAGGCAGAAGAGACATTGTTGCCCAAAAAAAGAACATTTATCTCTACCTTTATTCAGAAGATAGTGCACTCTCTCAAGAGCATCATGCGTTCAATAAAATTTCGAACTGCAGATGACTCCTCCAAGCCTGATACCTGCACTTCCTGTAGAGAAATCTACAGCGAAGTAGTCAAAACACAGTGTTCTCACTACTATTGCAAGAATTGCCTAATCCGCATGGTCACGAAATATTTGCGTGATGAATCCTTATTCCCCCTTCAATACTGCAACAAGCCGATTGAAGGGTCATGTACAAAGAAGATGATAGGATATGCATTGGCCGAAGAGAAAAAGAAGAGAGAAACCGAGCTCGGCGATCCAGATGGAACCTACTGCTCAGATTCGGCATGCTCTCGATATATACGGCCAGCAACAAGATTTTGGCCTTCTACTTTTAATAGGGCTTACACCTGCCAGTGTGGCGTACGCACTTGCAGGAAGTGCAAGAAGAGTGCCCATAGGGGCAGATGTCTATATCAGCTAGACCGGTCATTGGAGAACTTGATGGTGCAGAATAAATGGCAACGGTGCACTAAATGTGGCCGTATGATTGAGCTGAACGGGGGCTGTCCTCATATCACGTAAGTGATTTTGTTGGCCCTCAACCCCCCCAAGCTACCCATGAAGCTCTCTACTGACACTTGATAGTTGTCTTTGCAGAGCCGAGTGGTGCTACCACTGCGGAAAGAAGTGGAGAACTTGCGACTGTGATTCGAATCGTATTCCATGAATCGAAGCAATAACCCGGGGTTATTCTGACAGAACTTGGTCTGGAGAATAAAATATGTGACTTCAGTACACTTGGCTTGGAGGACTATGGGGTATTATATCTGTGAGATATCTGAATTTGCTCAAGGCAGCCAATTGATCCTTTTATATTGCTATACAGGGGAAATATGATATACATGGCAATATAATGTACGATAAAACAGTAGTAGAGACGATCATCTCTGAGGCACGATAGTGCCAAAACCAAAGCCTCTGAAATATCGCTAGTCGTTGTTATTTGTGCTGCTTGAGCCATGTTTTCCAGGCATTCAACTAGTTAACTATAACTAGTTACGTAGCATCAACCTCACCACCAACCTATTTTCTCCCTCTGTTGTAAAACACCCCAACATATTCCAGGGAGTTTCTATATCTCTCTAACACGTCTATCATAACTTCAAGGACTTATTCTTATCACATGGTCTACGGTACTAATCTAGATACGAAGTCTCTAGTTTTAGAGCTATTTCTAGTGGAAACAAAGGAGGAGACAAGGACTCAGGGTTTATGAGATACAGGAGGAAGGGTCAGCATGAGCGATTTAAACATGGGCACTGCTATGTCAATGGGATTAGAGACAGAAGATGACCTGTCCAAGTACCAGACAAAAGGACCTTCTTACAAATCCCTCCCTATCGCCATTCAAACACTTGGTAACTCTCTCGAGAATGCCATCAATTTGGACGACTCCCCCGAATCCGCATTATGGCATGAGTGTGTCTCCTGCCGTGACGATCAACTCCAAGATGACATGATCAAAACGAAGTGCTCGCACTTCTATTGCAAGGCTTGCTTGATCCGCCTGTTCACGGATTCTTTGCGTGATGAATCCTTGTTTCCTCCCCAATGCTGCCAAAAATCAATTACAGTCTCTAAGAAGATTATCGGACCCGAATTGGTTCAAAAGCACAAGGAGAAGTCGATTGAGCTTAGCGATCCCGACAAGACATATTGCTGCAATGTGAAGTGCGCTCAATACCTCCCACGAAATTCCACACGGAACGGGGTTTGCAAGTGCGCGAACTGTGGAGTACGCACATGCAGAAAGTGTAAGAAACACGCCCATGTGGGAAAATGTGTATATAAGCTTGATGCGCTTCTGGAGGAATTGGCGGAGTGCAAGAAATGGCAACGATGCTCTAATTGCAGTCGTCTGATTGAGCTCAGTACAGGCTGTAACCACATCACGTAAGGGCAATTTCATTTTACATTTAGTTATTCTCTTTACCTTTGACAGTGCAAGTCTCTGGGCTCACATCTTCTAGGTGCTTTTGCAAGTTCGAGTTTTGTTATTTTTGCGGAGAAAAGTGGAAAACGTGCGAGTGTAGTTATGCAGACGAAGAGAATCTTTACGAGCGACCCTGAACGAATGCTCCAGGTTCTCGCAGCCGATAGGATAACCTACTGGTCACCTAGAAGATGGGGATACAATTGAAGTGCAGTTGAAAAGGAAAGGGTAAAGTATGTGCCTGGCACAGATGCCCTTGGATATCATTTATTTCTCAATTGAAAGCCTAAATTGCTCAATATATCACTTTTGTCTTCAAGAATTGGACAATTTCTGATCTATAGGAATTCACCAGTTTGACAGTTTTGGTATAAAACACTCGAGTAATAGCTGTACAAAGTTGGACACAGAAGCTACCATTACTTTTTTTTCTCAATTTTATATTAGAGACCAGTATGTATACTTGCAAACAAGATACAAACTCCTATTTTGCAGAATCTAGCGCTATATATGAAGTCATTTAAAGCTTAAAAAGGACAAACATGGCCAACATTTTTGATCTTCCACACTATTCTACTTCGCTCTGTAGGAGCAGCCAGAATTCTTTTCCTAAATACCAAGTCAAATGGACTATGATATGGACTCAGGTCGGAATAAAAATACCAACCGAGCATTATTACAGCTGGGAAATCTCAAGATTGAGACTGGGGGAGGCAGAGCAACCCTGAGGAATTCGAGAGGTGCACCCATGTCAATGGTTAAGCATATGGCCTTCGATAATAGCGATGAGAACTCACCTGAAAGCTCGAATGATGTCGCAGAGAGCGAAGAAAAGGCCAGCAATTCGTACCAGTGTGTATCTTGTATGGAAGAGTATCCAGTGTCGGATATTGTTCAAACAGAATGTGTTCACAATTACTGCCGCGAATGCATTGTACGCCTTTTTGAAAATTCCCTTGCGAACGAATCCTTGTTTCCTCCTCGATGTTGCCAGCTGCCGATTCATGTCTCTATCGCCGTCGAGGATATAATAGGCATCGAGATGACGAAGAGATACAAGGAAAGAAAGACCGAAGTCAGCGACCCCGATAAAACTTATTGCTCTAGCTCAACTTGTGCTCGCTATATCCTGCCGCAGAATATTCGTCGCGGGGTGGGAATCTGCGAGTTCTGTACCGTTCGAACTTGCACCGACTGCAAAAAGGAGGCACACAGAGGTGATTGCATCTACGCAAATTACATCAATTCTCATGATGAGAAAATCAATGATGATCTGCTGGAAGAATTAGCTAAGGAGAACAAGTGGCAACGATGTCCACAGTGCTTCAGAATCATACAGCTGAGCACTGGCTGCTGGCACATACGGTAGGCAGGATATTGTCCCCAACCTCACCACTAAAGGCTGACCACATCATTTAGGTGTCGGTGTGGAATGCACTTTTGTTATGTATGTGCGGCAAAGTGGAAGACTTGTAAATGTTCTTCTCTCGATCAATCAAGACTTCTCCAGAGAGATGAATGAATGTTCGAAGGTTATGCCACGTTCTCACAGCGCCTAGATATGAAGTGAGTCGTTATGAGTATGGGAAATTGAAGAGAGCAGTTTAAGTTTTTGTATGTTGGATTGGGTTTACAGTCCATTAAAAAGAGATCTAGTTAAAATCGAGCTTTCCATAAATCTAATATGACGGAATTCCTAGACATTTACCTTCTCTTGTGAATTCCCCGAACTGTAACATTTCAGGCTAGTTACATATCAAAGAGAACTCACTGGCGGATGAGGCTGCGGAGTTCCTCCTTGGATAGAGTCTTCAAGCCGAACAAATCGTTAGAAAGCTTCTCAGAATCGAAAAGAGAGCCATGTCCTTCGCCAAAGATACCCCGCACAATAAATTTCATAACAAAGACTGCCGGGTTAGGGTTCGGCTTAGCCAATTCTGCATAAGCCTCCTGTTCCAGGTCTGTGGTATGAACGACCTTCGTCTCAAGGTTCTTGCCGGACAATTCCAATAGCTCATTCTGTGTGACTCTAGCCTCATTGATATAAATTGGGGAGTTCTTAGTGGCTTCGAGGTTGTTGATGATCCCAACGACGCCTTTGCCGATACCACTGAGAGTGGTTGTACTAAAACGACGATCACCGCCATCATATAGTATAGACGGACCAGAAAGATTGAGCAAGAAGCCATGCTCAATACCCCAGTCGAGGAAGGGGCCAGTCATGAGCACCGAGTAGCTGAGGCCGGATTTCTGAGCGACGTTCTTGAGATATTCCTGAACGCTGACTTTGTCGCCAAAGGCAGGCAATTTGGCAATGAGGGGATGCGTGGTGTCGCAGCCAAATTCAGAAGGGATGAACCGCTTCACACCAGTTGCCACTGCCGCATCGATCAAGCGCAGATGGGTGGACTCAGGAACTCCTCCGACATTCAAAGTGTTGACTACAACATCCTGGCCGGACAGAGCGGCCTTGAGCGAGTCGAGGGACTCATAGTCCACTTCTGCGACATGCGCACGGGAATCAAAGGTTTTGTTATTGCCTTGTCTGGTGAGGACAGTCACGTCAAATCCTGCGGCAAGCAGCTCCTTTAGCACAGCAGGACCGAGATTTCCGCTAGCCTAGGGATAATGTTAGCAAACGGAAACGTATAGACATTAGACTAACATACTCCGACAAGGGCAACCTTGATGCTCGTCATGTTGAAATAAAGATGTAAGTTGAAGTGAATCGCGGATTGGTTAAAGAGATAATCAGGCTGGACGAAGCAATGACCAGGGTATGTGTCTCGTTTGAAGCCGGGGAGAGTGGTCCTTCATATAGCCATGCCATGGCATACTTCGTAATACTGGTACATGGTTAGGTGATCTGCCATCACAACACTTGATTGCAAAGGTATCCATCTATGGATGCTATTCGGAGTAATATGAGCGGAATTAAAGCCGAGCTTACCTATGTGAAACCTTGCTTATGTGAAAAGCTTATGAATCATCGGATATTTCCTAGTTTGGAATATCCCGACTACGCAGCCCGACACTTCTGGCTTATTGTAGCCCTAAGTCAATTATGAATATAGGTTGGAAGCTTTTGGTTCTGCATTGTTTATTTAAAAAATATCTCAAATGTTTTGATACTTGGTCTCAATCTTCAACCCCTAGTTGTACGCCTGGAAGAGGTAATCTCCTTTAATTCAACCCTTTCACAATTGCACAATTAAATCCTATGCCATCGACAACTGTTGCAGACTTGAAGTCCACAGTCCCCGCATTCGAGAATATAATCAGGCATCCAGTCACCACATTCCTCACATTCAGCGGCGATATTCAGCTTTTTCCACACTGCGTCATGATCGCAATCATGCTGCGCGACTAGGAATTGAGCTGCTTGCTCAACTGCCTGCGGTGCAGGACGGACTAACTGATTTCGACCCGCAATCAGCTGCGCTCGCTCTTGGAGTCTGTCCTCATCCCATTGAGCACATTCGCATCGCTTCCAGGGTATAGCACACACATAACAGAATTCATACCGGCAACGGCATCTATATAGATAATTGTATATTAGCAGAAGAGCCTGTAAGGTCAAGGAGATTTCACGTTAACGGGAGCAAAGTCTTACGTTATGTGATTGCAGCCGCTACGAAGCTCAATAATATGACTGCAATTTGGGCATCTTTGCCAACCTTCCGCTCTTGCGAGTTCCAATACCTCTGCAAGATCATCAACACATTCTCCCTGATGTATGATCTTCTTGCAGAGCGTACACGTTTTTCGGTTGCACGACCTGCAGGTGCCAATTGTACCACGGACATGGGCCGGTAGAATATATCGGGAGCAAGCTGGATCCGAGCAATAAGTACGAGATTGATCTCCATGTTCAATTCTTTTTTCCTCGAATCTCGCCCACAGCCCATCGTCAATCAAACCACGCGTAGCTTCCAATGGCAAAGGCAAGCGACAACACCGAGGAGGAAACAAGCTTTCATCCACCAGGGAGGTCTGAAGAAGGTGTATGACACATCCTCGGCAGTAGAAATGTGAGCAGCCATTCTGAATCATATCGCGCTCGGAATGTCTTTCCAAGCAAGCGATGCACTCCTGCAAGATGCCAGAAGTAGGCACCGTCGAAGTACTCGTGGAATCCACTCTCTGGTAGGCCTGAGGCTGAGCGCCTGGGGCAGGAATCAAGCCCGATGCACAACGAGGTCTTTTCTTGGGACGTTCTCGTGTTGGAGAACACGCTTGTCTTGAAGGTCCGCGAGCTGCCGGAGCTTCATTCATCTCGCGAGTATGAATATCGCGAAGAATGGCAGCCTGATCGGAACGTGATTGTCTCGATATTTGTATGGCAGTTCGACGATCCTGTTGGGTTCTAATTCGCGCTTGAAGCTCAGTTCGCCATTGCAAAAGAGCAAAATTCGGATCATCAATTCGCCCATTTCCGTCGATTTGATCACAAGCCAGTGGCCCCAAAAGCTCTTCAACATCTTGCAGTGCAGTTTGTAAAACAAGATCGGCTGTGTCAAGGTCCGTTGTGTCGAGATCCATGGTGAAGTTATTTCATCACAGAAATATAGTCCGGAGGCCGCGTTATTTTCTTTGTAGGTCAAGGAGAGTGTTCAGTGAGTTGTAATGGGATACTTTAAGCCTGCATTCCACCGCTCGATGACCAAGGGAAATGGTATATAATTTGAAACAGACGTCAAATAGGTAGTCGCACAGGTACACAAAAGAGATTCTGAACGCAGACACAAGTCAAAGGTAGAGATGATTGCGACATGAGACGCATATAAAACAAGGTAGAGACCTTGGGAAGAGTGAAGACGAAGAGACAGATGCCGGAGGAGTAACGTATAGTAAACAACGGGATACGAATTTTGGGAAAGAACAGTCAGGAAAGGAAGGCACCTCCAGGGCAACTTGAACACTTGTAAAAAAGACTACTTTAACTCAACATCCATATTGGTATTCTTCTTTTATTTGCAATTCCTTGCACTTGGTCACAATCACTAAACTTCGAGTGGATCTTGTACTTATAAATGACTTGTGCATTATTATAACCTCCTAGGAGATATTCCAAGTTCAATATTCAAGTGTTTGTTTAATTGCATCGTAAATTCCTAGATAATACCATCGGTTAGTGATAATGGGAAAATACAGGGCATTAGGTACTCACTTGCGACATCGGGCAGAATGAATTGCTCGTAGCTCAGCCCAGTATGTGTGCTCCATCCAGCAACTCGTTTGACTGGGGCTTCAAGGCGCAAGAATGCATTCTCCTGTATCGTGGATGCAACCTCTGCGCCGACACCGTAGTTGACCATACTCTCATGTACGACAATGGCTCGACCAGTCTTCTTGACACTGTTGATGACCGTTTGCCTATCCCAGGGATATATGGTACGCAGATCAATAAGTTCCACATTGACACCCGGCATGGTCTTCTCAATGGCGGAGATAGCAGAAGAGCACAAGTAAAGAGGTTGTCCATATGAAATGATGGTCAAGTCCTTGCCAGGTTTGATGATTTCCGCCTTACTGAGCGGAATGGTGTAATATTCATTCGGAACATATTCCACGGCTGCACGGTAGAGAATTTTCGGCTCCATAAAAAGCACTGGATCATTGTGCTCAAAGATAGAAGACAGAAGAAGTCCTTTTGCTTGGGCCGGAGATCGTGGCATGACTACTCGCAAACCCGGAATATGTCCGAAGAGCGACTCTGGAGACTGAGAGTGGTACCTATTTGATAGTCAATTAACATACCAATTTGCTTGGCACTTGGATACAACATAACATACAGAGCACCGTGTCCAACTGCACCGCACGGCATGCGGATGACGAGACCCCCAACATTAATGCCTGTTCCACCCTCTCGATACCGAAACTTGGCCGCCTCATTCACAATCTGATCGAACGCTGGAAATACGTAGTCGGCGAATTGGATCTCGGCTATAGGCTTCATCCCTTCCGCTGCCGCCCCAATTGCAAAACCCGCAATGCCTTGTTCTGTCAAGGGGGTGTTGAACACTCGATCTGACCCAAATTCTGTTTGGAGATCCATCGAGCATCGGAAAACACCTCCAAATCCAACATCCTCGCCAAACACGATAGTTCGATCAGACTTGGATAGTGCTGTCCGCATTGCTGAATTGATTGCTTGGTAAAGATTGAGCCGTTTACTCGTGGCACCTGCCGGATACTCTGATGTATTTGACAAGGAGGCTGCAGTGTGGTGTAAGATTGGAGTGGTTTTGTAGTCAATAGGTAGGTTCAGCTTTGCTGCCGGAGTGGGAGCTCCAGAGTAGAACCGCCGAGGAGCTTGGAGAAGAGACCGCAAAGCATTTCGTGAGGAAGCCATATTTGGCTAAAATTGTGAATATGAACAAAATGTAAATACATAGATTTTCTTCTCCGTAGGGATGCCTTTAAACTCCTTGTTCATTGTCCGGGGCATTGCGCGGGGAAACCGCCGCGGATAGCCGAGATAAGCAAATTGTGCAAACAAGTCAAACAAGTCAAACAGGAGCTATGACGAAGTGTGGACATGGGCACAGTAAGTAAATAATGGATTTGAGTGTATAACTATGCCCTACTACTTCGTATAAGTAACTAGATCATATATAGATGTATGGAATTATGGAGTTAACTGTGCCAAGCCCCCCACACATATTACCTGATGTTGGTGCTGTAGATCGAACAAAAGATGCTCGATTACTAGATTTGGAATCTAGTGAAAGATGTCTAGAGAGTATCAACAACCAACCTGTACAGCATACATATGTTTCTGCGCGGTTGGCACGGTTATGCTGAATATGCACTCTTGCCAAACGGGGTCTCTACATATGTGATAGACCCGACTTGGATCTTGATATGGTCTCGTATGTAACTAGGTGAAAAATACACACTTCCTGTCCATCGGACGCACTATAAGCCCTGAAATTGACCCATATATGATGAATCACACCAGTTTTATATACCTGAAATCTATTGAAGTTAGTCTGTACGACTTCGGAAATGATTCGGACTTGGAGGGGCAATCGATCTTATCAGGGCTCTATCATTTCCGGACCCGTGACTTGTTCCCCGGCCCGCACCAAAATTGCCTTTTTTCCCTCAATGACTCAATCTTCCCTTCTCTTTTATACTCCACGTTTATAAATCTTTTTGAGCTTTATTAAATACCCTCACAATGGCACAAGGAAAGGTATGAACTATTGCTTCTCCCTTATTCCCAACCTCAATTCTCCCAATTCCTATCCCACACCGCCACCTCCACACTTTCTCTGACAGTTCTATCGCACAGGTTTGCCTCGCCTACTCTGGCGGTCTCGACACCAGCTGTATCTGTATGGACATCGATCAATTGATTCATCGCCGATACTAATAAGCTCCAGTGAAGTACCTTATCGAAGAGGGCTATGAGGTTGTCTGTTTCAGTAAGTCGCGACAAGGTTATGTCAATTGAGATTAAGTACTAATATGAGTATAGTGGCCGATGTTGGCCAGGAAGGTAATTTAGTTCCGTCGACATATCATCCAGCACCGGTCTAATAACAATTCGCAGAGGACTTCGAGGCTGCCCGCGAGAAGGCCTTGAAGATCGGTGCCCTCAAGTGCGAGATTATTGACATCCGCCGCGAGTTCATCGAGGAGCTTTGCTTCCCCGCCATTGCTTGCAACGCCGTCTACGAGAACGTCTACCTGCTCGGTACTTCCCTGGCTCGTCCCGTTATTGCCCGTGCCCAGATCGAGGTCGCCCAGGTACGCTTTACTTCGCCGCCAGCAGAAGGAATGTCATACTGACCCAAACATAGCGCGAGGGCTGCTTCGCTGTCTCCCACGGCTGCACTGGTAAGGGTAACGACCAGGTCCGCTTCGAGCTTGCCTTCTACGCCCTCCAGCCTGACATCAAGGTCATTGCCCCGTGGCGCGAACCCGTCTTCTACGAGCGCTTCAAGGGCCGTCAGGACCTGCTCGACTACGCCGAGGAGAAGGGTATTCCCGTCACCTCCACTAAGTCTAAGCCCTGGTCTATGGATGAGAACCTTGCCCACTGCTCTTACGAGGCCGGTATCCTGGAGGACCCCGATACCACTCCTCCCACCGACATGTGGAAGCTTACCCAGGACCCCCTGACCGCCCCCGATCAGCCCGAGGACTTCACTCTTTACTTCGAGAAGGGTGTTCCCGTCAAGCTCGAGTACACTGAGGGTGGCAAGCAGAAGGTTGCTACCGACTCTGTCGAGCTCTTCCTCACCGCTAACGCCATTGCCCGCCGTAACGGTGTTGGTCGTATCGATATCGTCGAGAACCGTTTCATCGGTATCAAGTCCCGCGGTTGCTACGAGACCCCCGGTCTCACCTGCTTGCGCTCTGCCCACCTGTGAGTATTCTATTACAGAATTTTTTGACCACATAACTAATTCATGTCCAGTGATCTTGAGGGTCTTGTCATGGACCGTGAGGTCCGTGCTCTGCGTGATTCTTTCGTCACCTACAACTACTCCAAGGTAAGCACGATATCTCCGGTATTCGATTGTCTGATCTAATATCTCCAGCTCCTGTACAACGGCATGTACTTCTCCCCCGAGCGTGAGTTCCTCGAGGCCTCCATCACCGCTTCCCAGAAGTGCGTCAATGGCCAGGTCCGCTGCCGCGCCTACAAGGGCACCGTTTCCATCCTCGGCCGCTCCTCCGAGACTGAGAAGCTCTACGACATGAGCGAGTCCTCCATGGATGAGATTGGTGACTTCTCCCCCGCCGAGACCACTGGCTTCATCAACGTGTCCGCCATCCGTCTCAAGAAGTACGGTCAGATGAAGGCCGCCGCTGGCGAGAGATTGTAAATTATGTGTCCAAACATGACACGTATCTTCAATTTTGAATCGGAATGCCAAATGTTGACCATCCCTGGCTTTTTCGGGCCAACCTGTCAAGTCTCCTTGTCCGATGTTCCACCGGTTTATGATGGATGGTCTTGGGCTTGAATGACTGTATAATGAACTAGAAAAAAAATATTAGCACTGCGGGAATTTGTATTAAAAATGCAATGTCTTGGATGAATTGAACGATCGCCATCTTCATTATGTCCTCGTACCTTTTATGAAATGATATAGATTTTTAAAAATATGTACTCTAATTCTAGTCGTTTCTATATAGACGCTAGATGGGTAACGGAGATACACGTGATCGTACACTATAGATTGGCATTGGCCTTGAATTGTCCTTGATCTTCTGCCGACAAGTTAGCGCATGACACCCAGAGATAAAAAGGGAACATACCATTCCAAGTATCCAATGCCGCCTTCTCTGCGTCCCAACCCCAAAGGAACTCTTGTGTCCTACGGTCCGACCATTTATCGGGATTATTTCCGCTGACGGAAGCCTTGAACTGCGCATCTCGGGCAATTTGTTCAGGTCCATCTGGCAAATGTAACGTAATACGATTCTCGGATCCAGACTGCTGCACCGTCTCAGCACGGTTTTTTCGGGACTTTTCATAAGCACTCAATGCATTCGGGATCTCCTCGCGTGATGAAATAGCCGACAACACGACCCCGAGCGCGGCCGCATCCTCAACAGCCTGAGCAGCACCTTGGGCAAGATATGGACTAGACCAGCGAGATTAGTTTTCGAACCCAAATCAGCCGAAATTCATGAGCACATACAGCATGGGATGACACGCATCACCGATCAGAGCGACAGATCCCCGGACCCATGTCTTCAGCGGACGATGCAGACACAACTTCCACTCCAAAACTTCATTATCATCGACCAGGTCAATAAGTTTCTGCACCCTACTATCCCACCCCTCATAATTGTCAGCCATAGCCTGCTTGGATCCCTGCGTCGTCCAAGACTCATCAACACCGTGGCTATCGGGATGAAGCAGGACAACATTGTACAGCTCATGCTTGCGCACAGGGTAGGCGATGATATGGCGCGAAGGACCTAGCCAACGAGTCGCCAGCGGCTCGTTAATGAGCTTCTTCAATTCAGGATCCTTCTCCATAATGTGTCGAGGTAGCATGATGCGGTATGCCGCGTCGCCAGTGGCGACTGCTTTAATAGTCGAGTCTTCAAGCAGGTGGCTACGGATGGTGGACTTGATGCCGTCTGCACCGATTACCACGTCACCACGTACAACTTCGCCGTTCGCTAGAGTAACGCTGGCTGGACTGAACTGCACGCCTGTGACAAATGAGTTCTCACGAAGCTCAACATTGGGAAGAGCTACGGCCCTGTTGATGATAGCATTGTGGAGGTCTGCGCGGTGAATAACAACTTGTTGGCCGAATGTCTTATTCACTGGCATTGTGGCGAGGAGGTTGCCATTATCCCATCTTCGGACTTGGATGTGCTCGAGAGCTACGTCTTGGGCGTGAATTAGGTCCGAGACGCCCCATCCTGATGCCGATTAGCGTGGTTGTGTTATTCGCAAAAGGCAGCAGACTCACGCTCGAATAGACGCATCATGTTTGGAGACACTTGGATACCAGCTCCCACTTCCATGATCTATCACGAGTGGTTAGCCTTTCTTGAGATATTATCACATTCGGTTTTCGACCGTACATACTTTTGGTGCAGCTTCAAGGACAATGACACGGTGCCCTCGCAGACCTAATGTAAGAGCTGCCGCCATACCGCCGATGCCTGGTCCAACTATGTCAATACTTCATTTTCTCAAGCTATTGCAGCCTTTTCGTTCAGAAACACCATACCAGCACTACAACATATCAGTATAACAATCTCGCATAGACCATGCACAACGGAACACATACCCGACAACTATCACCTCTAAAGGCACATTTGCCATTGGGACCTTCATTTGGGAACTTCACGCTTTTATTGAGGGATGTAAGTGATATGTGATAGAAAAAAAAAGACGAAATAAATGATAAATCCAGGCCCTCAAGTACTTAATAAACTACTACCTTTAGTCTAACTATTTAAGGGCCCGGATAGGCGGGTACTTCGGGAAGGAGAAAGAAGAAATTGCCTAAAAGCCGAAGGGAATGTAAATTTCAGATTATCCCTTTAGCGCCTCCACAGCTTACTCCGTATCTATAGACCGGGGGAATTGGTATGGAGAACCCCGTGGATATTTCTTATACGTGGAGTCTTGATTCTTGCGGGGCCGGGGGTTCCCCTATCCCAGCATTGAATACTCCGTACATTGCATGTTGAAAGTACAACATAGAGTCTCTATTGCATATATATTTGGTATGCAACCCCAGTAGGAAACAAGGCCATACTAATAACATGTTAATATGAAGTCTTCTTTTTTTTGGGGCGGTTCGGGAATGGGGCAGAAGCCAATGGGGGGAAATTGGCCACGTTAAATCGGCTGTTTAACGTCCCTCCATCTGCCGACAACGTCAGGTCACTCTGCCCCCATCAAAACTGTGGGTTTCATGACTCTTCGATTCTTGCCAGTGCTGTTTTCATCTATTCATGTTGCATCTTGTCTTCACGGCAAATATACAAATTAGGTATTGCCGATCAGCTGACCGGATCAGCATCTTGCTGGTTTATTTAAGTAGACTATTGTTATGTACTCCGAAAAGCACAAGCCGAACTAGCTGTGGTCCGGTCAACTGTTGTTTCAGGAGAATGCTCATTCCATGCTTTGGGATCAAATCACAAATGTTGTCTATATACTCGGGTGCATCCTTCAGTACTGATTTTGTCAGAAAAATTGCTAGGGGCCAGACAGCTATATCTCTTCGAATATATCCTACAGGGTTTCTCCGTATCAATATATACTCTAGGATTCTACGATAGGCGTACAGCATTGAATGTTACGCGCATGCAAGTATCCACCAAGGGGCTTACATTGCGGCTAAGGATCGGTTCTCATTGAACACACTATTTGCCGGGATTATGGGTTGATTCAAATTAGCATGACCTTGAAAAGAACAGCTACCTAGCTTTAGTGCCGCGATAGGTTCGGCACCATTGTCCCATAGGTTGTAGATATCGGGCTAGACCTTGCCAATCGCTAATAAGAGATAGTTATTTTGTTATCCCCGAAGATCTTAGTAGCACAATGCTCGGTACTTTGTTTCCCTATCACAGCTAGATACAAGTATAGCATTTTCTGCCTTAATCATGCGAAATTTGAAGCTGTGAGTGATACTCAAGATAACACTGCATCGGGGTGGGCCCACAGTTCACATTGAGGCTATAGCCCCTAAACCAAGGACCTTTATCCTGAGAAGGTCAGATATATAGGTGCATGGTGGAATATGAGAGTGAGGCTGAAATTTTAAGAAGCAAGAAGCTAAATTGGACCATACTACCCATCTCTCTATATTCCCAACACGTATGTATCGTAGAAGATATTTTAAAACACGCAATTTATACAATTTTTCCCTAGTAGGGTGAGTGTATAATACAGCAAATGAGATGCAGCCAACAAACGCCAAAATATGCTCGCGTGAAGGAATTGCATTGCTGAAAATAGTTGGAAGAGAAGAAGAATAGAAAGGAAGGTGGTAACCATGCCCAAAAGAAAAATAGGTCGTGAAGATGTGACACATAAGTCATGGGTCGTCGTAAGAAGAGTTGGGTGGAGCAAGTAGCTGCATGGTCCGTATGGAGTGCATATCTACCCATTAATGAAATCAGGGGTGAAGATATGTATGTACAAATAAGGATTCTGTCGGGTGGCGAGAGTTCGGGGATCAGGAGGAAGAGGTGAACATAAGTCGTAGCCGGCTGGGACCTTTCTTTTTCTCCTTGGGCCGTTTTTCGGTTTCAGAGACATAGGTTCCATGTTTAGATGGGGTGCGACTGGGGGCATAACTGGGAGCTCGACTAGGAGCTTTGCTTGTTGCTCTGCTAGGTGTTCTGCTGGGGGCCTTGGATGGCGCCTTGGACCGTGAGGAGCTTCGTCCGAAGAATCCACTCGGTGCCTCTGAGGGAGCTTTTGATCTCCGTTCATGCCGCTCCGATGGTGCATGTGTCGAAGCTCGAGTGGTGCGTGACCGGCGGGAGCGTCGGGACGAAGCGACCGAGGCTTCTTCTTCGAATTTGAAACGAGGGTCGCGTCGCGCGCGAGCAGTGGTCACATCGATGCCCGACATAGCCGCTGCGGTTGGTGTGATGAATTCGCCATCAACAGATGTTCCAACGCTGTGGGCTTGCTCATCAGCAACCCCGCGTCTCCACATCTCAACAGAACTAAGATCTTCTGTGTTGAACTCCATCATTTCTTCCATTTCCATTTCCATTTCGGCAGGTTTTCCTTCTTCCCCGACAGCGCCGGCTTTGATTCTTTGGATGATTTTGTATCCTCCAAACATGACCACCGTCACGCCTAAACCGACTCCGGCGGCGATGAGGAATTGAGGACTGGAAAGAAGAGCGAAGACGGCTGGCGAGGCTGACTTGAGCGCGGTTAATGCTGCGGGTGCCATCTTGCTCCCTAGGTTGCTGATCTCCGCTAGAGTCAAGGCGACGGCGGCCATGGCATCTGGGTTCTTCTGGAGATGGGCGATGGTCGCAGTAGCACCATGTTGCACACAGTGCGCTTCTTCGAGAAGCCACTGTGCCCGGGTGACAAGACCATCAAGTTGTTGTTGATCACTCTTGGGCTCGGGGGGGCTATATCGAGATAAGGCTGCATGAGAGGCGTCCCCATATGCAAGATCCATGTCGATATGCGCGTCAGATCTTGATCGAGCGGTTGATGGGCGAGGAGCGTCTCGGACAGCTAAATCGTGATGGGTATGACGGCGGGCGATCGTTTGCCGGGGCTCGTAGTGAGAGTCCCGATGCGATACAACTGTTCGTTCGTCATCGTAGTGGGACGAAGCACGATGACTGCGGCCACTATGATGCCTTGACCGTGTCCCACGGCTTCTTCGAGAGGCTACCGAGGGAGCATCATCAATCTGATAATTGGCGAGTCCTTGGAGTGCTTGTTGCTCCGCAATTTTTGCATTGCGTTCTGATTTGAAGGCAGATTTGCGCTCGCGATAGGCGTTTTTGGCATGGCTGAAAACACCGAATAGTTGCTTACTCTAATACTTGTTAGAATGTGGGTCGGATTTCCGCTGAAGATCAAATTTACCGTGCTAACAACTTTGCCGGACTTGTCAATCACAGCGATCGTTTGACCGAAAGGTGCCATAGCAAATAATAAGTCGTTGCGACGACCTTACCGATAAATGGTCATCCAATGGTCAAGATCGACAGTCAACAAGGAAGCGGTGTAGGGGTTGAAAAAAAATAGACTCAAAAGAAATTTCCGGGGTATAGATCACAGGTGAAGGATCGAAGAGACAGGGTATGAAAGAATAAACAACAGGCTTGGAGAGTTATTGTAACGGTTAATAAGGCAGTTGGGTTGTTAACCTCAGGCCTTAGCGCAAAGGTCCGATCGGAGGCGTCCCAACGAGGTTTTAAGAGAAGTGATACGAGCATGGAATAGGGAGGCTGGGGATCAAGCGCATCCACGTTGGGCAGAGCAACGAACAGCGGACCAGGCTGCAGGAACTATAGGGCAGAATGGTTGGGTGCCACTTTTGAAGGCAGACACGTATCACGTATCAAAGGTTCGATGAGCTCACATCACATATCACAATGCTGTTGGGCGCCAAAGCGATCCTTGCGGTATAGCGGCATGTGCCGGGGGCCGGTAGAGAATTTCCAGATCTTAACATTATATTTAGATATTAATCAAAAAAGGAAAATAAATAATCCTCTTTTGAAATATCGTGCTTTAGCATTCAATCACCTGTTACTCTGTAGAGTACGGAGTCCACGGGTACCTCCGTATGGAAGTTGTGTAAAGAGCGGTGACATATGCTATCTGATTGGCTGACGGTGTCACCGCCACTGTGGCTGGTGTCACACAAAGTCAGCCATGTCAGCTATCTGTGGCGGTGCTGAGGCTTTAACATGTGAGGACTCGATGGCTTCGGAGACTTTCTTTATTTTTTCTTTCAGGGATATATATTATTTATCTACTTATTCGAGGTATAGTCCCGAAATGATGATTTAATGAACAGAATGGTGTCATTACTGTATCACTCAATTCCGAGTCACTTCCAAGGGGTTTGTAACATGACCCTGACACATTGATCAAAGATGGGCACCTGCAGGCCAATGTTTCTAGTCCAGAACTGAAGGACGAAAGCCATCAGGGGCTGTACCCAGTATGTCTTGGGCCGAGTCTAGTCATACCTACATGTAGGTATCTCTCTTTCTTATCAATAATAAAGAGCTTCCGAGATTTCAAGATTGGAGTGCAGATCAACATCGGTGTGCACTTCATTGTCTTTTTCATGTTGGACCGTTTTCATTGATACTCCAAACACATTCGACCTGAATCTATCCTGGATCTATTCTTAATCTATCATACACCCATATATCATGGTCGGCCGTCGCCCCAGTACCCCCTTAGCACGGCTATTGTGGGAGCCAAGGTATGTATCATAGTTATGAATTGCCTCATTGAATGGGCATGCGACCGTGATATAAACAAACCAAACCTAATTAATTTGAGAACTGATGGATTGTTCTATATAGAAGAACTTGTTGCCGGAATCAAAGGGATGCTAGGGATGGTGAGTCAAATATTTTATCGATGGTGCAATATCTTATTATCGTTTTTTTTATTTCCTTTTTCCGTACCGCCTCGATGATTCATATTCCTTCATATTCCATTCTGTTTAAAAAAAAATCATTCGAGTTCTTCAACAAAAAATAAAGAGAATGGATTGAATTCGGGAGATTTCCAGTATTCTGTTTGGTTGATTTGAAGCGGAGAGCATCCGAGAACACCAACATCACCTCAATCTCCACACATTGCAAACCATTGAGATTGGACTGATCATGGATTTAGTCGAATCAGAGAGTACTTCTGAGGAGGATCAGAAAACTTGGGAATCTGATTCTCATACTCAAGATGCCAGTGCCCTTCCCAATAGTGACTGCGGTATCGGCCACCGCGTGCTCGCCAGTCGCTCCGTTCTCGCTCTAGCCGTTGATGAACAATGTGTTTTTGCTGGCCTGCAAGGAGGAGATATTGTTGTAAGTTAGTTTGAATTCTTCTTTCAAAATGGCTACAATGCTCTACTACTGCCACGGTTCGAGGCTAAATCGTTTCAGGCGTGGTCCCTTGAAACTTATGATCTCGTGGTATCCGTCCACGCGCACAAAGAGAGTGTGCTAGGTCTATATCTCTCTGAAGATGGAAATCTACTATTTTCAAGCGGGGGCGACTCCGTGGTCAATGTGAGTCATAGAAATGAAGAATAGCACGAAATTGGAATTAATGACGCGGCCAGGTGTGGTCCACGCGAACATTTGAGCGTCTCTACTCGATATATTCACACCACGATGTGGGTGATATATTTACAGTAGTCTATTCATCGCATAACCAAACTATTTACTGTGGTGCGCAGAACACAAGTATACAGGTATTTGACCCTTGTCTGCGCCCCTATTTAGCAACATTCTAACTCGGATAGTGGTGCGATCTCTCTGAGGAGGGGTCAACATTGAACCAAGCATCTTCTGCGCATCCATCTAAGCGGACGCATCGCTTTTTCGATTCCCGAGGGCCGGACGGCACTCGCGCTGTAGGATCATCAGATGGTGCCCTCTCTGACGGTGGTCGTGTGTTGAGCTTCAAGCGGGATCATCATAAGCTCTTCGCGCATCATGGCTACGTCTACTCCATGCTTTTAGTTAAAGGTCTAGTTGAGACCGCTCCTTCAGAGGAGGTGCTTTTGACAGGCGCGGGCGACGGTGTGGTTAAGTTATGGCGACTGGGTCAGGATCCTGGCGCGTCCCCATCCCAAATCGCCAAGCTACAAAATGGAGATCCTGTGTTGACCATTGCCGTTGAGGGATCACTACTCTACTGTGGTCTGGCTGGCGGCGCCCTTAACATTTGGAATTTGGACTCTCAGCAGCTGGTCAAACGGATCACTAGACATACTGGGGATCTATGGGCTGTGCACGTCATCCAAGGTATCGCCATTTGTGGTGACTCTAGTGGGACGGTCAAGGTATGTACTGGTCTAGACTTTTGATGCCTTCCAATCGATTTCCGCTAACCAGTAGTAGAAATTCAACTCCCGGTTCGAAGAGGTCGGTGGCTGGGTTGCTCATGAGGGCACCATGCTCGCCTCGGCTGCCGGACGGTTCAAGGATCGCCAGATCTATGCCACTGGTGGCAATGATAATTCAGTAGGAATCTGGGATTTGACTGAATTCTTTATGACCCAGGAAGAGCTGCCTCCCATCAGCAACGGTACGTCCCATGCACGCTATTCGTGTCGACCACTCGCTAAATTTTTCCCAGACGAAATGGTCAACAGCCTTGCAAAGTTTGTCTCTTTCAAGACAATCTCAGCAAGTCCCAAATTCGCTGGCGAATGCAACCAGGGTGCTGCCTTCCTTCGGCGGCACTGCAACTACCTCGGCGCCAAGACTAAGCTCCTCACTACAGGCCAGGACACCAATCCAATTGTTTTTGCTAGATTTAATGCAACCTCACCTGACAAGGTGGACAAGACTATCCTCTTCTATGGCCACTATGACGTTGTGGGTGCAGAGACGAACCGACCAAAGTGGAGGACAGATCCTTATCAGCTCACTTCTATTAACGGGTTTTTGTACGGCCGTGGTGTCTCTGATAACAAGGGACCGATTCTGGCATCATTGTATGCCGCAGCCGATCTCGCCCGGACAAAGACCTTGCGATGCAACGTGGTTTTCCTGATTGAGGGTGAAGAAGAGTCCGGGTCCTTAGGGTTCCACGAAACGGTTCGCGAGCATAAAAATCAAATCGGACCTGTGGACTGGGTTTTACTCGCCAACAGCTACTGGCTGGACGACTACAACCCGTGCTTAACTTACGGGCTACGGGGTGTCGTGCACGCCAACTTGGTTGTTACAAGCGACCATCCCGATCTCCACAGTGGTATCGACGGCAGTACATTGCTGGATGAACCAGTGAAGGATATTGCCATGCTTCTTTCAACAATCGTGGGACGCAAAGGAAAGATCAATCTGCCCGGCTTCCACGATGCTGTTAGGCCTCTCACAGATGCCGAACAGAAGCGATTCGAGGCTATTGCTGATGTATTGCTTCTGCAACACCCAGAGATTCCAGACAGTCAGGCGCTAATCAAGTCACTGATGCATCGTTGGCGTGAACCCGCCTTGACCGTCCACTCGGTGGAAGTCCCTAGCAGCAAGAGCGCAACGACCATCGCGCGCCGAGCCAAAGCAACTTTATCGATCCGTATCGTACCAGACCAGCACGCCGATGAAGTCGCAGCCAACCTCACCGCATATGCGCAAGAGCAATTTGCGCTACTCGACTCACAAAATGACCTCACCGTCGAAATCACCGGCAAATCCGACGCCTGGCTCGGCGACCCAGATAACGAAATCTTTGCCACGCTGTCAGAGGCGATCACCGCAGCGTGGACCCCAGCCCAAGAGGACCCGAAACGCCAATACCCGCCCATCCCGCAAACAAATACTCGCATAGCGACCAAGCCCAAACCCAGCGCGGGCCCAATCCCAGACCTCCGCCGCAAAGACTCCGACGACAGCTTGGCTTCGCATGTGGAGCGGGTAATCACATCAATAACAACTTCATCAGCAGGCAAGGAGCGCAAACGGTGTTCGCAAACAGCCGCCACAGTACCAACGTCCTCCACCCTCACACAAGCCACACCAACCTCGGCTGAGGAGTCAGTCGCGTTGCCAATCCGGACCAAGCCTGATCCGGATGAAACCCCCACGAGAAATGGACCAGCTGTTGCGTCTGGCGTGGCTAAAGTGAAACCAATGTTCATCCGTGAGGGCGGGTCCATTCCGACTATCCGGTTCCTGGAAAAGGAATTTTCGGCCCCGGCAGCCAACTTGCCTTGTGGGCAGGCGAGTGACAACGCCCACTTGGATAACGAACGCATGCGAGTGGAGAATTTGTATAAGAGCCGGGAGATTTTCCGGTATGTGTTTGCTAATTTGGTGGATAAGTCTTGAGTGTCTTTCTCCTTTTTTTGGGTCCCATCGGTCTCATTTTTGTAAAACTATAACTCTCTTGACTTGCATTTGATGTGTATCTTTTTCCGGGGTCATCTTCGTCCAGACCGATAGTTTGTAAACTCAATGGGTTATATTTAGTCTCCCAATTGATGTCTAAAGCCCTAAAAGGAAAGACCATGCTCGTAGCGGCTCATCTCACCGTTTCCCCATATTCCACTCGGTATGGTCTCACAACAACCCGTACCCCTGCATAGAAAACGTCTACAACCTGTCTTGGAATAAACCCCTAAATCGCTATGCTTTTGAGTTGTTGTACAAAGTAAACTGCCTTTTCCCATGTGCGACGTCGTCCTGGGTACTGTTACATTTCCAATTCATCATTATCCGTGTCTCGTATAAATACCGCACCTCCACATGAAGTTTAATCTTGTCTTGAGCATTGGTTGATCCTGGGCTTGATGGTCAGGATATAGCCTGGAAGAAACTCCCTTCTAGGCCGAATAGGGGTTTGTGTGCATGATGCTGGCTTTGTTCGAGAAGACACCGGGTAGAGCCCCAACAACCTTATCCAATAGGATCTAAGACGTAGAAGAATATCGGATAGGTCAATTATGTATTCGATCGTGGCTTGGATTTAAGTATTAATGGTTATCCTTGGCATGGGGATCGGGACTAGATTGGTTTTTTTCTTTGTGTGTTGGCATGGATATTGAGATTGAGGTGAGGTTTGTTTGATATTTTGAGATTTGAGATTTGGATGAACACTCGAATATAAGAAGGTATTGATCCAGACCCATTTGTTTCCACTTTCTCTTTATATCGCGAAATGAATTCTTTCTCACAGAAACTTCTTTCTAGTTTATCCAGCCTTTTTCAAATCTTGGTCAATATGGGGAGTACATCTAATCCAATTTACTTACTGGGTCGAGATGAAGCTGAGACTAAACGGTATGTGTGAATTTTCCAGATTCCAATTTTCAAATAATATCTTGAAATATCGTTCAACCTTGGAAGATCTTTTTTTAAAGAAAGATATTAATGTTTGATATCCCCGGATTTCAAGATAAAAAACCCTTGCAGTCCCGACAGTTTGGGTCCCGTGTGTTTGGGTTTTTGCTAATAATTTTAGCCTCAATAACCAGCATCGCTTTCTCGTTGATCTGTCCAACCTCCTTCACCCTTCTATTCCAAGAAATATTTCAGCTGTCGCCGACTTGGGTACTGGTACAGGGTATGCAGATCTCCCTCTCTTCTTCTTTTCTCCCCTAAAACCTGTTACACATAAACTAACCCACCACAGCATCTGGCTCGAAGATGTCGCCAACCTGCTTCCGAACAAATCAGTCTACCTCCATGGCTTCGATATCTCATCAGCACAATATCCAAAAGGCCACCAGATCCTACGACCTGGCCAAAAGCCAATCCCACTAAGCGTCCATGACGCACTACACCCATTCCCAGCAGAGCACCATGGCCGATATGACCTCGTACACATCCGACTCTTAACAGCAGGCCTGAAACAAGCCGATTACAGACGGGTACTCGCCAACGCGCGAGATTTACTAAGTAAGTCGTCCTGTCCCACTTTTCTTTTTTCTATCGGCAAAACAATACCCACCCTCAACATTGAACTCCCTGCTAACAATCGCAGAACCAAACGGCTGGATCCAATGGGAAGAAGTCGACCACACGGCCTTCTGCACCGATGCAGTTCCAGAGCTAGTAGCCATCACCCGGCTGCGGGAATCCGTGATCGAAGCAATGCTGAAACTAGGCCTGTGGCCATTCGCTCCACAATGTGTTTACGATGAGGTCTCTGCGAACGGGTTCACCGATGTCGTCCGTGAGACTTACACTACTGTTGGGAAGTACCATATGCGACCTATCGCGCAGAAATGGGTTACTGGTGTGATGCGTGCACTGGTGCCTCCTTCGATGGTTGTCACGGGTCAAGCTGATGATATCGATCAGGCGCGTCTGATTGTTGAAGGGTTGGTTCGTGAGTTTGAGACTCATTGTGAGTCTGCGACGGCGCTAGTTAACTTTGGAGTTACGATTGGTCGGAGGGTGAATTAATATCTCGGTTTTGGGTTGGGGTGTTTCATGATCATTTGCTGTACTGGGAGGGTTCTTCTTTTTCAAATCTCATTTTCGCTGGTATTGGATCGACACATCGATGTACTATGTAGTGTAGTGCACAAATTAAACTGTGGGGCGGATTCATCTAAAATATTAATTTAAGACATGTCATGTACTTATCATAAAAGTATTCATCAATACATCAAGATGAATCATATATATCTCTATATCTATAAAAGTCCATTTCCCCTTTGAGCCGTAGAGCCCCAAGTGCCCCACAAAACCAATCCGGGGAAGAAAATATTTTTCAAGCCAGAAAAATTGAATCCTTCAAATTCCAGATCTACAATGTCAGCAATGGCAATGGAAATACAGGATGTTCCGCCCAAAGGGCGAAGCAAAATTCAGATTACTGCAATTATGGTAGCGCTTGCAGTAAGAATCCAAATCAAAACCCACATATTCACCTACTAAATCCCACTAGCTAGCGATGTTTATCGCCGCGCTGGATCAAACCATCATGGCTACAGCGATCCCAACAATCGCCGCGTATTTCCACTCCTCTGCTGGGTATACGTGGATTGGTGGAGCATACCTGCTCAGCTCCGCCGCCAGCGCATGCATCTGGGCTAAGCTTTCTGATATCTGGGGCCGGAAGCCTATCTTGCTTTTGGCTGTTGCGTGGTTTTTCCTTAGCTCGATTCTGTGCGCTGCTTCTACTAGTATGCAGATGTTGATCGCGGGTCGGGCATTGCAGGGTGTTGCTGGTGGCGGTTTGCTCCAGCTGGTTACCATTATTATTTCAGATTTGTTCAGTGTTAGGTGAGATACCTTGATATCTGCTTTTAATTGTGGATACTTGATATAGAAGATTTTACTAACTGTCGTAACAGACATCGCAGTTTATATCTCGGTCTGATGGAGGTCATGTGGGCTTTTGCTGGCGGTGTTGGACCATTGCTCGGTGGTGCATTCAGCCAGTATGTCACCTGGAGGTGGACTTACTGGATCAACCTTCCAATCTCTGGGGTGGCATTCGTGCTCCTTTTCTTTTTCCTGGATGTGCACAATCCCCAGACCAAAATCATGGATGGCGTCCGTGCCATTGACTGGTTCGGCAGTCTCTCTGTTCTTGGCCTTACTCTCATGCTTTTATTGGGGCTGGACTTTGGTGGCGAGACATTCGCTTGGAACTCACCGCAAGTGATCTGTCTAATTGTCTTTGGATCTCTATGTTCCTTGCTGTTCATCTACAGCGAGAAGAAACTAGCCAAGTATCCCTTGATGCCTATGGATATCTTCGCTCGATTCTCTAACATTGCTACCTTGCTGGTAGCATTTGCGCATGGTTTTGTCAGTATCTCCATTTCATTCATTGTCTTCAACAACTCACAATCCTATAGGTCTTCATCGCCGGGGAATACTACATCCCCCTCTACTTACAATCCGTGCACGGCTCCTCACCAATGGGATCTGGTGTCCTCATCCTCCCACTTGTCGTGATGGAAGCATTCTCTGGCATGTTCGCCGGCGCCATCATCCATCGTACGGGTCGATACCTCGAACTCGTCTGGATCGGCCTAGTCCTAATGACCATCGGGAACGGGCTGTACATCAACCTCGGCGTGGGATCATCAGTCGGAGAGATAGTCGGGTACCAGATTCTCAGCGGTCTAGGCGCTGGATTCCTCTTCCAAACACCCATCATCGCCATCCAGGCCATGGTCTCCCAAGAGGACACTGCCACTGCCACAGCAACAATCGGCTTCATCCGCAACATGGCAACCGCGGCCTCCATTGTGATTGGTGGTGTTGTCTTCCAGAATAGTATGGGCCAGAAGCAGTCTAGCTTGTTGGCTTCTGGTATGTCCCCCAGCATGGCGGCTCAGATGTCTGGGGATTCGGCTGCTGCGAGTATTGAGTCGATTAAATTCATCACCGATCCAGCGCAGTTGCTTGCTGTTAGGGAGGCTTTCGCTTGGAGTTTGAGGAATATGTGGATTCTCTACACGTGCATGTCTGCTGTTGGTGTCTTCTTTTCGGCTTTTATCCTCAAGACTAAGCTGAATAAAGAGCATGTTGAGACTAAGACAGGACTGAATGTCGAGAAAACCTGTCATTGAGGATGTTAGCATATAGGTTCTTGGCTATATTTATCTGTTTATATTTATCTGTCCTTTATTCCTGTGTATTATATATGAAGCATGGGGTTATTTGATACACACACAGTAACCCTATGGGGCGCTAAATTCAAATCAAAGAAGCATAAACCTATCGACCCACCTCTATCGATCCAAGACTCATCATATCTTGTTACGGTGGATCAGAGAGCAAACCGAAAAGCTAAGCTAAATCAAAGCAAACAGAAGGATGAGTATTATTCACAGGTGCAAAGCGTAACAATATATTCAAAACCAAGTTAAACAACCAAGAAGGCAATATAGACAAGCGAAACAAAGTGAACTGTTTATTGCAAAGCATTAACGTTCCCTTATTGAGCCGAACACTTTCCTCCAACCACGCAGAGGACAGGCAGATCAGCAACACTATTTCCAACCCAGATCTTAATGCCCTGTCCATTGACAGGGGCCTTCCAATCCTGTACGACAATATCCCAAACACTAACATCCTTCCGAGTAAGATGCAGCGTAACCGTCTCACTCTGACCAGGTGCGAGCTCCTTTGTCTTCTCAAACTGCCGGAGCTGCAACGTAGGTGTGTCAAGCGCCAGACTAGACGGAAGTTCAACATACAATTGGGCGACAGCCTTGCCAGTTCGTTTACCCGTATTCCGGACCTCCACCTGGACCGAAAATACAGTCTCAAAGAGAGCGGGATTTCCGCCCTCGCCACCTCCGGCCCGGGGGACTGCGTGCGGCTCGGTGCTATAGCCGTCCGGGTAGTCGTATTTCTTCGTTGGAGTGATTGACTCGGGCTTTTCCAGGTAGGGGTAGAGGTAGCGCCAGATGCGGGTGAAGCTAGTAGAGGACCAGGCGACTTCCGATGCGTCCGGGATGCTGGTATTATAGGAGGGAGTTGACGGCTTGGTGGGTCGTGCAGCTGGGTACTCTGAGTCTAGTGGAGTTCCCATTGACAGCGAAGGCTGGGAGAAGTTAAAGGTAGTATAGGAGAGGCCGTGACCGAATGGATACCGAGGTGTGATATTGGCCTTGATGAAGTGACGATAGTCGATATATAACCCCTCGGTATATGTGTCCTGGATCTGCCCAAATGGTTGGTCTATCAAGTCCACGCTATCCGGGTAATCATCTTCGCTGCGTGGAATGGTGTACGGCATGTGGCCACTCGGACTATAGTCCCCAAACAGGACATCGGTAAGAGAGTTTCCAGCCTCTTGTCCAGGGAGATGTGCCACTACCACTGCTTTGACGGACTTGAGTTCAATCCACTCTTCCATAAGAATGGGCCCGACGGTATGGACAATGACGACCACATTAGAGAACTTTTCTGCTGCTGCTTTGACGAGATCATCACCATTGTGCCAAGCATTGAGTCCAGCTTTAGTTCGATCTCCTGGGTTTCCTTCGACCGTAATAAAGTTTTCACCTGAATCGGCACTGATGAAAACAAGAGCGATATCCTTAGCATCGGCGGTAACGTCCGAGGGGAATTTGTCGGTAATGTGGAACTCAGCATTCTTAGTGATATTAGAGATTGCCTCTTGGGGCGTAATGAGATAGGGTAGCCTGGCTGTGCCACTTCCCCAGCCCATGGTCAAAACGCCTTTGTTGCATCCTTGATCTGCACATGAGTTGAGACCGTTTGGATTTCCACCCGCATCCGTGCCAAATACTTTGAGAGAATCATCCCTATTTAGAGGAAGAATGTCCATGTCGTTTTTTAGCAAATTAATTGCTTCCCGTGCGACTGCTCTCGCGGTGATGTTGTGATTGCCCCTCACATCGACAAACTGGTTAACAACACCAATTGGAGAAAATACGGCTCCGGGGTAAATCAGGCCCTTTTCGTTTTGAGTATTGGTCGAGAAGTTTGGCAGGGGATAGTCCTTATCCTGTCCGTGTTTATACCAAGTGGCAACGATACGTTGAACCTAGACCAGTGCATTAGACATGAAGAAAATCCCCATATAAAGAACGACGTACCATATCGTTGAGACGGTCTACGGGAACACTGCCATTCAGGATCGAGCGCGACAGCTCAGCACCCCAGTATGAATCCCCGAACAAGGGGACTGCTCCGTCGCCAGGCATCGACATGTCCAAGCCAGCTATGGCGGACGCAACGCCAGAGTAATGGCCCAACCAATCCGTCATCACAAATCCTTGGAAACCAAGCTCATCTTTGAGAATATCATTAAGCAACTTGCTGTTTTGGGAGCATGCAGAGCTATTGACCTATCAGATGTCAGCAACATACGCACGAAGATAGAATCGAAGACACCCACATCGGAATAAGCTGTCATCAAGGATCCTACCCCCGCACGAACACCCTGGGCAAAAGGCCAGAGGTACAACTCATGCAATGTGCGATCATCAATATTAGAGGAATAGCCCTTGGTAACAACACTGCTCATACGGTGCATTTCCTGCTCATTACCAATGTAATGCTTGATGGCTGCGATAGTCCCGGTACTCTGCATACCCTTCACAGTCTGGGCGCCTCCATAGCCCTGGAGAATTGGATCAGCACCGAAGCCTTCCCAATTCCGCCCGCCGCGTGGCTTGCGCCCGAGTGCTCCCACAGATGGTCCGAGGAGTACGTTAACTCCCTTGCCGCGAGCCTCTTCGCCGAGCCCAACACCTCGCTCATACATGAGGTCTTTGTTGAAGGTTGCGCCAACGGTGATACCAGGCGGGAAGGCAGTGTTGTGGTCCGAGTTGCGGACTCCTAGAGGACTGTCTTGGAGGCACAGGTTGGGCACACCCAGGCGAGGCACGCTCCCTGTCTGCCCTACACAGGGTCCCATGAAGAAGCCAGTGCCTGTCGTCAGGTTAACCTTCTCGGCCAAGGTCATATTGCTAACGAGATGATGCGCCTTGGAGTAGGCTTCACTCCAGTCGGGAATCCAGCCTCCAGGAGGGGTGGGATAGTATGGAGGTGATTCATAGCTTTCTTCTGCTCTCTTGTGTAGGTTTGTAGTAGAAGCGAATTCTTCTGGCACGGGGGAAGCCAGGATAAGCGGGGTTAAAAGAGAGACTAGAGCTAGATGTGCCCAAGGAACCATGGCGACTGATTCGCAATTAACCAAAACAATAAAGAAAGGAGTAGATAATAAAAGATCGTATTTGGGCCAGTCAAGAGAACGAGTGCATTATTTCCTCCAGGTTCAAACCTGCAGAATTGCAAATTGGCTCAGGGGACTACAACATATAAGAAATTGCAGACCCCGGGGAACTAGTCCTTTGCAGTAACAGGGAAGGAGCGTGCACCTCGGAGAAAACGCATATCCTTGCTGGATTAGAGGAGGATCGTCGTGTGATTCTATTGATATTGTGCTTGGCACAAGTGAACATGAGGATTTGGCAGAATTATTCATCGACTCGTGATTACTTTACTAGTGAATTCGCTTGCATAAATGCTGTTGTACGGAGTACGGGATATATTAGAGAAGTTTTATCGGTCTACCTAGTCAACGGTTATTGTCGGTGATGAACTCAGATGGTAACCAGGCAGCATTAGGAGGGTCAAAGAAAACTAGATAATATGGACAGATATATAGGACATAGTTGTACAACGTACTAGATAATAGGAGAGAGACCTGGAGAAACCATATACGTACAATATAGAAGAAGATGAGAGTAGAAAAAAAAAATATATATATATATATATATATATATATATTTCTCAACGCGCATTTTAAAACCAATACGTTAAAAGTGCGGCATTTCTAAGGTATTTGATTTCAATATTTGATACTCTTCGAGTTAGTTATTCTATAGCATGTAGAACACAATGTTTATGAACCATCGGGCTTGGTGAAAGCACAGGAGGTCACACCTACACTCGGGGGTTACCACCTAATTAGCCGGATTATCCTTGCCATAAAGAGACATGGCGTCGGGAATTGATGGAGCATGTAACCCCAGGACGCCCCTTTTTTTTTCCTCGACATACGAACCGACGGGTTCATTCCGATATTACTAATTCATCGAGATACCCCTGGGGCCGTGGACAGGGCCGTGGACCTGTGGACATATTACGGTAGAGCACGCGACAGCCCGTTTGATCAAGATAGATATAGTATTCAATTTCATCCGTTATACATGCACGTCTTTAGATCTTGGTATAGCGCAGGTAAGGCTTAACCTCGCGAACTTCACCAAACTTCTTTTGGGCATCCGGGGTACTGACGGTCGGAGGAACAATGACATCATCGCCAACCTGCCAGTCGATCGGGGTAGCTATACCTCTCTTATCAGCGGTCTGCAGGGAGTCGATGACCCGCAGGACCTCCGCGGAGTTTCGGCCCGTAGAGGCGGGGTACATCATCGTCAGGCGGATCTTCTTGCTCGGATCAATAATGAACACAGAGCGAATAGTAAACGCGATAGCCTCCTGTCCGATGTTATCCTGGTCGATCATGTCGTAGAGGAAGGCAATTTTGCGGTCGGCATCGGCGATTATTGGGAATTGGACTTGTGTCGAGCCAACTTCGTTGATATCTTTGATCCACTGGCCGTGGGAACCGAGCTCGTTGGCACTCTGGAGAGAAAGGGGCGCATCAGCTAAGGGTCTGTAGGAGTTGTAAATGGCGAAAACTCACCAATCCGATCATCTTGACCCCGCGTGCGTCGAACTCATTCTGTAGCCGGGCGAAGGCGCCTAACTCGGTTGTACACACCTAATTGTATGTTAGTTCAGCATCTTCGTAAAGTATATTGGTGAGAAATACGGGCGTGAAGTCAGCAGGGTGTGAAAAGAGGATGGTCCATTTATCACCAATGAATTCGTGGAAGTCAATCTCGCCCTTTGTGGTCAGTGCCTTGAAGTTGGGGGCTATATTATGTTAGCATATGATATGGCAAATGAAATCCTGTCGAGACTGTACCGGTTGAGCCCAGGCGCAGACGCGGCTGTTCCATCTGAGCCGAAAAGAAGCGGCGGAAAGCCGGGGCACGAGGCAGCTGTGCAGCCCACGGGGCCTGTTGAGCAGCTCTGAAAGTGCCAAACATCTGAAAACCAATTCTGGAAGCCATGATTATTATGAGTGAATGACAAATTCCAAATAAAGTTGACTCGGGAGAGAAGAACCTATGTACGGACTAGACGTCGGGAGGGCCCCGGGGGTGCCCCCGGGGACCCGTCATCATCTGACTAATCACCCACCCACACTTTTCCAACCTTTGGAAGGTTGGAAGGTTGACGGGCTTGGATGCACAATGCTTTTGTCAATTGAATTTGTCTATCTTTCATACATCTCATCTTATATTGAATCTAGGCATGTAGTAAAACCTCTCGAGAATCTTACATATTGCGTCACATAAACTGTAGAGATAATAAATAAGAAGAGTTAGTCGCTTACCAATGGTCTTTACAGTGGCCTTCTCAAACCACAATGTTACTATTACCCCAGAAGCTGGTATCTACCGCCATTAAAGACGTGAATCAATATCCGAACTCAAAATACCAAGCTACCTCCCAGTCGCAAATTTCCATAATCATTATGCACACAAGTCAATTTCATTCAAGCTCTGGCAAAATGCCGGTTCAACGAAAATGAGTGACAATCGCGGGAAAGACATCCGTTGTTGGTGAACCCACGTCTACGAGATGATATTCTCACAGATCAAAGTGCAGAACAGTACGTCCGTGAGTATTTTGCTGACTACTCGGATATCCTTGAGCTCTATTTCTCACTGCCAATCCCGTTTCTAAAAGTCGATCTCCTTCGTCAGTTAATCTTGTGGCCTTTCGCAAGACCGCGAGCCTTATTTTCGAACACCTTTACGCTGGCTCTTGGAAGGATGTTAATATTGGCAAGGCAAAATCGTGGCATATTCAGAACTTTGCATTGGTGTTGTACAACACGAAATATATGCGACAGGACGGGAATAGAAGCATAACCGATAGTCTAATTCTTACATACAGAATTATATTGATTAATGGCAAGAATAGTCGGCCGCATAAGCGGCCGTGCGGTGTTTTTTTAGTAGTCTTTTCAGTAGTCTTTTCAGTAGTCTTTTCAGATACCATTCTTTGTAGATGCCCTGCCACTTTTATAGGTCGACCGCAAAAAAGCCGGAAAAAGGCTTGCAAACAACTTTTAATCATCTATGAATCAAGTCCATTCTTCGTAGTAGACTTCGAAGGCTGGGGAGACAAAGAACCTGCCCAGGTGGGCATGTCAAACCTTGTGACGTCAGGCCGATGGCCCCGAGGTCGGTTCATGTACCCCACACGGGCCGCAAAGCTTAATCTATTGATCTACAACATTGAACATTGAGAACTTCACAATACTCTATGCATAATGTAGTATGTTGAATAAGGCTATTGATGGGTAATGAGTATGTGTATTATTCTTATTGCTTGATTAATTGATTTCTGAAGGCTGCCTTGGTTGGGGAGCCGTTTCAATGGGTAGTCACTCGCTTGAGCATTTTAGGAAGGAACGACTCACCTGGGAAGTTTAGGAAGGAACGCGTAGGACTGCCTATAAAACCCCACGGATTCTTTTTCTTCTTTTTTTTTTCTTCTTCTTCTTCTTCTCTCTTCCCATCTTTTACTTCATCTACTTTCGCACGCTTTCGTTTTTATTTTTTTTTAAAAATGTCATCTCTAGCGTGCGTCGTCCTCGTCCTGCTTGCTGCTGTAGCAGCAAGCTGCTACAATAACCTCGCCCACATTGTGGGCAGTGCCGTAATCTTCGGCACCATTCTTGTGTCGGGGCTCTGCTGTCTAAGCAGGTAAGTTTAGGAGATTTCATCCTTCACATTTCCCAAGTCCCATCCCAAGTCCCATCCCAAGTCCCATCCCAAGTCCCATCCCAAGTCCCATCCCAAGTCCCATCCCAAGTCGCATCCCAAGTCCCATCCCAAGTCGCATCCCAAGTCGCATCCCAAGTCGCATTCCAAGTCCCATCCCAAGTCCCATCCCAAGTCCCATCCCAAGTCCCATCCAAATACCCACTCAAATACCCACCCAAATACCCACTCAAATACCCACCCAAATACCCATCCAAATACGATTGATACTAACATCGAGTGTTTAGCCCCCGTATCTGGCTGTTCAGTTTGCTACAATCCGTAGCAAAGTTGGCTGTTGAGCCAACAAAGGAGAACGTCACCGCGGCCGAGGCCACCGAGGCCTCGGCCAGAAATGAGACGCTGAGAGCTCAGTTGGGTGTTTTGGAGCAGAAGCTCCGTGGTACGGAGGCACGAGCTCGTGATTCCGAGATAGCCCGGGAGACCGAAAAGAAGCGCCACGCAAAGGAGGTCCGCCACCTGGATTCTCAATTGGCGACGGTCACCCGGGGTATCAAGGAATCCCTGCGCGCTAAAGATCAGGCTGTCGGGGAGTGCCGCCACTGGCGGCGCAAGTTTGAGGACCTGGACGATCTACAGCGGCAGGCCCAGGAAGATCCCGTTCGCGGGATCAAGGGACGAGCTCGTTGGGCTCCGGCCAAGAAAAACGGAGTTCGGAAGGGGGAACGTGGTCGACCGGCAACAAAATTCACTGCCATTGCGCAGGTGGCGATCGTCAATGCGGCGTGGGAGTCCAAGCTGGTCAGTCTCGAGAGCGAGGCCAGAGACTATGTGGCCCGCACAACTGACCAGCTTGGGTCTCTTCAGGCCGCCGCCACCGCGCTCAGCGAGGAGAACGCTTACCTCACCCAGCAGATCCAGGCAAAGGCCAACATCCCCCACGAGCTGGCCCAGCAGCGACTGGATGATGCCGTGCAACGCACGGTGGCCTTTGCCGAGAAGCTGCATGAGGAGCGTGTCAACTCGCTGGAGCAGACTTATCGCAAGGAGCTGATGGCAGCCAAGGTCGACTACGAGCGGGAATTGGCAAAGGTAACAGCGGTATTCAAGGCGGAAGTTGATGCCGCAGCGGCGCAGCAGCGTGAGGCAGCTGAGCGAGCGACCCAGGAGATTAATGCTCTGAAGGCCGAACTCGCTGCCAAGGAAGCGCAGATGGGCAAGCTGCGGCAAGACAATGCCGAGATTGCTGGTGACCTGCAGGTCACAAAGGAAGCACTGGCGAAGACCGAACACGAGTTGGAGGAGGAGACCGATCGTGTGGTTAAGTCAGTGCAGAAGGGGGACGGCTACCTGCGAGCCGGCAAGAAGCTGTCGAAGAAATACGCGCAGCTGAAGTCTGAGCATGACGCTCTTGTGGGGGCGAATCAGGCCCTTGAGGACGAGAACGCAGCCCTCAACGAAGCACTGGAGGAAGAGGAGTTCGAGAACCGCGTGTTGGAGCAGGCGGGCGATCAGCTTATGAAGGAGACTGACCGCCTGATCCACGCGGCTACGGACAGAGTGAGCAACCTTGAACACCAGGTTGCCAATTACCAGACGGCGGATATTACCCAGGGTCTCCAAGGCTTTGGGGTGTCTGCTGACTAAGGGACCTGGCCTGGGTTGCTCACTCTGTCCTGGTTCTCGTTCCCCTCCCCTTCCAGTGCTTCTTGGGTTGCGCTAACTCTCCCAAGGGTCTTTTCCCCCCTCCCCCCTTCCTTTCTGTTGGCTTTGTTTATTCCCGCACCCCCGTCCATCTGCCCCATCCCCATCTGTTGCATCTCCCCTTCCCCTCCCTTCCTCCGGCGACCGACGGCGATTTGCTCATTACATCACAGCATGTCCCGTTAGTCACTCACTCACGCTCGTCTTATGAATTCTTCACCATATCGTTCGCTTGCCGCTCGGCCATTGTTGCTGAGTCTGGCCAAGCTTCTCCTTGTCGCCCTCTCGCAAATTCCCTTCACCACTGCTGCGCCTACCTTCTCCCCTCTTTTTCTATCATCCCGCGACACAGAACCACCAAAGGACCCGAGCGATCCGAGTTTATGGCTTTACTTGGGATTTTCAGCTGCTCTTGTGTTGAGCGGTGGAGCATTTGCAGGTCTTACGATTGCCTTGATGGGACAGGTCAGCTCTTTCCAACACCGCGCAAAATTCCCCGATGAACCAGACTGACATCCCGTTGCTTGGTCGTACAGGATGAAGTTTATCTCCAAGTCATCAAGACCTCCGGCGAAGGGCATGAAAGGAAAAATGCTACCAGCGTTCTCAAACTCTTGAACCACGGAAAACATTGGGTTCTTGTCACGCTTCTCCTCAGCAATGTGATCACAAATGAGACTTTACCCATCGTCCTTGACCGAACACTTGGCGGTGGTTGGCCGGCGGTGCTAGGAAGCACGGTTTTGATTGTCATCTTCGGCGAGATTGTTCCGCAGTCCATTTGCGTTCGTTATGGTCTGCCTATCGGTGCCTGGATGGCACCTTGCGTCTTGGTCTTAATGTACATCATGTCTCCAGTCGCCTGGCCAATCGCAAAATTGCTTGATAGGCTCCTTGGAGAGGACCATGGTACCATCTACAAAAAGGCCGGATTGAAAACACTCGTCACCCTCCACAAAACCTTGGGCGAAGCTGGAGAGCAACTCAACTCCGATGAAGTGACCATTATTAGTGCAGTTCTCGACCTTAAAGAGAAGTCAGTTGGGAGCATCATGACACCAATGGACGATGTCTTCACCATGTCTGCCGACACTGTCTTGGACGAACGCACGATGGATCACATTCTCTCCCAAGGATATTCTCGGATTCCCATCCACTCCCCCGACAATCCAATGAATTTCGTTGGTATGCTCCTTGTCAAGATGCTCATTACATACGACCCGGAGGATTGCAAACATGTCCGCGATTTTGCTTTAGCTACACTTCCTGAAACACGCCCTGAGACCAGCTGTTTGGATATTGTGAATTTCTTCCAAGAGGGCAAGTCCCATATGGTTCTTGTCTCTGAATATCCGAGTGAGGATCGTGGCGCACTCGGGGTTGTCACCCTGGAAGATGTCATCGAGGAACTGATCGGAGAAGAAATCATTGACGAATCTGATGTCTTTATTGATGTCCACAAAGCCATCCGACGAATGACACCTGCACCGAAGTCTCGTGTCGCCAAAGGCAAGATTGTGGAAGAGCCTCCCTTGAACGCCTCTGTTATTACCGATGGCGACTTGATCGACGTGGATCCCACACAACCCTCATCTCTCCCCAAACCGTCTGGCGTGATTCGACGTCGCAGCTCTGCGGAAGCACCTCTTCCCCGCTTTCAACTTCGCAAAACAAATACCGACATCAACCCCGATTCGGCAAGTGAATGGTTCACACAAGTCGGCGCCACAGATGAGATTCGAGAGCACCTAAAACATCTTGGTCCCTCCAACCTGGCCAGTAGGCCGCGCCAAACCCGTTACCACACCGTCAAAATCAAGCGCAACAGTGCCTCTCCGTCCCGTTCCGCACAAACTGACTTTGAGTCTGGACAGAGCACCTCCGACTCCCAGAAGCTTATCGCTTCTTCTACTGGATACCAAGGTGGCATAGGCGCGGGCTTGCTTAACTCTGCTGGACCAGATGCCAAAGATGGTGCGCATGCCCTCAAACTTGGCTACGGCACCATGGCTTCCAATGATAGCGTGAGCAAAGGCACCGCTTCTCAACAATACAAAGACCTTCCCCAGGTCTCCATTCCCGAGGCTGTCCGTGAGGAGCATGAAGACCAACCGCGTTCTGGGTCGGCGCGGGAGGCCAGTAGTGCTGTCTTACCGGACGATTCCGAAAACCAACCGCGTTCTGGGTCGACGCGGAAGGCTAGTAGTGACGAAGGCAGTGTTGAACCGTTTGATGCACCGGGCTTTATTTACCACCACCGCGGTCCGGCACGCAGTGGAAGCATCACAGAACAGGTTGTGGATGTCAATGGTATTCGCAAAGTTGTCCTCCATGCAAATTGTGCGAGCTCTTCGGGTGAATCCCATTCATCCGGCCATCATCGCAACCACCGTCATACCGATGGTACGGTCCTTGATACCGATGATGCCAAATCAGAAAACCCCGACAGTGGCCACGCAAAATCCAAAAAGAAGCGTCGCCGGAAGAAGCATGGCAAAGCTTCAAAGACAGATGGTGGTCCATCGGAGAACGAGGGCTTACTATCAACACGGTACTAGGGGGTGTATTGGGGGGTTAATATGTATGTATACAAAAAATTTTACATTTTTTACAACCATTTTTGAATAATACGTATTGAATATATCTCGTACAGAGTATTAAGCAAGTATTGAACTTATAACCTACACTATACTAAGTAGTTTTATTTGAGTATTTAGTATCCAAGATTTGTCTTTACTGAGTATTCCACAGTTAGTACTGAAGTTTTTAGTCTTAAGTATGGAATATATTAAGATATTGAGAATCCTAGAGTGACCTTGAGCAGCAGGTTGCTACCTACCAGAGGCCGGAGGACATCACCCAAGCAATACAAGGCTTTCCAAACTATAACGGCTCGATTGCAATTTACTAGATTTGAATTGCTAGAACCTGAGATGCATGTGTACTGCAATGAAAATTTGATAGCTGTGCAACTACATACAATGAGATGGGCATGACAAAATATCACGGCGAAATGCGAAGTATCATACCAGAATAAAGAAGAAAACGCCAGGGGTATAGATGATCAGACCATAGAACTCCGCTTTTTTTCAAGCTTGGTAGCAGTGTTTTCTTCCCTGTTCCGCCGGAAACCAAAGAAACTGCTCTTTTTCGGTTGCACTTGAGGCGTCGGCCTCGATACTGCTGGGAGGGCTCCACTACTGGTAGGTTGTTGGTGGAACCCAACAGTAGACTGAGGTCGGGGTCGCGACTGCATGAGGTGGGTGGAGGATTGGGCTCGGGGATCCATGCGCCCCGGTGCATGAAGGTATGGGCCGTTGGGTACCGGTGTGCCGTGGGAATGCTGTTGACGGGGATTATGAGATTGACGGGTTGCGGGCTGAGAGGAAAGCTGGACTGAGGATTGAGAGTATTGGTGGGAGTAAGGCTGACTACTGGGCCCAGTAGGTCGGGGTGGGAGATACGGCCGGGAAGATGGGGCTGGAGTATGTTGTTGCATTCTAGCTTGCTCTTCTTCTTTCCCGTATAACTGCTGCAGGCGTTTGGTTTCTTTTTCGACTTCTGCCTCCCGTCGACGCCGTGCTTTTTGTTCTGCGGCGAGAACCTCCTGGGTTCGTCGCTCCTCCTCCTGTCTTGCGAGTTCGTCCTGTCGTCTCCTCTCTTGCGGGGCTGGAGATGAGGAGTTCGGGATGCTGAGCCGTGGTGTGGATGACTTTCTATTCATTTCTGGTCCAGGAGGTCGGACCTGTGGATTCTTCCGATCGTACCTGGGATCACCAGGTGGTGTGGCCATCGCCGCAGTTGTAGTGGATACTCCTGCTTGCTTGCGTGCTTGGTTCGGCCCACCGGGGGTAATGTGAAAGGCCTCCTTGGCAGGCCCGAAGAAAATATCTCGAATGGCAACGGCAGCTAAGAGTAGCACGACCTCTAAACCCTTGGTATCTTCCATCTCGACGCGATAAAGATTGGGCTCGTAGAGAGTAAGCTCCTTGAGCCCTTGGAATAGAGCGACCGTAATATCTGGCTCACGGCTCTTTGTGCGCGTGTCAGGAATTGTTGAAGTTTTTCCGTGCAGCAGACATGTCAAATCCTTTGACAGCTTCCCATCCTTACGCCAGCTGAACCTCAACTTTGGAGTAACATCTGCAAGAGAGGGATCAATCTGAGTCTGGTCTAGCGCTGAAGTGGACGGAACCCGGAATGTCTTCTGCGGCATCTCAAATTCCCACCGTGCTGGTTTGTTCCACGATTTGGTATGGTATTTCACTATGATCTCCTGATCGGGGTTGTAGAGTTGGATGGTAAATTCCGTAGGGAGGATGGGTTCTGGGGGCGGTACAATGCCGCCATTTGCTCGTATTGCGTCTGCCGACAGACTCGGTTGGGTCCAATCTGGGGCCACAGCGACCTCGCCATAGACAACGTCTGTCACGTAAGGGTCGTACAGCGCGACTCCGTAGCGATTTTGTGATGTTGGGGAGGCAGGATCAAGGGTTCGCAGGGCGTAAGCAGGTTCGGGGTCATTGCCATGCTGACGATGGTATATTGTGCTGATCTGAGGTTGTTTTGAGTTGTTCTTGAGGAAGAACGCTGTCCTGCGGTCAGTATGTTGTACGATAATCAAGGTAGAGATGACGTAGCCGATAAGGCTAGATCTTACTTACTGGGTAAGTTTTCATCGATCATCTTGTCATCTGTTCGGAAGTAAACTACTCCAGGTTATGTGGAGGAGTTATATTGAGAGTTAGGAGCTTGTTAAAGAGCTTGTCAAGTCTGCAAGTCTGCGCCACGAGACTTAGGGGTGATCGGCACCTAAAAATAGAAGGCCTATCCCCGCTGATTCGTATGTTGAGGCACCAGCATTTAAACTGTGATCAACATAGAAGAAACGTAGGCATCGGCATTCTATGCATTCATGCATGAAATTTTAAATCTAAATTGTTCTATGTTTGGCCCCTGATCTAGAAGGTTGTACATACAAGTATCTAAATCTACCTAAGGTATAGATCTACCTGTCAAGATAAATCTTTGTATATTTGCAATATTTCTTCTAGATTTGAATAGGCTTAGCAGTTTTAGTCTTGGATATCGTATTTTAAAGCCAGATCAATAGCTTGTTTTTACTTTTTTTTGGACCTAGGCCACCCATCTATATTGCCCGAACAACGCCTCCACCAGGCGGATCATAAAGATGGGTCGCTTAGTCGGGCAATACTCGACATATTGAATTCCGTTCAGCATATATCATGTTAAATTAGTCTAGATATCCGTTGTGAATCCAGTGTATATCCCATTCCGTTATACCAAGCCATAGTTCAGATCACCCTATATGAAATTAGCCACCACAAATTTGAGGAGAGGACTTCGCACTATACATATCGTTCAAGGCCGCATAAGGGGACTGTTTACTTAGCTGATTGGGTAACTTATAAAGATGGGAAGGGGGTATGTCTATAATGCAGATTCAATTAGTTCTCTGTCTGAATGTAGAGAAAAGTCTTCCATGAATACTTAGCCATATTCTCATCAAGTGTTGTTCATATTACTCGACCGGGTAGTTCCTTTTAAAATCAATGAATGCCTATATGGCTGAAGTTAGTCACCAGGGATTGGGAGTAATCACTTAGCTACTTAGTGACCATACAACAGGTCGTCTTCTAGACGAAGATAAAGTCAAGGCTATATTCCAATGTTGTTATGAAACAGGTCACGATATAGCAAGCCACTCCACTATTAGATGCATCGGCGTAATATATCTGCCTGTAAAATCCAAATTAGCAATGGGGCTCAAAGGGACCTCGGGAGTGACCTAGCTGCTCGAAAAATACCATGTTCAAACTATTGGACAAAGAACCAAGTCCAGTCTATATTAGTTAGCATATCCAAATTATAAAGGAGCGTACGCAGTAGTGAACGTCACCCTTATAATAGCTGACCACAGTATAATGTGACCTATCGATGAGATATATCTAGAAAATTGCGATTAGTGACAAGAGCGCGGATAGGGACTCACCTGCTAGTGCAAGTACGTGTTAATATCCAAACAAGGAATATTGATGGACCTATGCTTTGTTAGTATTCAATCCATGCTGACAAGAATGGTAATAAAGGATCTAGCTATTCAGTTAGTTGATATATCTCAGCGCATGGCGAATATCGTACTGGGCGTGGTAATAGTATGGTATTTCAGACGGTATACTCGAATATTCTGGAACGATATCTGGTATGGTAATCTCTAGAACTCGTTAGTAAGGGAAGGTAAAGGCGGGGATAAGGGTAATCGAAGGACTTAGCCGTAGACTGATAATAAAGGATGTTTGGGTACTTCCAAGGTTGTCGTCGAATGTCATGCCCTAATTGTATGTTAGCAATGATGTGGGAAGACCCCTACCTGTGATATAGATATATATGATAGTGTATGTAAATGGTCCTAGATGAAAGTGTCAGTGTCAATCTCACAAACAATGGGAAAGGTACTTAGTAGATGATTTGCAATCCGTGTATGTATCGTAGGGAGATGGGTGTCGATCTCTATGTTAAGCAGGAATTGCTCCTGATGATAGGATTGAAAGTGACGGGCCTGAAGGCCATTATATAGACAATCATGTCCAAGACAAAGAGTGATTCAGTCCCTTATAGTTCTACATAAGCCCTTTGTCCGAATTGTCGAGGCTATGGTATACTTGGCTCATCGTGTTCTCAATGCCGAAGGTCATTATTTATAGTGAAAGATACAGAACATCTAGGAGTTAAGGACTCTACAATGAAGGCCTTCATACAATGCATGTTAGCTTTGTTCTATTGTTTGCTGAAACACCCCCGAAGGCTAGGTAAAATGGCCCAAGTGGCTTAAGAACCAAGGGGACTGGAATAAAGAAACCAACAATAGAATAAAAATTCTTGAACATCCAAGGAAATATTTTTAGTCTATGTCCGATCTATGTATATATTGGCTCTATCTTTGTAACCTGTCGCAACCGACAGCCGAAAAGAACAATAGCAATGTCCATCAAATCACACTTTTGTTCACTGCCCATTTCATACCCGGACGCCATTGACTTCCTCACCTCCAGTAGCCTTAGCCGCCTCCCGCTCAGCAGTGCTCATCTGCAATCCCTGGTCACCCCAGCCTTGGATGCCCTTCTTATACAGCGTCTTCTGTTCCTCCCGACTAGGCGTGGGTCCAGTCTTACCCCGGCGCTGCCGTGAGTCGCTTGTCTCCTCAAGTGAGGCATTATCACCATCTAGCGGGTATCCCTCCAGGTCATCTGTGTGTGTTTCCTCGGTGAAAGAAAAAGTGCGGTACTCGGTGTTGGACCAGCCGGTGCCTGCGAGAGTGGAAAAAAAAGGGTTAGCATAATTCCCTGCAATTGTAGCCATTGTGTATTATGTGACATACCTTGGAACTGGCTACTGTCTTCCCAATCTTCAGTGAAATAGTGCAAGAACCCGCCGTGCGTGACCATGACAATTTCCTTTTCCGGGCGGGCTTTCAGCCAGCGACGGGCCGCACGAGCACGTTGCTTGAGGGCTTGATTGGTTGGCGCGTAGCGACCGGATTGCTTTTTGAGAGACAAATGTGAGTATACTAGCGGTTGGATACTGTTGGGGCAAACCTCGGTAGGCAAGTGAGAAGCATACCTTGTTATTCCACCCATCATGTACAAGATCCAGATCAACTCCTGTCTTGAATTCCTCCTTCAGAGCAGAAGGTTCGCTGCCAGTATCGCATGCAACGTCTGAGGTTTCCTGGATATCAGGGAGGGCGATAATCTTCAAGTCCGGCTTTGACTCGAAGACGGGCGCAAAGCTCTCGAGCGCAGTATAGAGGGTGCGACGAAGGGGCGAGGCGGTCACCAGGTCGATATTGGCATGGCGAGGGAAATTCTCACGAAGTGTTCGGCATTGCTCGTGACCGAGGTCAGTGAGTAAGGGGTCGTGGATGACATGGTTGGCGGTGCAAAGGTTGTGCAGGCCCTGTTTGGTTGTTAGCTCAAATCAAAGAGGTTAACAGGGTATTTCTCTATACATACTTGTGCATGGCGCACGCAGTGGATAATTGGGGCCATGTTAGTAAATTTCAACGTTAAGAGAAGAAGTTGGAAGACCCTGAAACTGCGGGAGAGTTCTTATCGGATGTGGCGGCTCAAGGGAGTCTTTACCAAAGTAATTTGGCCTAAAAGATATTACATAGAGAAATGGTTAAGAGTCATAACCGGACCTCAGAAGTCCGATTTGATATAATTTTGCGTAGCGCCACTTCAGCGAACCACAGCTCTGCACTGGAGTCTGATGGAGATCTATACACTATGATTTGTCTATTTCATCTTTAAGATGTGTACTTGAAAATATGGGATTTGAATATGAGATAGAATGCCACATCGAATTATAGAACAAAGGGGTATGTATAGGTGAACAACTTTTTATGCAACGCCAAATCCTTGGGCATTTTCGAGAGCCTTGTCAAGCTTCTTCGCCAAGGCCTGCCTTGACGAGTACTCTGGCAAAAGCAAGCGTCCAAAGCAAGTCAAGCTGGTAGGAAGACGCTAGAAGAATAATCAGTATAACACTTGATATTATGTAGAAACTGGAACCCACTAAATCTCCGACGCCATTTTTCTGAATCACAAACATAATGCTTGAGATCCCGTTGACGGGGACTCGGTCACTAGCAGTGACGAATTCGAGTAACTGGGCCCTCTTTTCATTGGGGTATCCTTGGACAATATCCCAGAAGTCACGAATGACACGATTATCCGGACCAAATCCACCCTCGTACCGGGTATGGTTCTCGAGCTCCTTTATGTCAATAGATTGGATACCTTCTACCACGGTTTTGAGAGCTTCCGGGGAGAAGATGGACAGAGCCGATCGATCCAGGCACATGTTGAACCCCTTCTGGAAAGCTTCAAATTGTGGTCGAATGGATTTATCCGTGAGCCAGAAGATGTAATCCTTGACAAATTCATGTCGATTTTGATTGGTCACAAGGGCGGCCTCTTCAGTTGGGTGCCGAGAGGACTGAAGTGATATGGACTCAGGCACCGACTTTGTGGTAGTGCCTGACGCGGGTTCACGGGATGTGACGTCCGTAGCCTCCTCGGCTGCCATGGAGGTTGCTGACCTCAATATCTCAGAGTCGCAGTAAGCCGGCACATCTATCCAGGCGCTAGAACCCGCGACAGGAACCGGAGCCGGAGCCGGAGTGGCGATTTTGCTAGCAAGAGGCCACGGCGCATCATGATTAACCTTTTGCATATCGATTGTCTCTATACTTCCAAACACTTCGAAGCTGAACTCGTAAGTTCGTGTGAAAATATCGCCCACGTCGCCATCTTTCCATGCCAATAATGTGTCGAGTCCTTGACTAAGCTCCGGCCATCCATCTCGAATGTGGTCTAGATGCTTCACTTTTAGGCCCAACACTTTGCGATAAAAGGCAGTGGGAAGGTTCACGGGGAGGGTTAGGCCGTTGTAAATTGCAATAGACATCAACAGACCAATAAGTTCAAACTTATAAAGCGGTTCCAATGAGCACGGTTGAAACCAAGACATGCGGTGTTGAGTATCAACTGTAAACATGCCATAAGATGGATCAAAAGCTTGACCCATGAGCAAACGGAAGAACTCTTGTTGAACGCCACCATGGTCAAGTCCCTCTTCTCCTTCATCCATGCCCATTTGCACCTTTAAGGGTCGCATGAGTTCGCGCTTTTCACGCCGCCATAACTGGCTCAAGGCATCGGAGAGAATATTGTCCCGGCGGACAACAAGAACAAGGTAAGTGGACATGGATGTTTTCATGCGGGTGAGGAGTCGAGGGTCATCGGAAATTTGAATAGCGCCGAAGGCAGTCTGGGTGACATGTCTCGTGGTGGTCATAGCAGCCTCATAGGACTTGGTCATGGCGGAATAGTTCAAAGCACGAAAATAGATCACGAGAGATGATGGAGGGAAGAGGAACGAGTATGACAGAAGATGCATCGTTCGGTTGTTCGAGAGGCTACCGACCCATGCCACAGGCATATCCAAAGGGTCCAGACGCTCTGTAAGAAGGGGTGTATGGAAGTCTTCGGGTAAAAGACCTAACCGGTTTCGTTCCTTGTACATTGAGGCTAGAATCTGGACAGCACCACCGGCTGGGCTGCTACGAGCCATTTCAGGATTGCCATCCCATTCGCGCAGAAAAAGAGTGCGAAGCCACTCAACAATGAGTGAGGCGGGGCTAACAGACTCACGGGACTCATCGCTGCCGGCAGTATGAGACATGTGGTGCTCACTAAGATAGTCAACCACGAGGTCCAGCACGCTGGGCCTAGGCTGTTTTGGTAGGTCTAGGCTGTATACTTGGCGGGCTTTGGAGATTTCATAGTATGCTAGTCGTGCAGTGAGAGCCCGCACGAGACGATTAATGAGGCGGAGTCCTAATTCGTGCTCGAATCTGTCCGTCACCTCGATAGCTTCCTGAGCATTCTTCGGGGGTAGCTTGCGCATGTCCGATAGTGAAGCAACAGACCCAGCGGCACGCATACGAACGATCGTTTTCCAAGTTCCCAAGTCAATATTAGGCATAAAGCTGACCAAAGCAAACAAGACAACTGTGGTAATGTAGGCGGCCTCAGGATCCGACAGATGATCGTCATTGGCAGACTCAGAAATTCGTCGGGGTACAACTGGAGGGGGCGCAGGTCCTGTCATAGTCGAACAACGAGACGATCGGCGGGATGGCCGCCCAGAAGAGGTAAATTCCCGTGGGGGAACAAAGAGTTTGTCCAGAGAGGTCCATAGGCTGTGTAGCGCAATATCCCATGGGCAAATTATAAACAGGCGTTGCAGCGATGAATGCAAACGGGAAACATCAAGACGACTGAACGTAGCCCCGATGATATCCCTTGACTCGCTACCAAAGGAGCGGAGGATCTGATTGGGGCTACTGAGCACGAAAAATGCACTTTGAGCAACGAACGGAAATACTTCGCGTTGACGTAGAGTTGCAAAACGCCAATCGGGCTGCTCAAAACTGCCAGCACACTGGATACGATCGAGCTCCTCCTCCCAGCAATCAGCATCTTCGGCAGATTCAATCATGACTTGTGACAGACCATCGATGATCTCGGGTGTAAGATGAGTCAACGCCTGAGCCAGCGGGATCGTGTCTAGCGAGGGTTCGACGGGAGTTTGCTTTGTCTTGTGCTCACTGGGAGATTGGACAACAGAAGGAGGAAGAGAAGGAGGAGGCACGAGTTCCGTACTCGCCGTACTATTGATAGGGGATACTTCATCGAGCAGCTTCTGACTGTCCCAGGAGACACGCCGTTGGCTCTTGCGCTGATCCTTCAGAGGAGCTGGATCGACGTCCCCAATCCTTCCGCGGTGCTTCTGCGGACGGTGCTTTAACGCCGGTGGCGAGGGTAAGTTGATGAACTCATCAGACGAAGCCACTGGAAGTTTCTTGTTGAATTCTGGTTTCCTTTTATCGTCAAGGCTTGAACGTGGACTCTGGCGCCAATGGTCAACCTCAGAGACAGATAGTCGCTTGACGTGCTGGTTCTGAAACTTGAGCTCGACCGCGGAGGGGTGAGATCCCGATGTTCGCAACGAAGGAGTACGTGGCTGAGAGCCTGGTTGGTGTGTAAGTGTAGAACCGGGGATTTTGAGATCTCTGCCTGGAACTTTATTGGCATGGCAGTGGTGATTCTCAGTGGTGAATGAATGGCCTGCGGCTCCCGGTGCGGGTGATTCGGGCGTTGACTCTAATGTATCTTGAGCACGGCGAAGTGGAAGCCACTCAATCATACGGAGCGAGATTGTATCAAACAGGTTCTGTGTAAAAGACTTGGGGTCTTTTAGTTGTTGCTCGGCTGTATGGTCGAGGTCTTGAATATAGCTTCCACCAGCACGGATTTGGGCCGAAGAACCTCCTCCTTCCACTTCTGGGACTGTTGATCTACTGTGCGCAGGACTGGACATATCGCCGGCCGAGTACTCTTCGTCGTTCTGATCCAGTTTTGGTGATCTGTTAGCCACTGCCGTCTGTGCTTCAAGTGTACGTGTTCGGCGCAGGGAAATCCGATGGTAATCTTCCGCTGTCAATTGTGGTGGTGGCTTAGGCACGTTCAAACATAAACCGGTCTCTGCGTCGTCCAAGCTGGCGAGGTAGCATGCCAGGGTCCTCGCACTCAGTTCGGTGTATCGACGATACGGACCTTCACTGAGTCTTCGGCGATGACTAGCACATGTGGAGGTTCGACATGCGGGATCATCGCAGCCGTGAAGCAGTTGAGCTTTGTACCTTTTCCGCCAAACCGATTAGTGCCATGCGGAGTTGGGAGTTTGAGGTCTAGCGTTTAGCTCCACTCACCTGCGCACCAAGCCATTAAATTTTCGTCTTCGATCGTCACGATATCGTGGTAGCACCCTGGAGGGGTCGGAAACCTCGATAGTATTCTGTATGAGCACATCCGGTGCGTTTGGTGGGAGCTTTGACCGATAACTGTGAGTTCGCCCGTGGCCGGGGGATCGCGCGATGTCTGGGTCATCGATGGAACCTCCGCGGAGCCTTGTCATTTTCACCAGAGTCGCATATCTAACAGATTGAGAATAGCGGTATGCGAGTAGGTGCGCTAGTAAGCTGTCTGTTCCCAACGCGTTTGAATAAATGACGACCAAGACGTTCCAGCTCACCTATCGTAGTAAGACCGTGATGCCTTAGGCATAAAATATCCACTCTTGGCGTCGGAGTTGGCGGAAGTCAAATAATCCGACGAACTTTGGTTACTCAGCCCGCGACCTTTTTCGTTAATTACTAAGCCGTTTATGATCATCACGCTTACCAAAATAGTACTAGTAGCATTTTCAGAGTTTCGTCGATAAGAATAATTCAGATCAGCCCTCCATGGCTAGAGGTCGAGTGCATAAAGACTGACTCACAGAAGCATTTCCTTTCAAAATTTCTTCTCTTCTACATCCATCTGGGCCTCATCACTTTCATCTACTTTGATCCTCATTCTATACCCAGATCATCCAAAAAATCTTCAAAATCGGGTTAAGGCAGAGCCTTCATATGTACCCCGCCTACAACAAATATTCATCCCACAATCCACAGGGAAAACTCGCCCTTTCAACCACCCACGACTATCAAAAATCCACCGATATGTCGTCGATCAACCAAGACGCAGCCTCGCTGCAATACACTTGCAACACCTGTCTTGTTGCCTTCCACCGCAGCGATGCCCAGAGAGATCACATGCGCAAAGACTGGCAGTAAGTCATGATTCCTTTTTTCCTTTCATTTTTTTTTGTGGATTCAGTAGCTGATTTGTCCTAGTCTATACAATATGAAGCGTCGCATCGCTTCCCTGCCACCTGTCACTCTCGAAACTTTCAACGAAAAAGTTCTTGCTGCCAAAGCCACATCCAACGAGGCCGCCGCCAAGGCTTCATATGAAAAGACTTGCCACACATGCAACAAGGCATTCTACAGCGAAAACTCGTACCGGAATCATATCAACAGCTCGAAGCATAAGCAACGTGCGGCTAGCCTACGTAAGGATGGCGATGCTGCCTCCGTCCAGAGTTCCGCTTTCTCTCTCGGCGAACCCGTGACCAAGTCCGACAATGATGTCAACAAGGTCACTGAGGACCTTAAGGCTGCCACCATTGATGAAGAAGAAGACGAGGATATGGAAACAGATATCAAGAAAGACGCATTCTCGCCGTCTCGCTGTCTTTTCTGCAAAATCGATTCAACCGACATTCACACCAACGTGGACCACATGCGCAAAGATCATGGCATGTTCATTCCTGAACAAAAATATTTGGCGGATCTCGATGGCCTTGTGAACTATCTCTACCGAAAAATCACCGAAAACTTTGAATGTCTTTATTGCCACGCCATGAAGAACGACGCACAAGCCATCCAAACCCACATGCGCGACAAGAGCCACTGCATGATTGCCTTCGAGTCCGAAGAAGAGCAAGTTGAAATTGGACAGTACTACGATTTCCGGAGTACATACTCCGATGACGAGGATGAATCCACTGCCGAGAGCGGCGGCGTTAGAGTGAACGGCGACGAAGACCAAGGCTGGGAAACCGATAGTTCCGCATCCTCTGTTGATGAGGACGATCTCGACTCATATCGAAACGCGTCAGGTGCCTACGAGGCAGACTACGAGCTCCACCTTCCATCCGGAAAAAGTGTCGGCCATCGTTCGCTTGCCAAATACTACAAGCAAAACCTGCACAAATACCCCTCAGCCGCTGAACGAGCTGCCCGTCAGCTTGCCATCGCGAATGGAGAAATTGAAGAGGAACCTCGTGTGCGCAATAACCATCATCGCGCTCTTGTCACTCGTGCCAACGGTGGCATGGGCATGATTGGGGTCACCGAAGAGCAAAAGGAAGCTGCTCTCATTGCCGACCGCCGTGAGAGAACTCGTGCCCTTCGCCAAGAGAATCGTTATGTTGCCCGTGTCCAGCGTGCCAACAATCACCAGAAGCACTACCGCGTATGTTCAACCTGTGCTGTTCTTTTGTTTTACAAAACTAACTTCCTCACTAGGATCCCCTTCTGCAATGATCGCTTCATCACTACATCAACAGGAAATCACATCAATCGACCGGTTTTCATTTACGGCAACGTCTTTTGGACATCACCAACGAAATATCGCCAATACTCGCAATACCTCAACAATCATTGCAGTTCTTCAACTTGCACGCTCGTTACTCCCGTGCCTCCCGTGCCCGAAGACTGCTCAACTTTTGGCGACCTATGGGTTTCTCCAAGCCTTTCGAATCAACGAAACAACCAAGTGAGGTACTCTTTCCGAACCGGGCCATTTTCTCAAATGAGTTTTTCAACCCGGACGGTTTTAACGAGGCCTCACGAAACATTGGGCAACTTTATGATGGACGTATGGATAGGGATGACATGTTGCATATACCTTTTGTTGTCATTGTGTCGTCATCTCCTGTTATCTGGGGGAGTTTTTTTTGTAAAGAGCATTCATGTATCTAGTCTGACAAAATCAAAGCAAATCTGCACAATGTCTCTCCATGTTGTAATAGGTGTAACCGCATGTCTATTCTATCTCTCCAATGTAGCCTACGAGGTGTATGACTGAAATCTACCCTAAATAGTTCGTACCATATGTCAAATTTCCAGCGAATCAAGGGGTTTTTGCCTGTACACTTGCCAGAAAAAAAGCACTCATACCATATTGTTCAAGGTTGCTCACTCTGTCCGTAGCCGCGAGGATTAGGCGGTCAGTCTCCTTCATGAGCTGATCGCCCGCCTGCTCCAACACGCGGTTCTCGGACTCCTCTTCCTCCAGTGCTTCATTGAGGGCTGCGTTCTCATCCTCAAGGGCCTGTTTCGCCCCCACAAGAGCGTCGTGCTCAGACTTCAGCTGCGCATATTTCTTCGACAGCTTCTTGCCGGCTCGCAGGTAGCCGTCCCCCTTCTGCACTGACTTGACCACACGTTCGGTCTCCTCCTCCAACTCGTGTTCGGTCTTCGTCAGTGCTTCCTTTGTGACCTGCTGGTAGGTCGGACGATAACCTTAGAGCCAGGTGGAGATGAGGTCGGCGGAGGCCGCCCGAGCCTTGCAGACCCTGGGTAATGTCCGCGGCCTCCGCCCCGGGTAATTTGAGGAAGAGAGAATGGAGAGAGAGGGATAAGAAGTAAGGGAAGGGATTTAAATACCTTGAAGGATTCAAGAATAGTTTGGCCGCATAAGCCTTGTGATGTCTTTCCAGCGGTCTTTCCAGCGGTCTTTTTAGTGGTCTTTTTAGTGGTCTTCCCAGATAATTGAAATTCAGACGTGGAAACAAGGAGTTCAAGGGCGAGAGGGGGGGTTATACTCTTGGCCATAAGAGACGTGGCTTCCAAAATAATCAGTAACTAGCTATTTTGAATTAAACAAGGTTTATTAGGCGGGATGCTTCTTACAAGTAACTTGATTCTTTATCTCTAATACATCCAATATAATGCATTAACGAAAGTGTGTAGAGATACGTAAACTGCCATAGTTGAAAGGCAGCTTCAAAGCCGTTGAGTTATTATAACCGGAACCAATTCCTTCCCTGAAACACCAGCATTCACTAATCAATGTGCAAAACATATCAAAGTGTGACAGCACACGCACTCAAGATTCCAGTTTCCTTGGCCAAAGCAGCAGTAACATGAGCAGGAACTCCTCTGTCAATGCCAAGAATCATCAAGGCTTCGTTGAGTGAATGGCCATCCAAAGCTAGCTCTTCAGAGCCTCCATCCGCCGGAAGAGGCTTTGGCTTTTCATTGGTAGCTAGCTTGGTTGACACAGGGGCAACAGTCATGAAATTGATATTGACACCCTCTTGACCAAGAATATTCCCCACAACACCGATCTTTCCTGGCGAGTCATAGTTTTCACAGATCAACAAGGTTCCCTCTGGCTCAAAAGAAGCTTCAAATCGACCCAGGCGAGTTATCAAGGGCTGATCTCCGGAACAGGTGCCAGAAATAATTCGCTGCTGTTGGTCTGGAATGGACCCAATGGAGATGTCTCCCGAAGCTGGAGCTCGGGACGATGCCCGAGAGGGTGGACGTGCAACAAGAGTGACCAGCGACGAATAGGACGAGTGGTCTGCCGGATCGCGAGAGTGCTGCTCCGAGACAAAGATGCCACGTTCGCGAGCCACCAGCTCAGCATTGACAATATTAATATTGAGTCCCTCAATGCTACTAATAGGGGCAAGGAGACCCTTAATCAAAGCGGCGAAGAGCGGCTTTGTGTTGTTAATGCTAGCTAGCTCGCCTTGATAGATCAGATCAAAGGTGTTCCTGCCCATTGCTCCACCAGGAGAAGCTGCGTAGTGCTGAGTGTATAGGCTGCCCATCTTTTCGACCAGTCGTACAAATGGCTGCAGCTTTTTGTATTCCTCGGGCAGGATGAGAGGAGCATTGACAGCGCTGCGCGGCAACGACCCTTGCAAGATTTCCAGTACTTGTTCGCACACATCGACTGAAACGTTCTCTTGTGCCTCTACTGTTGAGGCACCAAGGTGCGGTGTTACGACTGCTCGTGGGTGGGCGATTAATCGTGCCGCAGATGAATCAGGAGCAGGAGGTTCTGACGTAAAGACATCAATAGCTGCACCGGCAAGATGACCTGATTCCAGTGCGGCAAGCAGTGCATCCTCGTCGAATGTGCCTCCCCGTGCTACATTCAATACCCGCGCACCTGGCTTCAGCTGTGCCAGCTCGGCCTCCGCGATCATCCCTCGAGTTGAAGCAATGAGTGGTGTATGGATGGTTAGAAAATCTGCAGATGCAAGCAGCTCCGGGAGCGAGGATACGAGGACAACCGAAGCCGAAGCCGCAACTGCCGGGGATGCATATGGATCGAGGGCATTCACATTCATGCCCAAACCCTTGGCCAGTCGTGCTACTGTCAATCCCACTAGTATAATGCACGGTCAAATCATAATTCCAAACAAGCCAATTGAGGGATACTTACCCTTTCCTAGACCGATGATGGACAAGGTCTTCCCCTTGACTTCCACGCCGACGAATTTACTTCGTTCCCATTTCCCGTCTTTGAGACTAGCACAGCTCTCGGGGATCTTTCTCGCCATGGACATCATCAATGCAATTGTATGCTCAGCGGCAGCGCCAATGTTCCCTGAAGGTGAGTTAACCACAACAATTCCGAGCTTTGTAGCCTCCTCGACATCTATATCACGATTAATAGCTCCCCACAGTACAACAGAATTCAAACATACCAACATTGTCAACTCCAACACCAGCACGTGCTACAACCTTGAGGTTTTTTGCAGCTCGCAGCACAGTTTCAGTAACTTTGGTCTCGGAGCGAACGAGAAGTGCATCGTAGTCTGGGATTATCTGAAGTAATTCATCCGCACTGAGACCTTTTCGTTCATGGACATCTAGTGAGCTACGCAGAAGAGCCAGTCCATCTGGTGACAGCTTTTCAGGCACGAGGACCTTGGGACGAGATGCTCTAAGAAGAGGCATGATTCAATTCAATTGAGGGGGAAAGAGAAAGACAAAGACAAGCCCATTTTAAGCCTTCGAATTTCAAGTTTACTGCCCGCGGCAGGCGCGCCCTCTCATCCTTGTCCAATCATCCTCTCTATATACAATATGTCCAGTTGTACAGAACGCGGGGTACAACCATGATCATTGGAAGCATCTACAAGGTACCCAGGACTAGTTACATATGTATTCTGCATCTGAATCTGACAAGTCCATATTCGACTTCAACATATCCATTCTCCGGTCTTCATGCCATTCCCCTTCCCCATATTCTCCTGGACATCAATGCCATATGTTGTTTGTTTAAGGTGAAATTTATCCACCTTTGAGACTTTGTCATTTTTCTCTTTCAATAGGTTTTGCTAGGAAGGCATTGTTTCTAGGAAGGGATGGTCCTCTGGAAGATCACTAACTGTCCAATAATGGACCGGAATAGTCTACTTCGACTCCTTCGATTCCTGGTAATCAATGGAGAAAACATCTATCGCAGAAATATCTCTTGCTTATCCATAGACTCATCATACAAGAGCGTATAGGCAAGCTGTCAACCACGTGGCTGCTCAGAACGCTCGTGGGAATCCCACGAGGCCGGTTACCATCCCTCACAGTATTCCCTTTTTATTCTCAAGGAAGATCACCAGCAGTTGAAGTATTTTTCAACTCGATTAAGATAAGTCTAATAATTGGAAGATAATTGCTCTCGTGACCAGGAGAGTTTCGGTCTTTCCGAATATCGCAATTTATAAATAGGGGTGTACAGAATGTTCGGGATTATGGACCTCGGGATCTATATATTGCTTTACCTTTTGAGGTAGAATCCCCCCCTTCCGTTGATCTGAACAGTTTTTTGATAAGGGGTTTTCTTATTTGTTGCAAATTCGAAAATGAAATGTAAATTGAATAAGTAAAAATAAATGAAGATAATGAAGATGAAGAAAGTTGAATATGAAGATCCGAACTTGAAACGGTTTTTCCCCGCAGGACCCTTTTGACGCTTGGCAAAATATCAACGGTAACAACATCCTAGGGCTGACAGCCTCTTCCCCCTCGAATTAGCTCTCTACTCAGCTCTTGAAAAGTTTATCCTCCCCAGGAAAATGGGTACTTAACTACACTTTCGAATTCCTTCTGATGAACTATACACTATGGTGGGAGTACCGCACAGTACAGGCTGTGCCCTGTGCCGAGAGCGACGCATCAAGGTCAATTTCCATCCAAGTAATATTGAGGCTCTCGGGCTAATAAGGTTCATAGTGCGATGAAGTAGTTCCAGAGTGCAGTCAGTGCCAGAAATATGGTCGTGCCTGTCCGGGTTATAAGCGAACCTTTCGCTTTCAAGATGAAGGTCCCAATCTCGCCCGGCGACATCGCTCCAATACGCGACGGAGGGGGAGAAGCGCATTGGCAGGCCCACCCGTATCGGCTACGTCTTCAACTTTAGACCGATCGCCCCCCGATGACTCCGCTGCCGCGGATGTAGTGCGCGGTAATGCGATTGCCCTCATGCGACGACACTCATCCTTGGGTGGCTGGGATGAAAAACTGTCGCCGTCGCTGGTACGCCAATCTTTCCGTGCCGCACAGCCACAATTATTTCTCGATTTCATCAGCACATCATTTCCGACCCTCTATTATCATAATCGGTTCCGATCTGGCAATTCACCCGGGTTCGCCGAATATATCGTCATGAACTTTGGCAAAGATGCTTACCTTGACTCCGCAATTTGCTCCTTGAGCTCGGTCTATTTAGCACACTTGACTCAAGATCAGGCCCTCCTCAAAGCAAGTCGACAAATGTACTCGAAGTCGCTCGGTGCGGTTATCAAGGCCCTCCCGAAACCCGACCATGCCAAATCTGACAACATGTTATGCACGTCCATCATCCTCAGTGTCTTTGAGATGTACGCGCAGACCACTCCCGACGCCTGGGTGGCGCACTCCGACGGTGCCAAGCGTCTGATGATAAGTCGAGGCCCAGCAGCGCACGAGTCCGGGTTCGGAAGATACTGCTGGATTGCATTCCGCGGCTTCTTCATCGCCACAGCAGTTTACGAAGGCAAACCCTGCTTCCTAGACCAAGAAGATTGGCAATCCTACGCGACGAAAGTCAGGACCGAAGACTGTCAGAAGTCCGGGGAGTGGTCTATATACGGAGAAATATCCGACCTTGCTTTTATGGAAATCGCCAAATGCCCACGGTATATCAGCGATACTCGCGATCTCCTTTCAGCCTCGACCGAGCCGGACTCCAATGCTATCACAAATCTCACCAAGCGCATACATGACACTTCTCGTCGGCTACGCTCGCTAGCCGCAGAGCTCCGGTCCTGTATCAGTGCGCACAGTCAGCGCCAGCAAGGTATCGTCCAGCGACCGGGATCTTTTGTTGGCCCCGTACCAGAGATATTCCCGGACACCGGTCCGTCGCTGCTCCTAAATGGAGCAGAAAATATGCTAGAGACGCTACAGCAGCTCTCCAACCGTCTTGAAGACCGATTACGCTTTCACCTCGTCGAGGATCATTCGCCGGAGTCCTCTGTCGTCACACCACCCAGCATCGATAGTGAATACTCCATATCCCCCTTTTCTACGACGTCGAAGACCTCCGCCATACCATTTCGCATTCATTCAGAGCTTGGACAAGGTCCGTCCAAGACCTCTGATCCACATGACCCCCGTGCTGTGATCTGGTTGGATCGTATAGCGTCGTCGATGGGTGTCCTCGGCGCAAAGGTCCTCCCGGGTGATACCTCGAGCACTCCACTACAGATCGAGAGCTCACCTCAATTATTGGAGCCGCAATAGTCAATGATTATTGTGCTGACATGAAATGTGATACGACAACATATCTGCTCCTAGCTGGCCTAGGATGAACTTCCACATAACATTACACTCTACTATCCCTGCCAAACCATGCGCAAAGAGACAACTCAGATATTCATGTGAATTTAGATGCATATACTACCCTAATAATCCAAAGACTGTTCCAGCAAGTTCCTCAACTCACCCCTCTCAGCCTCCAACTCCTTACTCAAACTCGGTGCGAGCATAAGCACCCGCTGCTGCGGAATAGTCCCATCAACCAACCCATCCAAATCCGCAGCCTTGAATCCTAAATCCTTCAACCCACGCGGCTGATCACCAAGCTTGACGAGGAACTCCGCAATTGCGTTGCCCAGTACCTCACCCGCACTCTCTCGCTTAACGTTGGAGATATCCACACCAAACGCCTCGGCCGCTGCAAGATGGCGATCAAGGTTTGACGCCGCGGTAAATCGGAAGACAGCAGGCGCGGTGACAGCCACAGAAACACCGTGGGGGATAATGGGGTGCTCGACCTCATAGCCCGCATGCTTATAGCCAGGGTTCTGGCTGGAGATGGGGTAGCTCATACCGTGGCAGAGATGAACACCTGCATTTCCGAAACCAACACCGGCGAGGGTAGCCGCGAGCAGCATCTCCGACTGTGCTTCGTGGTCATCTGGATCGCGGACTGCGCGCGGCAGGTACTTAACTGTTGCGCGCAGGGCGGCGAGAGAGAAAATGTCGGAGATGGGATTTGCACCCTGGTAGGCGGGCCGGTTAATGGGGTTTGCTGGGCGCGGAGTGCGCTCGTTGTATGGGATCGCGGTCCAGGATTCGAGGGAGTGGCAGAGGACGTCGAGACCGGAGGCGGCCGCCACAGCTGAGGGCATGGTGCGTGTGTTGAGTGGGTCGCAGATTCCAAGGGTTGGCTTCAGGTTCCGGTGGGCGATCCCAGTTTTGGCTTTCTTGGATACTAGATCGAAAATTGCCGTGCCTGTTGTCTCCGAGCCTGTGCCTGCTGTTGTTGGGACGGCGACGAGTGGGCGGAGAGTCCTGTCCACCGGCAGGCCTTTGCCCAAGGGTGCATTGACGAAGTCGAGGAAATCTGCTTCGGGGAAGACAGTGTATAGATTCATCAATTTGGCGGTGTCGATTACGGAGCCGCCCCCTGTTTTGGTGTTAGTTTGTATAAACTAGGGGCTAGGGGACAAGGGAGACACGTACCGACGGCTAGGAAGGCATCAGGATTATACGGCTTAGCGAAAGCAATAGCCTCTTTTATACTTAATTCAAAACCATGTTAGTACATAGTACAATAGTCATGCTTAAAGCTAGGGGGTTCTTACGAGCTATCCTTGGGCTCGGTGCGAACTTTGTCAAAGATAGTAAATTCAATACCCTCACGAGTAAGGCCTTCAACGGCCTGCTTCATAGCATCAAGCTTGGCGACATTGGAATCGGTGACAATGCACACACGCTTTGCGCCGAGGTTGGTAAAGTCCATTCCAACCTCCTTGGTTGCGCCGGGTCCGAAGCGAATGCTAGACGCCGCCATCTCGAAGGCATATTCCTTCTCGCGCGAGGGGTCCACAGGTGTGGACATGCGACGCTTTACATGGTTGAGCAGAGATGGGCTTTGCTTGTGGTTATGGTGATGGTTGGGGTTCTTGTGGCACGGACAGTTGGGTGGATGAGTGTATTGTACTGTGCGCAGCAGGTTCAGGGCACGATTGGCCGCCGAAGGGGCGACTCTGATTGCGGGAGAAACCATTGCTTGATTCTTTAGACTTGGATAAGAAGAGAAAAGAAATCTCAGTAGTTCGGGGAGTAAATAAGTAAAGAGCGTCAAAGTGATGTGGGACAAATTGGGGAAAATGCGGGGAAATTGCGGACTTCTCGCCGAGGCTCTGGGGAAATCCTTCAACTTCCTTTTCTTTCTCCATTTTGGGGAATTCATTTCTTCTATAACCGAAGGAATATTGAACTATGAGTTATATCTTCTGTGGTACGCATTCAGAATACTAATCAAACAGACTTCAATTTTATTTTTGACCAAATCCAACCCTAACAATCTCCCATAATTTTTATACTAAACTAAACCCTCCCTAGCAAAGCGTCAAGACCAAATCCGTCGCAGAATCAACAGCCCTAACCTGACTACCAGCAGGAGGAACCCCATCCTTCCAATAAATCGAAGGCTCAGCAGGCGCAAGATTCACCGAGTAGCCCACAAATGGATCTCCAAAGACATCAGACAGATCATACCACACTTTATCCTGTCTCTGACCCCGTTCCTTTGCAGAGGAAAGGTTGTACGCAAAGATCATCTGCGGAGAACTGTTGTACAGTCCGTCACGGTTGGTGCTGATTTTGATTGCGATACCGCCAGTATCGGGGTTTTCGCGGAAAACCTCACTGTACCGATCATTTGGAAGGATAGTTCGCTTTGGTCTGACCGTGGAGGCCACGGACCAGATGTAGACGGGGAAATAGCACTTGTTGTGCACTATCGCATGGCCCAGGTTTCGATATGTGGGTAGTTGTGTAGAGGATGGTGTCCCATAGCTTGAGGATGGGAAGGCACCGTATGGTATGTCTCTTGAGTCTAGGTTGTCGCTTGGGGTTGGGGTTGAGAAGGCGAGAGTGGTGAGCGAGAGCAAGGGGAGGATAGTTGAGAAATACATCTTTGGTTGATTGTAGAGAACTGTTGGAAATATTCTTTGGTGTGTGTTAGAATCAGGAACTGGGAGAGCTTTATATAGGCGTTTTCTGTCGCGCATCTGGTATCATTCTTCATGTTGCCGTGTTGCACTGCAAGCCTGGGTCATTGGATCTAATTCGTCATAGCAAGATGCTTGTAGATATTATGAACCTTGGCTTAGAGGAAATTGGACGCCACATTATGCGGTGAAATCTAGATGTGGTGCAAATGAAGGGGTGTGAAAGTACCACAACGTAGTAGTCAAATAGGAGACACATCCGATTGTCCGACAGAAGAATATGAAGAATGTCACCATTTAGTACCTACTTAGTGATATCGGTTTGTAAGATTCCCAAGTCACAGTAAGGAATGTACGGGCCTTTAATTCTATATTTATGTAGAGGATAGGATGAGAAGCGCCAAACCGTCGGATATTTTACTCGTGTCTAATCGAAAGGTGTTGAAGAATGTTACTAGTACTCTACTTCCTCGTATAACCTTTTTTTTTCATATAAACCAAGTACACATACAGTAGTAAATAGCTAAATTAAGAAGGATTAGGCTTCTTCAGAAACCTCTACGGTCAGTTACACCCGTGGACGGCATGACACACTCTGCATATGCCAATTGATACTACCCGAAAGTAGCCATCACGATTTACAGCGTAAAAGCCCCGTGGCTACGGCAACTGTGGCGTTTTATTCATTTTTCCCTGAGGAATGTGAACCTTCTATGGATATCACACGGGGAATTTCTTTGAGTTTGAAACCGCCAAGGAATGTTAGATAGAGAGCTTCAATAGCCGACATTAAAGGTATATACCGGTTGGAGAGAACCAATGTAAGTAAGTGCATACAAACTTGGCATAATTCGTGTGGCACACCGAAAGGGTCGGTCCTTCACTTCTGATATCATCGATAGTATGTCCGACGTCCATCTGAGAACATGGTGAGACAGACCTAACGGCCTTGTGCGGCATATGAAAGGTTTCATAGATGTAACACCATACCACTGTGATTTAGAGAGGACCTAGGAACACTAGTTCAGCTAGAAGACCCAAGAAATGGCATGGTATCTAAATCAAATTACCACTCTGCCTAGTTAGTGACAGGCTGTCAGCTCTTCGAAATCTTGTTTGAGATCAGGACGTGCTCAAAAAACCGTTGTATATTCAAGAGATGGTGCCAAGTATGTACAGAAAGAAAGGAATCATAAAGTGAGTGCGACCAAGTACCATGTATATCAAATGTGGAGTACCAAAGAAAGTATTCAAGAGGAAGAAGGTCACCAGAGAAACCTGAATAGGAAGGGCAATAATAAGTTGCCAACCACAACGCACCCTCGACCCGTTTAGAATGACACGATCTCAGAGGTGCCAAGAACGGTGGTACCCTTGCGAGCGACCACCTGAATAAAACTAGTAGGAGGGTCGGTAATAGTAGCAGAACTCTCGAAGCCAGTGCGCTTAACCGTGGCGATCTGAGTGTTGTTGGTAGAGGTGGCGGAGGAAGCCGCGTAGATAACCCAGTTGTCATATTCGGTAGCGCCATTCCAGCTCATATAGACGGTAGCACCAGTGCTGGTGCTATTGACGAATAAAGAAGGTTTCCAGAAGGGAGTGGCAGTCCATTGGTGGCGGTAGCCACGGTAAGAGGCAACGGCATTATCGTCACCGAACTGAGCGCCGAAAACCATGTTACCATCACCATCAAACTCCTTGACTTTGGAAATGGAACCATAGGCCAGGAACGCATGACTGTCCACTTCACTGAGGAGTTGATAGCTGCCCTGGCTGACAGAGTGGATGGGGTCATTGGGGTCGGCCAGGGAGCGGAGATTAGTGACAGTCTTATCGTTCAGGTCAATAGCCATGCTGATGCCAGTGGACTCGGTCTGTTCGTCGGTAGGAGTATTGGCGTTGTTGAACAGATTAAGAACGAGGCCGTTGTCGGTCTCGTTGTAGACGCGCATGTCATGTTGCCATGAGAATTCGGCGTTGCCAACTTGCTTGAAGTCGGCCCCGTCCTCCCCGTTCACCTGCCACAACACGCTGCCGTTCTGAGATAGATAGTAACCCGACCACATGTGACGCAACGAGACCAGATAGCCGTGATTGGTGGTGGCGATGGAGTTGATATGGTAGGCATCATAGGGAGCATCCTGAGTGCCGGCATTCTTTCCGAGACCCTGGTGGGAGGTGGTCAAGGGAATCTCAGCTTCATGGTCAAGTGCACTCCATGAGTGCAGAACCTTGTTGGTGGGGATATCTATTTCGTAGAATTGACTGTCCAGCATCCACTGGGAGGAGGTGCCATTGATGGAAGTCAGGTCATGCTGAGTGACGTTATAGGCGGTACAAATAAGCGTGTTGCGGGAGGTAATGAGGCTCTCGTGCATGTCACAGTATGAGTCCTTGGTTGACCCGTCCGGAGTAACGAAGTGACCGGTAAGTTGGACAGTGTAGATCTCCTTGTAGGTATCGTCAAGGATGTGCACAGTCCCGTAACCGTAGCCGATGGACATCATGTCTCCAGCCCAAAAGGTGAGAACATCCTTGCCGAAGAGCTTTTGCACCATGAAGTTAGCAGTCACACCTTCAGGGCCTTCGTACACCAAGTCACCCGCATCATCGTAAATGAGCGCAGCGATCCCAGCATCTTGAACGGCTCCTCGAGGACCGAGGAAGATGTAGCCGGGATCGGTAGTTCCGGTTTTGTTGACCTCGAGCTTCGGTGGCTGGAATTGGATCGATTTGTAGGTTGAATAGTCCCAGGCAGTTGCCTGAAGGGACAAAGCCAAGGCACTGCCTGCTGTATACCACCACGGAGCCATATCCAAACAAAGACTAAAAAGAGTGTATACTATAAAACTCAATAAAAGAAATGGCAAAATAAAGAATGACGATAGTAGGATCAATAAGGAGTGATTTAAGATCCGGACATGACAGGAATCACTTTGAATTAAAAGAACAAGCCTTCAGTAAATTGCAGCCCTGAAGATCATTACCTTTCCATCGGAGTCCGGTGGGTTTGCGATGAAGCCATTGCCCAACCAGATTGGCCACCAACCTCTACCTTCTTCAAAGATGTGGGACTGTGAATAAATAGCCTTGGCCATCGTCATTGCTCCACATGTATAATCCTTAAACTGATTGATAAAGCGTGGTATATTCGATTCATAACAAGAGACATGTTGCGAAGTAATTGACGCAGGAACTAACAAGACGGTGCACGTGAGAATAGTGCCGATCAAGATAAGACAGTTGCAGTAAAGACTCGGATTAAGTGATCAGCGTGACGATCAATTGTGGTCCCAATTTCCGGCAGTCATGGCGGCATGGTATCGCCCTCTTTTTGACATGTGTCGTCGCATCTTATCTTGGAGGAATTATTCTGGTCAGCTGGGCAAAGCACTTGCATCGCATTGTCCGCTCTTCCTTTTATCACTGATATAAGTAGCATACCCTGCTAGAGTTCAGTGATTCGCATCTTCTCATACACGGGCGGAACCACCTAGGCAGTTTAACTATCGATTCAGCTTCAAGATCTGTTACGGTGGATTTCCCGGAAAGGAAAGCATCGAGTATAACATTGAGAAATTCGCATCTCTTTTGTTTGATTCAAAGAGTACAGTCTCCAACCACCAGTGCTCCATAACAGATTTTCGTACAGTAAATCTGCTAATCCCATTTCTATGGTTAGTTATATTAAGCGATTGCTTACTCATTTTTCTACTATGCCCAGGTGGATCCGCCTTGTGGGTTATGAGACAGATCGGGGGCGTACTATATGTATTCTAACGATCCTATCACAACTCATAGGTACGATCGACTTGCAAAGAGACTAAATCTACACGAATTCACTGATTTCTTCCTTATTAAAATCGTTATGCGCCTTACAGAACACAGAAGTTACTAAATTTATTTTTCACGAAACTACAGATTAGGAGATGAGATGTACATACTAACATTAGCATCGACTGTTTCCAGGGGGAAAAACAGGATTTATTCAGATGTGTAAAATGCCTATATAACAAGACGCGTACGCAATTCGAATTTCTCCTCTCGCTAGGGCCAATGTGCCAAAGTACGAGAGAAGGATCTTAGAATGAAGTCAGTGCATTGGCTTATTAGCCTAATCTGTCGGGTTTAATGGCAGAATGAACTGTTACAAGGATTAAGAACGACGGTCGTGCTATGTACAACATAGTGGGAAGTCTTGGAATTGCACCAGGCATCGGCAACGGATATTTCCTTAAATAGGGACGACAAGCATGTAAACTCTTTTCACAGGGGAAATGCTAGTCTGAAATGCTCCACAGGGCTTTTTTCTAATATAATATGTATTAGATAACGGTATGGAGTACATAATAGATCTCTTTGAAGCAACTGCAGTTCAATGTATCGCGGAGTGTGAGAAATAAACAAGGGGAATGGATGTAGTGTGGTTGTGGAGGGGTTGTGGGTGGTGTTTATAAGAGATAATTTAGGGTCCAAGGCCCCAATGTTAAATTGCGAGGTTATTTTTTTTTTCTATATTAAACGCACATGGAGTTCAATGTTTCTACGAGTGATTGGGACATTGGGGTATATGTATTCAACTAATAGAAGATGTTTGCCTTTCAAGTATATTAGGTGTGATATTGTGCATACACTCGCGTGATGAGTCCCTAAGTGGTAAACTGTATACTCCTCGGGAAGTAAATGAAAGACGAAGAGCCGCCAACCCTGTGTGACAGGATTTCTTGGCATGGAAATGGTTTGATATGGCTTCATCTCTTCGGCAACTATGGGCACATGCTCTTTTTTTTTTACAAGATGCATCGGTAAATGTTCTATTGGTTAAGAGTTGAACCTTTGCAGATATCTCACCCACATGAACCTGTGGAGGAATATTTTAGGGGACAAGGCCATTCTCAAATCTCGGCCCGAATGGCCCCAAGGCCAGTTAAGAGGCGTCATAGACGGAGAAATACCGGGGAAATCGAATGTCTGACCTTTAGAGTTTTTTTTATATTAGTTGACTCTTTTGTGTTCTTTATATGTTGGTATTCTTTGTGTACAACATATGCTCTTCGTTAGGATTATATATAGCTTGATCATTGACATCTTAAACCATTGAAATCTGTAAATAACATCTACATTTGAAGAAAAAAATAAAATAAAGGACAAAACCACCGTGCATGTCTTAGCTTAGCTCGTATTTGTCCCCATAAAACGCCACCTCCGGTCCTCCGCACGGACAGAAATCGCGGGGAGAAGGACATTAAGGGAAAGACCAAGACTGTTTTGCCATGTGGGATCCATGGGTTTAATTAAAAGAAAATGGCTAAAGGGAATTGAGGCATTGAGGCACATGAAATGTTTCGATTTTTCGAGATTATCCCCTATTTCCCCCGCATTATACCCCCTGCTACAACGGTAGACCAGTGGCGTAAATTACTTTTTAAACCAAATTAGAAGGAAAAAATATTACGCTTGGAATTGCCGTTATTAGGTACACAATATATTATATAAATAAATCTCCTCGCTCTTTATTTTGAACCCTAGTAATATATGTTTGTGCGAGAGCGGCTCTTTTTTTGATATGCCTTCAAGGTTGCGCTTCATTTCTCTCACCTAATTATCCTTCTTCCATCTCGCCCCTTTAACTCTCTCTCTCTCTTAACCGCCCACACTTGACATGACTACAACCCACGATGGCTAGCGATCACATCTCGAAGCCCACCGAGGCCGATGCCCTGATCCTCGAAGCTTGGGGACAAGGTCTAATGGTCGGAAGTCTACTCATTATGGCTGCTATTACTCTTGCAAATATGAAGTCACATATTCTCCTGCATAAGCTGATTTTCGCCGAGGTCCGTGGGAGTCAAAAAAAAAGCCCGGTCATTATCGGTCCAATGGAGTTTCAGCTAACCTTTGCAATTGACTATAGCTCATCCTGGCCATGGCCCATGGTACTTTCATCTTCCCTCATGAACCAGTCTACGGCTGGTATCTATCCGTCACCGCCATCGGTCTTAACATCTCCTGGGCCCTACACAATGTGATCGCCTGGATGAAGAATCGCCCATTCCTATCACGAAAAGTCTCCCTCTTCTACATTACCACCGTGGTCCTCTGTTGGCCCTATTGGGGTCTGGAAATCTACGCCAATTTCACATACTTTAACAATATCAATAAGATTTTCTTGACGACTAGGCCAATGGAGCCATTATTCCGGTTCGCCATTCCCTCTTAGTCAAATACCATTTGCTCCTTTCTATCTGAATCCCTCGTCCTAACATCATACAGCGACCCATGGTGGATCTTCACCACAGCCAGCCTATTCTGGACCATCAAACGCGAATACAACTTCGGATTATGGGAACTAGTAGTCGTCAGCCCCCGCTTCGGAATCATGCTAGCAGCAATGTGTCTCTCAATCATCTTCATGATCGTCGACACCTGCAGCGTGCTGAATGTATTTTCGAGCAAGCTCCCAACAGGTGTCGAGCCATTCTGGAAAGTAAGTACCATCCCACATCCGACTCTAGTTTCCAATACTAACCTCACCCAGCTATCCTTCATCTTTAAATGTCTCTGCGACACGGTCATTCTCGACGATTTCAAAACCGCCCTCGATCACTTGCGGATACACTGGATGCGCAAGAAGAACGGCGAGCTGTTCGTCACGCCGCTCGCCACTAATTCGCCTCACTCCAGCCCTCATGCCAACAGAGTACGTAGGGATATCGAGACTGGCGATTCACATCTTTCACCGTTGACACCCACGAAGGGTTCTTATGCCCGTGCAGTACATCTAGACAATGTTTAGATCTTTAACGAAATACCCGACATTCCTTCGAGGGCGCATAGCTGGATTACGATTATTTTCTCTTTAGCCTGGGGGTTTGGCTTCACATTGTACATATGTTAGGAATGGTGTTCGGGACTCTGTTTTTCTTGACCTCGGTGTTACTGGTGAGGTTTGGCGTACCCGGAAATTATTGCAATTGTACATACCCCGATTTACTTGATAGTGATTTGAACCAAATCTCAAGAAAAGAACCAAAAAAAGGGAAGGCCTTTCATAGGTGAGATAGTTAATGAACATACAGATTCTCTTTTATATTAGAAATTCATAGGTGAGATAGATCTACACATTGTATACTTCCCCCCACTCACGGAGAATTGACTCGGAGAATTAGCGTGGCTTCATGTCGTGTCACATGAAGTTTTTCCCTTCTGACTACCAATAGTAAAAAGTACTCATATTGGGCATACTCTATTTATCCGAGTTTGTCTTGATATCCACATCTACATGGCTGTGATCTAGTTCCATCTCGCCTCACAAGAATATCACATCATTGACCAGTGAGGTCTGGATTTGGCCTGAATTGAAGAAAAGACCTCGTACAGAACATCATTTCCCGCTTCAATATACATCCCACGCATCACTTGACGTGCACTCGGAGAATTGAGGTGGTTAATGACACAACATCCCACGGTCCATCCTCAGTATCACAATGTAGACTCGAGTTTTGAATATAAATATAGCCATTTCGTCTGTAGAACACCCAGAATCCAGTCTCTTCAGAACACACTCTTCTATCCATTCTTCAACATGGGATCCCTCAACATTCCACAGACCCAAACAGTCGCCCTCGTCCGTTCACTGGGCGGCGAAGTCGAGTTTAAAACAGATTACCCCGTGCCAACCCCGGGACGCAACGAAGTCCTTGCCCAAGTGCTCTACACCGGCGTCTGCCAGAGCGGTATGTATACTGTCAAATGATCTAAGCACTCCCGCCAAGATGCTATCTCTCAACAAGACCTAACCTAACGCACCAACAGATCTACACACCAAAGCCGGCACCGCAGCTGGACCAGACGGTAACCCGATCACAAATATCAAACTGCCACACGTGGGTGGTCATGAAGGTATCGGCCGAGTGGTCGCACTTGGACCAGATATCACACATGCCGCGGGCCTGAAAGTCGGTGGCCTGGTCGGTATCCGGTTCGCGAGCCGCATCTGTCGACGCTGCGAGTTCTGCCTTGCAGGCACAGAGCAGTACTGTGTTGCGAGTACAAACCATCTTCACCATGAGGATGGCAGTTTTCAGCAGTATATTGCGCTCGATGCGGATTATTTGACGATTTTGCCTGATGATGTTGATCCGAAGGTTATGGGCCCGGTGCTTTGTGCGGGCTTGACTGCTTATAAGGTGCGTTGGGTGTTCTTGTTTGTGTATCTGGTCTGAGGCTAATGGGTGATTGATTAGGCCGTTTTGAATGCGAATGTTCGTCCTGGGAATTGGTTGGTGGTTGTTGGGGCCGGAGGTGGTCTCGGACATTTGGCTGGTATGTTTGCTCTTTTGTAGGGAAGCTGTGAGGCAAGTTGCAATCAACTGACAATATCCAGTTCAATATGCAAGAGCTCAAGGGGCTCTGGTAATTGGTGTTGACACTGGTCCCGGTAAGGGAGACTTTGTCAAAGGTCTCGGCGCGCAGGAATTTATCGACTTTGCCACCGAGGACCCCGTCAAGAGGGTGCAAGAGATTACTGGTTTGGGTGCACATGCTGCTGTAGTGACAGCAGGCAATGCGAAGGCGTTTGCACATGCTTGCGATATGCTGCGGGTTGGTGGTACTTTGAGTTGTGTGGGTATTCCCCCGGGAAGACCGACCTTGGAGACTCCTATCTGTACGATTGTTATCAAGGGCCTCAGGATCACGGGTAATCTGGTTGGATCTCTGAAGGAATGCATGGAAGCTGTTGATCTGGTACGACGTGGTATTGTTAATCCTGTGGTCAAGGTGCGGCCCTTCAAGGATTTGCCTCAGATATATGAGGAGATGGAGAAGGGTGATATTTCAGGGCGGATCGTCCTTCAGATCACAGAATGATCTTGTGAATATATCATTGAAACTAATGTTGATTTATCTGGAGATCCGATTGTACTAGCCAATCCAAGAAATCTGGTGTCAATTGATTTTGTTCGTCGAGCTCGCTGTTTGGTATGTATCCGGACATTTGGGCCTGGTGACGAAGTCCATTTTCGCCCGACTGTAGGCCCGCATCTTCCTCCCCGGCTGTCAGCAAGCGAGCTGGAGCTGCGACTAGAGCTTCGGCCGTTTTAGCACGAAGGATTGAATTCAACATAGCATCCTGTTCGAGAAATGGGACAATCTTCTGATACAATGCATGCAGAAAGTCCGGCGGCCCTAGTTCAAGCCGAGAGCTTATTTTGTGTGGAGACAAAAGAACCGTGTCCGCGAGCGAGTTCGCGACTTCGAAACATTTCAGTAACTGCAAAAGTACGTTAGTCATAACCTGTGTTTCTTTTATATCAAGGCTACTGACCTGGTCTCGTCCCAACGGGAGTAAATCTGTTTCGCTGAAGCCCCGCAAGGCTTGGAGTAAGCCACGGCTAACTTGAGCTGGAAACCCAAATTCCAAAACGGATGTGCATGCCGAAGAAGACAACAAGCCCATGGTGAGTGCCTCCTGCCAGAGAATAGTCCTCATCCATTCCCTTGTGATGTGATAGTCTGCTGTTCGGGTTGAAACGTGATTAGCCATGCTAAAGCTTAACGAGGCAAGCTTCGCCTCGGTGTCGGTCAGATGCGTAGCCATAGTGATCCCAAGGCGCGAATTGCGTCGAACCGAGATTTGATCAAATGCAATAAAGAGCTTGACAAGTTCTAGCAACCCTTGGGCATGAACATCGGCATTATTATTTCTCCCCAAATCTATTAATTCTGGGGGTTCAATGAATGAAGGGGAGAGACCCAGATGCAATGAATAACCTCTGTGGATAGTTAGTAAGTTATTCGGCGAATCCAAAGGTCCCTGCTTACCTCTCTGATACCCAAAGCAACGGAAATACCAACGCCTTATTTGCAATTACCTCATCTTCCTCGTGTGAAAACTCTTCATGCAACCGTAGAATACGAGCGCCAGCCATCGCCTCTTGCATGAACATCATTGCCGAATTTCGTTGGTTGACCTTGGCGTGGTACACATGCAAAAAGAAAGACACCAGAACGCTTCTCAGATCCAGATTCGCCCCATCGCTATTGCAACTTGCACGCATTCTTAGACAAGCTTGAGCCATTGTGGTACTATCCACTGTGTGAGATCCATCTACCAGGGGATCAAGATGCAACTGAGCCATTGTGGCTGCACAGAGGGACATGATAAGACACGAAGTATTCCCAACATTGTGGTCAAGACTTTCAGGATAGATATCCTCGAGCCTTCCTAAGAGTACTTCTGCATTGACTATAGGCCAGACATCGTATGAGTATTCCTGATATAGACGAATCACCGACGCAAGGATTGTCTTTGGAATAATGCACTGGGGCTTGCAGACTGTGGTAAATGAAGAAACGGTCTCATCTCTAGCGCTTTGCTTGCATGTATTATCTTGATCATTTTGCGGATTCCTTGTGGATTGGATCTCTGAAAGGTCGGTTTCTCGACGGCTAACTGCCCGTCGACATTTCGGGCCCCTCCTCTGTGCAGGCCTCAAGTACGTACATTGCACCCGCTTAACTGCGCTGCTACAGGTATCGCAGGGCCAGGAACCACTGCATTTGATTTTGCGAGAGATACATATATCGCAGGCTCGTTTTGGGGGCATGGGGACCTAAATGGTTGAAGGTGTCATGAGGAAAGATGCATGTTGGAATGTGGAGACGTTGGATTTCGTCAAGGAGGGGTATAGTCGGCAGGTTTGCCGATGTCTACATCTCGGAACATTTTATCTATGAAGTTTCATAGAATCCACTAGAGGTGCGAATAAATTGTCGAGACAATATAAAAGTCTAGATTTCGGCGACGTCACCGATGCAACGAGAGGAAGGTCCACCCTTGCCATCCCCACTACATAGACCATTTGATTCCCCTTGACACTTTTCTTCATTTATTTTCCTAAGTACTTACCAAAGTGAACCTCATACATCATGGCTCTTTCTGCACCCAGCACAGATGTGAGAAACTCTTCCCCAGTCCGAGAAGCGAAAGCTAACCAAGAAACAGCCGCATGCCCTAATTGCGCAAGAGACAAGCGCCAGTCAAATTTTCCACAAGTTCACAGCAGACACTGCTTGGCAACTAGGGAATGCACTAAGGAACCGAATCCTCCGCCTCCCGAATGGACAACGCAAACCCGCCCTGATCTCCATTGCGCTCAACGGAGTCCCGCTCCATGTGGTGTTCCAGTCTGTGACGGAAAGCGGGACAATCCCGGACAACGAGAACTGGGTGCGACGGAAGCGCAACACCGTGCTTCGCTGGGGTGTTTCGAGCTGGGCTATGAGACAGAAGACTATTAGTGGGCTTGCGGCTGGCGCCTCGGCCGACCAGATCGAGGCTGCTTTTGTTAAGAAGTATGCTGTTCCGAGTGCCACTGGGGGTGCTGTTGCGGATGAGTACGCTATCCATGGCGGTGGCTACCCGATCCGCGTGCATGGTGTTGATGGGGTTATTGGCGTTGTTGTTGTCAGTGGTTTGGCGCAGGAGGATGATCATCAGGTTGTTGCGGAGACTATCCAGGAGTTTGTGGCTCAACAAGCTAAATAAATGTCATGTTTAGTCACTGCTATAAGAACATTCAGCTGGGAGGGAACATCCTTGCTACATCAAAATGAACACAATATACAACTCTTTAGATAGAAATCCCATACCACAAGGACATTGCATCGGTACATAGTAAGGTCCGTGGTACCGTTTTCAATGTGATCACAAAGATTTACATGGAATGGCACTATAAAATAGTTTCATACAGTATGCAAGGTATCATTGTATTGAATTCTTAGCCGGCGTTCAACCGGGCCTAATGGTTGGATGGGACACAAACAGTGCCTCGTGTAGATTTAAACACAAAAAGTGACTCAAGCAAGAGAAAAAAATTGGAACTCCATGAATAATGCCTCAAAGATAATTTTACAGTTCGTCGTGGTCAAGAGGCTCGTCATCCTCAGGGGGAGAAGCAGAGCCGTAGAGCTTGCTGGTGATGGGGTAAGCCACACCGGAAAGCTGCTCCTTCTGCTCCTCGAAGTCCTCCATGGTAGCAGTAGCGGCGTTGTCCTCGAGCCAGTCGTTGACCTCCTTAACGGCATCGAGGATAGCCTGCTTGTCATCCTCGTCGATCTGACCACCCAGACCGTTCTCATCGTTGACCTGGTTCTTCAGGCTGAAGGCGTAGTTCTCAAGGCCGTTACGGGCCTCGATCTTGCCCTTGATGGCCTTGTCCTCCTCGGCATATTGCTCGGCCTCCTGGACCATGCGGTCAATCTCCTCCTGGGAGAGACGGCCCTTGTCGTTGGTGATGGTGATGGACTCGGCCTTGCCAGTGCCCTTATCGGAGGCGCTGACCTTGAGGATTCCATTGGCATCGAGGTCGAAAGCGACCTCGATCTGGGGAACGCCGCGGGGGGCGGGAGGGATGTTGGTCAACTCGAACTTGCCGAGCATGTTGTTATCCTTGGTCATCGAGCGCTCACCCTCGAACACCTGGATCAAGACGGTGGGCTGGTTATCGGCGGCAGTCGAGAAAATCTGCGACTTGCGGGTAGGAATAACAGTGTTGCGGGGGATGAGCTTGGTCATCACACCGCCAGTGGTCTCGATACCGAGAGTGAGGGGGTTAACATCCATGAGAACCATGTCGACCATGGAGTCATCGCCAGAGAGAATACCACCCTGAACGGCGGCACCGAAGGCAACGGCCTCATCGGGGTTGATACCCTTGCTGGCCTTCTTTCCGGCGAAGAACTCCTCGAGAAGAGCCTGGACCTTGGGGATACGGGTAGATCCACCGACAAGAACGATGTCATCAACCTCGGACTTCTTGACCTTAGCATCCTTCAGAACCTGCTCGACAGGCTTGAGGGTCTTCTTGAACAGATCCATGTTGATCTCCTCAAACTTAGCGCGGGTCAGGGTCTCAGAGAAATCCTCGCCATTGTGGAAAGCCTCGATTTCAATGCGAGTGGACATCTGGGAGGACAGAGTACGCTTGGCCTTCTCAACCTCGCGCTTGAGCTTACCCATGGCCTTGAGATCCTTCTTAACATCGGTGTTGTTCTTCTTGTTGTACTGCTTCACGAAGTACTCCATAACACGGTGGTCGAAATCCTCACCACCAAGGTGAGTGTCACCAGCGGTAGCCAGAACCTCAAAGACACCGTTGTCAATAGACAGAAGAGACACATCGAAGGTACCACCACCAAGATCGTAAACAATGACCTGGCGCTCGTCGCCAGTCTTATCAAGACCGTAGGCGATAGCGGCAGCGGTGGGCTCGTTGACAACACGGAGGACGTTGAGACCGGCGATGGTACCGGCATCCTTGGTGGCCTGACGCTGGGCGTCGTTGAAGTAGGCGGGAACGGTAACAACGGCGTGGGTGACAGTCTTGCCCAAGAAGCTCTCGGCAATCTCCTTCATCTTACCGAGAATCATGGCGGAAATCTCCTCGGGGGTGAAGGTCTTGGCTGCCTGGTTAACGTCGACCTTAACTTGGGGCTTGCCATCCTTCTTGACGACCTTGAAGGGGTAGTTCTTGGCGTCCTTCTGGACATCCTTGTCATCAAACTTGCGACCAATCATACGCCTGCGGTGCATTAGTCCTGAGTTCCTGTTTTGACGCGCGGAATGAAAGCTTACTTGATGTCGAAGACGGTGCGCTCGGGGTTAGCGGCGTATTGGTTCTTGGCGGCGTCACCAACGAGGCGCTCCTCATCGGTGAAAGCAACGTAGGACGGGGTGATACGGTTTCCCTGGTCGTTGACCAAAATCTCGACTTTGCCGTTCTGCATCACACCAACACAACTGCATTGAAAGTCAGCAACCTGTTTCATTCAACATCAATGGTTCTGAGACTGAGAAAACATACGAGTAAGTGGTTCCCAAATCAATACCAATAACATTGCCGTAGCTCTCGGGGGAGTTGTCCTCCTGGGCGTTGGCAGTGTTTCCAAAGAGCGCCAGAGGCGCAACGAGAACGAAGAGGAGGTAGAAGATGGTGGTCCAGGCGAAGGGCTTGGACGCGCCATCGCGTGCGGATAGGCGAGCCATTGTGAAGGGTGTATGTATAGGTGGATCAAAGTCCTTTTTAACACGGAGACAAAAAGCTGTCTTTATGGAAGCTTCGCGCGTGCCGACCTAAACAGCTGCGCGAACGAGTAAACACAAGGCGTGTTTGACTCTATGAACCCTTATGTTAGTCGATGATATGCCGGAAAGGGACCCGGGGCGAAGTGAAGAAATGGAAGAATGGTTTGGAGAAGAATCGAAGAGAGAGGACTTCTTGTACACGGACACGGCCCAGCGGCCATGCTGGCCTTTTCCCAGTTCAGGTCACTTCTCGTGCGCTGATTGGTTGTCTTGGCTCCGGCAGTGGCTGACTCAGAAATTACCCTGCAGGCACACCGCCTTCTTCACCAGGAAAGTTGCTACCTAAAGTAGTCTAGCGGCAGGGGTATATCCACGGACTACTCACGACTTCCACCAATCAACGACTGCCAAATGATCGAACTTGCTAGAAGGGGGCAAGTGTTCGCCCCTTCAAGGAACTCGATCTACTCAGTTATAGTCACTAAAAGTTTACCCGGTTGACTCATGTCATTACTACTGACCACGTGTTTCGACTTGTATGCTTAAAACAGCCTAATTCGATTGATGACAAGTGGCATCTCGATCGAGCATATGTGGTGTACTCCCTACGGGGGCTTAGACTTGGGGGGGGGGGGGATCTCCCGAGTAGGGCGTGGCACAGAGCACCCACCGTGCCCTGGGGATTATACAGCTTATGAGTCTAACTCTAATGGCACTACTCGTGCAACACAATCCAATAATTCGTTCAATAATTGAGGAAATTCTTTCTCAAATAATATCTGAAATCATTTACAACTATTATTGACTGGTCAACTTAGTGAATGGAGTACCATATCTATGTTTTATGATATATATATTTCTTACCAGAGTGGTGAATCATTCGGGCTGTGCTACCAACGAGGAACTAGATCACGAACAAGATGGATTTTGACTGAAATAGCTCACCGAAATAGCTTATTCTAATAAACCAGCAGCCACTGTTGAGCCTCCCGCGCGCAGGACAATCCTGGTCGGTGCTTCTAGAGGAACAGCATGATCAATTTCAACCACAATACGCACCACGACACCTGGACCCACGATCTTGGGGCGTTTCTTGATAGCCACCCCTGACGCTTTGTCTAGAGAGGCGACTAGCTTGCTGATGCGACCAGGCACATGTAGACGGCCACGGTGCACATCCACTTGCATGGGCATCAGATGTTCGAAGGCCAGAACCTTGGCAGTGAAAGAAGTTATGGTAGGGATGGGAGATGAAGGACGGCAGACAACATCACCGGAGCGGAGGTGAATAGGGTCAATGTTGGCAATGTTTAGAGTGACATTTTGACCTGCTACGGCCCAGTCACTTGGTTCGTTGTCTACCTCCAAACTGCGCACTGTTGCTGTTTCACCACTGGGCATGATCTGGATCTGGTCGCCCATCTGCAAGCTGCCTGCGTCGATACGGCCAGAGATGGAAAGCGGATTTTGTACGCCGCCTCGGAAGACATCGCCAATCGTCATACGTAAAGGCTTTTCGAGGGCATGTGTGTATGGCTCCGAAGTTTCTAGTTCTTCAATCAACGTGCGACCTGTGTACCATGATGCTTGGGGATCCTCAGTCCGCCGAGAAATGTTGTCCCCCAGAACTCCTGAACACGGCACGAATGCAATGTTACTCTCCTGGAAGCCAGCAGTTGTCAAGAATGCGGAAATTTGCTGTTCAATCTCCTCAAATCGTTCATGATCCCATTGCACGGTGTCCATCTTGTTTACAGCCACCACGATTTTTTGGACACCCATGCTGCGCACAAGCAGAGCGTGCTCTTTGGTTTGGCCCTTCAACCCCGACTCGAAATTGCCCACACTGGAATCGATGACCAGAACAGCAAAGTCTGCCTGACTGGCACCAGCGATCATGTTCGGGACGAAGTCACGGTGGCCTGGTGCATCAACGATCGTAAAGGCTGTCTTGTCCGTCTCAAACTTGTTGGTGGCGATATCTATCGTCACCCCTCGTGCTCTTTCTTCCGACCCTTGGTCGAGCACCCAGGCTAGGGCGAATGAACCCTTGCCGATCTTCTCAGCCTCTCGCCGATACCTATCTAGAGTCCGCTGGTCGATAGCACCTTGATCTGCTAACAACCGTCCCATCAGAGTGCTCTTTCCAGCATCAACGTGACCTATATGGTTGAGAGTTAATCTATATTCGGATCTTTTCGCCAGGGGAGGTTTGACTCACCAATAACCACAAAGTTCGCGGATCGCTTGCGAGTGGACTTCTTGTACTCTGATATAACATCAAGATTTTTGCTCTTGACGCTCACTTTGTCTTCCACTGACAGCTCCTTCATACCACCTGCCAGATCAGACTGGCCTTTCTTCCCCGCTGCCGATTTCGATGCGGCTGATTTCGACTTCATACCTACATATTATTAGGCAATTGCCTTTAAACCTTCCTGCGGATCGCCAAACCTTTCGCTGTGTTTTGTGCATTGAGAACGACATCGTCGGGGCTCGGTGCTGCAAAATCAAAAGGTTCAGCATGATCCTGTCCATAGATCCTCAGCAGGTCTGAGCTGTTGGAGTGTAAGTGGCTGGGCTCAGCCGCTGTCGGGCCTGTTGGTGCGCCAAGGATAGTGCTGGCAAATGTGGAGGGTGCGGCTCGAATGGTAGGCACTGTTCGCTCGGGTTCCGGTTCTTCTTTCGCTTCAAGCGCTACCCTTTGCATTGACTCCGAAACCTCAGACACCGATGGCTTTCTGTTATCGGATGCGGGCTGTTTCGGTATCGGATGCGGGGAGGGGCTTGGGTTGGCCAAACAACGTAGAGACCCATGACCCTCTGAAGAAGCTTTTGGTGTGGATCTCCCGCTAGCCGCAAGTCTGTCACGAAGGGAGCGCGAATTACCCGGACGATCAAGCGAGGACGCCTTTGGCTGCTCGAGGTTGGGAGTCGACGGAGTCGGAGTTTCTGGCAGGGATGGTGTCTTCTCGCCCTCTTTCTTTTTCCGGGCTGCAGCTAGGGCGGCCAATTTGGAAAGTTTTCCACCACTCTCCGGTGCACCGCCCAGCAGCCCCAAACGTGGATAAAGCGGCTCAACCAGGATATCAGCCTTCCGATGAGAGGGCACGTTGAGCCAAGGACAATCGCGGAAGAAATCGGCAGCCGAGAAGTGTGCCGTAGAGGGAGGAGCGGGATATGCTGGCACTGAAACACCTGTTAGAACGTTGTTCAATCTTCTGTAGCATCAGTTCCGAGTCTAGAGATCCAATGGGATGGATTTGTACCAGATGTACACACATTTTCATTCGCAAGAAACCGCAGCACCCATGATCGAGGCGTGCAGAATATCTCGTGCCCCAGAACCCGAGCCCAACGACATTTTAGGACAACAATTTTTCCATGAACACTGCTTACCTGGTTGAATCTTCGATTTCTGCGTCTTCGCAGCCTCCTTCTCTCTCTTGCCTGCACACGGAAGTTCGGTTAGCTTGATTTCACAACAAACAAGGAACCCCGCGATAGGTAATGCCTTGTTATATGGCGTATCTGTGCAAATTGAACATACCCCTCAAATAGTTGACCGACTTCTCAATATCATTGTAGTAGTGCCATAACGCGTCTTGGACTTCTTGTTTCGTGGCGGTCACTGACGGTTGCCCCGCACCGAGCTGTTGCAAAACAGCAGTAGTACACTGTTGCAAGAACTCCTGCTCCTCTGGGTCGACTGAAGCATCATCGTCGTCATAGAAATCATCTTCATCATAATCGACTTCCTTAATACGGTGTCGAGACATTACGGCGTGAGGCGGGGCAATGAACGGGGGGTTGTGATGGAGAAGCTGTGGAAGAACCGGTTATTTACGTAGGCCGAGCAAGGCTGATTGAGCCGACCGCCTTTCCCACCGCCTTCCTATTTACTTGAAAGCTTGGGATATCACATTTGTCACGTCTCCAATTGGCTCTGCGAAGCCATTGTCAACTTGAGGATAGCATAGTCTCGACAGGAACCGCAACCTTGATTTCAAACGGTTGAAGCCTAATTTAACATGGTCGTAAGTATACAACACACTAGTATAACATATTTAGCTTCTTGTACAGATCAAAATCCCCCTCTAGCTTTGTGCCTCCAGTGCAACCAAATAACGGGCAGGACACTTATGACCACCAGTGCGGACAGAAGCCCGGCGCAGTTTGTAATACCCACAGTTTCAAACATGGTAGGGAACCAGAATGGCCCTATGAAGCACCATGTCTGGCGAACCAACCCCAAGAAGATCGACGCAGTGGCGGCGTTATCCGAATGAATCTTCATAACATCTGAATGAATTGAATCGTTAGCCCCATTTCAGTAATCCAGGATAACCTTGCGCGAACTTACAGTTAATCAAAAAGTTGGACACTAATTGGTTTCCGAATCCTGCAACACCAATGCCAATAATCGGGGACACCTTGTAGTGCATAGGGAGTGTGTTGCCCAATAGAACACAGAAGACAACCAGCCCAACAATCATGGCGACGAAGCCCAGATAACTTGCAATCAGGTAATTCTTGGGATTCACAGCGTGCCTTTGATTTTCCACTGTTCGTCTGTTCATCAAGCTGAGGACCACAGCGTTGAACAACTCACCGAGTATGGTGCCAACGATGATACCAAGGAACTGGATACCAGTTTGCTCCGGGCCAAGCTCAAAGCGAGTGGCAAACAGCTGAGGGATCTCTACTGTCAACATTGCAGCCGAGAGACAGAAGATCATACTGTGTGAAAGCACAGGCAGCAACACGGTCATTTGCTTCCCCATTGAGAAGGGCCGGATGACTTCGGACATGGAGAAAGGAGTGGGATCAATTCGCGAGAATGTGATCAACTTCATGAAGCCAGACTTGCGAGTTGAGTTCTCCTGCTGAATGTACCTAGTCTCTGGGCTTAACAAGAAGTATAACACAAACTGTGCACCGCTGATGAGTGTGAAGATCCAATAGATCCACTGCCATCCAAGTCGCTCCGCAACGAATCCCATGACAAATGGACCTGTCAAAGGACCAAGCGTGACAAAAACACTGCGAAAAATGATGTGTAAGTAGTCAATATACTACATGACCGTTTCCAAATAGATTGCATAGGTGGAATAAATCAGAGAATACTTACGACCATGTTCCTAGCGCAATACCACGTTCGTGCTCTGCGAACGATTCCATCACAACAGGGGGCCCAAGAGCGATAGGAGCACCCAGCATGAGAGAACCTAGGATACGACAGACCAACATGGGTGCGTAAGTTTGGCTTTCTGCGCACCCAACGTTACAAACTGCCGTGAAGAGCGTGGAGATAAGCCATACAGGCCGGCGACCGAACCTAGTGGAAATAGGGACTAGAAAGAAGGGCGTAAGACCGGTACACAGAATCTTTTGAATCCATTAGCTTCTCGTGAATTTGGGTTGATGAGAATATTATGTGACTAACATGAATTGAGGTCATGTAGCTAACGTCCTGAATCTCGATACCGAACTTCTCGGCGAGGGTAGCATAGACGGGAATGATTCCAGCACCAATGAAATTGGTCATAAAGGCATGAAATGAGATTAGACTAAGGTTGATATTTCTCTTTAGATGATCAGTTAGCTTGGAGCGCAAGGTTGCTATGATCAGAAACTTTACCTTATATCGGGGCCAGTTGACCGGGTGGTTAGGATCATCACAGATGATGGCCGATGCATCCTTTTCATTTGGATTCTCTATAGGCAGAGAGTGATCTTCAACATGGTCGTTCATTGTACTGAAGGGGGCCTCTTCATTTTTCTGCGGATGATTTGGATCGGCTAGCTGGACGGTCATCTCGTCAAACGATTATACTCTGACTGGATGAATTCAAAAAGGTACAGGATGCTCGATACTTACAGGGATCATCCCCGGCATCTATAAACCCCGACATTAGACTTTCAAATTTGTGGGGTGGACTTGAAGGAGTTTGTGAAATCAAAGGTGGACCTGGCGGGAGAACTAGATCTGCCGCATCGCCGTCGGAATAGGTGAACTGCCATGAATTATTAGCCCTCACGGCCGAGATTGTTAGTCCGAAATTGATGGAAGGGGTCACGACAAGGACTGGTGGCTTTTATTTAAATTGAAATCTAATCCGGTGCTCTCTGCCGATATCTTCAATTCACTCACCTCAATTCCTTCAACTCCCAATAATTATGTCTGTTTCCTGGGAACGTTTGATCCGATTCGTCGCTACAGATGGACGCACATTGCTTGGTGAGCCGGTGATGCCATCGCCGGACTTCGATCTTGGAGATACTACAGAAGAAACCAAGCTGCAAGCCAAAGTGATCACCGGCTCAGATATCTATAACACTACCGGTGAAACTTATGTCACTGATGAAGTTGTGACTGTGTCGAAACTTCTTGGCCCTTTAACTCCGCAGGATATCCCCATCCTGCGTTGCGTTGGACTCAACTACCTCACACACAGTAGGTATTCGATAGTCCTGTGACATAAAGCCAAGACTAACGGTCCACATAGTCCGCGAGACCGGACGTTCGACTCCACCCACGCCATCTATCTTCTTTAAGCCGAATACAACGGTCACTGACCACAACGTGAATGTGAAGATCCCTAAGATCGCCCAAGATGAGCAGGCAGACTATGAAGGAGAGTTGGTAAGTCTTATACAAAACCCTTCCAAAAGCGTCCGACAATTACTGATCATATGTGTACAATTTCTAGTGCCTTGTGATGGGACAAGATGCTAAGGATGTCAGCAAAGAGGATGCGCTCAGTTATGTAGCTGCCTATACGGTTGGAAATGATGTTTCATCCCGTAAGCTACAGATCGACCGCACTATTGCAGGTCCAGTTCCTCAGTGGGGGTTCTCTAAGGGGTTCGATACATTCGCACCTCTGGGCCCCTGCCTTGTACGGAGGGATCTTATTAAGGACCCGAGTGAGCTTCGCCTACAGACTAAGATTGATGGAGAGCTTCGCCAAGACACTCTTGTTTCGGATTTGGTATTTGACTGTGCTGCTTTGGTCTCCTATCTGTCGACGGGTACCACCTTGCAGAAAGGAAGCATTATCATGACAGGGACTCCTGGAGGTACGTTGACATTCGAGTTTTATACTTTCAAAGGATCCATGCTGACCATTACTAGGCGTCGGAAACGGTCTCAGCCCTCCTCAGTTCATCAGACCTGGTACTCAGATGAACATCAGCGTGTCGCAGATTGGTACTTTAAAGAACGGGGTTGACTTTGTTTGAGGTCAAGGCTCAATATATGGTCAATCGAATTAGACTACTGGAATACTATAAATTAAAACTTTCTTACGAATCCTTTCCCTGGCTATATATCGTATCTTGATTGTAACTTGTTCATGCAATGGATAAAAGAAGGTGCCTCGGGGGTTAAAAGTCGATAGGGCCACATTTTCCGTGAATAAATACTTGGCCTGACTTAGATGTAGTTCTGACTATACCATGGACACGAAATTGTGATGGAGGTACAAATAGCTTTCTTTCGATAGGGTTGGATGTTGTGGGCTCTACCTAGATAGGAAATCCAAGATGCCCATGGACTGCCCATGTTGATGCAGCAGCATATTGATAGCAACTATTTATTTCCCCCACAACTTAATTTATTAATTACTTAGTTAGCTAGCGGCGCGGAGGGTAGTTCTGGAGAAAAAAAACCAACATATCTAATAATTAATTTGCATTGAAATGTTGCATTGCCCCTGTAGGTGATCTCCATGTGGGACCGTCGGCCGAACTAGATATCGCGCTGGATCATGCGGGAAAATGCAAAGCTGTTGCGCGACAACTGAGCTGGTAAGATTTTCCGCTTAGATTGGAGAGCTCTAATAACAACAATTGGGCAAGGGAATGTCTTCGTAACCCGACGTCCCTGTTTATAATGTTTATCTCCGCTTTAATGCCGGGATAGCTTGACTTCCTTTGCATATATGAGCTTGAGTTAATCAAGTCACCGCAGTCTCACGTATTCGTCTTTCTCTTCTAGCAATCTGTTCACTCAGTTTGTACTGTTATTTCTTGAGCTCAATAATGGAGACAACCGATGTTCTCATTGTCGGAGCCGGACCCAGCGGTCTCGTCCTGGGAGCTCTTTTGGGTCGCATGGGGATCAAGGTCAGTTGTACCGGTGCCCAATATCGCCGCAGATGCTGACTATTAAGCCTAGGTGGTCATTCTCGAAAAAGACAAAGAAGTCTGTGAGGACCCTCGCGGAATTGTTGTGAATGGCGATGCCGTTCGAATTTCATACCAGGTCGGAATTGGGGAAGGGTTGACTAAAAGAATTGGAAGTGGTGAGTTTGAACATCAATATGAAATAAAAATCAACATCTGACATCAATCTCTCCCTCAGATATCGGTGCGCTCAATTTCCACGCTGGAAACTTCCGACAACGTCCGTTCATGATTTTCGACTTGATGCCTGACTGGGCGGAACAATCACTTTCACAAAATATTACCCAGTTCCAACCAAACTATGGTCAGTTCTATACGCTTTAATAACGGGGAATAACGGGGAAGTCTGGTGTTTCTGTATAATCATTGACTGACATTTGCAGAACGCGAAATTCGAGCACTTATCAAGACTATTCCAGCTTGCGATCTCCGTGTTGGCTGCGAGGTTCTCAGCCGCATTGAAAACGAGGATCATACAATAATCGAATATCGCACTGCGGATGGCACACTTCAATACATTCGAACATCTTGGCTCGTGGGGGCTGATGGGAAGCGCGGCATTGTGAGAAAACGATTCCTTGAGCCAGAAGGAATCAAACAAGTGGACGCCGTGTAAGTTGGGTTATACCTATCGCACTGTTGGTACATATTCTGACTACATCATGAAGCTGGCCATACGTTGGCACTTGGATTGCGATAAACCTCGAGGTGGACTTACCCACTCCCAAGACTCATCCCGACTTCCCTCTGTGGGAACTAGGATATACGCCAGAGCAGGTGCACAGCACGTTCTGGCCCAAGGGGTTCCAGTAGGTTCTTTTGTGCACAAGCAATCTGATCATGCATGCTAATCGTCGAAAAGCTTCTGTAATGACACACATCGACCAGCAGTCAGCGGAAGATTTGGACCGAAGGGTGCCCGGTTCTGGAGGTAAGAATATTTCTGCAAAGCGAGTGTAGATGATTATGGCATATCTAATCTGCTATAGACATGAATACTCTATCGGAAATGAGAAAGAGCCCGAAGATTGCGAACAAGATTTTTGGAACCAGTTTGAGCCTTGGATGAACCTCCCAGGCTCTCAATTCTCATCGAAACTGAAAGGGCTCACAGTCGCATATCCAAGAGATTGCATAAAAGTCCTCCGGTGTCGTCCATTCAGGTAAGCCGAGTAATCCTCCCAATTCACTCAATGGATCCTCAATGGCAAGTCAGTGTACTAATTGAATTACTCGATGTCCAGATTCGCGACCAAGGTTGTAAACCGATGGTACTGCCGCCAAACCATGCTTATTGGTGACGCTGCGCACGTCTTCCCTCCCTTCGGTGGCCAGGGCATTGCAACCGGCATCCGAGACGCCCAAGGCCTCGGCTGGCGATTATCTATGATGATCCGTCTGGGTGTAACTGGCGCGGTCCGCGAACGCATTTTACAAGGGTGGAGTCAGGAACGTCGCCATGCTTGGGAAGCCGCTACCCTATCTACCAAGCTTAATGGGTCCATCGCAAATATGGGCTTTGGGTGGCGTGAAAGCATTTACAGGTTCTGTATGCGTCTGCTTTGGTGGTTACCAGGCGGGGCAAAGATTCGCACTCGCCGAGCGTTTAAGGACAAGTTGATCTACAACTCTACCACATGTCCCGATGGTTTCTTTCTGCAGTCTGCGGGCGGGGGACAAAAGATAGCACAAGTGTGGGTACAGCAGCAAGGGAAAGATCTGCCTCAATTGTCTGATGAGGTCCTATTGCGAGACAGATCTCATATCGCTGTCTTGGTGTTGGTTAAAAAAGCATCGGACTTTGACCCTGCTTCGGTGGATACCGCGGTTGAAGAGTTGAAGATTCCAGGTGATCTATTGGCTTCAGAAAACATTACCTACATCAATTTGACAGGAGGAAATCTGACGAGCAAAAATGGGGTGACAGCATGGAACCCTTGTTCAGCGGATGCTTTGGAACAAGCTGATATTACCCCGGTCCTTGCCTACAACAAAGACGCTCTCCAGAGCCGGGTGCCATCTTCGGCAAAATACGTTATCCTGCGTCCTGACTTCTTCATTCACTCAGTTGCATCTGACCTGAGAGGACTGAAGGCCAACCTACAACATGCGAAAGACTACTTTGGGGTCTAGACATCTGGAATGTCTCGTATTTAAACTTTGCTAGTTTTTTTCTTTTTTGTTCCTGTCTGAAGACCGAGGTCTTTTGCGAGATTCTGCTGCTTTTGTTCTTTACTGCATATAATTCGGACATCAATGGATATCAGGCTGGGGTGTGGGGAGCGGGAGGACTAGTTATCCCGCCGAGGGCGAAGACATACCCCGGTGCCCTGTCGAGACACGGGACCCCAGCTTTTTTTTATATGGGCTTCTCCATTATACGCCCTTCATTTTATTGCTGTGGGGGCTTGCAATTGCGTGCTGGAGGTTTTCTGCAATCTTAAATGATGTGCGATATGTTACAGCGCCCATTTCGTTAGTCAACTGGCGTGAATTGGCCATCGAATACCTATGAGTTTGGCTCTATACTATCTTGTATCTAGATTATCATTCACTCTGTATACAATAATCTAGCACAGATATTGCACTTTATCATCCGAATTTGTGGTATACTTCCTCACTAACATTCATTAGTTTGTTGTGACCGCACGTTTTCTTTTCACTCGAGACAAGGAGAACATGTACAACACTCGATAACGATGGCGAATGAACATTTGCATGGATACATACAAAAGCATCACACCGATATACTAAGAATTATACATAGTTTAGTCACTTCAAATCAATATGTTCAATAATTCCGACCAATAAGCTACTATAAACTCATATTCCACTGAACAAATCGTCATTCTCTACTGCGCAACACCTGTTAGAGGCCTGATGGGACCCCAGATGTACATCGAAGCTGCACCCTCACTTTGGAATCTCCCTGTAGGATTATCCTCATTAACCACATCACCATCGGCATAGTGTTCAATGCTATAACCACTAGGATCTTGCCAGTAGTCGAAGATCTGAGATCCGAGAACGTGCCGTCCAACACCCCACACAAGTTTGTGGCCCTTGCTGAGCAGGTATTCATGTCCAAGTAGCTGGGTATCAAAGTCCTCCACCTCAAAAGAGCAATGGTGGACACGATAATTTACTGGGTAAGTTGCAGGGACCCGGTTGAGGAAGAGTGTATGGTGGTCGGTGTAAATCGAGCCATGATCGAGATGCATGAACGTTAAAGTATCAATCTCTTGCCCATCGATCTCCTCATACAGGATATCGGACGGGACGAAGTTGAAATTGCTGGTGTAAAATTCGATGTCCTCATCAAACATCTTGGTCATATAGCCATAGTGTCCAAGCTTGTGTATCATGGCAGGTCCGAGTTTGAATCGCTGGAATTCTCCTATCAAGCAAATAGCGTTAGTTGATATTCACACGTTATATCGTAGGGGAATGGGAAACGAACCCTTTCTTTCTTTCTTCAATGTCGTATTGTACGCTCCCTTATGAACCTCGGTATGACTGACTGGAGCTTCGGGCTTGGGTCGATCCTGCTGGCCCCAAATAACGTGGATAGCTGCACCAGAAGGTGAAGGGATAGTCACGATCTTGCCGCCGCCGGGTCTTTTATGGTCTTGGATAGGAGACGCTCCTGGGAGAGCGGCACTTTTATTGAAATCGGCTTCGGTTTTGGCGATGAAAGCAGCGCCTTTAAAACCATCATCGTTGGCATCGCCAGGGAGGGCGACGTAGGAAATGGTGTCTTGGCCCCAACCACGATAGCAAATGACAGACTCGGTTTTCTCGACAACTTCAAAGCCAAAGTCGACTGCGAAAGTGTTGAACTTTTCTAGATCGGGATGTGAAAACAACACATGGCTAAGGCGTTCGAGTTGGATTTTCTCGGGATTGTTTGAAACGGGGGGAATACGACCAGGAGGCATTTTTGATTTGTATGGATTTTGATTTGTTACTATTTGAATTAAGTCTCATCTTTGGGGTATTTATATTTCAACATATCGGGCTGATTCCACTATTCCGCCGATGCGGAGTATCTTGTTCAGCCGCCGATGAGAATCACAATTTGTCAATCATTCTCTCTTCCATTGCGTATATCATTAATTAGTTTGAACTAATCTCTCTCACTTGCATTGCAGCAGGCGTCAAAATAGGCATGGCAATAAATTCGTTGGGCACATTTTACGTTCATCACCTGCTAGAGTGACTGTTTCTGAGTTTTGCTGATCATGGACTCGAACGCCGTTCTGGGGTACGCCTTGGAAATATGACAGGAAAGATGCCACCTCTCCACCAAGACATCTAGGGAAACATATTCTTAGACCTTGGGGGCTGAGTATCAGGCAATGTGGGGTCCAGTTTCAGTAGGCGCCTACCTACTCCCGCCGAGCCTCATTGACACAACGCGGGGAACTTGATCTTTTGTCTATTCTCTCTTCTCCCAAATTCCAAAATCCCTATTCAAAATGTCATTCGTACCTACCGATGCGGCCCTAAACAGAACCAGAGATGCCTGCAGCGTCCGCCCTGGCTTCTGGCAGATTCCCGCGGACGCCTGTGCAACTATGCCCGGTGGGAACATGACCAAAGTGATGAAAGACTGCTGCAATGACGCCCCAGTCTCCAAATATGACGACGGCTGTGGTATCTACTGTCTCGCCAACGGACAGGACACCGTCAAGCTCTCGGATTGCATCAAGAGCCAGAACCCTAACGAATTTCCCATCTTCTGTAATTTGGGCTTCTGCGAACCGGGAAATTTTAATGAGACTGCGTGCTCTACGTCCGCTCCATCGAGAACTGCGACTAGTACTCCCACTAGTACTCCTACTAGCACCCCTACTGGTACAGCCCCATCTGCTGCCTCGACTTCCCCAAATGTTGCGATCACGAATCAGCCAATCCCCAAGTCTGGCCTTGGACTGATTATGCTCCTTTTTGGTTCGCTACTGGTTTTTATTTGAATGATACTACACATGGCTTGATGTTTGGTTCAGGGAGGATTTTGGGTATTCCGATGACATCCTTTTGAGGTGTATCAGCGGTTGCGGTCGTGCTTGGTTTAGACATGATATCAGCATCTAAACTAGCGTCTGCTGTACATATTGGATTCCTCTGCAAATTGATATATTTTAATCGTACAAGTGATTGGATATTCTACTAACGAGGGGGACTTCTCGGCTAGGAATACTGGAAGAAACCTTTCTATACAATACAATGTTTAGGATAGAAAGGATGTACCTGACTCGCATCTATTTACGGCCATCACCAATGCGGCAGGCAAATAACTCGAAGTACTGATAAAGGCGGTGCTGGTATTTGGGTGTACTCGGAAAGGAACGAAAGTTATACATGACATGATTTGTACAAACATTATTGATAACCCAAAAGGAATGTGACATCAACCTTTTCCGAATCTCTTCTGTAAGGATTGAACGCCTTTCTAGAGAGTGCGATTAGGGAGACTAGCTTGCTAATATCAACAAAAGACCAGTTCCGTGCTGGGAGAGCTTGAAGGGAGTCTAGATGTTAATAAAATTAGCCTGAGTTTTCGGAATTGATAGAAACATCATTTTGTGCAGATTTCTGCATACCTCTGAGCACTCGTGCAATTGGCCACCATGGCGTAAAGCTCTCCAGAGATAGTCTTAACTTCTCAAGACTGATCCCTGCCGGGGAGCTTAAACTGGAAACGGATTCATCCAGTCCGGACATACCGTAGAGTCTCAGTCCGCAGTAAGCATGCCATAGGGCACAGCTGATAACCGGGTCAGCGTACGCAGAATAGCTGAATTGCCAATGGTCAAAGAGGGAAGCGATTTTTCGTGCGAATCCAATGCTATCTTTCCAGCTTTTCAGAGAGGTCGATGTTGAATCTGACGGAATATCCATCCCTGTCACAATCTGCTTGGTAGGTTCATGTAAAATAAGGCGCGCACTAGTGGTTTGACAGGTCAGCAAATGAAGTAAGTAAAGAGAGAAATAGACGAACGTGTTCAGCATGATATTAGTCTCAAGTCGTAATCTGTGTGCGTGTTCCTGCTCCATAAGGCGCTTAGTTGGACTGAAGAAATAGTCCGGTAAAATGAGATGGAGGGAGGATAGTATGCGATTGAGGGTATCTGCCCGGGAAATCTCTTCGGGGCAAAGCTTCGCACTGAGGCGCTGTTGGCATTCGGAGACTGCGCGTAACAAGGATACCGCATATAAGTGGGTGTTGAACCCATCTCCGGTATCCTGTAAATTGGGCGCCAAAATCGAACTCCAAGACTTGACTGGGTCCATTTCTGGAATCACCGGTACGATTGGCCCCAAGGCGTTGGCTGTGAAGTTTTGAACAGTCGTCGACACCAAGGCAGTTCCTACCATGCGACAATCGATCCCGAAAGGTGTCACCGTTGAGACGTTGACGGTGCAGTCTAACTTCCAAACTGTCCACCACACAAATCGTCGCTCTTCCTTTTCAGAATCGGAGAATTCTAGTGAGGAGTCTAGGCTGTCGATCTCGTGTAGCCGGGCAGCCAGAGCGAGACTCATGGCATCTCGAACAAGCAGCCATGCCCGACGGCTGGGCGCTGATGTGTAGTCATATAATGCGAGGAGACATGCGGCTTTGACGTCATTCAACTCCACTGGTCGATTCCGATCCATTTCCTGACGGAATCCTTTATAAGCAGCATCGAAGTAATCCTGCGGTTGAGTAGAAGAGCCTGAGCCAGCGTAACAGCTTGTGCCGGCGAATCTGGAAGAAACTGCAAACATCGAAAACAGGAGAGCTGGTGGGATCATATTCGTAGATAGGTCGTCGTAGAATAGAGATTTACGGAACATCGGAAAGACGGGTTGAATATGCTCGAAATATAGGTGCAATCTGTTTTTGATCAGCCTGGCTGTGCAGAGTTAAGCGCATGTAGGTCCCATACAAAGTATCCTTCTCTTCTGCATTCATGCTAACAGTAGTTTGGTCCGGGATATGGTGAATATGGCTTTCCTTGGAGATAATTGAGCTTGGCGGAGATTCCTGCTGATCTGGCGTTATAATGGATGGAAGAAGATTGTTGTTTGGTCCTTGGGAATAATTCTGAACATCTCCATTTGTCTCAGGTTGGAAATTGGATGGTAGTTCAGTGCCAAATGAGTCCCATCCATCTGCGTCAAATAATGAGGAATAGTTCTGCGTCGGTGGAGAATATGGCAGAGCAGATGCATTGCCTCCTTCTACCAGGCTTTGAAGTGTGTCTTCCAAATGACCTTGATATTGGGGATTAGAGAAAGCCCAATCCTAAGGAACACTTCACAATCACTTACGGACTTTATCAAGTAGAAAACTTGTCCGAGACTTGATGGAGCCCTTTGCGGGCCCCGGTCGCCTCTTGATTTGCCCATATTGGCACTCGAGTCCGCTGAGTTGACATCTCGAGCAACTTGGCTGTTTCCGATCACCTGAGACATGATGAGTCCTGCACCAATTATCTAAACGTTCATTCCTCACATTTTCTTTTCAGTCTAAAATATGCGTAAGATTAATATCAACCCATGCAGGTAAGAGAGCTTACCTCTTGCAGCTACCGCACACTTGCGAAGCACTTCGGCCCTGAACTTGTGCCTCGACTGAAGGGCTCATGGTCAACTACTTAAAATAGTGAAGTTCTCCCCAGACATGCGGAACATTTCATCTAAATACTCCGCTCGGCACTTACCCCGGGATATCCTGGCCAATCAAAGTGTCCCGGTTGGAAAAGACTGGGGCCGAGGAATTATAGCGGGGGGAGGGGGGAAAACAGGATTAGGGCAAATACTTTCCTTCATATGGAGACTCCAACTCCAATCTAAATAGTATAATATCTAGTGGAAATTCCATGTCAATTCATTAAACTTACCTACGGTTTTGATATACGTTGCGACATGATGTCGAGCCAAGAGAGCCAAATGAAAAAAGTTAAGAATATTCATCTATCGAAGTGGACTACCTCCAAAGAAATCACCGGTGCCAGGTCCAGAAAAGCTCCCGTTGCTCGGGGTCAAGGCAATTGATCGCCTGAAAGCCTGGCGAGGGGTGGTAGGGGCACTGGGTGGTCCACCGATGGGAGCGGCCGATGTTGGGGCAATTGGCGCCACGGTCCGTGTGTCCGGGGTGCTAGGTGTGTTGCGACCGCTGTCATTCTGCATGGTGACAGCGGTGCCAGGTCGTGAGAGAACAGTGATGGTGCCTCCATTTTTAGGAGGTGGGCGGAATCCTAGTTTCGAGCCCTCACGGAAGATCTCTTCAAGCATTTGTGTGACAATGCCTGCGTCCTCGTATTCCTGGAATTTTTTCCAGAGACGCAAAGCCATGCGAGCATCCTCGATCGAGTCATGGCCTTGTACGGCGTCGGGTGCAGGCTCCTCTTGGATATGTTCCTTGAAGACAGCCCAGGCTAGGTACCTGAGGCTGAGGCGGCGGTTCTTCCCGGGGTGGAAGAAGAGATATTGTGTGTCAACAGTTTGTGCCTTGGGTACTTGAATGTTGATTTTGCGGAAATCAGACGCCAGACCGTGACCAACAAATACACAGCCGAGGTTTAGAAGCAGCCAAAGCTTCTTGTAGGCAACCTTAAGTGGGACAAGATTGTGTTCACTAGTGCGCGGATCCAGGTCGCCAGGCTTGATGCCGGAATACTGCGTCACATAGTCCACAATTGGCTCACGGATGGTGATATAGTCATCAATGAAAGGAACCCCTTCTTGAACACCCATGCCGCGCAAGACAGAAACGCGGGCCAGCCCGCTTTTGTTGGGGCGCACCATTTCCTGTGATCCGTCTGCTTTGACATCAATCTCGGCTTTTTCGAGATCAACAAACTCGGTATCCAGTGCGACAGGTGTCCCGGGCTGTGGCTGTTCCTCCTCGGTGAGAGTTTGACATGACTCAACCTGACGGCCGCCACTACAAAACAATTGTTAGCGTTTACATTCAAGCATCAAGTGTAATCATGTTCGAAAACTTACTTCAAAGACCACTCGCGGAATAGTAGCGTTTTATCGAGGAGGTTCTTCCAAGAGTCATCGACAACATGCCGTGGGTCTCTTACTTGGTAAGCTAGCACGCAAGGTTGTTTCCAAGGCTGTGTAAATCGGAGTGCTTCGTCTCTGTCGACTTCCGTGACCAAGAAGTCATTGAACAGGTGCCATTTGCCTTGTTCTTCGGACTCCGGAGCTGAAATGGAGACGTTGACGAAAGATACCAGATGGGGTTTTTGATGTTCCGGGATGTCAATCTCCGCAACCAATCCAACCAGATCATATACCGCAAGCCCGGGTGTTTGATTTTGGATTCGGAGGCGAAGATCATCACCCTCAAAGCACATCACCTGTCCACTAGCATCAACGAGAACGCCAACGGCGTCGGGCAACCACCCTGGGATTGCCCAAAGCCGACGGCAAAGAGGGTTGGTCAGGGCGGCATTGAGCACGAGAATCAAGGGCATGCGGTGAATAGTCTTACGAATCGTCACTTGCTGGTAGCGACGACAATAATTGCACCATCCTCGGTTCTGTGTCTCTCGTTCAATGCTTGCGCGCAAGATATTGGAGAATCGGAATAGCGGATTGCGTCGTGCATGTTTAATGTCGAGATTCGGATAAATCAATTCATTGGCGAGTGAATTGCCAGGGCGCACAATTTCGTTCTGGCAGAACATACACCGAATAGACTCGGACGCAATGGTGGCTAAGCGCTGATCGAGCTCTTCGGAATTAGGCTGAATCATCCGGAAGTCTTGAGCTATTTGAGTCAGGAAGAAACGGTTGACTGCTTGGATCGCAGTCGAAAGAGACTTATTAGTAAGATTCTCTTCCAAGAGACCCAGATTTGAGGCTTCTCGGAAGCTACTGAATGTCTTGAGAAGGTTGGTGGCCTGACAATTTTGGCCGCTTGCCTTTTCAAGCATGTCGAACAAATAGCCCAGTTCACATAAAAGACAGTGCTCAAATATGCACGATCCCGCCGCATGATTAAGGGCAAGATTTCGGAAAAGTGGGATGAATTTGAAAAGTTGGAGAAGAGAGTTGGTAAAGGAGTTGGCGATGTGAGTCTCAAGGCCGGAGAATGAAGTCTTGTTATAGAAGCTGTATGGAACGTGAGCTAAGGGCAGCAAATGAATTGGAACAGAAGTCGTACCGGAAATCAAAGTCATCTACACCAAATCGGCTGTATTTGATCTCCACGTTGCTGTATTTGAGTAATGGGTCGTCATCGCTCTCTCCGTTGATCTTAGCGCCTGCCAGTGCCTCTGCAGCATCACCAACCAAGCCGTCCGAATTGCTGTAGTCTCGAGCTTTTTCGCTGAGAAACTTTGGTGCAATAAGAGCTGGCTCTGCCGTGGTCAGTGCGCGAGTGTTTTCTATTTGGTATCGACGAGTCTTTCTCGGGTTTGGAGCATGGTGTCCCATCTCTGCCGGACGTAAATATGGCAACATGGACTGATCCAAAGGAGCTGGTGGACTGCCAACCTCAAAAAGCAAATGGCTTGGCCATGCCGAAAAGAGGCGCTCGTGATAATAAGGCATCCCAACCATGTTCAATGGAGTCTCAGGAGACCAGTCCATCTGAGGAGGCCGCGTGGGAACGTCGGCAAATTCTGTCTCCTTGCTCAGTTCATTGAAATGAACCTTGGTCGGTGAGCCCCATAGGTGAAGGGAGCATTCGGCATCGTTGATGACCAATGCTTCTCCCGACGGTGACAGGTCAATACCGAGCACGAGTGACACATTGGCTTGTCTCAAGTTGACCGAATTCGGATTCATGAGATCTATCACTTGGAGTTGACCTGTTTGTGAAGCCACGAAGCTGGTAGTGTGAAGTTTGGGATGCATGCGCACATATGCTGCTCCAGCATGGAACGGGATCGGAGGCAATGGTGTTAACGTTTTCAGGTCATAAACGTTGGCTAGAGGGTCCACAATTGGGGATCCGAGATGGCGAACTGAGAAGCCACAGGTGACCAGTAGGTCATTTCGCGCATCCATGTCATTAACACCTGTCCCATGTGCTTTCCATGACTTGACAACACTGAAATCTAAGAGGCTGAGCGCATTGACTGATCCAGTATCTGTTGCAGCACAGAGATATCGACTCTTTTTCATCATTGTGTAGCCGTGCTCGGTGGGCAGCTTCTCCACGATTGTGCCCTTGTCAATATCCACTGTGAACATCACGCGCTGAGAGCCTGCAACCAGGATTCGATTGGTCTGGGCTGTAAAGCTCATGCAGCGGAGATCAACCATTTCGTCGTGAGTAAGATGCCACTGTGTCAAGCCCCGTCGGGTGATCATGTGCACACTCTTTGATGATAGCGAAATCACACCTCTTTCATGGAATATTATTTGCCGTACCGAGCCCTCAGAAACCGGATGCGCTCGAACAGAGGTATAACGTTGCAGCTCCGGCCCGTAAAAGGAAGAGACCCTACCCTAGCGAATTGAACACACTCATCAGCATCCCGCCTGGGAAATCTACCAGCCGAGACCAGCACTCACATATTCATTGCCCGTCCATAGAAGCTCCATCATATCGTCAAATGCCATCGCCGTTGCCACAGTAGGCATAGCATGTGGACTCGGCGGCGGCATTGGGATACGCGACAGCTCATCCCAGTCGGCCTCCATGCTTGCAGTAGCCTCTGCGGGCCGACTCCAATACCGTGATTATCGTGTGCGTTCTCGCTTTTCCTTAATATGCCGGCCTAGTAGGGCCTGGTGTAAACTGATGTCTTCACCCACGTGGGAACACAGCGAGTGTGGGCATCGTTCGGCGCGAGGGACGCGATTGCGGGGAAGCTATCAGACGATTTGTCGGTAGGGTTTTGACACAGAGAATTTTGGAGTCAAAAGGGCCCGAAACGTGAGAGTCGAAGCTCGGCTCGAAATGCCTGACGCGACGAAATAAAGAACGGTCGGACTCCAACTGCGGTGCATGATGCCGGCGAGGGACAGGAACGGTGAGATGTTGGTATGAATCACGTGACAGCAGGCAACCTTAGATCGCCAAGTCTCCAGGGCTATGGGGACCAATCCTGTAACATTCATCGATTACAGTGAAGATGACAGATGACCTAGAGAAATGCTATATATGCAGGAAATGGCTGTTTCAACAACAGGGGAGTAGAAATAGAGCTACAAATCGGCTCTCATTAGAAGAGAAGACCATCTATGTTTAATCCTGGAGATGCCAGGTGTAAACATGTGCCGACTAATTTAAGGTCACGAACAAAGAATCGCCATATTCTATATAACTCAAAGTGTTTTTCTCCCATTGGATTTTTGAATGGAAATATCATGAAGAAAAACAAGCCTAACTAAAAAGTGGATATGCCGTTGGAGTCTGATCTACAGTGGCTATGTTTGACAGCCACAACCTGCAGGTAAAAAAGACTGTTATAGTACGGACAAGCGAACCACACAAGCCGGATGAATTTGTTCACAAAGAAGGGTCTCTGCCTCTCTCCCCCAGGTCTGTGACAATTTCGGGAAGTTATTATCAAACTATAATTCTTTCATTGTGCAGGAAACTTTTATCCGCTCTATGGGCCGTTGAATACTTTCTCAATCTCCAACCAGTCGATGTAGTCAACCCCGGTCAGTGGCAATGTCGGATTGTGGAAACTTGAATAAATTCCTTCTGCTTCCCCAGAAAGATCTAGATCCCAATCTCCCTGCATATCAAACATCGCATCTGGTGCTTCCATATTAGACCATGGCTCAAGTAATCTGATCTCGTCTTGATGGTCGCCCTGACTACTCGAGGCCACAGCCATATATGGTGGAGAACCCGAGGAAGTCAACAACGCATCTTGTCTCGAGCCTGGACTTGCTGTCGGTGGCTGAGTCTTGTTCTGGGGGGCTGTATCGCTGTGTGAGACATTCGCATTGAAAGCATGATCCGGCCAAACATGCGAATAAGACTGTGCAATATCTTGCAGGCGTCGCTTGGCAGCCGAATTTCCAGACTCAGATAGAAACTGGAGCACTCTGAAGGCTTGTTCAAGCGCTGGGGGTGGTTGGCTTTGTGATTTGTTCAGGAAGCCCACCATGACCAGCACAAATGCAGCGGAGAATGTTGCGTCCAGATCGAAAAAGCCGTACCGGGCTGGGGAGATAATATGTCAGTCGTTGGTTTTGATAAACATGCGAAATATAATATAGGACACAAAGACTCGTTGAGAAGAACACCAGAAAGACTCACGAATAGTCTGCTGGCGACGAAGTGATTCAAGTATTGCCAGACTTCGCGTAGCTGCCTCATCACATGTATCACAGAGACGCAGTAGCATGCTAGGCGCTGGATCGGGTGACTGCGGTAATTGTTGGTTCTGAGCTTCAAGTCGCGCTCTTTGAAGTAATATGGGCCGTGTACATAGGATGATAGCCTAATAACGAATCAGGCACAATAATAATAGTATGTTCTTCAGGTGGACAGTCTCACCTGGAAAAGCATTAGGTACAATGATGCACCTGTACGAGTCACCAATTGTAAAGGTCGATTGAAGTCCAACATTAAAGATTTGGGGAATGACCGGCCGGTTTCATGCAACTCTTGGAGAATTTGCTGAATCTTTTGGACCAGTTCCAGTTGAGTGATTGACTTATTGCCATATAGAGCTGTTATGAGTGTATTAGCACAGCGTTAATAGTTGAACGGCGTATAGCTTACATGACATTATATCATCAGTGACACGCGCGATACGAACATTGATGGCAAGGGCAATTGGTGACTGGAATCCCATCGCATTTCGCGGGAGTTCAGTGCGTAGCTGTCGCTCATCGGCCCCTGCAGCTAGTCCAAGGCCTGAAGAGAGGCGCCTAAAATTGTAAGTTGAGTCCCAAACCACTAAATTTGCCAGAGATGCCTACCTGTCAAGCATATATACTGTCCACCATAGCCTTAATCTGTGGGCACTCTGGGAAGGGAGGCAGCGTTGATCGATTTCCCGCAGGTTGCATCCAAGAGCAATAGCCAGCCGCAGTGCGAGTCCAATCTACCACATGTCAACAATATGCGCGGGAACTTTGTGGATCTTGCATAACATACATAGAGATACGCATCATGCTTGCGGTCACACCACTGCAGATATGTAGCAATTAGTGTCAATATCTCGACAGCGACAACACCTTCCCCACCCATGTGATGCAACGGAGGAAGGCGTTTCAAAGCTTCAGCAAACAAGTCCGTTCCAGGTGTCTGTAATGCCGGGCTTTTTACATCCATAAGTTTTGCCATAGCCATGACTAAAAGATATTCTGTAAACCAAGGAGAGTTTAGCTGTTGTTGCCTTGTCTCTGGGCTCTGGAATAGCAACATAAGATCGTCCGAAAAAGAGCGTGGGTCAAAGAAGTGCTGGCTCACGCCGAGATAAAAAAGGAATTGATCAAGCAAGTGCTGTGATTCCTCCAAAGATGGAAAAGATACTCCGGCAACATTATCAACGAGCTCTTTGACTGAGGTCCATTGAGGTAATCGATCAGCCCGGTATTGAAAATTGGAAGTAGATCCATGGGAGTTGAAGTCAATGGAATGCGATCTGTCAAGAAGCGACCTGACCTGAGACTCAAATGCGGGCCCTGAGGTCAGGTCCGTTGCTGCACGTATAGTCAGTTTATATTCACAAGCAGACCAGGCATAAGAATGCGAGTTTAAGTTACCTGGACTTATAGCAGGATCGGTATCGGGATATAATAGCCCATCTTGCCTCTGGTTGGGGTGCTCTTTATTTCCAGGTGTTGAAGAACTTCGTTGCGCTGATTGACGACCTGGGGTCTCATCTGGTGCTACTGGAGAAGGAAATGAAGAGACTTGACGCCCTACAGACTGAGTACTAAGCTGCCCTTCGTACACTTCAATCTTTTTCAATAGATGTCTCACTTGGCTAGTTTGATAGTCAGCAAGACTGCCAGAGCTACAACGCGCATGTACTGACGCTTCAGAAAACCGTTTGCGACTGGAGTGACCAAAAGTGCATTCCCAATTGTGTTTGGTACATGCGCGACAAGGCTTATCACCGGAACATTTTACTTTGCGTCTTCGACATGTTTCGCATCTGCCCAGTTGTTACCATACATAGGCCACCACAGCCGGAGATGCAGACGCATTGCACACTTACGCGTTGGTAGATCGAGGATTAGAGCCTGCCATAATTTCAAATATTCCCGTACAGTTAATATTGATATTAACATGATACTCGCGTTTCAGTCACAAGTGTGAAAACGTCGGTCTGTATGGATCGGGTGCTCACCCGAGGCTGCGGGGACTTCGGCCTGGGCCTCCGAAGGCCCCGCAGTCAAGGTCGGACAAGACGATCAACATGAGGATGGATGATATCTGCGCTTGGAGTCCAGTCTTCGCCGGCGAAAAACAAAAGGACCGCCTCCGCTGCTATCTTAGAGTCATCATCATCATCTTTGCCAAGCACCACAGAGCGCCTGATGTTTCCTAAATGCGAAGCAATTACATCTGCAGGCCAGTCAAATTGATTGGCAAATTTATGACAGAGCTCAGCAGTTGCAAACGCATCGAATTCAAAATGACCTTGTAGCGTGAGAACGTGGCCAGGCTTGTAGAGGCCCTGGATTGGACATTTGAGGCTGCTTCCGATACTGAGCCACGGTTCAGGCAACATCGTCCCATTTCCCCGGAGAATTGGTGAATTTTCTGGTGTAGATATCACGGCATCCCCATGGATAACTTGAATATGGAATGGCTGTTCTGCAGTAAACCGAGCTAGAGGTGGGAAGTTTGAGACGAAAGCTGGGTTCAAGAAGATAGGATGTATGCCAATTTCGTGGCCATTAGACGAAGGTTCGACAGATATCTTAAATGAAGATCCTTGGGACGTGTAGCTTTTGTCACTTGCGAGCAGCGCTTGAGCTATAAGTTGATGTCCAAAGCAAGATCCGAAAATCTTGACCATCGGATAGTCCGTATACACCCTCTTAATAAAAGATCGCAAACTTGAAATCCAGCGTAGCTTATCATATACCGCTGCTGCAGCTCCAGTGACCAGAATCGCATCGATAGGACCTGGGAAGCCAGGGTGTCCATTTTCGCTCGGCGACCAAGGGGTGACTCGAAAGGACGCGAGATGTGGGAAATTACCTCCCACAACGTCGAACGCAGTGATGTGAACACCAAGAGATATTCTATTCTGATAGTATTTGGTTGCATTGATGCGATTTGCGGCGGCAGTGAGAAGAACGTTGAATTGTGAGCTATACAATCCTCGTTTGGCGTAGAGAGGGTAGCAAGGGATATCGGTGTCAAGGACAGCAATATGGATTGCACGGACAGACATGTTGGTCAGAATAATAACAAGACAAAGAGAGGGAATGTACAGAGCTAACGAATATTATTTTGTCGGATGAGATCCGAAATTCTCGGGAAATATGGCCGACAGATTGAACATAATAAAACTTTTTGGATTTTCTTCAGGCCAAAGTTCTTTATGATATTTTTCCTCTTTAGTAGTGTTCTGTTTAGATGTGCAAGTTCTATAGAGGGAAAAGTTTACTTTTCTAAGTATAACCAGTATAACCTCTGATGAAATAAGAAAGGAGTGGGAGAACACAACAGCTTCTCTTTGCGGACAAACAATACTTAAGATATCTGACCGTGACAGCTGATAAATTAAAAATTGGATTCATTATGTAGTCTTATGTATTAATATTCGTGTAATGACCTGGAACAGCCCTCGAAGATGAGAGGAAGTAGGTATACATCACACTTAATACCAGTAGTCCCGGAATTTACTGCTAATCACTCAGATTCGAGTACCCCCAAAAAGGCTCGTGAGCAAGAAATGCAAGACATGATGTGAGGGTATTCTTAGAAACTAAAGGTTCTAAATACGAATGTAATCTCTATTTCATGGATTCTGGAGATTATGTCTCACTTATATAAAGGATTTTACCCATACCATATTAGAAAAATAAAGATCGTCATAGTATTGACTCATCGTACCTCCGAGGGTTCCAAATATGCAACGCCGAGTCACAGATATTCTAGGATCTTTACAGTAGACTTTGAAGCGGATATTGAATTCCCCCGAGGCCGTGTACCAACATAGAAACTTTCAAGTAGTGGATATTCGGGGTTCGGGGTTAGACATATGCGAAACCTCCCAAGGTAGACATCCACATATTGTTTCTTAGTAGCCATAGTTATTATTAGAAGGATCATCAGGTTACCTCTATTCCGTCCACAGTCGGCTTGATTTGTAACTATCCAGTAGGACCGCTGAGGTATTGGAGAGAACTCCCGAATTCGAAGAGTTCGATAGTATAAGTAACCGACCTTTCAGCATGGATAGATATGAATATTCAGTCTTCTATCAAGTCTCTCTAGCTGTTTCATCCCTAGCTCCACTGTGCTATTACCTCTAAGTGGTATTCAATTCTCGGAAATGGCAGGCAAGAGAATCATCACTGTTATTGGAGCCACTGGTGCCCAAGGAGGTGCCGTTGTTGATGTCTTCCTCAATGACCCACTCCTGAACCAAGAGTGGACGGTCCGCGCAGTGACTCGAGATCCATCCAAAGACAAGGCAAAGAAGCTAAAGGAACAGGGTGTGGACGTGGTTGCTGTAAGCATTTTTGATGGTACATGAAATCTCCGTACTTACTGACCAACTGGGAAGGCCGACTTGAACGACAAAGCCTCGCTTGTGAAGGCCTTCACTGGAGCTACTGCAGCATTTGGCGTTACTAACTACTGGGAGACCTTGAGCATTGAAGCCGAAATCCAGCAGGGTCGAAACCTTGTTGATGCTGCGAAGGTTATTTCCCCTTTACTATTGCTGTCCTATAGGAATGCACGCTAACTCTGATACCTTGCTAGGAATCTGCTATCTCTCATTTCATCTGGAGCTCTCTGCTCAATGTCAAGGAGCGTAAGTATTATCTGGTTAACATTTGACTTGGGGAAAAGTTGACTAACATGAAAACCGCCAGTGACCCGTGGAAAACTTACCCACGTTTATCAATTCGATGGCAAGGCTGAGATTGAGGAATACGCTAAACAAGTTGGCATTCCGGCCACGTTCTTCCTACCGGGTATGTATATGCAGTCTGTTACGGGGGGTTTTAGACAGAACCCACCTGAAAATGCCTGGGTGTTCGCCCTACCGATGCCTGAAACCGCACCTATTCCTTTGTTCGACGTTCACAACACCGGAATCTGGGTTAAGGCGATTGTACGAAAGCGAGACCAGCTTCTGGGGAAGCACGTACTAGGCGCTACGCAGTATACGACTCCGAAGGAAGTAGTCGACGGATTCAAGCAGGCCTTCCCAGAGGCTGGCAAGGCAGCCTGCTTCTTCAGCCTGCCGCATGAAATGTTTCTGCAGGGGGTTAAAGACTCAATGGGGGTGCCGGATTGGGCAGCGGAAGGGATCTTGGAAATGATGCGCCTTGTTAACGAGGGCGGATACTTTGGGTTTGAGCCCTTGGAAGAGAGCCTTGCGGTGCTCGAGGACAAACCAACTGCGTGGGTGGATTTCTTGAAGAAGAACGAGGCTTTCAAGGACCTCAAATAAGGCAGATATATTGCTCTTTAATTACTTCTTTGGCATTAGTACTCCGGGTATTTGAAATGAAATTCTAAGCCACGTAATGTCGTCGATCTCGGGAGACTTTCCTTTCTATAGTTGGCCCCAAAGCTGAGCCTCATTTGTATTCACAGGCCGCAATAAAACTCCAATCAAAAGGCCGATCAAGTCATTCTTCCCAATAAGAGATAAGAAACCAATGGTTTAGCGTGCGCGAATTAAACTGGACCTAAATCATGTCATAGAGCATTAAGCCCCATTATATAACTAGCCAAGAACGCCTTGCCACAGCATCCCAGAGATAAAAGCCCATCATATCGCATCAAAAACTCCCATAAAAACCATCACTCATCTAGAATCATGTCTAAAGTCACATATACCCATGCACGAATGGACCGTTCCATCGCACCGAAAAGCTCTGCGCCGCGTTATGCCTTGAAAGCACCAGAGCGACAAGTCGCCTTTCGACGAGAACATATCGCGACAGAGAGAACAAATCTACTCATTAAGCCGCACAGGAACGACCAGTCAGACCGTGCATATAAGATCTCGGACGAAGAGGGCTCTACCGTATTCACAGCGACTGGTCGGAAATACAATGATCGCTCGTGTCGAGAACTCCGCGACTCATCTGGGTTACCGTTGTTTGACATCCACACGAAACCCTTGTTAAGTCCTCTAAGCTGGGTGGTCACATTGCCCGGGGGCAAAATCAGCGAGGGAACAGTAGCGAAGGCGACACCGAGCTTTCCCTGGTATAGCGACAACTTGGTCTTCTCATTTCGGAATAGAGCCTCCGAAGACAGGAAAAGCGTGGAGAATAAGCAGCTCACGCTAACTGTCAAGAAGCATAGTAAGGCGCTGGCCTTTTTCGATATTGTGGATAGGGATAGGAGGATTGCTGAGTTGCGCGAGAGTATCGTCCACAACGAGCGACTGGCTTTGAGGCGGACGAATCGCGGACGAGGCCATCGCCCTGCCTTGGATCTCATTGTGAGTCCTGGTGTGGATATTTCACTAGTAAGTCGAGGCCGAAGGCTTAACTGGGATATATCAGCTAATTCATAGTAGGTGACGGTAATTGCGGTCATTGTGTCTGACTGGTTCTTCGGATCGAGTTAAATAGATGGCAGAAGACGGTTGATTTTTATAAAGCGAGCGAATTTGTATTATAGATGCAATAGATGTCAAGATACTACTGGACGCATAACAAACGAACCTGTTCCCAGCTCCTCCATAGACAGAACACAAATTAACGATCAAACACTGGTTTGTCCAACCACGCGCTTATCTTGGACAAGGCAGAAACATCATGTTCCTTTGTCGATGTATTGTGGTCTTTGATTTCTCCATCTATCCACCCCCTAGTCCCTCTAATATGCTTCAAATGGGTTCCAATCGGCTGACATCCAGCAAAATCAATCAAAACAGGCATGCCCTCTTTGCTCACCAGAATGTTGTAGGGAGTCAGATCGTTGTGGGCCAGTCCATGTGTATGAAGATGATGGAGTGAGGACTCGAGGGCAACGATGAATGACTGTTTCTCAATTGTCCCGACTTGGTTTTTGAGATAAGTGTACAGATCATGCGGATGTTTGTCCATGACAAGTCCGATAAAGTACCCACGGAGAACCCGACATCCGTAATAGCGGATTATGTTCGGGTGCGGGTGCTGAGATAGCAACTCTAGGACCTCAGCCTCTGCTAGCAGGGATGCAGAGAGTTGGGACAATGCATCGTGCTCCTTCATCACTTTATACATTTGTGGGTTTGGTCGCTTGACGTAGACATCCTCGGTAATTGTTGCTGGGGCTTGCATCAACTCGGTATTAGGAGCTAGCCACCGAGTGTATAGTTCTTCATCGGGAACACTCTTGAGGGTGTTGGTGACCTGCTCAAAGGTAATATTGGCTTTGGGCGTTTCAAGCGTGCCGTAATAGAAGCTTTCATTGCCGTCAAATAACGCGAAAGATGTTTGTTGGATTTCCCCTGTTTCACCATCGCATTGCTCCCATACTTCAGTGAGATCATCCCAGCTGGATATTTGTGGTGGCATAATGACAGTGGACATGTATGTTCGCAAGTAGAGTGGGACTGATGGATATTGGGTGTGGGAAGTATATGACGTGAAGCTAGTTAGCTTCTGAGTTACTCGACTTTAACCGATCTAACAGATCAAGAAGAAAGGCCTAATCGCCGCAATATTTCCAGCAAGGTTAACAAAGACAAGAATGAAATGAGGCTTCAAAGAGGGGGAACAGCGAGTACCCGGCGAGGCCTGAGGCCACCAAGAACGAATCCCTGCATCTCTAGGTACCTATAAAACGTGCAGCTTGATTAACCCGTGGACCCCAGAACGGGTAGGAAAGTGTAGTTGCTGGAGCCATTTGTCTTGCTGAGGCCATAAATGGAAACGACGATCCTGGGACGATCCCAAAGAACAGTTGATGTCTGTCTCACACTTCTTCGTTTTTTGTCTCCTCTTCCTGGGCTATTTCTTGTTCATATTCACCTTGCTTTCAAGCGAATGGTAGGCCTGATTCGTGTGCGATGGATGGACTGCTGATGAGACCCCAGCATTCAGTCTTCAAAGATCGATTGTATCAACGCCTAAGCGATTATAGCACTAGTGTACGGAGAGATGGAGACAACATATGTAGTAACATACAATTGACGGCATATTCAAACTGTTGGCTAGATACATAACAGCAAAACGGCCAGCAAATGAGGGATAATAAAACGAAGAATACTGCTTGAAATGGCCACATACAAAGCCACCATTAAGGACAGTCAAGGTATTTATTCCTATTAATCGAATTAAGGCAGTCGAGACTAACTATCAATTATCGATAAAAGGAAGTTGGATTCGAACCAGCTGCTCCGCCCTGTGGAGGCTGGTACGCCTGATACTCGCCCGTGCTTGCGGCGGGAGGTGTTGGGCTATAGGGAGTATACTGTGGCTGCTGCTGCGCTGCTCCTGGTACCGGCGGAGGCTGGTGCGATGGAGGAGGTTGGTGAGTACCGGGGGAGTTGGGATACGGGGTTTGTTGCTGTTGCTGCTGGAACTGGTGCGGGATTTGTGGCATAGTGGAGACAGGCGGGACTTGAGCTGTCTCCTCAGCGGAGTAGACGGAGGGCGAGTAGTCTTGCTGCTGCTGCTGCTGCTGTTGCTGGAATTGCTGGTGGGCAACAGGTGATGCTTGTGCAGTTGGGGGGTACGGCATGCGCTGACCAGGCCCAGGAGCAGGGTGATCAACAGGTGAATCATAGACAGAGGTCCCCAATTCTTGGGGGTGATCGTATGTAGATTGCGGACGGTGGTTAACATGTTGGTAAGGTTCGGCATGGGGTGACTGCTGCGGTGCGCCGGCCTGGGCCTGGTTGCGAGGATCAGGGGAGTGAGAGGCTGGGCGGTACGGCATAGTCTGCTCGCTGACGGGGTACGGTGCGTATGAATTCGCCTGGGTTGGCGTGGTGTCTAGTCAAGGCAAGTTAGAACTGGGCGTCGGTAGGTAATTTGTAGGTAATTTGTAGTCCCCACTAACCTTGAGGTCGGGGAGTAAAGTATCGAGGATCCGCCTGGGGGCCAGAGGGGTATCCGGCAGGTGCAGCACCAGGATAACCATACTGTGGCTGGGCAGGGCGTCCATATTGAGGCTGTGCCGGATGGGCTAGCGACGCCTCAAGGAGGGACTCGTAGTCGCGACGAGCTTTGATGAACTTTTCATTGAGCTGGGTAAATTCATCTGTACATGTGTAAGCAGGACATCAAATGGCAAAACAAACAATTGACTGGTTACCTTTCTTTTGAGAATATTTTCCAATCAGTTCGATGAGTTTTGGACGAATTGCAAGCGTGGCTTGATAGAGTGTAGTAATCTCTTCGTTTTCTTGGACATTGAGATCTGAATTACGGGTGCTCAGTAGAGTTAGGAGCTTCTCAACGCTCTTGATCTGGCCAAAGACGTCCGCCTCCATTTGAGCCTCCCGCTGCAGTTCATCGACAGTGGGATCTGGGAGTTTCTCCACATAGTTGAGAGGGAAAATGCCGGTCTGGCCTCTCAAGGAACCCTTCCACCAATCTTTGTAAACAGACTCCAGGACTGCAATGGTATCGCCTTTGCGGAATTGAAGCTCTCCTGGCTCAGACGGTTGGAAGTCGAACAACGCTCTCACACGCGACACGGTAGCTACCGATGTACCTAAAAGAGCAGGTTGAGCCTCGGCAGGCTCCCCTTGATTTGTGGGAGCCGATGTGGATGCACCAGCAGCAGATGAAGTCTCGACTCGAGGGGCTGCCGCTGCCGCCACCGGAGCTGCTTTATCCTTAATCGACAGGGCTAGGGCCATCTGCAATTCCTCTTCCTCCATTTGACGATCAATATCAGTGATCTCACGCTTTCCAGGTTTCGACGGTGGCTGCAGATTTGGGTCTGGAATATAATCAGCGAAGTCCGATATCTGGGAGCCGAACGGATACTTACTCGTGGTTTTTAATTTCATGTATGCCTGTTCCATGATGCCAAAATCCGGGTTGGATGCGAACATCTTAGTCCATTCTTCCATGCGTTCCAGAATTTTAGACTTGACTTGCTGATGCGTATTCTAGACAAATCTATAGTTAACTCCCGCTATTTGCGCAAAACGAAGGTTCGAGATCTACTTACGCGATCGTTCGCCAAGCGTAGTAGCGCATCAGTAAAGCTTCTCGAAGCCAACTCGCGATGGATCTTCAAGCCGCAGTTTTGTGACAACGAATTTGCAAGCTAGAAACCAGTCAGTTATGCTCGTAGATCAGGGAACATTGGCGCCCCCAAGTTCACGGGTATCTCGCTACGAACCTCCAATGTATAGAGCTGGACGTTGGCATTTCGGTGAGCCAGCCTTTTGATCATCGCGGCCACGGCCTCTTTCGCTCTATATCACGGCAGTTAGCAGCGGTGTTTGGGTGAGCTTAGACCAGCCTGTGGTTTCAGAATTATCCACCTACCCTGATTCCTCTGAGCCAACTTTGTCACAGACATCCTAAACCACAAAAAGCCGAATCAGTTCCTATGTCCCGTGGTTATTCCGGCAATACGTAGATTAATGCAAACGCACCAGAATGTATTCCCAGTTCTCGGAGGTCAAATTCTCGTCCGTCGCCTTGGCTATACAGAAAGAGATATCGTCAGTAAACCATATATACAGATTCAATGTGCTTTCCGGGGGCTTCCCTTCAAGCCGGCCAGCTCCAGGAGTGCACTGTGTATCTGAAGGGGCAGAGAGCTAGCGTAACTTACCAACGGCGTCATCGAAGTGGTTCTGCTGCGCGCGAAACATTGCGAATGTATGTCCTCTTAAGTGTCGCAGGTAATCAGGTGTCTCGGGCAGCACTGCTTAGCTACTGACAAGCAGTTCGCCTTGTTTTCACGTGGTAAAAGTTTGGTAATAGGTTCCAATTAAATTTTTGTATCGAAAACGACGCTCTGTTTCAAAACCTGGTTGTGTAGCTCGTAGTGATGGTTATCCAGCACGGAATGCGGGGAGTCGACGACGGCAAAGGATGTGGCTAAGCGGGTTGATGCGGACCGCGTGAATGTCACAGAGACAGGAGCTTGGGAAAGAAGTTGCAAGCGACCGGTATTGCAACGCTGGATATTTATTAATCAGGTTGGGAATGATCAGGGACAGTCTTGGGGTACTGTGTATGGGGCGGAACTCAGTCACCTGAGTCAGCATATGACGACGGTGGGCCTGGGAGACTTAATTTAGTAGCTTTGGATTGTACAACTACTCCGTATAAGTTGACCGAGTTTTTTTTTCTATATTATGTCTGCCTAGGGATTGAGCTTCTATTTTTTCTTTCTGTTCTACTGTTCTCTTTTTTCCTCCATTCACTCTATGACTTCGCCCTGCCCATATAGGCTGCTGCGTTTCCTTTCTCTCGTTTGCTGATCTAGTGGCTGAACATACCTCCACTGTGGAGTATCCTAAAAAAATGGAATGAAAGAATGTTGAGGTCGAAGCTTGTCAACTGCTTGTATTCATCATAAGCTAACAACAATAATGGTCAAATAGAACTACAAGAAATTACATAGACACCATCCGTGCAGAGACATTGAGCGGCAAAGCAGATATCACAGGCAACGTGCTCGTGGAATGGAGTCATTTCCATCGAAAATCGACGTGAAAAAGTGAATAAAGGAGTACACTGGGTACATAAATGGATTCCAACAACGTACTATAGTGCACGTCGGGATCTAGAAGAAACATTGGGAGTGACGGGGTATCTGAGCAAGACGTCAAGAGATATCAAGTACGACGAAATAAAACCGAAACAGGGGGGGAAAAAAGGGGGGGGGTCATTCATCAGCGTCCTTTTCAAGCACCTCCTTTTTGAGCTTTTTCTTGGGCACGGCTGAGACGAGCAGCCTTGACCAAGGGGGCGAGATGCGATAATGGTGCACAGAGAGACATGAATGGGTGCTAAAGGGCAAGATGTCAGTTATCGCTGAGGAAGCAATGGGAAATAGGAACGAGTAAGTACCTTCAGCAGATCATGGGCCGACGCCCGCTTCTCCGGGTCAACCTTCAAGGCAAAGTAAAGGAACTCGCGGAAAACCGGGGATAGATTGTGCTCATCCTTGATGGTGGGTGTTCCGTTCGTAGCAATCAGATAGAGTGCTCGCAATGGGGATTCTGTCAAGTACGGCGGCTCGCCCTCGATCATCTCAATGGCCATGATGCCTAAACTCCAAATGTCGACCTTGCGGCCATACGCTTTGCGAGTCACGACTTCCGGGGCCATCCAGTATGGGGTGCCAACCATAGTGTTCCGTTTGTTCTGCGAGTCGTTGATTTGAGCACAGAAACCGAAATCGGCTGGATATTGTTAGCATGGTTTCCACACAACACGGGGTGAAACTCACTCAGCTTGATGTTACCATCCATTGCCAGGAGGATGTTGTCGGATTTGATATCTCGATGAATAACACCCTTAGAATGCAAATGCTGGAGGCCGCTCAGAGTCTAATCGAAATAGTTAGCACATCTTATGGTCTTATTTTGACATAGGATTAACCATCTTGTACTCACCTCTCGGCAAACAGCTGCGATCTGTCCCTCGCTCATAATGTTGAAGGTAACCACATCTGTCAGACTGCCACCTTCCATGTATTCCATAACAACCCAAAGATCCAGCCCATGTAGGAAGCTCTCTAAGAAGTTCACGATGTTCTTGTGCTTGCTATCTTTCATGACCAATATCTCGTTGATGATCAAATCCTTTTTAGGCTGCAAGTCTAGATTCATTTGCTTGATGGCAACACAGTTGTTGTTAGGATGCTCATACGCTGTGTACACACCACCAGAAGCACCTTGACCGATTTTGTTGAAGTTGTAGTAGATCTGCGTCGGGTCGCCAGGGTGGCAGATAGCCATCAAGCGTGCCCGAATATCCATAACGCTGCTCTGCCGCTGCTGCTGGCGCTGTCTAGGTCTAGCAGCGGGTGGAGCGCGCGTAGGTGACACCCCAGACGAAAGATCGGGTGCCGGAGCAGCAGTTGATGTGGAGATGGCGGGAGGCTGCTGTGCTTGCTGACGTTGGGTACGATTCCGTTCCAATGTCTGCTGAGCCGCGGCCATGACTTGCTCCTGTTGCCGCTGGTATTGTGTTGGGGAGGCGATGACATTGGGAATATTGGGGACGGGTGCAGGTGTGCCAGTTCGGGAGCTGGAGGGACTGCGGTGGGGCGATGCTGGCAACGGCTCGGATTCTGGGATGGTCGGAGTGCCAAATGTAGGTCCATAATTCTCCTGAGGAGCTCGCTGCGAGACTCCGTACGAATTCGAGACTGGGGGTTGGGGAGGCGGGCGGGAGGGGGTCAACCCGGTCGGCGGTTTCGGGGGAGCCCGATGGGGCACCATACCGCCTAGTGAAGGGGACATGACCGGCGTGGCTGCCGGAGGCCCGCGAGGGATTGGCGGGGGCGATCGCGGATTCTCGAAGCTGTTTTCGTGATTCTGCGGGAATCGTGGACTTCCCGGTGGCGATGTTTGCTCTCTTGGGCTGGTAGCTTGCGCGGCTTGAGCAGCTTGCGCATTGTCGAACTTATGCCAAACTTCATCATCGCTGTCGCCACGAGTGTTCTTTTCGTAGAATCGCATGATATCCATCATAGTCTGTGGGTGCTCCTCCTGCTCCTTCTTCGAGATGCCGTTCTCCTGTAGTAGTCGCTGCCATTCTTTGGGAAGACCAGTGAATTGGCCGGTCTGATTGTCGTAGCCGACGTGAGTGACATGCACTGGATTCTCTGGAGCTGAAATTTTCATATTGCGACCGGGGGTTCCAAGCATACTATCCACGAATCTGGAAAAGCTGGCCTTTTTGCTCTGTCTCGTTCGGGGTGCGGCCGGAGGATTGGCCTGAGGATTGGCCTCATCGGAATACCGTTTGTCGGGATTCGGAGGCCTTTCGGTCTCGCGATGAGCAAATGGATCCATTCGTTGCGTTAGAGTGGTGAAGCTAGCTGACTGGCGAAGTGAGTGGCGTCCACGGGTATCCGGACTGGTGTGGTGAGAGCGGAGTCCGGGCTTTTGCTGAGAGTGAGGATCAGTCTCGGCACTGTTCTCGTCCAATGCACTGAGCATGCCCCGCGTTTCGTAAGGGCCGTTCACTTCATCCGAGCTCTGCTCGTTGTAGGAGAAACGATTGGAACTGCGGGTTCGAGAGCGGGAGAAATTGGAGAAGAAGCCACTTGATTCGTCGTTGGAAGGCGATGGACCGCCACTGTTCTGATCCAGGGATGACGAGGATGAACCTGGGAATTGGGCGTTGGATCGCGATCGATTATGCTCACGACTGTTGCTGGGAGAGGAACGTGGATAGACGGGAGCGGATGGGGTGCGTTTCAACGATGTGGTGCTTTGGTGACTCCGAAGAATGCGTGAACTGAAGCTAGGGGGATCCTTGTGTAGTTTGGTAGATGCTCGACGGAATTTCAATGGGAAATTATCCTGATTCATGGTGGGCAGATTTCTGTCCCTACACGAGACAGATTGAAATTGGGCCGAGGAGGGGTCAGATGCAGTTGGTATTTTTTTGGACCAACCAGGTGCATCTGGGATTTTACGGAGAATAACCGAATCCCCCTAAGATTTTGAAGATGGGTGGAATGGAAGATTGGAAGCAAATATGGAGAAGAGAGGAAGTTTAGCACGTGGAGTCTTGGGAAAAGGAGAATCGGGTGGCTGGGGGTTTATGTTGATGGGGGAGTTTAACTAGGTATATCATTCTCACATACTTCATTTTATTATACAACTATCTTTATATCTACGGAGTAGACAGAATCAAGTTAACATAAAACCATTTACAAAGTGTTATAAGAATAGAACTAGAGACTTCCCCGTTTAATAGTCACAGTTAACGGTTTCTATACGAGATCCACTATACTTAAAATACTCCAGTAAGACATATATTTTCTATCAAATGTCTACTCCGTACTCCAGCAAACAGATAACTCCCCTTTTTGTTTCGTCCCTGGCAGGTAGCCGAACACGTCCCAAAAAGGTTAAACCGCAGGTGTGACGGGAAGCAAGCCAATATCACTCGGCACATCTTGGGCAAGACATTGGGCAGTTGGGAGCAAAAAAGCACTCTATCCTGGACCGGCTTCGGGGCATTTTTCTTCCATATGCGCCACCGTTACCCTCGGAGCCGTTTGCTTAATCTGGCACTATATTAGATTCTAGAATTATTTACGCTGTCTCAATATCTCCTAGTTTCTTCATTCTATTTTTAAGTAGTATATATTGGCGTTTACATCCTATATCGGGTTCAAATACTACGCCAGTGAAATCAAAAAGATCCGGGCTCTAAGCACGATTTTTGACTAGCTTTCGAAGACTGAACATTATCTGGATATCCTCTGCGCTTGTTGCTCCAAGCGGAAGCCAGTAGATATTGGTCCTCTGACTTCCATCTCTCACTTTGCTAGGCCTCGATATCTCCCCTTGAGACAGAGATCTGTATAAAATAAGTTATCAGGCAAATCGGTCGAAACTCGGATTATATCCTGAATTATCAGGCAGAACAAAAACGCCAAGAAATTACATTCCACTTCATGGAAATGCTTGTTGCCTAGACCTGACCAAAGCTCCTTCTCATTTCATATCGTAGAGTTCGAAAGCAGATTAGAATCTTCGACATCATTTGAAGCTTCCCGAGGTCTCTTAAGTTGAATAATAGCCCTTGGATACAAATCCCCATCCTTGACCAGCTTCAGGTAATATGACTCTGCTCACCTCCATATCTAGTGCGGGTGGCTTAGGTGGCTCAGGCCAATTACCTCATACCCTGGGCATTCGCAGTATATAGCAATGACTTTCTAAGAATCATTGGCCAAACCCCCAACTTGGTCCTCGGTGGAAATCATCACCCCTTGAGCCACGAGGCAAGTACCTCCATCCGATCGAAACGCGAGCTCTGAGTGGCCTGTTGCATCGCCGACTCAGCTAACAGCAAGTTCATCATCAAAATCCCAAGTCAGAATCGGCAAGCACACACTCATAGCCCACATGCTAGGGATCACCGTTCTATAGCAAATAGAAGCGTCATCCGCGACAATAGCGTCACTTAGACGGGACACAACGGTAGTTCAGAACGACCCTGTCGGTCCAAATGCTCGTGATTCCGCCGTCCAACACTTTGCTGCTGCCCAGAACCTCCTATTTTCGTCCATGACAACTGGTTTCTCTAGTTTACCGACCCATAGTATCCCTGGCGCCAATGGATTCACTCCAAGCTGAAGCTACCTGGCCCAGTTTTACTGGTTTGATCCTGTTACCAAGAATTTTCGTGTTGTTGCTGGCTTTGGTTGAGTGGCATCACCTTCTCGCCTGATCAAAATATTATCTATATCCTGGTACCCCGAGAGCAATGGCAATGGCTCTAAGGAAACCAGTTGCCATTCAGTCCGAACCAGGTTTGTTTGTCGAATCATAAATTAAAAAAGGGATTCTGTAGATATGGTAATACTTAAAATTGGTAAAAGCTGTCCTATGATGTAGCCTGAAACACCAGGCTATGGCTATTGCTCACATAGCAACCACGTATGGGCGTCTGACCTTTTCTTTTGTTTATCTATTACTCTTCTCCCATATCACTCTCTTCCATCCTCCACCAGTCTCTCCTTTAATCTATCCTTCCATCAACCCCATCCTTCTATCAAGCTACAGACTATCTGAATCAAATACACGACCTAGCTAGGCAACTCATCTAGTCAGGTTGTCCCTTCCTAATTGATAGGTCTTCTCTTGTTTTCACATCTCCTTCACTCGTTTCACATCTCCTTCACTCATTGTCTCCTATTCAATTCAGTTTACATCCCGCTCACTTTTTATCTGAACTCCGACGATTCTCTCAGTAACACCTAGCGCAGCGCCTTGTCGCTTTGAGCACTTCATCTCTTCCAATATCTTATCTGTCTTGTCACACGTCCCCTACAATAACCAGCTCTCATATTGATCCATTTTTACTCGTCTGTTCGTCTTAACGCGTAACTTCTCTTTATTGCATTTCTTAACTCTCGCGTGGCTACAGGTGCTTTTCTTTCTGGGAACCCGACACGATGGTGAAGACCAAATTTCCTGCTATAACTGCAGGCGAGGATGCCACTGTCAATTATTTGTTGTCCGGAGTCTTGTCTGGCGGCGAGATCTGCAAGGCATCGGAACTTGCTGCATGTCTTTCCCGGTGGTTTAGCGACGTTAAAGAAGATAAGCCAGTTGCTTCAGCTATCCCAGAGCTACTAGGGCGTCTTCTGCTCCCATTCGGCACGCCTACTGTCCTAGAACGCATGGAGAGATCCCAAACCCCCGACTCTTTTCCCGATAGACAGAGATGGATGGAAAAGCTTCGTGTTCTCATGGATGATGAGGCACATGAAAGGCTGTTGCAGAAGTTGGAATCTTTGCAAGATCAACAGCTGTCATTCAAAACTCTCTGTGAGCAAGAGAACGGTAAATTCCCTGTTCGCTTTCCCTCTGAGCCTCCGTAAACGGTACTGACATCGCGGAAATCATTAAGAAGACGGTATCAATGATGATAATCTCGCTGCTGACCCCGCCTTACACTTTGATTATGACTTGCGGGATATGATGATTCGGGGCGATAAAAAGGCAATGAGAAAACATCAAGAGGTCTTTTACGTGACCGGCTCTATTGCCTGGACAGTTCGATCTCCTTACTGGAATGTCGCATTGGCCATCGACAAGGAAGGTAATAGATTTCTCTCAGATGATGTCTTGGATGGAGTTCTTCCAAAATGGAGACAAATTCTCCACGGGAAAACAATCCCAACTCAGAAGTCGATTCTTTTCGTTTGTGGCTGGCTAGTGAAGAGAAAAAAGCCAATGATCTCGACAAACCCTGGCCATTTACCCCTTCTCGTGCGAACAAGTTCAAGTTTATAACTCCGGAACCCTATTCTCGCCTTCGCACATTGAGTACGAGCGGTCTCTCTCCGGTTGAATCCACCCCCAATGTCCCCAATGACCCGAATGATACCATTGTGCCCCATGTGCCCATTGTCACCCACAACGTGCAAACTGAATTACTTCGAGAGTTACTCGCGGAAGTGAAAGAATTGAAGACCATAGTCGGTCAAATTCTCGAAAGCAAGCAAGAGCTTGGGACTACAGAAAATCAAATGCATGGATCTTTGGAACCAGTCTATCCTCCCATTTCTTCGGCAATGCAACCGAACTACTTTTTGTCTCAGGGTCAATTTGTTGGTCCTCAATATCAGCTCGGGCCAGATTGGCAGCAACGCGGGAGCTCGCAGAACCAAGGTCCGAGTACCTTGCCAGACCCAGGAGCTGGTTCAGCTCGTCGTCGTTAAGCTCACCATAACCAAAGAACGGTTAACATTTGTGTACGATTTTGTGGGAGGGGTTTGACCGAAAATTGAAAAACGTAGTTGTGCTTTTGCGGGTGAGGGTGGAGAAAGGGCGACGTGAATTGGCTGCTATGGCTACATATGTTTCATGTTGAGCAGTGATTACTGTTCCTCACAGTGCTAGAAGGACGTGTGTCTGTTAGAGTTTTCCAAATGAACACAAGTTTGCTTTGCTACTGGTCGTATTTAACATTTTTATATAGGACATCTTTGTTGTAGTAGGGACTTCTATGTAATATAGTTATAAAACGACATGATCACCCTATGTATTCTGGTTTGAGTTGCAACTAGAAGTCATAAGTTTTGCATTTGATAGAAACGTATTCAATTCCATGTTGGTGCGGTTTTGACTTGTGCAAAAAATATCGGACGCGCGAGAAACAATAAACATTTCCCCTGCACCTTTTTCCTGTCGACATTACTTATGTAGACATTATTAGAAGAAATCAGCCCTATACCGGCAGTGCAACGTCGATATATCAGCCTCCAACAGCTCTTACAAGCCACCCCAGTTTGGCCCCAGATCATCGCTCACTTTGACCCGATCTCCAATATAGCGGTCCAACCACTATCGGCTGAGACTCAGCCTAGCTGAACGCTCTTGGCATGAGTAAGATCGCTTGAGAGAAACCCTGCTTAGCCTAGAACTAATGCACTTAAATCAGGCGTTGGGCCCTAAGCGGGGTTGAAAGAGGCTCAATAACACGGATGTCTAGCCATTCATAGATTGACATACATATATCACGGAGTATATCGGGTAATTTCAAGGTGAGCAGATCGAAATTAAACGTGTCTGCTTTCCCAGGACACCTGATGTGATTCATATCAAGTCCCGCTTTTAAGACCATCTGCACAGACTATGACGAATCCGCATGATACTCTTTTAATCTCAAATACTATTTGGTCAGATCTCACATGATTCCTAGATGATTGGCTTAGTATCTTCCGCAGTCCACATGGGCGCAGATCATCCACACGGCGTAAACAAGAATCAAGCCACACAAATTTGTGGAAGATGATTTATTCCTTTTTTTTCTTTGTCTGGAGATATCAAAGAGAAGATGAAATTAGCACTGCAAATTGACCCACTTAAAGCTGATCGAATTCACTAGTTTGGGGTAGGTCTTCTCTCCCTTGCTGGTGGGAATGTGGGGACCAACACACACCTGCAGCGAACAACACATCTTCTATCTTTCTGATGAGGTTGCCGAGACCTTAGCTCTTTGGATACGAGGGTCATCGCTGGAAATCATGTGGGGGATATGCAGAAGATCAAATAGAGCAAAGCTAAACACTTGTGTTGACTGCGCCTTGCACAAAAGAGACGTCACAACTATGGAATCAATAGGGAGTACTCCGTACGGAGTCGAGTACAGTAGGTAAACACCAAGTTAACCCTTTGGTTATGCAAAAAAAAAACAGTTGCTTTGATATGGATCTACAAGAGAACTCCTTAGAGTTGGGTAATGAGCTCATCCCTTTCGGCTCCTACTCCAGTTAGACTGAATTCACTACCGAAATGCACCTTACATCGTCCACCTGGGCAGAGACTATGTGCAGGGGTAACAGACAATGATTGGAGGAGCTGTTTATATGCGAAATGCCCAACCTTGGGGAGCTGCGAATGGGGTAGGTCAAATCGACATAAATTGGACGCCATTCCTCCTTCCCAGAGTGTTTTTTTTAATTCACATCCCCAATTCTCTTTTCCTCCCCCCTTGTGTTTATACATTATGTTTGGTCTCATTCCATTTCTATTTACTGCGCTCGCCAGTGCATACCCCAATCGGGGCCCTTGCACAGGCGACTGCTGGGCCCATGACCCTGCTATGATCCAGCGTGTGTCTGATGGGAAATACTACCGCTTTTCCACAGGCACTGGTGTCAGAATCCATAGCTCACCGTCGGTGAAGGGTCCATGGGCGGATATTGGCTCTGCGTTGCCAGAGGGGTCTAAGATCCATCTTGATGGTGTGGACAGCAAGAATATCTGGGTATGAAAGACCCGAAAATGCCTACGAAACAATATTAAGTCTAGTAAGAACTAACACGATCAATCTGATAGGCTCCCGATGTCCACTACCAGAACGACCAGTACTATATGTACTACGTCCTGTCGAAGATCGGCACCAGGAACTCACAGATCGGTGTTGCAACATCCAAGAATATGGAACCCGGTACCTGGACAGACCACGGCAGTGTTGGTCTCCCTCCAAACGACAACTACAACCGTATCGATCCCGCCTGGATTAGCATCGGAAACAAAAACTATATGAACTTTGGCTCTTTCTGGGGTGATATCTTCCAAGTCCAGATGGAGACTCCTTTGAAAGTCGGCGGCGCAACTCCCTACCAAATTTCCTGGAACGCTACCCTCAACCACCGCGAGGAGGGCGCGTACGAGTTCAAGCACGGCGATTATTACTACCTCCTCTATTCTGCTGGTATTGCTGGCAAGTACACAAAGACATTCCCAGCTAAGGGTGCCGAGTACCACATTCGTGTTTGCCGATCCAAGACCGGTCTTGGTGATTTTGTATGTATCCCAGCTTTTCTTCCATTGCAAAAGATGTTCTAATAATTATCTTACAGGTTGATGCCGACGGAAAGTCTTGCAAGGAGACCGGCGGCACCATGCTCCTCTCCAGTCACGGTCAGGTCTTTGGACCCGGCGGGCCTGGTGTTGTTCATGACAAGGATCTTGGTGTGGTCATGTACTACCACTATTACCCGCTCGCCATCAAGGAGAGCACCACGGTCTCGAATAACGCGAACTACAGGTACGCATGGAACGTCCTTGGCTGGAAGGATGGCTGGCCTTTCGTGAAGGCCACTTAATGCACATAATTTTCCTTGGCGGGCCCGCGAGGCCGATACATACATTTTACATTCATTTCTTTCTATTGTCAATGGTTGGGCTCTTATACTTTTTGAGGTGGAGGTATTGCACTCATTTATCGATACCCATGTCATGATACGCTTCTTTTTGTGCCTGACAAGTCTTAATATAATCTGGCCCCTTATATTCTTATTTGGGTCAATTGGCTGTTTGAATATCTGAAAATCTTCGTGGTTTAATCACGTACAGTCGTGGTATTCCAGACTCCATACATTTCCGCCTTCAGGTCGAGTCATAAACATCTCGCATTTCCATTCAATGCCTCACATATCCCAACTCCAATATCGAGGGCGTCAACTGCAAGATATAACGGAGCCTGGTTATCTCTGTCAGGGCTATTCTCTCCAATCATATCGGCAAGCGGTCCGACATAAGGTATGTCTCCACTGTTCCCACAATCCAACGGGCAGCGCCGCACAGGAATGCTGCCAGGCACCCATTACCCCCTAGAAGCATCGTTTCAGGCATCTTTATTGTAGATCGAGAAACTTCCCTTCTAAATAATTGGCAAAGAAGGTAATTCTCCAGTCTACAAATCTCAAGACAAAATTCTCCATGTAGCTGCAAGCTGCCGATCCTGGCTCGTAAAGCCTAGGGCAAGAACATCCCCAAATACTAGGGATGACTGGACTACTTCTCGGACCTTGGCAAACGGGGGTGCACATAGTTTGGCTGAGAGTCCAAATAGATGGTAACATTGACGCTGGTGATTTGTTGGTTTGATTGCTAATGGAGTAATATGCATTTCCAGCCAAGATTAAAAGAACGGTTCATTCGTATCGCTAAGCTGGTATAGGCATCTAGCAACTTGCTCGGGGGCTGCAATGCCATATAAGATACATGTAGTTATTAAAGAAGCCTCAAGAATACACCTAGAAAGGCCGTTAGAGATATTGCTGGGTGGTGTCATCTCTACACCCCATAGCTTATAGATTTCGAGAAAATATATAATCCAGACCCCTCAAAGGTCAAACTATCTAAAAGTGCAAAGCTTTACGGAAGTACATGTGGTTAATATCTTGAACTTGGAAAGTCCATATATATTGGTAGACTCTTGAGCCACAGTGACGTGCATCATCAATTGGCCACTTGCCGCACTGTGGCCACGTGCGGAATCCAATTAATATAAAATAGCTATATCGAAGTAACTTAGAACAGTGAATTTGAGATTTATATCAGTTCTCGGTGATTGGGCTTTGGGAATTGCGTTGCAAATGTTTCTCGAAGCGAACAGCTATTGCAATTGCTTCTCAAATTCAATCTGAACAAGTTCAAGGTCAATTGCTATCAACTATCTCAATTCTAGAAACAGAAAGAAAAAAAAGTGTCAAGTGCAGTGTAGGGACGGACTCGGAGAAAACTTCCCCGGAGACTCAGAGCTGGCCTTTTCTGTATTCTGGATTGTCCGGGGTTCTCGACCTTTTCCTCTCACCTCTCACCTCTCTTCTTCTCTCTTTCTCTCCCACCTCGCTTCCTACTTTCTTTTCAGGTGGCTCCTCTCTTTGAGCCCCTGTATCTTTCTTTTTGATTCTCGGCGCTTTGTCAGTCCAAATCGCTATTGCATTTTCTTGAGCATCCTCGGCATTCTCCTGAACCCCAAAGAAAATCCATATATCCTACTCAATTCCAAAAGAGGAAGGATACACTTTTACTTGTGAGTTATTTCCAAGTCCTTGTGCCATTGATTGCACCTGAGATTTATAGTGATCTGTCCTGATCTACCTTGATCCGTTATTGCATACTGACCCGACCCCGTCTTGATTGCAGGATCTTGTGCATAGCCCATTTAGCAACCTTGTCTCCAACCCCCGATTTACCCTGTCAACCTTCATTATTCGTAATGGCTTCTGAAGCATCTACCTCTGCCAACGGCGGTTCCCTCGCTGCCATGTTGGAACAACAGCACGCCCGCGACGAGGTGCACAAGCCCACTGTGGAAGAAACCGTGGATGAGGAGGACCTCAAGCACCCCCGTCTGACCGCGACACAGCCGGAACAGCCCCTCCTCGCTACCGCTGACACCCCCGAGCCTACCGTTTCCCCAGCGCCCACTCCCAAGCCCGCCACCAAAAAGGCCCCGGCATTCGACGTTCAATCCGAAGAATTGTTCCCAGCTTTGGGCAGCGGCCCGAAGCCTGCTGCCCCCGCAGCTGCCACATGGGGTGCGAAGAAACCCTCCGCGGCCGCTGCCATCGCAAATGGCTCGCCTGCGAAGTCAATGGGTACGTGGATTACACTGGAACTTCCCGGACCGGACAAATTTTTGACACAGAAATAGAGATCCCCCGCATCATGGCCCTCCCCGGAAAGCATATGGAGCAGCTCCGCCTAGCACCCTCCCAGATGCAACCCCGTGGACAGATGAAGAAGCCTCTCCGTGATGTCCTCCGGGATATCTCCCGCAGATCAAAGGCCAATGTTGACATGCGCGGTGGTCCTGGCGGGTCAATCATTTTCGAAGGAAAGGGCTCCGTAGATGCAGTGCGCCAGGCTCTCCGCGAGGTGGCTCAACAGGTTGGATCTAAGGTTTGTGGATTGGACGTGTGCAAAACGACTTTATAAGCTTACCAATTCGTCCCGATAGCAATCCGTCCGTGTTCCCATTCCCACATCTGCGCGCGCTCACATTATCGGCCGTCAAGGTACCGTTGTGCAGGATATCCAGACCCGCACCGGTGCCCGTGTTCAGGTCCCCCGTGCCGATGGCAATGCTGCTGGTGCCGACGAAGACGACGATGATACCATTGACATTTTGATTGAGGGAGATGCCGTGGCCGCAGAGATGGCCCGCCGCGAGATCGAGGCCATTGTCAAGGAGCGCGGCTCAAACATGAGTTTCCGATTGAAGACTGTTCCTCCCGAATTTTTCCCCTTCATTGCAGGTGCACATGACGCCAACGTGCGGGCCATTGAAGAGCGCACAAAGGCGAATATCAATGTTCCCCGCTATGATACTTGGACTAGCCAGCCCCCTCCCCAGGAAGCCAACCCTGGCCAGGTCCAGTTTGTGGCTGTGCCTGATAAGCACATTTTGATTTCTGGAGAACGGGCTGCTGCGCAGGAGGCTCGCGCTGAGATTGAGCGCTTGGCTGCGCAATTGCACCAGCAGCTTACTCTCCGCCAACTGGCCATTAACCGTGGCCAGCACCAGTTTATTTTGGGTAATGAGGCCGACGCTCTGCACAAGTTTGTTGCACAAACTGGGTGTGCCATTGTTCTCCCCCCTCCCTCCGATGAGAGTGAGTTCCTCACCATCACTGGTCCCCTTGACCAGATCGAGGCTGGCATTGAACACGCTATGGATCTTGCGACAAGCATGCAGATGGCTAGCATTGACCTGTCCCGCCAGCACCCCACTGCTCCTGCCGGTCCCCATGCCCACGCAAGCGCTCTCTCACAGTACCTTCGTCGCCGTCAAGTCATTAAGGAACTCGAATCCACATACGATGCGCACATTGCACTTCCTCCTAGCGTTGGTGGACCTATCACTTGGGAGGTGTACTCCCGTGATGGCAAGAACACCATCCGTGCCCGTTCTGATATCATGAACCTAGTCCAGGCTCTCCCGCCTTCTAGACTTCGCCACGTCCCTGTTGACCCATACTTCCACCAGTACCTGCGCGACCGAAGCGCAAGCGCTCTTCAGGGTAATTATGGCGTCCACCTAATGGTGCCAGACGACATCAACTGCCCCGAAGTTGTTCTTGTTTATGAAGGCCCGTCCGCAACTGCCTCCCGCTTCGAGGTCCCCAGACAGCGCCCCTCTCCCGCAGATGTTGCAGCCTTTGAAAAGGGTCTGCAAGAGGCCCAGGAATTCCTCCTCAGCACCCTCGGAGACCAGCGCGACATTGTTGCCAAGACGGTTTCCGTCCCTGCTAAATACCAGGAGAAGGCACGCAAATTTATCGCCCGTGAGCAGGAGGCTAAGGGCGAGGACAGCATCCCTGTGCGTGCCATTGTTGGTGATGCCAAGGGTTCTCAATGTCAGGTTTCCCTTCGTGGTCCCTCCGCCCTGGTGGCTGAACTTGCTGCCAAGGTGGAAGCTTTCGTTGTGGAGCAGGAGAAGGACGACCTAGAGCGCGGGTACATCACTAGCTTCGACTTCCCCCAAAAGTACGCCAACTTCCTGATTGGCAAGCGTGGTGAGAACATTAATAAGCTCCGCGAGGAGTTTGACGTTGATATCAAGGTTGAGAACGGAAAGGTTGAGGTCAAGGGACCCAAGGCCAAGGCGGATGCTACCCGCATGCGCATTATCAACATGGGCAAGAAGTTGGAAGATGAGACTACTCACATTCTCAAGGTCCCCGCCCAATACCACCGTGAGTTGATTGGCCAGCGCGGAAACCAGGTCAACCGTCTCCAGGATCGTTACTCTGTCCGTGTCCAGTTCCCCCGCGCAACTGTTGCCAATGATGACTCCACGGAAACCGGCAGCGATGCTGGCGGTGCTCGTCCCCAGCGTGCTCAGCAGGCTCCCGATGAGGTTCTCGTCAAGGGCCCCAGCAAGGGCGCTGACTCGGCCCGTGACGAGATCCTCAGCTTGCTTCAATATGTCATTGAGCACGGCCATTCCGCCGCCATCTCCGTGGCACAGAGCCAGGTCGCATCCCTGATCGGCCAGCGCGGCCGCGAGATGGACAAGCTCCGCGCTGATACTGGCGCCCAGATTGATGTTCCCAACGCCAACGATGCGCCGGATGCATCCGGCCGCGTGGAGATCCGTGTCAAGGGTACCAAGCAGCAAGTTGCCGAGGCCAAGAAGATCTTGCAGCAGCGGGCCAGCGAGTTCGATGCCACTGTAGTCAAGACCATCGAGGTTGAAAAGAAGTACCACAAGGCTCTGATCGGTGGAGGCGGTATGTTCTCATGCAAAGTGATATGCTAATTTCCAATTACTAACTTAATATAGGTGCCAATATCCGCAAGATCGTCACTGAGGCTGGAGGCCCCACTGATGGCAGCGCCGCCAGAATGGTCCGTTTCCCCCGCCCCGAAAGCACCGAATCGACCATCCGCCTCGAGGGCAACGGCAAGATCGTGGATAGCATTATCGCCGCTATCGAAGAGTTCGTCAAGGAGCGCCAGGACCAGGTCACTGAGATCCTCGATGTTCCCACCGCCCAGCACCGCATGCTTATTGGCCGTGGAGGCGATACCCGCCGTGGCATTGAGTCCAAGTTCAACGTCACTCTTGACATCCCCAAGCAGGGCTCTGGCCGTACCGATGTGAAACTGAAGGGCCCCAGCAACGCCGTCGAAAGCGCCAAGGAGCACGTCAAGTCCATGCTGAAGGAGCAGCACGCCGAGACCATCGATATCCCCAGTCACCTGCACCACGTCCTCGCCGACAATGGCCACATCTTCCGCCGCTTGCGCAACGACTACCAGGTCACTGTGGACCATGCTGGCCAGGCCGTGCCCGTACCTGCTCCCTCGGCCGCCGAGGACACCCGCGCCAAACCTGATGGCACCGATATGCCTCTGATCATTGATGACCCTAGCGTTACCGCCGACGCCCACTCCTGGACCGTCGTCGACAACAACTCCACTCAAGCCGCCTCTAGCCCCTTCCCTTGGGTTCTGAGCGGCACGCCGGAGAACGTGGCCAAGGCCCGCTCTATGATTGAGAAGGCTCTTGCCTCCGCTTCCCAGCAGACGACTACGGGATACTTGATCCTGCCCGATCCCAAAACTTACCGCTTTGTTGTCGGCCAGGGCGGCAGCCAGATCAACGCCATCCGCAAGAAGACCGGCTGCCGTATCAATGTGCCCAAGGACCAGGCTCTCGGTGAAGCGATTGAGATCCGGGGTACCCCTAGCGGTCTAGAAGAGGCCAAGGAGATGATTCTAGAGGCGGTGCAGAATGGACTCCATGGGGCTGCGCGATGAGTTATGGTTTATTGCGACAAGTGGGTTTGATCTGATATAGAAACCAACTCTTACACCTTCTCTGCTTTAAATTCGAGCGAGCGGGAACAGTATCATTTTAGTTTTTCTTTGGCTTTTTTACTTCAATTCTTGTTTTCATCTTTTGTTTTGGTATCTATTTCATGAATATTGGGTTTTAAAAGATTTTCTTTTTTGATATTGCTTTCGCATTATTGCTCTTGGTCTTTCTCATGTCTTGTTTTCTTGTAGCTACTTCAGATCTGATTCAGGTTTGTCTACGATGAATTGATGGACCTTGTTCTAGAGGCATATTGGCAGGCTTTCCTAGTAATTTGATTCGTTAGAACTTCCTTAATCTAGCCTAGAACATAATAAACTGCATAAGTTTCCTGAAGAGTCAGATTCAAAACGAAAGCTGTCGAATCAAGGTCGGACCCATCCCCCCCTCTCATGTCTGAGCTATTAACAATCACTTTTTCACCGGGATTGTTTACTCCTTTAGGTACGACGATCCCGATTTCCCCTCTCCAACTCCGATAGCCATTTATGGTAATCTTCAGACAGTATAATTTCCAAAATTAATCCAGTAAGGTATGTCGATATAGGGTAATAAAAAAGAATACTCATAAGGCCCGAAACTCAAAAAAAAAACGCTCTCTTTGCTGTTTGCTCTTTTAGCCATAGCGACTCCTATCCGTAGACAGGTCTTTAAATCTCAGATCTCCATTCTGACCACAGTCATCTAATTGACAGTTTACTGCTGCTGAGCCTGCTGCGCCTGGAGGTAGTTGTATGCGCCGTATGCGATAGCACCACCGATGAGGATGACAGCGTAGAGGCCGACGCCGAAGCCAGAGGCCGAGGAAGAAGAGTCCACGGAGGCAGTGACCTTGGGCTTAGGCGTGGGGTCACCGGGCTATTTGATCAAGTTAGTATTACGGATATGGAATGCCGGTGGGTGCATGTGATTTTTGTGGGGGAGGGGGGAGGGGGTAGGCCGAGGGTAGAAGGGGACATAGGTTGTAAGGAAAAGTTGCATAAAGGACGCTGGGGTTCGTACCATGCGCTTCACGTTGCCGATGAACTTAATCTTTTTGGGGTCGTCGAAGATCATGCGCGCCTCGTCGCTGTGGCCGACATCGTCGAAGGCTTCGGTGCAGTCCTGGCCGGCGAGATCGAGGAGGACCTCCTCACCACCGCTGTGGGATTGGTTAGCCGGTTCTGGGATGTAATCTGGGGTGGGGTGAAGCGATGGGAAACGAGTGAAGAGGTCGAATTGGGTTTTCTTGTTGTCTTTGCTTTCCTCTTCTTCTCTCGCTTGTTCATTCGTTTCGGATGGGCTAAATTCGGTGGCAGTGGGTAGATATGGAGACAACGTACGGGTGCTCCTGAGCGAAGTCGGAGCAGTTGTAGATCTTGTCTTCGAGAATCAGGTAGAGATCATCCTTGGTGTTGTGCTCAGAGACCTCCTGCAAGGTGAGATCCTTGGGTGCAGGTACAGCGTCAGACATCGTGAATTGAGGTATCTGAATGATATTGCCGTTAGGTTTCCGTAGACTCGAATGAAGAGTGAATGAATGGAGGCGATAGGAGAAAATGGGATATGTTTGGAAGATATATAACAGGCAACTTACAGGGATCAAGAAAATGAGTCCAGAAAAACGAGAGAAAAAGAGAGAGAGAAGAAGAGAGAGAGATGTCCAAAGAGAGAAAAAGTAACCCCCAACATTGTCGCTGGTACGTGCGGCTGGGCGGTCTCGTCTATGTGGGGCCAGGTACTCTGTACACAGGGACTTTTGATGCCGTGAATCACACCCGGGGCTTATAAGGGGAGAAAAGGGGAATTTCTAATTGGATCTTCTATTACTTTCTTACATTGTCTATGCAATGTGACTAATTGAATCTAAATATCTGACTAGGTACACCCTTGGATATAAAAGCCCATCCTCCGTTTATGTTGTGCTAGATATAGAGTGACGAATCAGGGGTTGCTTATTAGAGTATATCTGGCCTTAATAGATCTTCTATATTCCTAAATTCTATACAAAGCACACATGTAGCAGTAGAATATATATAACATATATAAACTCAACTGCCTGATCAAACTGCCTGATTCATCATATAACCGAGGGGATCCAATTCTCTCGGGTAGCACGGTGTCTGCTTTCCGCTCTCATTGGAAATACATAAACATAGCATAAAATATTCATATAATAAATATACCTCTATCCAATCATCAAAACGCTCATTTCGCTGGAACTCGCTCATAAAACACAATGTACGCTTGCTCGTTCTGTAACCGGTCTCGTGCCCGAAGATCCCGCGGGTTGAAGTCTGTGGCCCGCTCATCATCAAATTTCCGCCAACACTGCCGTTCCGCATCGCGGACTAGCGAGATGTAGTGTCCGCTGCCCATCGAAGACCCAATATGTCGCAGCACCGCAAAGGCATCATAAGTAAATGGCGGAACTGTGGCACCCGTGGTGGGTGGCGCGCCGGCCTCCAGAGGGGGAGGGGGAGGATGAGCAATCACGAAGTCGTCCATTTGTAGACCATGAAGCGGGAATTCGATGGGGGTGTGAATCTTTCGTGCGCTTTGAGTCTTGGATGCGGAAAAGCGCTTGAAGTGCACAACAAGAATCTGGGGCGCTCGCGTGATGATGATCTGCTTCGTTGCCATTCGCTTGCATTTACAGTGTGGGCACTTCCAGACCTCGTCACCGCTCAGCATTTCCTCCTGACAGTAGCTACGGAGACACTGATAGATATCACCGGTACCTTTTGGTGGAATTTCAACGCTGATACTATAGAAGGCCTCGTAGGTAGTAGATGTTTGTCGGCAGGTCGTGCAGCGCAGACGACTGGCATGTTGTCCTGCAAATAACGATGAGATAAAAGACTCCTCTCGGTGGCAGTACCGGTCCCATTCAATTCGGGAAACTTTGGTCATCGGCATTCGCTCTCTTTGCATCTCCTCCGAGAACGTCAAAGGTCGAAGCGGCGTTCGCTGCCAGTTTATATTCAGATCCTCGTGGAGGCAATCTACCACAAAATCGAAGAATTCTTTGGCATCTTGCTGCCGGTCGATGGCCCATTCTCGATTCAAACGTCCACAGAAGTTCCGGAATGAGGTCGGCATGATAACCTCGACATCATTCTTCCACAGCGACCTGGTCAGATTCGCATAAAGCCCCGGCATAACGCCCTGGGACCCCTTCCAATTCTTTTGTACATAGTGACGAAATCGATTATCGATGAAGAACCTACTCAGTGAAATCGTTGCGCTGAGGCATTGAATGGTGGAATTCATGTAGCAGGTCACACCAAAATTGGTCAAGCCAGTTCGCGGGAGTTTGAGACGATCTAAGCGGGAGTTTGAAACATACAGGGCTGTTTGATTCGCCGAATTCTGGCGTTTCAAATGGGGTTGGATGTGTCGTCCATCGGAGACGCCGCTATAGCTGGGACGGGGAACAGCAGGGGGTGGTCGAGAGGGGGCCACTGAGATGTGTGCAGCATAATTCGGAGCAACGGTAGGGGGAGGACGGTAATCCACGTGTGACATGGACTGTTTGACATCGTGCGGTTCAGGGAAACGCCGCAAGAAGGCCTCATATGAGTGAATAAATGGACTTGAAGGCTCTGGTCCAGTCTCCTCGGGTCCAGTTTCCTCGGGTTCCTCCGTCAGTGAGTCTTCCTCGGCATAGGTGCTTGTGTCAATCTCCTCGACTTTAGATTTCTCCATCCACTCGGACAACTCTTTCGAGTTCAAAGGAGTGAACTCGCGCAATCGTCTCTTTCGGATTTCAAGGCTTGAATTCGCACTAGCCATGGTAGGTACTCTCCCAAGGGGTCGACCAGGTCTAGACACGGGCTTTCTGGCCTGCAGAGAACTCATGACAGCAGCCGTTGAGGATGTCGCAAGGGACTGTTGCCCCAAAAGATCGACCCAGGCATCCAATCCACCAAGCAGGAGAGCTGGAGGCCGCCCGGCCTTCAACGGCTTGTATGCATTGAACTCGTAAAGAGTATCATGGAGAGCCCTCAAATGCGGTGCTGATGTCCCAACCGGTGAGCCGGCGAGATAGCTGATGGAATTAGCGCTTTGATCGTAGTAAACCACAAGGTCGAACTCATTTCGTTTCTCAAATAACGCCTGCTCATGGTCCGGTGAAATAACGAGTCGCTCCTCTAATTCTTCCGCCGACACGTTCTCCTTCAGAATCACAGGCTCTATACAGATGATAGATTTTGCATATATATGACCATTATCATACTGGCCTCGAGCCCGAACATCGATCAGGAGCACATTGAATTTCCGCAGATTTTCGAGCAGGCTCTGTGCAGTTATAGTTGTGTTGTACGGCAAATCGGGTGAGTTGCTTCGCGTCTCTCGTGCCGAATCCAACCCATTGGGCGTCAGAGATCTATACGGATTGTCATCAAAGCCTCCCCGGGTTGGACTGACACGTGGCGAGTTGCTAAATTGTGAGTATCTTGGATTGCCTGAGCGTGTGCTCTCCGCTGAACTTCTCGGTGGGTTGGATGCGGGTTTTGATGGCACGGTGAAGACAGGGCTATAGGCCGGGTCCGGGGCACGTGGTAACGATGTGTTAAGCGGAACCTTCGGTGGAATGGTCGGCATACTAGATGGAGAGCCCATGTCTCGAGGTCCTAACGGACGTCGTGGCGGCTGGGAGCTGTATGTCCCAAGCGATCCGTTGGATGAACGAAGTGAGGTCTGCCCTGCAGATCCTACAATTGGGCTTCCCGGTCCATACTGGTCGGAAGGCGGAGATGCTTTAAGTTTGGCAAAACGTTGCGCAAGCATATCATCTGGAGGACTGGAAAATCTTTGCAAATGTGCGTTCTGGTCGGGCATTCTTTGATACTCAGTCGGACTTGGCATTCTAGCTAAGCTTGTTCCGGACCCTTGATTCTCACGGCCCCTTGGCGTCACTGAATTTTGTTCTGGAGATCTGGATGTAAAGATACCAGTTGGCTGCATGCCACTGACCAAATTATCCTCGATGATGTCCTGCTTGATCGCATCCATAGTGCCTTGTTTGGACCGCACGGCCTTCAGTAGATCGGCGAAGTCCTTATACAAATTAGGGTGTTGGTTGATGGTTCGATAGTCTGGGTGATGGGGGATGATATTGATAGTGATCTCAGAGGCGCGAAGGTACTGGACGTAGGCTTTATCGTTGTAGTTGTCATCTGCGAGGTTCCTGGCCCTTTCGATTGCATCGGCAGCCGTTGGCAAGAGAATACTAAGCTATGATCCTGTTAAAAGGAATAATTCAAACAATTTTTAGCAAGTGGCACACATACCGGTGTAGTATCATCAACGTTTAACGCAGCAGCCTGGTCTTGCAGATCTTTGATATTGGGGAACCGAGGTCGCCGTGGTGGGATATGAGGGGCCTTGCCCTTTGGATATAAATCTGGTCTGTTGCCTTGTCCGCTAGAGTTCATGTCGCCGCCCACCGAGTAAGGACGTTGCCTGTCCTTCCACGGCGGTATTTTGGGGGGAGATGGCAAAGTCGCCGCATCGGAGGACATGGTAGATCCAGGCAGCGACAAGCGGACTTAGCGCATGGTTATGTGTAAGGACTGGGGGAAAGAATATAGGCAAGCCACTGGCGTAACCAATCCGCCTATGATTTAATCAAGTCCAAATAATACACACAAATATGAAAGACAGACCAGAGTAAAGAGGACAGATCCAGGAACGCAATGCGGGATGCCTCTGGGGTATCAGATGACAGTACTTCACCGCCCCCAGCCTATGACGCCAGGGCTTAGTCACTATTGAGGTGCCTGGAAGCTCCTCCTCCAACTTACCAGCTTGATCTTCATATTTGCTCCATTTAAGTGTCTTGGCTCTTTACAACACTACTTTGATCTGTCTCCCTTTAATCTTACACGCGTATCCGGTGTTTCGCCTTCACCATGGCAGGCTGGTTCTCTTCAACCTCGCCGCTCGATGAGCAAATCGAGCGGGCAACAGCTTCCTCTCTGTGAGTTTTGATTGCCGCCTTGTTATTATATTTATACGTACCGGTGCTACCGGGATGGTGTGAAGCTAATGAACATATGGCTAACTCACTACTAGAGAAGACATTGCCCTCAACCTTGAAATATCAGATATGGTTCGATCAAAGAGTGTTCAGCCCAAGGATGGAATGAGGTCTTTAAAACGACGACTCGAGAATAGGAATCCCAATATTCAGCTGGCTACACTGAAGGTGAGACATTAGTTTCGTTGATGATAGGTTTAGAACAAGCACTGATAAGCCCGCCCCTCCAGTTAACGGATACGTGTGTCAAAAACGGAGGCACACATTTCCTGGCCGAGATCGCGTCTCGAGAATTCATGGATAACCTTGTCTCATTGCTGAAATCCGAAGGCGCTCCACTTAATGCCGAGGTCCAGGGGAAAATATTGGAACTTATTCAGAACTGGGCTATGGCTGCACAGGGCCGTATGGATTTGATGTATTTGGGAGAAACATATCGCAAATTGCAGAGCGAAGGATACCGGTTTCCCCCAAAGACTGAAATGAGCGGCAGCATGTTGGAAAGTAGCGCAGTGAGTGAGCCTTGAAACCTTCACTCTGAAGCAGAAGCTAACTTGTGAATATGTCTCAGCCTCCAGAGTGGATCGACTCTGAAGTCTGCATGCGATGTCGGACTGCCTTCAGTTTTATGAATCGCAAACACCATTGCCGTAACTGCGGCAACGTTTTTGATGCTCAGTGTTCAAGCAAGACTATTCCTTTGCCGCATCTTGGAATTCTGCAGCCCGTCAGAGTAGATGATGGATGTCATGCCAAATTGACCTCCAAGTCATTTGCGCCACCAGGGGTTTCGGATCGATCCGCGTTCAAAAACAACTCCATCAGCAAATCTAATACAATGGAACCTCGTGCTGGTAAAGCGGATACAGGATTCGACGAGGATTTGCGTCGAGCGTTGCAAATGAGTCTCGATGAAGCCGAGGGCAAAGGTTCTTCCGGGTTTGTACCACAGACAGGCAACGCTCCAGAACCTGTCAAGACTGCCCCAGCGCTAGAGAATATGGACGAGGAAGATGCGGATCTCAAGGCTGCGATTGAAGCATCCCTGCGTGATATGGAACAACACAAGCAAAATCATGCGGCCGCATTGAAGAATGTGCCCACTCCAAGTTCTATCTTGCGCGATTCTTCTAGCACGCCCACTCCATTGCCTAAAAATCCATACGAACTAACCCCCGTTGAAACTGAGAATATTCATCTCTTCTCTACACTGGTTGATCGGCTCCAGCATCAGCCGCCGGGCACAATTCTGAGGGAGCCGCAGATCCAGGAGCTATATGAGAGTATCGGTGCGCTTCGGCCAAAGCTGGCTCGAAGTTATGGAGAGACCATGAGTAAGCATGGTGAGTTCAGCTTCTTACCGTCTTTATGTATAGAACTGGAAACTAATTGTCAAAGATACATTATTGGATCTCCATGCCAAGCTCTCTACGGTTGTGCGTTACTACGATCGGATGCTGGAAGATCGTCTGACCGTTGCCTATTCACAACATAACCTTGGCCATGGAGCTGTTCCTGGGGCGGCCCAATATCCAAATCTTCAGTCAGGGTTCCCTGCTCACGCTTCCGATATCCAGAGTGGAGCCGAGAATTTCTATTATGGAAATCAAATGGATAGCTCTCGCCAACCTAATACCATGTATGCACCGCAGCAGGTAAACGGCAACGGGTTCCAAGGTCCACCCAGCGCTGTCCAGAATCCCGCCTACCCATCACAGCCTCAACGCGGAGGTCCCACAAATGAACCTCACAGTCACACTTGGGGTGGAAATACCTACCCGACCCTCGGATCACCTTCACCTAGCAACACCATTCCAAATAACTATACCAATACCCCGGCTCAATATTATGCAGGACCGCACGATGCAGATTCAGTCAAGTCACCCGGCGCAGACCATGCATACCAGTCGTCACCCATTATGCGCCGGGATTCTCAGTATCAAGCCAGCGGGCCTCCCAGCGGTCCCACTCCTGTACCCGAGCAACATACACCTGCCGGCTATGGGCAATCGCCAGGCTATTCTGTGCCGCCAACTGCGCCAGCACTTCATCAGCAGGCAACAGGCCCTTCTCAGTCTTACTATTACCAGTCGGAGTCCCAACCTCAACAACCACCTAACACTGTGCCATCTGCTTACCCCTCAATTAATGCTGGACAACCGGGATATGCACAGGAGACTTCGCAGCCGCCTTATCAGCAACCAGCACGGCCAGTGGAGGAAAACTTGATTGAGCTATAGCGTAATTACATTTCTTTAGGCGTTATTTAGGGTTTTATCTTTGTGTGTTTTTCTTTCGTCCGATGATACCTGAAGACCTTTAGCAGATTGAATGTGTATGGTAGCTTGAAGCGGGTGAATGAAGAGATCTCAAGTATATATGAAAGGAATTGCGTAAGGATTCTTTTTCTCAATCATTACTGTTACTATGTAGCTAGGAGACTAAACCCGTCCTAAATTCCATTTAGAGCCCTTCTAAGCATCGTATCTGCCTTAGGCATTCCACAATATTGTTACCCGCTCCTTAATCGCCGAAGACAGCGAGATCACTCTCTCGCTTCTTCACTTCTTTAATTCGCCCCCGGATTACTGTCCTGTTCTTCTTCTCACAATCCATTTGATTCTTCATTTATCATTGGTGTAGACCGGTGTAACCCGGCTTCCAACTATTGAGTCTTGATTGCTTTTTGCCTGCATGCTCTCCGATCTGCCGTGAGACCTCTTACCAACTTGCCTCGGCCAATCCCCACATTCTACCCTCCGTGAGCACAGCTGATTACCCGCCTGTGGCTCCTCTGGGAGCTTCTCGCTTACCGCCATGCCTACCTCTAACGCCTCAAATACCTCTTCCCCTGTCAAGCGCCCCGGTCTCGGTCGCCGTGCAGTGTCATCCCATGCAGTTGTCACGCGCACCGCCAATCCTAATGACCTGTCGCTGTCTCACACGCAGAAGACAACTCTACATCATAAACCTCACCGCGCCCATGTTGTTGGTCGGAATCACCACCGCAACCCCTCTACTGGCAAAAATTTCAACAAACTCCAACGATTCCAACTAGCTCCTGAGGTTGCTGGGCGGCATCATCAGCGCAAGAAGTCGGCCCCCGCAACTCCAGTGGCGAGTCCAAAGGAAGGCGGGCGGGTTCGCTGGGGTAACGCCGTGGATGATCATACAACTGGTCCTTCCATGAAGAGAAACTATTCCACTCCTGTATTACGCCGAAATCCATCAGCTGTTGGGAAGAAAGCGTTGGTAACTGAGCGGCCGACCTCCAGCACGGTAAAGAAAAAGACGGTCGGCTTTGAGCTGGGGGACGATGAGACCGACGACGCTGAGTGGGAAGATACCACGCAATCACCCGAAAGTACGAGGCGCAACTCGGTCGCACCATCCAATCCCAGCGCAGACAATAGCACCGTTCTTGTCGACCACCTTACATTTGTCAAGCGACCATATCCTCAAATGCCTCGAGCGACCAGTCTTCCCGAGTCAATTACTACCAAGTTCGTCCGAGAACGCACTGAATTAGATGAGGATGAGGATGATGATGAGGAAGCTAAGCAACAGGACTCGGAAGAAGAGGCAGAGGAGCCTAGTCAGCACACAGAACAGGGTGACATAGCAACCCGCCTGCTCAGTCCTACGCACTCATCCAAAGCACCCCCTGCCATGTCCTCTATCTCGGCTATGGTGAAGCCAGAAGCCAAGAGTCCCAATCCCGCATCGCGTAGTAGCGCATCTCTCAACCTGGCTGCTGGCCAGGACAACGCTCGGCGCACATTCTCTACAACCAGCATGGCCAGTATGCCGGGCTCTAACCCTCAAGCTACCTCATCCTCTATGGAGGGTGGAGTCTCGAGGTTCATTTTGAACAACAAGAATAGCATGCAGGCATCTTCTCGCACCGATTCAGATCCCAATACCCCCTCGTCGTTCCTCCCGCACTACCACCCTGAAACGCCTCCCTCGCCAAACACTGCAGCGGCTAAACTGACCGCGTCTCCTGCGCGACCGCGTGGTGCCGACCTGCCTTCTCGCACACAACAGAAGCTCTGGCTTCAACGTACCGCTACCCTAAATAACTCTCCCCCTGATAACCATGGAGTGACCGCCGCAGTTCCGCCGTCTGCCATCGACCCAACATTTATTGCCGCTAGCCACGGCTCTTATGACGCCGGCAGGGGGCTCAATGGTGACGGTCGAGCTGGTGGTGCAGATAGCGAAGCCCGTCATATCCGCAAGGCATACGAGAAGACGTCTTTGGAATTGAAGGTCGTGCGACGTTTCCAGTCTCCCACCGGCCAGAGCTTCGCTCGTCTTCGTCATATTGTCCGAGCCAACAAGCCGGAGAAAGGATCAGCTCTCGGCAAACCAGTCGCCTCGGCACCTTCGCTGCCCCTTCTGCAGCAAGGCAAACGGCCCAATCGCCTTGGCTCTAGCCCTACATCGAAATCCCAATCGCGTAATTCAACCCCCGCCGTCTCTGAAGATCCAGCGACAAACCAACATATCAATACTGCAGAGGCTGCCAAGCCCAATGATCCATCTCATCGCATCCTCTCCACTTCAGCCGAAGCTTCGCGTGGTCTGAGTGGTGACAACGACGAAGCATTTCAGATTAACGACAGCGCCATGCTGATCCGCCGGATGTGGGAGAGCCGAGAAGTGGCCATCCCTGGCTAGTTTATCTCTCCTTTTATTTTCTCCCCCCCTTATGTTTATGACGGTTAGCTGTATGGTTCGGCGTTCGCATTCTGATTTTTCATTCACAGCGATCACGTTGAACATAATTTATCTTTGTCCCTTTTACTCTATTGCACTGCGCTTTTGCTTTTGCTTATGTTGATATGAGTAGTCAATGCCACAAATTTACATGATAATCGCAATCCACTATGCCCACTATTTCCAGTATGGTTTCTCCAGCCCAATTCTTCAACCCATAGAAGCTGCATATACGAGCGATCATACGTCAAAAGATATTCAACCACATCCCGGCGATGTTGTTCCACTAAACTTCGACGACCATGTAAACTTGCGTGTCCTAGATCTTCTAGGCCCAGAAGCAGGTTTGCCAGATCCGCGTTCTTTCTCTTGGCTGTATAGCAAACTGCTGACTTGCTATATAGCCTTAGCCCTGGAGGCTGGCACTTTTGTTTACTCGCCCAACAGTGCTTGCACAAGCTTGAAATAGTGTTTTCCAATGGTTTCGAGAAGAGAATTTGCCTCCGCATCCTTCTTTAACTCGCCTTCGAACCATGATAGTCGCGCTATTAGATCTTCATCGGTTTCAACGTGGGTATCGAATCCGTCAAGGCTGCCAACATGCTCGATCAGCACATGAGAGGTATACTTATGCCCTATGGTAGTAGCAATCCATATGGCTCGTGCATACTGTGCTCTGTCGGTGGCATAATGTCTGAGAATGTCGACTACTTCTGACTTTGCATATGTTGCGGCATATTGCAGGGGTGTCATATTGAAGTAGTCCACGCTGTTCACAAGCTGGGAAGGGTCTGAGCTCTCCTCAATGATGCTCATGAGCCAAGGAATATTCCCAACCACGGAGGCAACGTGTATTTCCCATGTTCGATTTTGGATTTTTGGCTTCGGTCCAGAACCCTCTAGGTCCTTTGAGGGGCTGTAGTCGAACCCTATAAAGCGCCAAAATAGACCCAGTGCAGAGTCATCAGCGGCAAAGAACGCCGAGTTATGCCTGAACATTGCTCTGCCATGTTTACCGCAATTGCGGGCATGTCTATACCAGTACATAAATGTGTAGCATACCAGCTCGACCTGCTCGGGACGAAGATTCTGGATTGTTGGTGAAAATTTCCTCGGATCTCTTCTTGGAAATCTAGTTAGATACAAACTACTCGTCCATTTCGGCGAGTCCGATAGGATATTTGCAGTTGTATATTCCAATTCCGGGGTCGACTTGAGACCCTCGAGACATCTACTCGCAATGTCGAAGTGTGCAAATTCTTCTGTGAACCAGAACTCTTTCAAGTCGGTATCGGCGATGGTTATGAGATATCCCTTTGCAGATTGATGGACGAGTCTGATTCTGCCCGAACGACCGTATTTGTCATTTCTGTGTACTCGAATAAAGCCGCCACACATCTTGATCAGATCTTGGATGGTTTCTAGTCCTGTGACTATCTTGTCAAAAAGCTCCCCTAGCGCCCACACTTGCGGGGTTCTCAGCGCTTAGGGAGTGATGGGCGTTGCATGACTCGGATACCCTTGTAGCGCTCAGAGATAGCAAAGATAGACATAGCGTTCCATTTTTACATACTTGTATAAGAATAGTGCGGTTTGGGGCGCTTGATCCTGGTAGCCATGCTGGTACTGGGTGAAAAGGAGTATTGTGACTTTGATAGGCGGTTACAAGAAAAGAGAACTGACTCGATTTGATATCAAGGGCTTGGGAAAGTATTGAGGTTTAATTATAGAAATAAAGCATTGCCTATAATTCGCCATACGATAGTTAGTATCGCGCACTTAATAATTAAATCCCTGTTCATAACACCATTTGAAGACCTTGTCCCCTAAACCAGTCTAGAGCGATGCAGATATAGAGATCTTCCGGTTTCAGCTAAATATAGACTATACAGGTGTAAAACCTCGTTGCCTATACTAGTCTGCAATTCTTCGCAATGCAAAATGTTTCAATTTTTTTTAATTTAACTCTAGTCGAAATATCAAATAGATCAAGAATCATATAGTCGTGAGAACGGGCGTCGATCTCCAAGAGACCATCAAGTCGTATCAATCATGCAGGGAATATGCCAGGTAAGCAAAGCAATCCCAAAACTTCGGTGAAAATGGAGAAACAAAAGACGCCCAAAACAAGACACAATCTCTATGCACATCGCAGTAATCAATCTGTGGAGTGTTCAGTCTATAAAATCACTGGCAGCCAACCGCGCAAGAAATGGTTTAAAAGCAAATCAAGAACTGAATCAAATGCAGGCCCAATCGCCTAACAAATTGTCACAGTTATAAGATGTTTCAAGGGGGGGGGGAGAAAAGATAGAGGCATGGGAGGTTGAAAATAGAATAGAAATCCAAAAGCGTCATTGCAATGACCATGTATACTTATACTTCATGACCAGGCATGGAAGCCTGGGAGCCCTGCTCCTCGTCTCCCACTACCACGCCGGGACCCAGCGGCCGACTCAGCCCCGCCATGATTCCCATGTCTACCTTCATCTAGGCTGCGCCGTGAGACGCCGAAGTCACTCATAGCGAAAAGGAGCGGCTCGTCGTCTTCGGGCGCTTGTGCGGATAGCGTCCGCCCCGTACCTGGCCGCTGCGCAGAACCGCGACGGATCTCTAACGTGGAGTTTCCGCTATTGCTTCCGCTGGCGTTGCCATCGCGGTCGTGATCGCGCTCTGCCAAGTGCGGGGCGAGATTGCCCCGGGCGAGGCTACTGGAAGCTGAGCTGAGAGAATGCCCGCCTGAATAGCCACGGCCACGGGAGCTAGCAAATCGGGGTTGATAGACATGGGGGTTGGATGAGGCTGAAGCGCCGGTTGGTCCAGACATCTGCCCACGGAGGGATGCATTGTCCCGATATGGACCTGTTACAGAGCCAGATGGGCCGCTTGGGTCCTCAGCCGGTGATTGTTGGCTTTTCTGGAACTTGTTTTGCTGTTGAGCGGTACCCAGGGTGGTATTTGAGGGCTCATCGGCCCCCAAACTGAGACTGCGCATGCCGAATGGGAAGATTTCATCATCTTCGCTTGTAACAATCGGCTGACCCAAGGCCACGGAGCTCGAGCGACGGTACGTAGGGTCAAAAATCCGCGGCGAAGCGGGGATATCGATAGCACCTGCGGTGGAGGAAGGTCCTCTAGCATTTTCCATGCCGGGATGTTCTTCCAGCGGCGAGTCGTGCTGTATACGAGGAATTCTTGAATGATGGTCAGTTTCAATGTCATCCGCAACGCTGTTCGAGCTCAGGCGAGAGCGGATAGCAGGAGTGTGGGGAGTATGAGGGGATATGGGTTTCCCAGGTGAAGAAGCTGTGGAGATGGATGTGCCCGCAACCATCGGCGGGACTCCTGATAGTTGCTTGCTCGAAGAAATGGAAGAGCGATGCATATGCATAGACTGTGACATCGAGTCCGACAACGCGGCATTTGAATCTCGCATACTGCGGAAACGTGCAAGAGCTGCTGCAGTGGTGTTATGCTGCTTAGAGCCAGGCTGAATAGATGCGGAGGTAGATGAATTCATTAGGTCCTTTTTCGAATCAAGCATCTTTAAAAAGTCCGATATATTCTCGTCATCTGCATGGATGGACTCAGCACTTGTGCCTGTAGCTTCCGTGAGTAGGCCAGACCCTGGCTGTGCATTGGATGATGTCGCACTGGCTCGGCCACTGGAGTTGTCATCTTCCAGTCTATTCGCCCCCGCAGAAAGGCGGCCTCGTCGGTGACTAAAGGAGCTGCTGTACCGTGATATCGGAGCAGGTTTCGGAGATGCGGAATTAGAGAATGATATAGCTTGTTCAGATGTAGCGGTTATAGGTTTGCGCGCGGAAGCGGCAGAAGAAGGGGGCGGCATAACGCGTGAATCGGCAGATGTTCCTGTGGGAACGCGAGAAGACATGTTGCGGGGAGACACTCCTAACGGGGAGTCTGCTAAAGCTGGGGAAGCAGAAAGAGGGGGTGCTTTGAAGGGTTGGAATGAAATGGAGGGACGGCGTTGAAAACCCGGGCCTCCACCTTCACCAGCAATCTGGGCAGCACGTCCTGAAGGGACTACTTTAGCAGGGGGGAGGAGTCCTTTGGGTAAGTCGGTCGGAGAAGGAGACCCAGCGCCCGAATCTCTCATTGCACGAAGTGCTGATATAGGACTTGCACCTGTTGTTGGGCCAACCTGATGGAAGGTCGAGAGACTGCCATATGCACGTGTGCAATCTGGGTTCTCAACGGTTCTTCTCTCCACTGGTACAGAACCAACTTCAGGATTTGGGCGGTTGACATCATCTGAAGGCAATGACGGACGAAAGATCTCGTCGTCAGCACCCATAAACCGCGAGCTTAGTAGCGCTTCTGAGTCGTCAACGCGGAAATCGCAGTTCGTCCGATACGTGACTTGAACTGAAAAGGGACCTGCAGGCGATTCCGTGACCCCAAAGCTGTAGGTGTCCACCACTTTTTCGCTTCCCTCACTCAACGGGGCTGTCAAATGATCCAGCGAGCAGTCATCACGAGCAGCGCTCCCATCTACCACACGGTACTTGATCTGGAGAGCTGGACTCTGCCGCAACTTTTTGTTGCGTTTAGAGAATCTCCATGCAGGCAAGAACTTAGAGTAGGTGAATAAGGATCGGAAGAGCACAATGCTTTTCTTATAAACAGTGGGTAGGATAGAGCCCAAATCTGCCGGAAGCCTACTTGAGGACTCTCCCAACTCGATTCTCCACCGCTCCAAGATAATCTCGTCATTTTCCGATTGGTATGGCTTTGCACGGGCGCCCTCAAGCACCGCGAGCGACTCGCGCACATCCCAGCGCTTCCCATTCTCGTCAAGAATCACCAAACTTTGATTATTTGTGAGACCCTTCGTGTCTAGATATGTTTCGATAACGAGGGGTGGTGGTCGATTATCCGTGGCATCGCATGTTCTCCAAGGTCGCAGGGGTTCCCGAAGGACATCTGTATCATCTAATTCAACGTTGAACTGGAGAGAACAAGTATAATTAGCTCTTGCCACTTTCATATGCTTGGCTAGTCCAAACAGCACCCCAACTTCTAAGATGGAAACGTACCCAGCGGTTGACTCTCGGGGACTCGGAACCCTTGTTAAAGGAGGGCGGCAGTGCAACTCGTGAATGTAATATAATCAAGGCGGCTTTTGTGTGATAGTTCTGTTGAAAAAGAGATTAGCCATCAATAAGCCTGATAAGCCGTTGGAGGGGCGATCTAGGTGACGATACCGATATTATCTGATTTAACCGTGTCAGGGCCTCCTTTCCTAGTGCCGCATTCCTCCCCTGCTCGGACGGCTGATGCCCTGGCTCTATCCCCAGCCCTCTGGCAGAATTTGATCCCATATCGACGGTTGGGGAGCTCGGGGCGGTTTGTTGTTCTCTGCGGTCTTCCCGAGCTGTCGATCTGGGGGGGAAGTTTGGCGCCGGAGATGGCACCGCCGATGATCGGGGATGTTGATGCATGATGGGCGCCTAATTGCAAACGCGTAGTTAGCGACCCATCAACATGTGAAGAAGAGGAACGATCTTACCCTGGAGCGGAAGTGTAGATTGAGTGTTATCACTGCCGGAATCTGTTATCAGGAACGCAATCGGGCAGCGATAGTTCCAGGGCTGAGGGCCATGCTAACAGGCGAGGAGAATGAGATCTTCTAAGAACGTTCCTGAATCTGAGACGCTAAATGATTCGCGATAAGACAATGGACGCCCGCATGTGGTCTGGGGTTGCCTCCGAGCTGGGACCTTTGGGGCAAGTCTAGATCTTCTCCGCACGGGCAAATGCAGTTAGGAGGAAATCGCCGTGCGAGGCGTAGAGAAGCAAAAGAGGTATGAGAAAGTGAGAAAGAAGTGATAGGAAACAAAATGTGGATAAAAAGAGAGAGAAGGGGTTAAATGAAGATAGTTCGTCTGTGACGCACATCCGGTGACTCGACAGGTCTCGAGTGTCCTAGTCAGCCTAAAACGCCACGCAGATGATGCAAACACGGGGATTTGTTGCCTATATTCTATATATCCTCTGTTATTCTCTGCCATTCTTTTTTTTATATCTCTTTCTCTTTCTAAGCTACATAGGTAGAAACCTGTTGTACAAAGTACCATGCACGGTCGCAAGGGTCAAGGTACCCTGGGGAACTGATAAGCACTTGATCACGACTTACAAGGCGTCATATAAACTAACATGTATCTATACAAATTATGGGCAGATGATATTTATATGTATCGTACTATTTTTAAGATCTTCCAAGATTTCCCCATATTTCATTTTGGCATGTTACACCGTTATCTGATTCAACGTCATATAACATTGAACTTCATTGCCTTCATTGATAAACATTATGTATTGAAAGAGTTATATAGACAAAGGATATCAAGTGACCAAAACAAAGAGATATGTGACACTTATAACTTATGTGCATATATATAAACATATACAAAAGTTGCAGCTCAAGCCCTATTCATTCTGACCAACGGCAGTAGATGTCAACATTCCCTTAGACGAGATTGCTGCGGAGTACTGTAACCGGATCACTCTTGAGCTTCGAGTCCTGCTCACCCAGATTGAACAGTCCATCAATGAGCTTCACGAGAATAGGCTCAAGGTCTGCACCAAGAGCAAGTGGGTTGAGAATAATGTCAAGCTTAGTATTCTTGGTGCAGCCACTCTCGGTCGTGCCAGCAAAGGCATTCTTGACAAACTTGATGACCTCGGGAATTGCGATAATCTCAGTGGTCGCATGACCACCACTGGCGTAATTTGTAAACTTGACGTTCGCGTCCCAACTGCACCAGGAATTAACCATCGTTTGGGCATCGGCATAAGGGATGACTTCATCCTTTTTGGCGTGGTACACAAAAGTGGGTGCAGTCGGAGTCTCATCCTTATTGACGCCCATACTGTTTTGCTTCAGCACTGCCTGAACGATTGGGTCGAAGATGAAAGCTTCGCCCATAGTTTGGAAGCCAGTGTCAAAGATTGACCGTTCGAAGAACGCTATTAAATCCGTAGTGCCACATTCAGAGTTGGCGATGTCTAGTATCTTTTGACCTTCAGGAGTCATGATCTTATTGATGAAAGGGGCTAAGGTGGCACCGTAGGCGGTTGGCTTTGAGAGACCAGCAATAGCTGCAGGGAGGAAGCCACTGAAGGCTGTGTTATCAAGCTGATACATTGTGCCGGTGACGTTCGAGGGAGTTCCACCCTGCACCCAACCCTTGATGTTCAGCTCTGATGCGTACTTGGGCTGCAAAGAGGCTGCCCAGCCGGTAGCAATAGCACCGCCTGAATAACCGACGCCGACAACCATAGGCTTATCGGTGAGGCCCAAGGTCTTGAAGCTGTTCACGGCACGGATATTATCCAATACACCCATTCCTGAGAGGCGACCAGGTCCAAAGGCAGCATCGGGTCCCTCATAGTCAGGAGAAGCAACGGTATAGCCAAGAGCAAGGTAGATCTCAATGATCAACAGCTCGACCGAAGAGATCAAACTGTTCTGTGGCGAGCCAAGCTGGTAGCCATAGCTGGGCTGGCATTTCGTCGCAGAACTATCGTAAGCCGTGGCGAAGGAAACGAAACGATCAAGCTTAGCGTTCTTCGGCTTGAATACCGTGGTAACAGTTGCAATGGCCGAGCCATCGATTGCAGTCGTGCGGTAAAGCAGCTGATAAGCTTCCACATCAAGCGGGATGATGCCGAAGAACCCAACTTCGACGTTTCGTTGGTTCAGGATTGTCCCAGGCGCCTTGGATTCGAACCCAGCAGGCGGCTTATAGAATGGATCATCGTCGGGTGCCTGAACCGTGCCGCGAGCGACGGGAGGCGCAGGCAGTGCTGAAGCAATTGGTGTTAATGCCACCAGCCCAACCAGTGCAAGGCGCACCATGCGTACAAGGGACAATGCCATTTTCCTGCTCCAAAATGAGAGTCAAGGCCGCAATGCTGCTGTACAAGGAGAAAGGGGGCGATCTTCACATTATATACTTTGTACCTAGACATGATACCTCTCATCGTGTGAATGTGATTGATATCTATTACCGAGGCTGGTGAATGGGGCGACGATCCTCACCTGGCTCCTCACCTGGCGCCTGTTGATGGGGAGCGACCTATTCAGGCCAAGACATACCCCGTACATATAATCTGTTTGATGCCCTCCAGGGCTGCAGATCCCCCTGTTGGTATGTTCCTTTTATATCTTTTGCCCGCAGTACGTCCATATGAATATATGCAATTCGATGAAGTGACCAGATAGACTCATCTCTTTACCTTTTTTTTTTTTCTGGATGAAAATTCAATCTCAATAAATTTTCAGAGAAGATCGGCGCCAGCCCCGCATTTCATTATTCCCGCCTGATCCGTAAAAGGGCACTAGTAGTATAGCCATAATCCAAAGATAATCCGAGGCTGATTGAGACATTTTCTCGGAGAAGGTCCATTCTGCGATGGATACGTTGTGGATACGGAATACACCTGCATCCGTGTTCCGTATAGTTTTTTTTTCTTAGCGCTACCCCTCATTCTGTGGGGAATTATCTTGCAGGAATTAGGTTCTTGCAAAAGATGTCATAAACGTATTAGCCCCTTCACGTGAAAGGGCTTGGGTTGCATTCTTTGTAATATACAAAACGTTGAGAGACAGATGACCACTTCCATTTTTGGTAAGGGTAAAGCCTAAGTCAGAAATGTGGGTTGGAATGGGGATATAAGACCGATTGGTAGAAGCAAAGACAGAGACATGTTTCTGACGGAGTTTACATGGATACTATGGGTTATACCCGGATATCTGAGGTCTGCTTTGGTCTTTCTCGGGCTTTCTCCCAATATTTCCCATTTATGTTGTACTCACATCCCAAAACCATGACTCTATGGATGCGCTAGTTTGGCCCCGCGGTTGATCAATCCAGGTAAATCTTCTAGAACTGCAGGTTCAGGCACCGTCGAAGCTCTTTTGTGGACTTCAGTTGTTGGGCCTCACTAAGACCAGGCAACGTTTAAGTTTGTCAGATTGCTTAGTGTGGTTTATTCTCCGAAACTACTCCGTGTTGATTGTGGGGTGAAGAACCGGAACTTTGGGTCGTCTGATATCTGAACCTAGTGGGAATCCACAGAACTCAGGCAGCTATATTGTACAGGGCTATAGCCCTGGGGCTATCTAGGTACCTACCTAGTTAGGTACACCTAAGTAATTACATAAGAGCAATTAACTGCCCAAAGGTGAGGCCAAAATATTGTAACTACAACGGCAACATGCGATGTAGTTGCGGTGGTATATATATCAAGCCCTAACATCTGTTAGGGACATCATGTTAGCGCAGACAGTTGCTACACAATAAATAAATCTTGAGAGGCCATCACAATCAGAATCATTCTCCAACCGCTTACTCACCGGATCCACATTCGAGATTAATCGCTCAATTGGCAAGTGTCTCTCGGTCCACAGGTGTGTTGTAGGTGTGTGATACCTAGTCAACTACTCTGTAGGTAGAATGTCAGCTGTGAAAAGTCAGTGAATGTTCCTTTATATTTTGGTTGGAAACGTATAATATCATCAAATGGGGCTGTGGCGCAACGGTAGCGCGTGCGACTCCAGTTCGCAAGGTTATCCGTTCAAATCGGGTCAGCCTCATTCCTTTTTGGTCTTTTTTTGTCCGCTCACAAGTAGTTATCTACCTACTCACTTGAATGAAGACTTACAAAAACAAACAGCCTCTAATTGGCCCTTAACATTTTTATTTGCAAAAAGTACAAAGAGTCCAAACACTCCATTCTTAAGGAGGGTCCGCCACCCACTTGAAAGGGATTTCCCATATGCAAGTGTACATCCTACTACAATGTACGCATATGTAGAAAGCATACTTTTATTGGCCACATTAGATATTATATATGACCTTTCATTTTAAGTAAACCACTAATATTGTAATATTACCCTAGTGCTTTTATGGGGGTTGAATGTCGAGTTTCAGATACACCTTTCTGGTTATATATTTATCGGGCGCATTGTGTGTAGGAAATTTAGGAGGTAACAGCAGCTAGTTTACTGAGTAACCCATAGTGAAACCCAAATTAAATACATACAATGAATATCTTTATTAGAAAATGCCATTATAGCAGTGAAAGTTCTTTGATTTTTCTCTCTTTATTCCATTGAAGACTCAACACATCGGATGTTAGATGGTCTACATAAATCCCATAACCCCTTTCAGACCGCATGACATGAAATCAATCAAGAAATCGAGCATTTCTTATTGAAGGATAACGGAGTATATAACAGAATACAGCAATCTCTTGCCAAAGGTCACCCATCCACTCTATCAACCAGTAAAATGCGCGTGCAGGCAAGCCCCTTCATAACCAGTCAGCATCATATTCCAGATCCTCATGACGATGGGGAGGGGTATTGCTGGGTCAGTGTTATACTGCCGCTAGAAGTGAAGAATGGCACCCATAGTGACGAAGAAATTATGCTCTTTGTAATCAAGAAGTGCAAAGCTGGTCAAACCGCTATGACACATCAACCGTTACATGGATTGGGTGACCACTGTATCTCGTTGCCAGTTAAGTGGAATGTACCTAGGCAAAACCTACGTACGGTTCGAGACCAGGCTGCAGTTCTTGCATCATGGTGGTTTGTCCAAATCAATCAAAAGAGGGTCACAATTGACCAGCAGATGATTTTTGATAGTCGCACTACAGGAGGATTCGAAAAATTGCTAGATGTGATCCCTCCCGAGTGGGAAAAACCCACGTATTCAGACTAAAGAAAATTATTAAATGGGTTTTTGTTATGGCCAAATCTTTATACTTTCTGTCAGTACCCTCGGGACGGCCCAGAAAGATAGAAAATGTGAAGAGGTTCTGCATCGATTGATTTCAGTCAATATAGTCAGTAGATCAATAAATTGAATTTTCAACATCGAAAGGGATAATAAGTAGTTGTTTGGACTAGTATATGGGTAGCTGAGCAGCTAGATAGGGGGGTTTTCTCTAGGGCTGGTAGTTCAATGACGTAGGCGTCATAGCATTATATAGACACGTGCCGTTGCACTTAATTCCACCGTGAACCGCAAACAGGGTTTACATCAAAATAACTGACCTTAACAAAAATTGATGATGGAAGACTGGAGGTATATTTGAAAGAGAGTATGCATGTGGCTGACACACCGGGCCTGCGAACTACGTCTGTGCTGGCATCTGAAGGACACTATATTGTTTTACATGTTGGAAAGAGCATAGAACAAGATCGAATGGTATGTATAGTGAGGATCCTTAGAATATAGCACCTTGATGAGGCGTGATTGCTAACTTGAGGCGGATGCCGATGGAGAGTCAAAGAATAATAACAAGATCTTTACTGAAATGGCCGTTTGAATAGGTGACAAAGAGGATGGGATCGAGAAAATTCCTGCAATATAACCTTGATCCTTACCACGTCCCGTTCTTTTCCCTTCCACATCTCTTTTTTATTTTATTTAGTAGATCGTCTAGATTCAACATTTTAGCCCTTGACCATCATCTCGCCGCCAATATGACAATTATGTCTACACCAATGTTGCCTGGCCAAGGGCTTGGTGACCCAGTGCTGCTGGACAAGATAGACCGGCTCCTAGCTTGCAACCTTGGTGAATATGTCAACTTGCCCCAGCTTGTTGTGGTGGGAGACCAGTCCAGTGGCAAAAGCTCTGTTCTTGAGGGTCTTACCAAGTTGCCATTCCCTAGAGATAGTGGGCTGTGCACTCGGTTTGCTACTCAGATCATCTTCCGACGGATTAGGGCGGACACAGAGAGGACTATCAGTGCTTCCATTGTTCCAGCACACGATAAAGACCCCGAGCACAGTTCTCGTTTGGCAGCATGGAGAGGAGTCAATATGGAGTCACTCGACGATGAATCCTTCGCTGAAACAATGCGTGAAGTATGACCCACTACTCGAGGAAATCACAACTGAGCTTCTGTTAATGACTAGTCACTATAGGTTCACCAGACGATGGGTTTGTCGGGATCCGAAACCAACACTGCTAAGCCCATCTTCACTCGCGACGTCTTCCGGTTAGAGATTTGTGGACCCGAAGAAGATAATTTGAGTATCATTGATGTCCCGGGTATCTTCAAGAACACTACTGCTGGTGTCACTACCAAGCAGGATATGGAGATGGTGAAGGATATTGTCTTGGGCTACATGCGCAACCCGCGTTCCATCAGCCTGACTGTGATCCCCGCAAACGTGGATATAGCTACACAAGAAATTCTGGAAATGGCACGCGAGTGGGATCCCAAGGGCATTCGCACATTGGGAGTGTTTACCAAACCTGATTTAGTAGACAAGGGTGCCGAGGACAAAATCATCGACTTGGTTGAGGGCAAAGTCCATTCTTTGGAGCTTGGCTGGATTGTTGTGCGCAATGCCGGGCAACAGCAACTACTTGACCAGAGCTCAGACCGAGACTTGGTCGAAGCCCAGTTCTTTAGGGGAACTCACCCATGGAACAATCTTCCAACGGACAAAGTTGGCATTGGTTCCCTCAGAAATCGCCTGCAGGATGTGCAGACAACTCAAATTCGTCGAGAGTTTCCCAAGGCAGGCCACACCGTCTCGCTTTTTGTTTGCAGGTTTCACTGACTATACATGTAGATGCGTGCCGACGTTGGTCGAAAGCTGAAGGACATGAGGCATAGTTTATCTGCTCTTGGAATTGAGCGAAGTACTTCGGAGCAGCAGCGAAGCTTTCTGCTCGATGTTATAACCAGGTTTCAAGAGATTGTTTCGCAAGCTATGGCAACTTCATATGGCACGTATGAATTGTTTGATAAAGAAAGTCATTCCCGACTGGCAACGATAGTTAGAAACCGCATGGACGTTTTCAAGACCGACATGGAAGAATATGGGTTTGAATACCAATTCATCGGTGGAATGTCTGATGAATTACCCGTACAGCTGATGGAAAAGGAAAGCGAGGAAGAAGATGGTGGAATCCCTGTTCGTAAGCATATGAATGTGTCAGAGCACAGTGGCGCTATTGATGGCATTCTTCACGAACAAGAGATTGTGAAAAAGCCATCGGATGACAACATTCTCGTATGGATCGGGGATCAGTATCGTGCTTCCCGCGGATTCGAGGTGGGGACATTTCAGACGTCCCTATTGTGCACTATCATGAACAGACAATCAGGTAAATGGGCTGAGTTTGCGCTCGGATATGTCAGTGATGTGATTGATATCATTCACACTTTCATGCTCAAAGTCCTCGAAGACATCTGCCCAGATGAGCAAATTTGCGACAAGTTAGTAAGTGTTCTCACCGACGAGCTGTCCATGAGATACAGAGAAGCCATCGAACAGGCCCAGCTAGTTCTGGATGTCGAACGCATGAACATAATGACTTTGAATGATAACTTTCACGAGAAACTTGAGGAAACTCAAAATAAAAAGTATGGACTCTTCGATTCGATTGAGATATACAAACTGACATTCTACCAGCCACCGGGAGAAGTATGAGTCACCCACAGAAAACGAGGCCAAGACTCCAATGAGTAACACCGAACGAACCGTCCGTTACATACACGATATTCTGGCAGCCTACTACGAAGTGGCATTCAAGCGGTTTGTTGACAACATCTGCATGCAAGCCACCGGCTACTGTCTGCTCACCGGACCACGCAAGCCGCTTGGACTTTTCTCACCCCAGTTTATTGCGAATCTCACAGAAGATCAGTTGTCGGAGCTTGCGGGGGAGAATGCTTCGCTGAGCCGGAAACGTGCACAGCTGAAGAAAGGGATTCAGGACCTAGAAACTGGTCGAAAGATTATGATGTAGATCTGAGGTACAGTGAAGGCAAGGAGAGAAACGAGTAACCTGAGAAACCCGGAATGAAATAAAACGTCAATACACAAGTGCACATCATCCTATCAGTTCCCCACGGGCTCTGCCCTGAATGATCCTCGCCTCTCGTCCGGGGGCATGGAGGGACGTGCGTGTCGTTATTGGTCAATGTAATTATACAGAAGTGGATAATGTCCATGTAGGCACATAATGCGGAGCATGGCTTCATTGGCTTATTGTACTTGAGAATCTCTTAAAAAGATACATGACACTAGAAGCTTAGAAGCTGTGGAAGAATTCTTTGAGTCTATGGGCTTTTAAATTATCTATATCGAAGTCTTGTATTCGACTTAATAAGTAACGGTTTTTGGTATGGATACATCTACTTGATTGTGAGACGTACCCTTGAATACCCAATTACTTCATTTTAAAAGACTAGAGTTGACCCTTTTATAGTAGTTTAACAAGCCCGAAGTTTCCCGGAACCTTGCGATATATAGATGTACTACTCCGTACTGTGTACATATATGAGATTTTTACCCGCGGTGTCGTTGTCGCGGACTGTTCGGCGATCCATCCACGGATGACATCGAGGACAAACCGGCCGAATTTCTGGCAGGACACCTTTCTTTTTCCAACCACCTGAATCTCGAGATATTATCCATCTTCGATACCATCCCAACCCGTCGAATATCCCCTCGTTTCTCTTCCTCAAAAAATTTCGAGTTGCCCCGCCAAATAATCACTTTCGCCACGCGCGCAAACTCCGAGCCCACAATCAGTCGATTTCGCGTCAAATTCACTTCAGATATTCAGTGATACCGAGATCGAGATCGAGATCGCGTCGACCAATATAGTCGGCAATTTTTATCTTCCCCTCGGACCAGAGCTCTCTTATCACCCAGCTCCCCCGTCGCGGTTCACCCCACTGTGGTGACGGCGACGCTCAGCTTGGGCCTGATAAGAGATTTGGCGCGTCGACCACTCCGGGCACATGAGTAACAGACTTTGGGAGTGTTTCATTCAAGATGATGTCGAGCAGTTCCAGCGGTTTCTGGCGAACGCGACGTTCGCGGGACCGCGAACTGTAGGAGTCTCGGGGGGTCCCTCCGGAGCTGCGACGAACTTGTCATCGAAGGCTGGAAGCCCCGGGTCCATGATTTCCTCGTCTCCAAATCCACCGAGGAGTAAGAAGAATATCGACTCATCACCTGGGACGCCTGTATCTGATCGGGTATCCTTCTCGCGCGGGAACGCGACTTTGTCGCGCGCCGATGTCAATGCCCGCGATAATTACGGCCGTACACTGCTGCATCATGTCGCTTCGTCCTCAAAACCTACTGCTTTGAAATTCGCACGCGCCTTGTTGGAAGTTCCATTCGTCGATGTCTATGCACAGGATTGGGAGAGTGGATGGACGGCTCTGCATCGGGCTCTTTACGCTGGGAATGCCACAATTGCTTTGGCGCTCATGGAGCGCGATGTGCGTGACATGACAGACTTCAGTAAAGGTGGGAATACGAGCCATCCGAGTGGCGGCCTGATCAAGATCAAGGACCGTGAGGGTTGCAGTCCCTTTGACGTTTTCGGGTCGACCATTAGAGCCCGCGACATTAAGCATCTCTCTGAAAACTGGCCGACCTCAGATCTTGATGACGATGCACTGGGGAGCGATGCTGCCTCCAACGCTGCTGCCTCGAACTTTGGAGATGACGGAGAAGATGGACCATACGCTCTTAGGAGTGTCCTGAAAGGGGCTGTGGATATCTCTGCCGATGAAGTTTTTACCCTAGGAAGCAACAAAAACCTGAACCTTGGCCTAGGTGACCAGGATGATAGACAATTTCCCGAGCGCATCGTGTTGAAGCGCCCCGGGCACCTTTTGCATCGATTTTATCGTGAGTACCAAGAGAAATTGGAACACCTAGGGCTTGAGGACAGCGTTCCCAAGAGCAAATCGACCGAGCTGCCCACTTTGATCACAAACAAGCCAATGAAGTTCCAAGACATTATCATGTCCAAACTACATACCGCCATCATAACAGATGACCCCGAGGCTAATCTATTTATGTGTGGATTTGGACCTGGAGGGCGCTTAGGAACTGGAGATGAGTCGACACGTTTCTCCTTTGTTTGTATTGAAACAGGCGGACTGGAGGGAAAGAAAGTCGTATCAGCTGCTCTGGGCCAAGATCATAGCCTGGCAATTACCGAGCAGGGTGAGATTTTCAGCTGGGGAAGCAACAAGTTCGGACAACTTGGCTATGGGCTGCCCAGAACTAGCAACAAAAACGATATTCCTATTCAGATGACTCCTCGCCAGATCTTCAACCCGTTCAAGAAAGAAACGATCATAGGTGCGGCAGCATCGTCTATCCACTCGGTGGTCTTCAGTACCTCAGGTCTCTATACATTTGGCAAAAATGAAGGTCAGCTTGGCTTGGTCGATTCCGACGCTCGTTCGCTTGAGGTACAAACGACGCCACGGCGCGTTGGAGCGTCTCTTTTCAATTGTCCAATCAAGATGGTGGCCGCTATTGATCGTGCTACGTCTGTGCTTCTGCAAAACCACGAAGTCTGGGTTTTCTCGTCATATGGCTATTCGAAGCTTTCATTCCCACTGGAGGTGAGCTCGAGATTCATCAGGGATAGCTTCATGACAACCAGATACGACAAGACTGCGAACCGCATCGTCAAGATTGTATGTGGAGGCAACACTATATGTGCATTATCCAGTTCTGGTGATGTGTTCACTGTTCAAGCCAACCAGTCTGATAATTCTTCGGCTTTAACGTCCACAACCAATCCTGCAAAGATTCGGAATTCGTTAGCCACCCCTGTTCGAGCATGGTCCGTTAAGAAATCATACATGGCAGCGAGCGATGTTGATGTTGGACAAGATGGTTCGATTATCATCTGTACGACATCTGGATCTGCGTGGAGAAAGGAACGCCGAACAAAGAACAAGGAGGGAGCCTCGAAAGATTATAAGTTTGCCCGCATACCTGGTCTCTCGCGGGCAGTGGCTGTGCGAAGCAATGCCTTTGGGGCCTACGCTGTCGCTCAACGTGAATGTGAAGTGACCAGAGAACAAATTCATATTGAGCAAAGCAGCCTTTGGGATGATATGTTGCCATTGTCCCCCTTTACAATGCCAGGTCTGGAACAGTTAGAATCGATCCTCGATGACGACACTCAGAATATCCCTCTTGTCCTTTCCTCCGGAAAAAGTATCCAGAGAGCCATACTTTCGTCCTCAAATATCGAAAGCCAGTTCCTTTCTGTATGGACCGAGGGGACGGTTTGGGTGACCAGCTCTATGTCGGACTCATGCATTCCTGTGCATGAGTTCCTTATAGCTGGCCGTTGTCCAATTTTGGGGAAGGCATTGGCCGAATTCCGGCAATCATATTATTCATCCGTCCCAGACGTGTTTGATATTGAGTACGGGAAGGACGGACACCCCCAGATCTGCCTCCAAAATGTTGATCCCTTGACCGTTATGAACGTGGTCTTTTTCCTTTACACAGACGGCATTCTCGATGTTTGGCGCCTAGCCAGGAGCTCGCCCGCAAACTCGGCCCGCTTCCGGCAGGTTCGCACTGAAGTTATGCGGGTTTCTACGCAACTCGGCCTGCCAGCGCTGGAGCGGGCGGCTCGATTAATGGTTGAGCCGCAAAGAAGCCTGAAAATGGATATGGCTCATGCCATCAACCACTCATTCTTATTTGACAGCGCAGACGTGGTTGTGCAGCTCAAAGGCGATACAATCAAAGTGCACAGCCAAGTAGTGTGTCAGAGATGCCCATTCTTTGACACCCTTTTCCATGGTTATGCAGGTGGAAGATGGCTAGATTCGCGCAAAGCGGACCCAAACCAGAGTGTGCATGTCGACCTAAAGCACATTGATCGCTCTACATTTGAATTTGTCCTGCGTTACCTCTATGCCGATACTGAAGAACGGCTGTTTGATGAAGTCCGGACCAATGATATTGATGACTTCATTGACTTGCTTCTGGATGTAATGTTCGTGGCAAATGAGTTGATGATCGACCGACTATCTCAAATATGCCAGAAGATGCTTGGTCGTTTTGTTACGACGCGCAACGTGTGCTATTTGCTCAATTCCGTAGCACCCTGCTGTGTCACAGAGTTCAAGGATGCCGCCCTGGAATATATCTGTCTCAATCTCGAGGCCATGCTGGCTAATAGATATCTCGAAGATTTGGATGCTACTCTCCTTTGTGAGTTGGATCTGATCTGCCGCGAGAATCAGTTAGCATGCTGGCCCATATCCCGTGGGCGCAATTCCGAGGAGTACGTCTTCGAGAAATACCCCGAACTTGTCAGCTCCGTGGAAGCAGATAAGCAACGAAGGATTGATGCCATGGCTTTGCAGTCCCGCCTTGGTCGTCTAGAACCTTATGATGCGCGAGCCCGACCTACGCCTAATGAGAAGGCCACTGCATCTCCGTCTGTGCGCAAAGCGAAGACCAGTGTTTCCGGAGAGTCACCAAATGTTAGTAGTACCCCAATGCTGAAACCGAGGCAGTCGGCTGGGGATCTCATGTTTCAAATGGACGATGAAACCCCTATGTCGCCAACTCCGTCGAAAGGCAAGGGTGCTATGCGTGGATTCCGGCTCGCTGAAGGCATACCTGAGAATGGATCACACCCTGACTCCCCAGCTTTGGGGGCAAGTGTCCTAGATGCGGAGTCCTTGGGCGATCACAGTTTCTTGAAGAATCAGATGTCTTCCCCGCAAGCCTCACTACTAGCAGAGTCCCCGTCCGAGTCTAGGGCAACCGCGCAAAACCAGAAACGTACCCTGGCATCACCATCTAATTCCTCTTCTGCGCCATGGGCCTCGCCAATGATTTCGAGTTCAAAGAAGGATATCAAAGACATCATAGGAGAAGCGTTGCAGTCCCGAGTATCAAATCTCACGCTGGGCATGGCAGATCGACGCGAAAGCAGCGGTAGCTTTGTACCCAAAATCTCCCAGAAGGAACGAAAGAAGCTTCAGCAACAACAGATACAAGAGCAGCTGGCTGCCCAGAAGAAGGCCAAGGATACACCACAGAACCCCTGGCAGAAGCCAGTAGTTTCTTCTCCACCCTCGCTTCCTCACCTCGATCCTCTGCCAGGTCAAAGCGCGCTAGCTTCTGAGGCTGTTAAATCACCTCCAAGGTCAATGACTATGCGGCAGACTGTGGCTGGCACCCCACCGCCAAAGTCAAAGCCAGTAGCTACACCTATGCAAACACCACACCGCGGTGTGTCAAGCGATCCACGGCCCTCTTCTCATTCGAAACCCTCCGCTTCGGGACCTTCGACAGCAATCCGTAACAATCTACCAACCTCACCACAGCCAGCCATTCAGTCAATTCGTCACATCCCACGCCCTGACCCAATAGGATTTTCTCCATCTTCTGGCTCGTACTCACTATCGACCATTTTACTCCAGCAACAGACCGAAAAGGAAGCGATCCGTGAAGCAGCCACAGCCAAGCATAAAATGCAAGAGATTCAGGCTGAGCAGGAGTTCCAGCAGTGGTGGGACCAAGAAAGCAAGCGTGTGCAAAGGCTGATAGACCCCCAGCCAAATGAAACGAGCTCTGGAAAGGGCGGACGAGGCGGTAAGGCGCCTGGTGCTGCCGGTGGCTCGCGGAAGCGTAGAGGCAACAAAAATACCGGGGATGGACCGGCTCCCCAAGATCACAGACGTGTATCAGCTCCAAGCTCTGGGCATACAACCCCCAAGACGAATCCGAATGGCCAGACCCCAACCCAGTCTCAAAAGACCCCGAATAAGAATCGGGCTGGAGGTGCTGGAAATGCTAATGGTCGTCGTGGAGGTGGTAATCAACGCGGTAGGGGCAAGACCGATGCATAAAAATGAGAAGAATGCATTTCTCTCATTGGCTTTCTCTAGTTTTGTATTTCAGGTCTGGGAGTACTTCTTAATGTACATTTTTAGCGTCCATTCAATTTCCACCGAGAATTGATTGATACCAGCGGTTCTTGGGATCCCCCACCATCTACACATCTCCCTTTGACCTACCCGCCATGTTCGGTATTGTTTATCAATTGAGAATCTGTTTGGGCGACTTTGGCGTTTAATCGAAGTGCTGGTCACTTTTAGAGACAGGTATAGAGCGTGATAGACTGTTTATGATTGATACATTACTTCTTCTAAATTTATGACTTGTCACTTTCAAGGTACAACCATTTAGACAACTTTTCTAGAATCAAAAGTCGATTCGCCGAGACCAAGACTGACGATATTCAGTTCCCAGCTCTATGAACGGACTTCCCATCGCACAGTCGCCGGCTGCACAGGACGTGAAAAGAGAGACTAGAAAGAAGTTAGCCAGATATTCTCATCAACCCAAGCCAGAATACTAAAAGACTTACCGAGTAATCCGTGTCCGGCACTCCCTCCATTCCCTCAGGATTGAAAAACTTGAACTCCCTCACAAGGGTGGCAACAATAACCCCCAAATTAAGATACGCAAATTTCTCCCCAATACAACGATGTCTGCCTGCCCCGAATGGCAAGTATGGACTGCGTGTTCCCTTGGAAACAGCACCATACCCATAATCCACCGTATCAGAAGCATCCTCAACCTCAATCCGATTCTCCCAGCGATGAGGATCCCATCGCAATGGATCACGGAAATAGCGCTCATCCCGCGCCGTAACACCAGGCGAAGAGAGCAACGTGTGCGAAGGCGGAACAACAAATTCAGTCCCAGGCACCGGCATCGGATTCTTCACCTTTCGCATAAGCGTATGGATAGACGAGTGGATACGTAACGTCTCCTTGATCACGTTGTGATGCAGCGGGAGTTTATCCATATCCTTGTACTGCAACGGTGGGAGATCAGCACCCAAGTTCTGGATCTGTTCGGCGTACAACTTCTCCGTCATCTCGGGCTGCGAGGCAAGTCGGAGAAGGATCCAGCAGCTAATTGCGGACGACGAGTGTTGGCCCGCCATCAGCAGCGTGATCATCATATGCGCGATCTCCTTGTCTGGGATTGGAGTCCCGTCGCGGTATACACAACGCATTAGGTTTGAGATCATGTCTGTGCCTTTGGATTTATCCCTGCCATTGACGTCTGCTTCTCCGGCTTCCCGTCGTGCTTGGATAATTCCCAGATAGATCTCACGCATACGTCCGTGAGCTTTGTCTCGCTTGCGGTTGTGGGGTAGTGGTGCCCAGGGGAGCATGAAGTTTATTGGGGTGAAACCGAGGTCGAGGTCGTGGAAGAGCTCGGCGAACTCGGAGGTCAGCTTTGAGCGTACTTCTACGCCTTGGAGGGTGCGTGCTGCTGTGAAGATAGTTATCTCGGCCATGGCTGCGGCGAGGTCAATGGTGCCTGATTGGCCTTTGAAATTGGGGGATGATTTTATGTAGGCGCTTGTTTCATCGGCGATTAGGGGGACATAAGATTCTAGGGCTTCTTGGCTTAGGCCGTATTTAATGAACTGGTTTAGGAGAGTTGAGTATTAGCTCTGGATGTGAGATGTGTGATGAGCGATCAGAAGCAGGTATACCTTCTTTTGCTCCATGAGTTTGGAGTTAGGACAGTCGTAGACAACGTCAGATCCGAAGACGGGTGTTGTTAGCTTGCCGTAGATCTCTTCGGCATTGACGTCCTTCAACTTTCCATTGAGAATGAACTCATTGCCTTCAACCCCGAGGTATACAGTTGTTTTCTTGCCTAGCAGGATGAAAGTAAATATGTCGCCATACTAGGTGTTTTCGTTAGTCGGCATTGTCTTTGGAAGCATCAAAAGCTGCAAGATATACGCACCTTGGCACGAGAAGCGAAGAAGAACTGGTACGGGTCCATGCCATAGGCGACTGTACTTCCAATGAAAGGAACCCAGTGAAAGACAACAGGTGGTTCCTTTCTGTTGTAGAAGATGAGCTGGTTGATCACATTGAGAACAATGGACACCAGAACAAGTCCGGTGGTATAGTATGCGATGCGCACGATTTGGCCTACTACCAATGGGACAGAATCCATGATTGTATATTTGATATGAAACAGAAGTAGAAATTTGGAGTACAACAGTATGAAGCTATATAGTTAGGGTTTTGTAGGACAAATCAGGAGTACGAGATTGGCGGTTAATAATCAGGCCATACCCCCCTGCCCCGGATGCAAACCAGCCGACAGAAGAATGTCTGGGGCCACTGCCAGGCACCCGATTTGTTTTGGATCTTCATTAAACTCCCACATCGGTTAAAATGGCTAAATCTCCAGATGTCTCCTAGACACAGTGTCATTCTTGTACGAGCACCTTGGTCTGTGCTGGAGGCCCACTTAGGTGGATAGCAAAAGATGTAAAGAAAGAAACAAGTGACTTCGTTACGGATCATGGGCATTCCATGGAGACATCTAAATACATTGAACATCCAATTTTTTTACCCTTCTAACAAACCTCAACACGCTTATGCGATGTAGGTCGAGGCAGACACATCACCACCACGACCGGTCCAGTTAACGTGGATATCCTTGCCCTCGGGGAAGGTCTCGCTGGCGTTCTCGGGCTTGATGCGGAAAGTGTGGGCACCGAAGTAGTCACGCTGGGCCTGGAGCAGGTTGGCGGGGAGGTTCTTGGAGCGGTAACCGTCGTAGAAGCTGAGGGCAGTGGAGAAGGCCGGAGCGGGGATACCCCACAGAGCGGTCTTGCTGATCACGTTACGCCAGCCGCTCTGGGCGTTGTTAATGGCCTTGTTGAAGAAGTCGTCGAACAGAAGGTTCTCAAGGTCGGGGTTGTTGCGGTAAGCATTGGTGATATCCTTAAGGAAGACGGAGCGGATGATGCATCCACCGCGCCACATGAGGGCAATGGAAGGCTTGTTCAGCTTCCAGTTGTACTCCTTGGCGGCCTATATTGGAGACAAAAGAGTTAGGAATCGACTATTAGTGGAGGTTGACAAGAAATGACTTACGTTCTGGATGAGCATGAAGCCCTGAGCGTAGGAGATAATCTTGGAAGCGTAAAGGGCCTGCTCAAGGTCGTCGACGAAAGCCTGCTTGTCGCCCTCGAACTTGGGGGTAGGACCGCTCAGGATGGAGCTGGCGCGGCCACGCTCGTCCTTGAGAGCACTGAGGCAGCGGGAGAAGACAGCCTCGCCGATCAGGGTGACAGGCATGCCGAGGTCCAGAGCATTGATGGCGGTCCACTTGCCGGTACCCTTCTGTCCAGCCTTGTCGAGGATCTTGTCAACAAGGGGAGTGCCATCGTTGTCGTTGTAGTAGAGGATATCACGGGTGATCTCAATCAGGAAGGAGTCGAGAACACCGGTGTTCCACTTGGCGAAAACATCACCAATCTCCTTGGAGGAGAGACCGAGACCGCGCTTCAGGATATCGTAGGCCTAAATAATGTCAGTGGTTGATCGAGAATATTTTGCTTGGAAAAGTAGCCTTACCTCGCAGATCAGCTGCATGTCACCGTACTCAATACCGTTGTGGACCATCTTAACGTAGTGACCGGCACCCTCGTCACCGACCCAGTCGCAGCAGGCCTCGCCGTCGCTCTTGGCGGAGATGCTCTGGAAAATGTCCTTAATGTGGGGCCAGGCATCCTCGTTACCACCGGGCATGAGAGAGGGACCGTAACGGGCACCCTCCTCACCACCGGAAACACCGCTGCCGACAAAGCTGATACCCTTGGAGGTGAGGTACTGAGTGCGGCGGTTGCTGTCGGGGAAGTGGGAGTTACCACCGTCAATGATGATATCACCCTTCTCGAGGAAAGGCAGAAGGGACTCAATGAAGTCATCGACGGGCTTGCCGGCCATAACGAGGAGCATGATGCGGCGGGGGCGCTTGAGCTTGGCACAGAACTCCTGGATGGAGTGAGCACCAACAATGGACTTGCCTGTTTTATAATGAGCATTTTTGACAAGGAATTAAGAACTGTCATTTTTTTGTAGAGCTTACCCTTGGCCTCGTTCTCCAAGAAACGGTCAACCTTGGCAGTTGTACGGTTGAAAGCGCAGACGGTGAATCCGTGATCAGCAACGTTCAGGATCAGGTTCTGGCCCATAACGGCCAGACCGATGAGGCCGAAATCAGCACTGGGAGCAAAGTGCGCCGGAGCGCCGACATTGATGCCGGCGAGACGGGCGCTATAGTCAGCGATAAATGTCTCTCGTCAATAGCTGGGCAAAAGTCACAATAGGAATGCGAAGGAAAGGACATCCGTGGACTTCCGAACAGTATCTCAATTGGTATCATCTTGCGCGAGCATCTATATGGATTCTTCCAGATAGAGCTGTTGCATGATGGAGCAACATTGAAAATGCGCTCTGTCCAAGAGGGAGGTGTAGCCACCATGAATTGGTGGGGGGAGGGAAGAAGGTAGATGACTTACACAGCCTGGTCAGCCATGACGATTATATGTGAGATAAAAGGGTATTGAATAAAGCAAAGGTTGATCTAGAGAAGAAAGGAAGATGAAGAGGGGGAGGGGGAAAAAGAAGAAGAAGTAGCATTGGCCGGCTGACGGAGCAACTCTTCCGTCATCTTTGGTGGGACATACCGGAGGGGGTACCGTGTACCTCACTTGTTCTTACTGTCTCCGGTGTAGCGCCAAGTATTGGGTACAGGAGCAGAGTCGTCCGGAGTTAACCCACTCGGGTTCTGTTTGAAGGGAAAGCATTATCCGACTATCAATTGATTTCAATTCTCTATACAAATACATATATGTTATAAAATCATATGCAATTCGCATAGCTTTTACTTTGGTATACAATAGCGGGGTATGGAGGGGTAACTTCTGTTGAAGAATTGCAATTGCATGAAGAATTGATATAGAGCTCTGTACTAAGTAAAATTGTAAGTATTAGAGAATGATGAAATAGAAATACCCGAATATCCATGTAACCCATCGAAACCATCCGAATCAACATGTCCACGCATCGGTGAACTGTTCTGGTAGAAATGCGACGGAGAAATCACTTGCCGATGCGTTCATAGCCCGCTACTAATGAGCTAACCATTTTGGGACTAGAGTGGGGGTTACAAGCTTTGAGTCAGCAATTGGCTTATGTCATTACTGAGTCAGAAAAGCTTGGTCAAGTCATGTGATTCGGCGCAGCCTAGCCAGCGCATTCAGAGACAAAAAAAAAGTCACTTCTCTTTAACCATTAACATTCAGCGCAGTCCTTGAAGACACACATTTCCCTAGTCCAGGTTTATCACAGTGACTATTTGCAAGCTGCGTGACGCTTCGCCTCTTGCAATCACTCATCCTTCGGGTGCCTATCTCAAGCGTGACGTTTGGCGACTGACTGCGGCGTCAGTCAGGCCCTGAAGGTACGTTGCGGTTGCTACTTTGCATCTAGCATTTTTCTCTCGCGCGTTTTATTCATTTCATCTCTCTCCTGGAATATCCCGTTCATCATGCCTCTTCCGCCTCCTCCAGGTCTCCGACAGACTCCCTCGTCGCTTCCGCCCCGCCCACCTCCATCCTCCAACATCGCGCAGCCTCCTGCCAACCCTGTAGGCCATGGCAGATCTCGACCAACAGGCTACAGTGCCTTCACGGCGTTCCAACCACGTGCGGTAGCCTCCAGTCAACCGCGCGCGAACCGCCACCCGGTCTCGAACCCCTCAGTCTCTGCTGGTTATGCAACCCCCGTCAATAGTTACGTCAATCACTATCAACAGCCACAGCCTCAACCATACCAGGGTGCGCCTTCCTACTATGGACAACCTCAATACGCTGAAAACACATACGGTCCGGCCGTCCCACAGATTGCGAATCCATACGGTCCGGCCGTCCCGCAGATTGCGAATCCATTCGGACCTACGCCCACCCAGACCAACAAAGGGTTCCCACAGAATTCCAACGCCCCGGGTTTCGATGCAGAGACTGAAGCTCAAATCGCGCAGTGGCAGAGCGCCTACAACAAACCAAGTGAAGATACCGCCAAGCAAGGCAACCAGCCCGGTTCAGGCGTGAACACAGGAGCGGGAACCCCAACCGTCGGCACTCCCACCCCGCAGGCCGAGTCAAAAAAGACTGTCATTCGTTCAGGTGGTGGCCAAACATGGACTGACCCTACCCTCTTGGAGTGGGATCCGGCACACTTCCGCCTTTTCGTGGGTAATCTTGCAGGTGAAGTCACGGATGAGTCTCTGCTGAAGGCATTCTCACGCTACACATCGGTCCAGAAAGCGCGTGTCATTCGAGAGAAGCGAACCCAAAAGAGCAAAGGCTATGGATTTATCAGCTTCAGTGACGGCGACGAATACTTCAAAGCCGCAAAAGAAATGCACGGAAAGTACATTGGTTCGCACCCGATTCTCCTGCGCAGATCCGAGACTGAAGTTCGCCCAGCTTTGGACCCAAAGCATGGAAAGAAACAGGGTAAAGGCAAGGGGCCCGGAGGTAAAGCTGGAGCAGGTGGAGCAGGTGGAGCAGGAAAAGTGAAACACGATGGTATCAAGAAGTCCGCCAAAACCAAGGGAGGGTTGAAGATTCTGGGTTGAGTCTAATATCCATGCGACCGCACTTTATGTAAGAATACCTTTTTAATGACAATGTCTTTCGATTGCTATGTTTACTATTTTTTTATTCTACGATAAATATAAAAAAAAAATCTACCCAAGCTAGGGTTCCTATCGTAGACGGCCAGAGTCACGTGACTATATTTGTGGCCTTGAGCCTTATGGACTTATACTTCGAGGTAACTACATGTAATCCGTAACTACATATGTTTATGTGTGTACTATGTAGCTACCTAGAGGTAGTTACTAGCCCTGGAGGGCAAATAATTGGCTTTATGAGCCGTTTCAGTAGTTTCAAATGTCTTGTCAGATAGTTCCGTTGGATCCTCTTTCCCTTCCATTTAGTGCTATATGAAAGATCAAAAGTATTAGCGATATTTAGAAGATAGTGAAACCGGGTTGAATTGTGCAAAATGACCTTTCCATGTTTAAATATAGAGTGCTTTAATAGTTTTTAGCCCATAACGTATGTAGTCACAGTATGTGGTTAGTACAGTGCTTCCCCAGCCCCTCTAAAAAAGCACATGGCTGGGAGAAAAAAAAGTCCTGTTTAAAACCCATTCACATTCCATCTAATTCTCTTTATTTTTCTTTCCTCACATTCTTATCTATAATTCTATAATCTCCTTCCCAAAAAAGGAGAGTGTGTTGCGAGAGCCCAACGAGGCTGTATACTTCACTGTATACAAATCCACCCAACGCATTGCTGCCCACCTGTACACGGCCTACCTTGATCTGCACGCCTTGTTTTGATTTTACCCTATCGCCTTGACAACCAGCGATTAAATATATCTACACATCTCGCCAATTCATTTACCTCCCTCCCGATCTATACCGATCTGTTGATCGTCTCCAGCCAAGATGGTTCAACGCAACATGACCATCGCGATTATCATCATCGTCCTCTTCATCCTCCTTGCAATCGCTGGATTTGCTATCTGGGCGGCAAATAACCACGTCTCGTTCTTCTCCAAGAAGAAAGAAGGCGATGCAGAGAGTGCAGATGGGTAATAAGGCAGGGTAGCAGACACTGCACCCTTGACCTTCGCCTTGAGCTCTCTCGGTCTTGCTTTACAGGCATTGATTGCTTCTTTTTCTTTGAATCACATACGTATACGATCACACACACAAATATCTACGATCACGACATTTTCTGCGACACGATACCCTTTCTGTTGGCAATCGATACTATCTGCCACGATGATGAGCTGCGTTATGAGTCTTTTACGATCACACACGCCTTTCTTTGTACAATTGTTGGCGATTGAAAGCAATCAGTACATACATTGCTTTCGATGTACCTTTTTTTTGGAGTTGGAGGGGTTTTTTCCTGGTTCCGTTTCTTTCTTGAATGTACTTTTGACAAGGATTTTGGTGCACATTGTTTGCTTAACTCGATGCATATTTATATTGACAGGCTGAAAATATCCTAAGTTGACAAAGTTCTAAAACAATATCAATCCATCTCTTACATATTTTCAACGTTCTATAAGAAATGATTACTGGGTAGTGTTCTCAAGACATATGTAAAGAGATATCTATCGATATTGGAAGAATGACACCAACATTCTCAATTATGATCATGCACAATAAACAAAGGGAATTCAAATGCACTGCCTCCAGGGGTATACATATCTACCCAAACTAGGTAATAAAACGTCCCACCGCCGAAAAAGCCTTAACATACATGAAATCCCGAAGAAACCATAACGCCCTAGTAATAATATGCCTCGCTCAAAAAACATAACTCAAAAGCTCTTGCGCGCGAAGAGCTGTAGCCACATGCCAAGGCAGTGTGTTATTTTGTACACTGCATATGCCCTTGGCCCGGGCAAGGCAGCCTATGTCCCGATACATACTTAAGGTATCCTTCAGGACAATGTCGTGGGATGCGGGAGGACGCGGGGAATAGATGAGATTGACAGAGATGGAAAACACGCCGTCGCCATCAGTAGCGCCTTTGCGGCGGAGGAGATACCCGCTGGATAGGGCGGGTCGGAATTCGGTGAGGTGGGGAGAGCTGTTGAGTCGGTGTGATAGGATAGCTAGCCAGGAATCATCACAGATATCAGTAAGTATGGCTTCTGAATCTGTTTCCAGTGATGTGTCCGTTGGTGTGGGGGCACTGTACGCGACAGGACCAGCGCTGGTCGGAGTGGCTGCGTTGCCCGATTGTTCGGGAGATGCAACGCTGGCACTTGGATTAGGAGTCGACACAGGTGTAGATGAGGACAGTATATTCAGCATAGCCATTGATATCGGTGGAACTGGTGGCTCAAGAATCAAGTCGGGAACTGTGTTGACAGCCAGGATAGTCAATTCCAAGGACCCAGGTTTGGACTTATTGTGGTGGTCTGCTAGACTAGCCCATGCTACGCGAATCTGTTAGCAACTTTCCCTCGATATCAGGGAAAATAAGAGGTAGTACCTTCAATCTCATCGGTTTCCATAGGTTCGGTGGTCGCCAGATGAACTTTCCATCGTGCTTGGAATTTCTCCATAATGTGTTTTGTCGTAGCCCAGATTTCATTTCTTACCTCGGAAATCGGTCTGGAACCGCCTGAATGACGATACCGCAGGCAGTAAGACATGGTCCTTTGTATAGAACCTGGCAAATCAGTCCATGCCACTGATATCCAGCGTTGATCAAGGCTTTTGGAGTAGGCAATATGAAGACTTCGCCCATCTTGAAGCGGCGAGGATCTTTCAGGGGCAAGTCGGAAACTAATGGCTCTCGGGAGAGCGTCGGCTAGAAGCATTGGTGGCGCGCAGAGCAGAGGGCTCCTATTCCCATCATTTGGGCGACACCGGCTGTAGACCTCTAGGGCTAAATTCAAATAATCCGCCTGGAAAGGTATAACCATCGTTTCGCTCGACATGATGAATTCCAGCGGAATTATCTGTAGAACAAGCTCTGTGGCATTTCGAGTCTGTCTTCGCTCAGAACCGGCTATCAATTGCTGGAAAAGGTGCCAGAAGGCGGAACAAATGTCTGCTAATGCCGCAGCGTGCGTAAACGGGTTGATGATATAGACAACATGGTTATCAGCAGTCGCTGGCGATTGCGAGAGCTCCGAGCCTTGGGAATTGTTAGCAGCGAATATGACCGTCAGAGAAAACACATACCAAGTTGCTCGCAAGTTCTCTTTAGTACTTGCATCATCGATTCATAACTAGATGTTTCAGATCGCCAAGGCTTCAGCCCGTCTTCAAATGCCACAGAATCTTCTCCTCTGGTATGGGTTCCAAAGTTGCAACTTTGGTAGAGAAGACCAAACCGTCTCAAGAACACATCTGCTGCTTCTGACGCAGCTTGTGGGTGAATACAATAAGCAGAAATGTTCTTTGGTCCATGAGCAGGCTCAAGACCAAATGTTTCCCAAAACGATATAGCCGGGGGAAGAGCCTCTAAGTATTCTTTGCCTCGACGTACACGTACGTGAGGAGCCGATAACTTTGAAATGAAGCTCCTAGGGGTGTCTTTGGGCGGCGGGGGGTGCTGTGATGGTTGCTGTTGCGTCTGATTCGCAACAAATTCGTCCTGCAATGAAGTGTATCTTTTGAAGTCCAATTTCGAGGTCTCGCCCAAGAGGTTTGTCTCGTCGAGAATTTGCAGTGGCAGAGACTGGCTTTCGAGATCAAAAAGACCGATTTGCCCATCAAGCGGATGCTTAAGGGAGGATTGCGTTATTTGGTCGACCAGCAGTTGCGCAATTTCAAGCTGACCTTCACGACGAGGAAGTACAGGGAGTTGCTGAGGTGGAAACGCAGAGAAATAACCAGTTAAGGTCCAATCAGAAAAATTAGCTAGAAAATTGCCGAGGAACGTAGAGTTCTCGGCTGCGTATGCAGAACTTGCTTCTGTGCCGACCACTGACTTCTCTTGGGATGCAACTGACACTATATCAGATTCCGAAGGAGCTCGTTTGCGCTTCAAAGACGGCATTAAGGGGATGGCCGCCGGAGTTGGAACGTGCTCAGACATGATCTCGATACTGTCGTCGCTGCTGTCACTGCTCACCGATGCTGATCGTAGACCATTTTCTGACTGAATTAGAGATAGACTGGCTCTGTTGCGTTCTTTTGAGGAGCCAGGTGCGTTGGCGCTGCTTCGGTCACGGTGAGGAATGCCAATTATGGGTATGGCAGATGTTTGATCTAGCGTGTCCAATGAGCCACCACCAGAGAACCAGAATTTGCCAGTTGCTCCGTACTTCTGGTCCCAATCACTGAGTTTCTTTTTGAAGGCCACTGGGTGGTAATGCCCTTGCCCGCGGTTATCTGTAGACTGTTGATGCTCCTCTCCATCGGGCCCCGGAAACAATATCTTTTTCACTTCTACCGGACTCAAGGGCGGACTGATTGTTTGACCTGCGCGATCAATAGGCGTATGAGTTTGTTCTTCGGGGGCCATAGGCCCTTCAGATAGATGTGGGGCTTCGTGGTGTATCGGAGATGCCTGTACCTCATGTGTTTCGACATGAGTCGGGACTTCCCGTGGCTGATTAGGGGAGGGTTCTTCATCAACCATGGCCTCGGCCTCCGATTCGCTCCGAGGATGAGATGCTCCAAGAGTTCCATCTGCATCCTCTACACGAGAGTCACCGTCCATACCATCGAAATCAGGGTCATCAAAAAAGCTGAAGTCCGCATCGGTGATACCTTTCGACCCAAAATCTCTTTCATTCATTTCTCCGAAGAGGTCTTCTTCATCGCTTGCATCATATCGACCAGTGCCAACACCAAGGCCAGTATTTTGAACGGGTGATATATCAGATCCTGGTGCATTTCTTCTTGAACTTCGTTGTATTGTATGGGGTTGTCCAAAGTCAGAGTCCTCAGCGAAAGGGTCAGAAGGGTTTGGGTTGTTCAATCCAACCGCTGCAGCTCCATCTGGAGGAGTTGGGTAAACAAGATTCATGCTTTGCAAATCGGGATATTGCGCAATTCGGGATAAACTCTCTATGCTTTCCAGCGTTTCGACCTTGGGTGGCGATGACATTTCTTGGTCTTTTGGCCGTGGGTCTTGAGTGATAGGGGTGTTTTGAGCAGTATTGGAAATATGGTCTAGCTTGAGAGAACTCGTCATTGAGGACCATTGCTCTGCAAAATCTAGAGGTTCGTCAAGAAGGGAACCTTGAGCCCCGGAAGAGAAATTTGATGAGCTAGCCCTTTTGAAGCAGAATCTCGCTGGCCATAGCATGCATTTCAACGGCAGTGCGGATTGACTATCATCACTCTGTCGCCATGCTTCCCCGGCAAGCCTGGCGAAAAATGGCTCCCAAACCTCCACTTCCACCCAGGGTTCTTCGTCAATTGCGCCAACGTGCATACCAAAATTCCGCAGCCATTGCACAACATCCAATTTCCACTGTATTCTTTTTGCAGATAGGTTGCTAGATGTGGGGTAGCCCAAAGGGGGAACGGTTGGCGAGTCAATATTAGCCGTGACAAGCCTAGCGATAGTACCGTTCGGGCATAGCCAAAGATCAATTCCAGGCCGCACGTCAATTATTTCAGAGATATTCTCGTGTGGACTGCATAGTCGCGTAATGCCCGTTTGGGATATAGTCTGGGTGGAAACGGTTATTGTCCCACTCATAGTTAGCTGGATGTTGAGTGTAGTTAAGCAAGAAGAGGATAGAACACTGTCATTGTCGATATGGGGACTGTCGTATCCCGATTTTTCGACGGCAGTGAAAAGAGTACGTGATCCGAGGGGTAGAGCAGCATGGCGACGAATCAACTGGAGGCCGATTGAACCAGTGACAGCAGATATGAAGGAGGCATAAATGGCCGCTGAACTGCTGTAACCGTCTTGACGCCGAGATGATGGTTGGCTCTGATTTGATCGTGGCTGCCCAGCGGGTTGGGTACTGTGCTGACTCTGATTGTCGGACGACAGACCTTTCACCAAGTCCACCGAGGAGACACTTCCCAACGCAGAGACTATTGTAATAAGATTAACAAAAGATTCTAAAATGAGTATCCAAGGTGATTGTGGGCATACCTTTCAAAGTTGTTGTACCGACGAGGATTTTATTTGATTCTGCGTCACTTCCCCTCACATACAAAGGCTGCAGGCTTTCGAACTCGGGAGTAGGGGAGAAAACCCAAAGTCCCAGGCGCCTTGGGCATGACGCGAGGCAATTCAAAAGTCTTAATCGAGCCTCTAAATCTTTAAGGCGACTCAAGTGCTTGAGAATAGTGTAGCCATTGGCGGGGCCTTCTTGTGGATTATTTGCGATACCAGCTTCTTCCGTGTATATTCTCCAGTAAATATTGGAGAATCCATCCTGATGTGACGCGTCAGCATGCGAATGTACTCTAAATTTTACAACACTCACAATAAGATGTATGTTGGTGTTTGCGCCGCCAGGGAAGTCCATAATTCAACGGTCGCGGACAGCCCCGGAAGCCTTTAAAGATAGATGAAATTTTGAAGCTGACTCTGGAAGTCATTTCCAATCGCAGGTTGCATGGTCTGTGGCAAGGAGCGAAAGCGCATAACAGAGAGATCAACAAACAGCAAATACATTAGCTGGTTGATACCATGTTGCGCGGAACGAAGCGGTCAACAAAGATTAGGACATATAGCACAACGCTCTCACTCAAATGAAATCAGCGCACTAAATGAGACCAAGTAATGATTCAACCACAAGGCTTACCGCATGAAGTCAACAGAAAGTTGAAATGCGTAATTCCGGGGGACGTTCGCCAGGGACAACTCGGACCAATCACCAGGCCCGAATATCACGTGATCGCTATCAGCGGCTTTTTATCGCAGTTTTTTTTTTATCTTTTGCAGGTTTGCTTTCGCCGACACCGATAGGTTGCAAATAAGTTGCAGCTCAGCTCAAAACAACTGGCTTGACCTTCTTCACGCCAGAATATACCAGCATGAAGCTGTCCAACCCGTCCGAGGTCCCGGTATATACCATATCGGGTTCAGACAGTGCTCGCCCACTTCCCGAATGGCTTGCTAGACGCCGAAAGCGCAGCTTGAAAAATGACCCCGAGTATGCGAATCGTGTTGAATTACTGCAAGACTTTGAATTTGAGGAAGCAAGTCACTGTGTCCGAGTCAGCGAGGATGGAGATTGGGTTATGAGCACAGGTTTGTACTACTGGTCCCCATCTATTTCTAAAAGCGCATACCCTAACACTATTGCTTGCAGGAACTTACAAGCCACAAATCCACACCCACTACCTTCCACAGTTGTCCCTTTCATGGGCGCGCCATACAAGTTCACTCAACACCACGTTCATCCTATTGTCTTCCGATTACACCAAGTCCCTCCACCTCCAGTCTGATCGATCTCTTGAATTCCACACTCCCTCTGGATGTCACTACACCACCAGACTTCCCCGATATGGACGTGACCTGGTCTATGACCGCCAGTCGACCGAGGTGCTTGTTCCTGCAGTTGGTGTTAATCAAGATGGCATGGGAGAGGTCTACCGATTGAACTTGGAGCTAGGCCGATACATGCGGAGTTTCGAGATTGATGTCGGAGGTGACGATTTTACATCCACAGGTGGCGGAACTCTCCAAGGTGGAATCAACACTGGGTCGGTCAACACTGGTGCTATTGCGGAGCAGAGTCACAATTTGTTGGCCTTTGGAACTTCATTGGGCACAGTTGAGCTATGGGATCCTAGGGCTAAGGGACGTGCTGGTGTGCTGCTTCCACCCACACCAGTTGGATTAAACGATGAGCGATCAGAGATCACAGCTTTAGATTTCAATCGCTCCGGTATGAGCCTTGGAACTGGCTCGTCTAATGGTCTCATTCACCTCTACGATTTGCGTTCACCCGTCCCCTTCCAGGTCAAGGACCAAGGATACGGGTTCCCTATTCACACTCTCCAATTCCTCGAGCAGTCGTCCGCAACACAAGCCGCGACAATCGAACCCAAATTGCTCTCGGCTGATAAGCGCATCATCAAGCTTTGGGATATCGAAGATCAAAAACCTTGGACTTCCGTTGAACCGGCTGTGGATATCAATTCTGTCGCTTGGTGCAAGGATAGCGGCATGCTTCTCACAGCCAATGAAGGCCGACAGCAGCACTCATTCTTTATTCCGCAGCTTGGCCCTGCGCCTAAATGGTGCTCATTCCTGGACAACCTGGTTGAAGAGATGGCTGAAGATCCAAATGATCCCAGCGCATTCAAGTCTGCTCAGTCTAGTTCTGTTTGGCCTGGCTTCACGCTTGTGCCCAGTGAAGAGGTCGCGAAATGGGACGCCAAACTCATCAAGGCAGGCGGAGAACCCATTGATTTGGCATCCTACATGCAGTCAGGAAAGATGGTACCTTACTCTAAGGGTTACCAGGTATCTAACTTTGTTTATAACTCTATCACCGGGTTGTTCCCCGATACAGAGAACCCCAGAGCGAAGAAGGTGGCCGAAATTATGAACAAGGAGCGGGAGAGCCGCATTCGCGGCAAGAAGAAGGTTGCTGTCAAGGTGAACAGGCGACTGGCCGAAAGGATGCTGAACGCAGAGGAGAAGAGGGAACGCAAGCACGCCAAGCGCCTACTGGAAGGCTCAGGCGAGCAGGAAATGGTCGATGCTGCTGCAGCTCCTTCCGAAGGCGAAGAGAAGAAAGTACTAGGCGGTGGCCGTTTCGCCCAGTTGTTCGAGGACCAGGATTTCGCTGTCGACGAGACCTCACGGGAATTCCAATTGCTGAACCCCAGCACGGTTCCTCAGGCTGCTGCTCCATCAGCTCCGAGAAAGGAGCGTGGCTTGACGGCAGTCGAGCAAGAAGCCATCGACGATGTGCCCGGTTCAAGCTCCGACTCCGACTCCGACAGCGAGGCGGAAAAACCTGCGAAGACAGCAGCTTCCAAAAAGATCTCTTCTGCAGACTACAAGCGGACGAAGCGTCCTCCACCTCGTATGCAAGTGTCTTCCTCAAACCAATCCCACTCCACCCGAGACCGCTCCTTCGGCTCCCGTGCGCAGAACATGAAGTCGAAGCAAAAGCCTGCACGACGAGTTGGTGTAGTCGGCGAGCAAGAGATGAGCTTCAACCCGGCCGGGAAGCCGAAGCGCGCTGCCCCCGAAGTGCGTTACGACAAGACCGACACATCTTTCCGGTCCAAGGAACGCCGCAGTGCTTCCAACAATACTTTCCGCAAGATGTAATGTGTCTTGTCATTATTGGCCTTTTATTGTGCCATTTACTTGACGCCATACAACCTTGCCCGGCCAAGAAGTTTACTCGCTCACACTCTACAAACCATGCTCTTGGCCCTTCGCCTACCTCATTGGGTCGAGCCTTCTTAGGGGGACGCCTGTTCGCCGCCGAACACCAGGACCAACCTCATGGCAACTTTTATTGCTCCCATGTGCAATCAGCCGCTGTGCGAAGTGCTTCTGTGTTGATCCCTGGGCCACGTTTATTTGAACCTACGGCAACTTTCTCAATACCCTATTTGCACACTATCATAGACAGCTTTGGTGTGACATCCGAGAATTCAAAGCTCTGGTGCACATATTTTTGGAATGACCACTCTGTATCTTAATGTCTCAAAAGCGATGCCAACAATCTTAAATATCATTCAGCTATTTTTTTTTTCCAGTCTGCTCCTCAGACACCCCAGACTATATATACCTAGTCAGTCAGCCATGGTGGATGACTTCCAGGACTCGAAATGCGTAAGTAAAAATGGGACAAAATATTTCACCTAAGAATTACAGAAATGCACCCAAACTTCTAGGTCTAATCCAAGTCCGAAATTATATAGATGCGGATATATACATTTTTATCTTCTCTCTTACCATCCCCACATTCCAACGAGCTCTCCGGGCTCATACCCTGTTGTAATCTACAATCCAGTAACTAGATGAGATCGTAAAGATGAAGCACAGTATGAAGATATTGTGGAATGCTGTAAGGTATATAAGGGTGAAAATGGCTATAAGTCTACATACTACCATATTGCCATTTGACATATGTGGATATTAAACCGGGTACAGTACGACCAGCTCAGCTCAAATTAGTCTAGATGTGCTCCTCATTGTATGCAATATCTATTAGACAACGGGTCTCTGTTAACTGCTACCTTGCTTTTCGAGATCTACCAAAAAGATGCCCAAGAACGTCGACATTAACATAGTCGAGCAAGTTCCAAAACCAGATAATGGTAGGTTTATATTATAGACTCTTCGAGGTAGTGCTGCAGGCCCATCCCCAAGGAGCCGTCTTAAAGAGTTTACCGTCAAAATCCGGGGTCTCCGTAGATACCTAAATGTAGGTTTGATCAGCGGAATCTCTAATAGGATATTCCTCTCCTTTAGATCTATACATAGTATGTCATCGCTAAGAGGCGTTACACTAGTTACCACGTAGATTTAAATCTAATCCCAAGCCACTATTGCGGCTTTGCTCGGGGCCCTTATTACTCCTAGTGAACATGAATTCCACACTTTGGCGGCTTATAGTAGGAGCTGAAGTATTTAGAGTATTACCCTAACTCCATACTTCGGCCCCGGCCCCGGCGTTTGCTCCAGCGGCTATAACGATGACCGAACAGCCAAAGAGAAATCCATGAGCTTTTCATCTGGCATTAAAGTAGGCACATGCGTTGGCGTTGCGCCACAGGCTATCTTAGGTATTCTCGGAATTTGACTTCCGGTTCTCTATGGGCGAAAACGCCAAAAGCAATATGGTGAAAAGAAAAGGAAGCATATGAGCTCGTCGAGACTAGGGGCATTAATCCCTAGCATGCGATTCATGAATTAGACTACAACACTGTCCTTGGGAAGGATGGCGTTCAAAGGCCACATTCACGATCTAGAGAACTAGTTCAGCTGAAAGGGCAAAGTACGAGATTAGTGGATTGTGGATACATTGCGTGATCTCACTGTCATTGTACGATTATAACGTGTTCAGGATTATCACTTTGGACTCTACTCAGGGCTTAATGATCATCCGGAGAAGAAGCCATAGCCCTTTAGCCGCCTTCGGTAGAAGGGGGGAAATGGTCCGGATGCTGTCAACACGTCCGTGCTAATTGACTTCAGCGCGTTTGAAAATGATTTTAGACTAGTTTCCTAAAGAGTAATATAGCTTCCTTATTAGATCGATAATCAGAGTTTCTCTCCCTTGGCGTTATATATGTTGCATAACCATGTGGAGCGTAAAACCATTTTCCTAATGTGGAAACCCTTTCTAGATATCTTACTATTGGAATTACATAGTTAACGTCAAGAATGTAATTGGCTCCGTGTCCGATTGAGTGGAGGTCATTCAGAATAAGCGAGAACGTGTACTTGGACTCCATAGTACCCACAATGAAGAGCACCCCACGTGGGCAGCTGTCATCGTATGTAGATCTGGTTTCTCCCAAGTATTCAAACGTCTTTTTAAAAGAC